AAATAATATTAACTTGACAATATATAAATTAATGATAAAGATTGGCTAGCAGAAGTAGATTAACAATTTGTAATAATTAAATATATTAAAAGAATTTAAAAACAAGTTATAGGACAATACAACTTCTAACAAGGCACAGAAAAAGAAAAAACTATCAAACAAAATATCTAGAAAAATGCTATCAAGGATTGGATCCCAGAGCACTAGTAGAAATACTAAGACCTAGAACAATAGCTAAAAAGATACCAAGAAGAGTAGCAACAGTACTAATGAAAAACAAGAAAAACATTTATTACAGAGGATAAAAAGTTTAGTAACTTGGAAACCAAAGTTATTAATACTAAAGCTTATTACAAGGAATATTTATTTTAAAAACTTTAAAAAGCATAGAAAAAATATAACTACTAGAGAAACTAAGTCATTAAGGTATAAACAATAAAATATTATTATCTATGGTACAAATGTTAGAAAATTAGATGCTTGAATTAGATATAGCAAAAAAACAAATACTTGCATTAAACAAAGTAATATAATTGTTTGAAGGATAAATGCTATCTATATATACTAGAATAACAAGTAGCAAAAAGTAATTCAAGATATTCAAGACATTATCAAGTATGAAAGTAAGACTATATAGTAAATAATTACTTAGTACATAGTACAACAATGAGTTTCAAGAAAGAATTTTAGTCAAAAAACTAGAAAGCTACCTGAAACCAGAGTAACAAAATGATATAACTATATATTTTATAAATACAAATCTAAAAAAAGTAGTATATATACAGGTTTAAATCCAAGGAAAACATATTAGTACACTAGTAGATAGTAGAGCTATAAAAAGTATAATATCATTTAGAGTAGTAGAATGATTAAATTTACTATAAAAACTCAAGAAAAATCTAATTTAAATATGAATAGTAGATGAAAGTTTACTAGCATTTGATAAAGGATTCATGAAAATATATACTAAAAAGCTTAATATATAGTTAAATAAAATGTTTTGATATAGCTTTATTAGTATTATTAATATAAGAATGAGGTTAGACTTCATTTTAAAAATAAACTAATTGTAGGTAATTAATTTGTAAATTGACTAGTATCAATAAACTATTCATTTTCCTACTATAAAAGTTATAGGAAGTTAATAAACTAGAAAGCCTAGATCAAAAAGTTTTGAATTACTTAGAAAAGTAGAATGTTAAAAACTTTAACAAAATAAATAATAAACAAAAATTAATTATAAAAAATTAACAAAAAACTTGAGTATCAAGGTAATAAGTTTTAGATATATATAGTACAAAATATTAAATACTAAGTAAAGAGCTTATATAATATAGATCTATAAAATTAAAAAAATGTTAATAACTAAAATACTACTAGAATATAAAGAATTTAAAAAAACTTTTTAAAATTTAAAAGAAATAATTTTATCAAAATATAAGCCATAGAATCATAAAATACTTCTAAAAAAAAGAATAATATTAAAACCAGAACTAATATATCTTAAAATGCAATAATAAGTCAAAGTATTAAAAGAATATTTTATAAAAAATATTAAGAAAGAATACATTAGACTTAGTAAAAGTCTAATAGAATTTCTAATACTGTAGGTACTAAAAAAAATGATAAACTATAACTTTGTATAGATTATCAATAGTTAAATAATAAAACAGTTAAAAATATATATTTATTACTATTTATACAAGAACTCTAGAACTAATTATCAAAAGCTAAGTAGATAACAATATTTAATATCTGGGGAAAATATTACTAAATTTGTATAAAAAAAGGAGAAAAATGGAAAACAGCTTTTAAAACTTGTTATAGCCTATATAAATATCTAATAATGCTATTTAAACTTATAAATATACTAGCTACATTCTAAAACATAATTAATAATGTATTTTACTAGTATCTAGATGTTTTTGTTATAGTATACTTAGATAATATTATAGTTTATACAGATAAAATATTGAAAGAATATAGAAAATAAGTTAAAAAAGTTTTAACTAAACTCAAGAAGTATAATCTCTATGTTTAACTTGAAAAGTATAAGTTTTATTAAGAAAAAGTAAAATTCTTGAGATTTATTATATTTGACAAAAGAATCAAGATGAACCTAAAAAAAATCCAAGATATATAAAATTGAGGAGTATTAAAAAGCAAAAAGGAAATCAAAAAATTTCTAGACTTTGTTAATTTTTACTAAAAGTTTATATAAAGATATTCTAAAATTATAATACTATTCATGAAATTGATAAAAGATAGTATATTTTTTAGTTAAATTAAAAAAGTTCAAGAAATATTTAAAGAACTAAAAAAAAGTTTTTAGAAGAACTAGTATTAAAGATATATAAACTAAGAAAGGAAATTAAAGTTAAAACAGATTTATTAGACTTTACCATTGGAGTACAAATAATACAAATAGGAGAAAATGACAAGAAACATCTAGTAGCCTTCTACTTATAAAAATTATTAGTATTAGAATTAAACTATAATATCTATAACAAGAATCTATTTAGAGTAGTATTAGTAATAGAATATTGAAGAATTTATTTATTTAGAACAAATAGTACAATCATAATATACTTAGATTATAAAAATCTTACAATGTTTATGACAACAAAAAAGTTGAATAAAAGACAAGTATAATGGATAAAGATATTAGTTTAGTACAACTTCTAAATATATTACAAGAAAAAAAAATAGAGTTATAAATGTATTTAGTTAATAAAAAAAGTACAAAAAAGGCATGGAGCTAGTACAAAATATAATACTTAAACTTGACAATAATAGAACTTTTGTATATAAAGCAAAAATAATTATAGCATTATAAATTAAAAGTTATAATACTTGGAAACAAAAAATATAAAAAGTAATTCAAGATAATAAAACTATAAATTATAAGGCAATAAAACTACTTGAAAACAGACTTTTATACTATAAAAAACAAATCTATATACTATAAAAACTACAAAAAAATTGATTAGAGAAATATATAACAAACCAACCAGTGGACATCCAGGAATTATAAAAATAGTTACAAAAATTACAATTAACTACTACATACTAAAAATATAGAAGTTAGTTAAAAAAACAATTAGAAAATACTATGTTTGTAACTAGAATAAAAAAAACAAACATAAGTTATATAGAAATTTAAAGAATTTAAAAGTACTATATTAACTATAAAAATCAGTCATAATAGACTTTATAATAAATTTACTAGAATTAATAGACCTAGTTATAGAACAAAAGTATAATATATTATTTATAATTATAGAATGACTTATAAAATACATGTATTTTATCTTAATAACAAAAAAAGCTATAGCAAAACAAATAGTATATTTAATATTATAAATAATAATAGCAAACTACTAGTTATTAAAAAAATTCATTACTAACAAAAATAAGCTATTTACATTAAAATTTTAGAAGATAATAATAGTAAATTTAAAAATAAAGTACAAAATGTTAATGATAGCTTATCTACAAATAGATAGACAAATTAAAAAAATCAATTAAATTATTAAATAATATTTACAATACTATATTAGCTATAAACAAGACAATTAGGTACTATTGTTACTAGTTGCTTAGTATATATATAATATTTATATATAGATAGTATAAATTTTTAAATTGTTTTAAAAATATTTTTAAATTATATTAAATATATTTTTATATTAAAATTAAATTTAAAATATTTATATATTTAAATTAATTTATATTAATTTAATAATTGTATTGATTTTATTTAAAATAATTAAATATAATTTTTTATATAAAGGTTTATATTTAATAATTTTAAATATATTTTAATTATTTATATTTAATTTAAAATTTTTAAAAACTTTATAATAATATTAAATCTTATTAAATATTATAAAATATTTCTAAAATAATTTAAAATTTAAAATTTTTTGAAAATAGTTTTTAATTAATTTAAAATAATATAAAATTATTTTAAAAATATAAAAATAAAAATAAAAAGATATATAAAAAAATAAAAAAAATTTATTTTAAAAAAATATACCATTTGAAAAGCTATTTCTTAATTAGAAAATATATAAACATTATAAGTATCTAAGTACCTGAGTTTAATCCCTAGCTGAAAAATTTTTTTTTATTTTTTTTATTTTTCTATTATATATATTTTTTATCTTAAACTATTTTTAGAAAAAAAGTACTTTTAGCTTAATGGTATAATATTGAGCTTTAAAATTAAACTGGTTTATAAAGTAAGCTAGTCTCAAATAGGAAGTAAATTATTATAGTTATTTTTTTATTTTTTTAAATTTTTTATTTTTTATTATATTTAAATTAATTTAAATTAATTTAAAAATATTTTGAAAAAATTTAAAATTATTTAAAATTATTAGTATTAGATTAATAATTTTAAATTTATTTATATAATATAAAATATTAAGTGTTTTAATTAAAAAATATTTTTTAAATAAAAAATAATTTTAAATAAATTAAAAATTTGTACTATCTGCATTTAAGTACTTTTAGTTTAAACTAATTTATACTCAATAGAATATTTTATTAATATTAAATTTAATTTATTAAAATAATTATAAAAATTTATATAGTTTGAAATATATATATAATTATTTTTAATATAATAAAACTTTATATTAAAAATTAAAAAAAATAGTAGCTAAATTTTTAAAATATGTATAAAAAAATTTTTAATTTTTAACTCAATAAAAAGTAATAAGTATTATTCTTTTAATGTATTTAATAAAATATTTATTTATCTATATTGAAAAAGTCTGTCTTTTTTTCAAAAAAAATTAATAACCAATACTAGAAATGTAGAACTCTATAGTAGTTAACAAGTAAGAAATAAAAAATAAAAAAGGTTAACTTATAATTTACTACTTTGTAGCTAGGAACCCTGAAGCAATACCATACTTACATATGTTGCTGTTAGATGTAAAGCAAATTACCGACAAAAACCTTTAATTAGAGCTCCAAAAATCCATGCCATTAACATTTCAACTATTCACCAAAGTAGTCACTAGTTAAATTTAACTAGTAGATGAACACATTGTTCGCTTGAGTCTTATAAAACGAGGCTCAAACATGACTTGTATTCTCCAGATACCACGATCCGATGCCTCTGATGGATCGACTCTACTCGTCAAAGTCGATGTGCACAAGACCGACCCTTTAGATATCTCGTTAACAGCAACGGAAGGAGAATACGCGTACACTGGTGCAGGTACCTTATAATCTTTAATCTGCTCTATGAAAGGTTCTGTCCTGACACAGAGTACGCTAGTTCGCAAGAACCAACTCGACAAACTGAAATCAAGATCCTATCCGGGCAATACTGAGCAATGGCGAAAATCACTGCTAGAGGTGCTACACGTAAAAAGTCATCATCGCATAACCCACATGCAGGAGAAGCTGGAAGCTTCCGCAGCGATTGCACACGAAATGGTCACTATTTCAATAAGAGAGAACATTGATGGTATCGTGGTATGGAGCGCACATTCTAAAGCTCACATTTCCTTCAAAACTAACATAACATATTCTAAAGCAAAAGATTGGTTCAATTCACCTGCACCACAGTGAAGACCAGGAAGTGGAACTATTTGACTGGACAAATCTTGCAGCCAACGAGTCTGCTCGTACCAGGAAAGATATCGCTACATTGACCCAAAAGATTGAATCTCAATCAGAAACCATTGTGCGACTTACCGAACAGCTGGAAAAAATTGCTAGCGAGAAGGCCACCCATGAGGAATTGCTGTTAAAGCAATTTCAGGACCTTTTGAACTCCAAGAAACTCAAGATCAGAGATCAACAAAGAATCATGCTAAGAAACAAAGAGCAAACGTCATCAAACCACGGTATGCCATATGGTGAGATAATGATTTCGAAGATTCATCCTCCTTTTAGCCGCTGAAATGCACTACACAGTAGCAAGCCAACCCACAAGCCGTGCAGTCGTGCAGCTGAGCCATCATGGCGGGCCACGGGGTTCAAGAGTTTCGAGCTAGGAAATTACCCTTCAAATGTTTCACATTTTTCAGGCATACGCCAGCTGGTTATACTTCATTCAAGCATTACAAGCGCTAACACTGGCAAGATGATCGGACAGGGTCTGACACACCTCAATCGACCGATATGTCGGGTACCGATAATGATAGTAGTCATGAAAGGCCAGAGGGTCTAAAGCGGTACCTGACCGGACTTAATCAGGCTAAAAGAGCACTGGAGAGGGACAGTACCATGAGGGATAACAGTGAAAGCCATAACAAGAATGAGACGGCTGCACAGAACTCAAACAGCCATAGCAAAGGCCGCTCCCCTTCTGATGTATCCAGTCGCTCAGACAAAGGTCCCGGAGGTGGCGATTCGTCACCAAAACAAAGAGAAGACGATACAGAAGAAGAAGTGACGGATGATGATGAGTTATGATCTAAGGTTCAAATCTGATTGATTGTCCAAATTTTTTGTTAAAATCCGTCGACTAACAAAAAGCTGTCGTACCTATAAGAGAAGCAGTCCAGGGAAATATCAGCATAAAAAGCCGAAACCACTGTAGAAGCTCGTCAGAAAATAAAAAGCACGACTGCTTAGCCTGCCTTAAGTAATATAAGTTCTATGAGTGATTTCAAAAATGTTAATGATAAAGCAGAGCTTCATTGTCAACCTTTGGCGTTGATATAAACTGTAGGGCTGGTTTTTGGGAATCATATCAACTAAGATAGCGCTTGTACGGAGCACGCGTTCAAGTCAGATCTAACCAAGGGCCGGGTCACCTGTAGATATGGTAGACCCTCCAATTGGTTCGGAAAGTCCCGCTGAACTGGCCTGTCCCGAAGCCCCAAGTTTCAGTAGGCTGGGAGGGAAGAGGTACAAAGGCAGCGTACCCAGAGCCGTGTTTAGTTCAACGTGGGGTACATTACAATACGATAGGCAATTGCTGCCCATAATTGCAAAAAGGTGCCATTATTCCCTAGCATATCTTGCTTTGTGAATGCCGACATTCAATGCACCATGATCACAAGGAGCTTGAAGCTATATTGCAGACCTGTGCTCTCATGTTCGACTTCTGATCACCGTTGTCTCTCATAAATAGGTTACTTTTGCACATGCCCCGGTCTTGACTTTTGATGAGCTGTCTTGATCCTCTCCTCCATGCCTCAAACGATGACCCTTCAGTCTAGCAGCCGCCACACGCCCGTTAGCAAACCTTCCAAGGATCCGCTTGCTGGGTTACCTTCGTCGGAAACTTTTGATGATATCGACGCCCGCCTTCTTAGATTAAACAGAGAAACGCTGCCAAGATCTCCTTATCTTTTAAGCATACCCTCTCTTTGCCCTCATCGAGCCCATCAGTATCAGAGTCAGCACTGGAGTATCCGCTCGCCGTTTAGCTCTAGCGAAGAGGAACTGCAATATATGAGCTTTCTTAGTCACGACTGGGAAGACAGCTTGCTTGTTGCAACCGGCAATTGGGACAATAAAGACGACATGCCTGGAGATGGCGGGGTCAGCCGAGCTAACAGTCTCAGTAGAACCAGCACGCCAGGAATTGGCAACGCTCAGAGGAAGAAGATCAGCTTCTCCGCCTACAAAAATAAGGCCAGGGCTCGAAATACCTCTGCATCTACTCATACAGATGGACGGCGCAGTCCCGACAATTCCCCAGAAAGAAACGATGAGATTTCGAGGCCATCGCCGATTTCTTCACATCCTGGATTGCAGAAAAGGTTCGTAGAAGATGCTGTTGGTCCCGTAAATGTGTCACCAGACCTTTTAAAACTAACCATCAGAATCAGAGTTTCCGCCGACGGCCAAGATAAAGGAGATTCTCGTGTGCATTCTCCGTCCAATGACTTGGCACTCAACGGATACAATAATGCATCATCTGCGATAAGTGATGCAGTTGCGGGGGAACAAAATTCGCCTCACTTCATGGCCCAAGGATTGCCTCCGCTCTTATCACCAACCTTGCCTTCAGTCATTGAGGAAGGTCTCGCAAAAATGCAATACTTTCCAAGTTCATCGAAGGCTGGACATACTCATAGCAAGACGGCATCCGTAACTTCCTCCTCTTCAGAAGGACGATTGCCATTATCTTCCCAAGCGTCTTCAGACTCTAATGACAATACCTCTACCAAAAGTAGAGCAAGAAAAGGGCATTCTTTAGAACCTGGAACTACAGGTTAGTCTCAATAAAGTCTCTCGAAGCTTTGATTATGGTTGGAAACTCATGTAGTTGCTTGTTCACTGGTCTGACCATTTCTAGATACGAAGGACACTATGGGGCGAGTGCCGAAGCTTGGCCTCCACAATGATCGAATCATTCCTTCACAGGATTCTACAGCTTCTCAACATGGCTCAGCGACGTTGAATAGAGGGTCAGATAAAGAACCTGGGAATTCCAGACAGCACCTTCTGGTGAAGTTCAGATACTCCAAGGCGCAAAGGAAAGCTGTAGAGAGAATATTGCAGACTAGGCCCGCCTCTACACAGTATGACGTGAATATTGGGGGAAAGACAGGCCATGGAATAAATAAATCCCCGGTTGAGAAGGATCAGTCCAGAGAAAAGGGGAAATTTATGATTTCAGAAGCCACCGAAACACCATGGAAGCGATTGCCCCCAGATAATCCTACAACGGATCGAGCGGAGCGATGGTATCTGGACAAACCAGACCAGTCAAAGAGCGTGGAATCGCGGAAAAGAATCCCAGAAAAACGCCCTCGACCATTAGATGATGGGACAGAGCATGACAGCTCAAGCAAACGTCAAAGACCCATTGATGAAAGCGGCCTATCTGCGAATTCTCGAACACCCAACACTGGCATCTCTCATTCACCGGTGATCATGACACAAGGAAATGCATCAGCCCCGCGGTTCTCGACGCCACGAAAAGAAGTCAAGTCTGTATCAAGAAGGCGGCCTGATCCAGGCGACGGACCGGTTCAAACGCTATCCCAGGGCTCCAATCTACATGATCGTCGGACTGCACCAGCGTTACCAGAAAAAGAAAAGTCTCGAACTGCTACTAAGCGCGAGCCGCTGGGGACGGCGAGCGAAACAAAAAGAAAAGAGGGGGAGATTTGGCGTTTAGAGAATAAGAAATATCTTGAGCTTGGCCGAAAACTCAAACATGAAGCCGATGAGTTATTGAAACCCCAAACTGGCAGTGGTGCATTAGAAGTTAGCGCAGCCAAACTTGGTGTGGTGCTTGCCGTTGAGACAATTTTGTGAGTTGAATTCCGTCACCTTGGTCTGGTTTATATTCATTTATTCATTGATATACCTCTTAGGTGCTATTTTGTTGCCTTTACAGCTGCCGATCAAAGTCGTCAAATGAACCGACAGTCTGGAGAAGCACAAAATTGGCGAAGCCTATTGCCATTCTGGGAATTTGTAGAGAAGAAAGCTCGACGATTTCCTGCATTGCAAGGCCTCTGTCTACAGATCGGCGCTGTGTGCCGAGAGATCATTCACACTCTTGACATAGAACGACTCCATAATGACCCATTACCATCAGGCCCGGGTGAAGATCCACTGCCACCTACTCCTGGAACAGAGAAACCAAGCGCGGCAGATGAAGCGGATACAAGGACTAAAAGCGCCAATTATCGCAAGGAATATATGGCTTTCAAAAACAGTCTCGTCGAGAATGCACGTATAACTCGAAACCTTTGGACTGAAAGCTCTTTCAAGCTTAGCATTGATGAGTTACAACTTTGCTTTCCTCGTACATGGGCACGGAGAGAAAAGCCTCCATTCAGTCGGACGGCCGAAAAATTAACCCCTGGTGCTTATGCAGGCTCCTTCCGTCTTCCTCTTGGACCAGCTAGCACGGGTATGGAAACTGTCAGGGCTTGCTGGAATATTTTGCATGAATGGGCTAAACTGGAGGGGGTGAATTGGAAAGGTAGTCTACCTTTATCCTTATGATACTTATTCTGTAATTCGCGCATATCTGGTGCGCGACATCAATATGACCCAATTCAAAATACCCGATGAAACCATGAAAATACTTTAGAGAATTTAAGTTTCAAAGCTTGGTCTATTTGTGGAGTTTGCTAAGTGCAGTGATAGTGTATGAGGCTATTTTTATCTAACTAGTAGTCAATTTCCACATTACCAATGAGTCTCCAAAGGCTGGGGAATCAGGGGGTCAGAAGGACCAAGATTCCGAAATGGCTGGGTATCACGTGACACACATCTCACGAACTCCAAAGTATTCCGGTTCAACCCCCCCACAGAGCCTTGATGCTCTTCTTTTGATATCTTAGAATACTCACGTAATCCTTGGCCATGGAGTGCCGCGATCTAGAATGCTGGGATGACGATGAGGATTTGCAGGTATTCGAGACTTTCGACTTTCGTGCTTCCCTTGCCTCTGCTGCAACCGGGAACCACCGCGCATCAATCTCTTCTTCCCGAGCAGGTTCTGTCTCATCACGCGCGGGCTCGCATTATGAACCAGATGAAGAATGGGACAACCCGTCATTAATCCCGGACGACAAGTCCAAGCGTTGCTCACCGCTGCCCGCCGCATCTTCAGCTATAGAGGACTACGACGATGATTTAGAAATACCCAACAACGGAGAGCCTCTCAAATTAATTCGCAGAGATGCGGCAACGTCAAACGATGCATTTGATAATTGCGGCCTTGAAAATATACTCGAGGCTAGTTCTCCGCAAGAATTTCAACCAGGGGGTACCAGGCGAGCTGCTGAGCATCCACTGAGTGAAAGACATGTCGCCGATATCCATGACAAAGCAGCTCTGCCATCCATCATCCCTGAATCAGCGGATGAGGATCTAGCCTTCGATGAAGAGGACCTTATTCTTCCAGATGACGATAAACCATTAAAGCTTGCGCCACGTATAGCCACTGATGGACAAAACGACCATCCCCCAGAAAAATTTCATCCCAGAGAACTGAAGTCCCAAGACGCAACCACGCCAGCAACCGATGACTTCCTTTCTGGCTTGGAAATAGGAGATATTGACGTTTTCGATGCAAAGAAGCTAGCTGTCAATCGAAATATCAAGCATAGAGTATCCAGGATCCCTAGACCGGCAACTGTTCGAGATCGCGGTCATTCCAAGCTCGAACCAGTCTCTGAAAGCGGAGGTCCGATCTCGTCATATAAAAGACCCGATTCCCGTCTGGGAAACCACGCAGTTTATGACCAACCTAATGGGCTTATTTCAACCCCAACCTCATCATATACTGTGCCACCCTTTACGCCGAGCCGACGAGGTCTGAGTTGTAAGAGATCCAGGGAAGTATTACGAGGCGACGCTTCAAATTCGACTATTCAGTTACTCAAGACGAAAAGATCTTCGCCCGCGATTCGAACACAGTATTCTCCAGGCAAACCACATGTGCCCTTCCTGCCCGCAGGGAACACTGGATCTCAATCGCACCACGTTACTAGTAAGACTTCTATGCCGTCGCGTTCTCTTTCTCGGCAGTCCTTCGCGAACCGCCCGAATACACCAACCCGCGGAAGGAAGGGATTTGCCCCGGAGGCCCTTGCCCGAGAAGCTGCTGCTAAAAGGACGCTGATGCGCCCTGCCAAAAGACGCAATTTTGGCGATGGGAACGAATTGGACGCCTTTGACGATTTGCCGACTTCCGCCTCTGTAGAAGGTAGATATATCCGTCCTGCAGTTGGTAAAGGGGCACCAAAACTCGCACGCGGACCGCTTGGGAATAGCTCACCTGCGCCTCTTCGTAATCTTCAGGTGAAGAATATGACTCCAAGTTTTGCTCGAGAGACAACCGCTAGCCGTTTAGCACGAGAGTCGAGGACTGGCGTGTCGAATTCAAAGCCTGAAATCGGACACTCAATTGCTTCGCGTTTGCATGGATATCATCCGCCCATGGGACGAACTTTGACCAGCCCAAATTCTACAAAGTCTGAGAAAAGAGCAGCAGGCGCATCTTCAAAGTTGGGCCTGATCAAGGGCTTGGGAGATGGCACAATAAAACCAAAGTGTAAGCCTTACATTTAGAAACTGCTTGACTATTCTGTCTGGGTTCTAACGCAATACGTTTAGCGGAGAAGGGCATGCGTTATAATCCGACTATGTTTCGCTGGGAGGGAAACGACCTTGCTGTTGCAGGATTTGAGTCACCAGCTGTCTCGCCGGAGCTACCTTCAGAGGACATTACCAAGTCGAAGTCAAAGTTAGCTCTGATCACTAATATCTCTTCTAGTCAGTCTGTCAAAGCTGTTGGAGGTATGGTGTTCGACCCGCAACGAATGTGCTGGCTCAAAATTGGCCCTTCTACGAATCCCCTTTCTTCCTCTGCCGACGACGACGATGAAGACCCATTCGCTGGTCTGGATGACCTTGAGGAGAAGAAAGATGTGAATACCGGTGAAAATAAAAGCACCCTATCTGACGAATGGTTGGTGGGTGAGGAATTCGATGTAGGGCCGGCATTCGTCAAGCGCCAAAAAGACGAAGAAGCGAATTGGGCTCGCATTGTAGGACCATGGTTATCTGGCACGATCAGCTATAGTGAGGATGCACGTTGCCTGCTTCGGAGCATCAAGGGCTCGCTTGTAGAACCTGCGGGGTCTCTACTTGATCGCATTGCCATGGAACATTTTTGATGATGACACGAGTAATGATTTCTGCGACACTGATGACTTAACGACTTATAGTATTTTGCACATGATAATCGAAGTAATATGTCCATCAACGCGTGCTAACTAATAAGCCTTGCAAGAACATTATTGAGGTGATAAATTCATAAGACAGCTAAAGCCTTTCTGACTATTGAAATTGCTACCAAAATGCGTTGAATTGATGCGCTTAAGAAAAGACTCTGGGCACCCAAGAATACCATTGTATTTGTGTCACTGAACCTGGCTTTACTTGCCGAGACTGGGTTCCTTTCCGTTAGCGCAATATGACGTTGAGGACGGCGGACCAAATAGCCGTTGTTTATCACAGTATACATTTCCACCCAGAACTGATAGATTCCTCTGAGAGTCACAATTTCTATTCGCCTTTTAGTCAGAGACGGTAAAGGGTACAATACTGCCAAAAGTCTCGAAAATTCGACGCCTCCGAGGAATGGCTTCATAATTTTGATTGCATTTAACCCCTGAGTCTTTGTTTCCTTTATGCTCTTCCGTGGTTTGCAAAGTCCTGTGCGGCGCCCCCGAGCGCGCCTTACGCAGATGGCAGCTTATTTTTGCGCTGGTGGCATGCCTTCCCAAAATGCAGCAGCTGCCCTTCCAATTGATAATCTTCCAAAAAGCCATGTCTTTACCGATAAACTTCCTCCAGATCCAGCGTTTCCCGGACCGTCTGACTCTCACAAAGCGCCTCGGGAGACGCTGGGGCCGCGCCTCGTAAAGGGGGCGTTATATACCTATGTTCGTCCGGAATCTCAATATGAATCCGAGTTGTTAGCAGTTAGCAGTGCAGCCATGAGAGACATTGGACTTAAAGATAGCGAGGAGCAGTCAGAGAGGTTCAAGGCTGCTATGGCTGGCAATGTCATCTTTTGGAATGAGGCTACGAAAGAGGGGGTGTACCCCTGGGCCCAATGCTATGGAGGTAAAATCGGATATTTCCCTGCGAAAAAATTGGATTTAACTAACAATGGCACAGGCTGGCAATTGTACGTTCCATTAAATTTTTCACGGAGGTGAAATTAACGCGCAAATCAGTGGCTCATGGGCCGGTCAACTTGGGGACGGAGTGAGTACCACCGTCAAACTTTTGACTTGCCAGTGCTGATAGGAAACAGCGGGCAATATCACTCTTCGAATCTACAAATCCTAGTACCAACATTCGCTACGAGATCCAGCTCAAAGGTGCTGGTAGAACTCCATACTCTCGATTCGCAGACGGCAAGGCTGTCCTCCGTTCGAGCATTAGAGAGTTCATCGTCTCGGAAGGTAAGCTTTTGAATGAAGCGACTAACTCTCACGTCTTGCCTGCAGCTTTCCCCATAATTTCTACCATATTTACTAGCAACAGTTATAATGTCTATTCAATGGTGACTAATCTTTTGATTCAAAGCACTCAATGCGCTAAGGATCCCAACCACTCGCGCTCTCGCTCTGACCGCTCTCCCTCATTCAAGAGTCTTACGGGAGCGCATGGAGCCTGGTGCAATTGTTGCACGTTTCGCTCAAAGTTGGCTGAGAATTGGAACTTTTGACTTATTAGCCGCCCGCGGCGACCGTGACCTGATCCGAAGACTAGCTGATTATGCTGCCGAAGAAGTCTTTGGCGGCTGGGAAGCATTGCCAGGAAAAGAAATAGAAGACCAGAAAGAAAGGCTAGTGGGGCCAGTAGAAAACGGGCTACCAAAAGATAAGATTCAAGGTGCTGGAGAAACCGAAGAGAATCGGTACACGCGATTGTATAGGGAAATAGTCAGAAGAAATGCCAGAACAGTGGCGGCATGGCAAGCTTATGCCTTTACAAATGGTGTTTTGAACACCGATAACACCTCTATCTTGGGCCTTAGCATAGATTTTGGACCATTCGCCTTTCTGGACGATTTCGATCCCAATTACACTCCAAACCATGATGACCATCTGTTGAGGTATTCCTATAGAAACCAACCGACAATTATATGGTGGAACCTCGTCAGATTGGGGGAATCACTTGCAGAGCTCATAGGGGCTGGAGCCAAAGTTGATGACGCCCATTTCAAGGAGAAGGGCGTGACAGAAGACTTTCTTCCAGAGCTGGTTCGGCGTGCCGAGACCGTCATTGAAAAGATCGGGGAGGAGTATAAATCCGTCTTCCTGGAAGAATATAAACGCCTTATGACCGCTCGGCTTGGTCTGAAAACCACAAAGCAAGGGGATTTTGAGACACTCTATTCAGAGCTTTTGGACACCATGGAGGCACTTGAAATTGACTTCAACCAATTTTTTCGCAAGCTCTCCGGATTGAAATTTGCCCAATTAAATAATGAGAAAGAGAGAAAGAAAGTAGCGGAGATTTTCTTTCATCGTGAGGGCGTGACGGGAATCAACAACACCGAAGAAGCTGCAAGGGAGCGCATAAGCAACTGGCTTCAGATCTGGAAAAATCGAGTATTAGAGGATTGGGGTGAAGGCTTCGAGTTGGAACGCGAACAGGTTATGAAGGAAGTAAACCCAAAGGTTGAGCTCGCCCCCTCTATAATGTCACTGCCCCAAGCTGACCCAAAGTGACCAGTTCATCCCGAAGTCTTGGGTCTTGGATGAAGTTATTCGCCGCGTTGAAAAGGACAACGATAGAGCTGTACTTCAGCAGGTTCTGCACATGGCTTTACATCCCTTTCAAGAACGCTGGGAAGGAAATGACTCGGACCAAGAAAGGTTTTGTGGAGACGTACCCCGCCTTGGCAGAGCAATGCAATGTAGCTGCAGTTCTTAAACCCTGATTCAGCCGGCTGTTGCCTGTAATTGAGGCTAGAAATGGTTGCAGTAAATCTAGGAATGCTCGGGCTTTTGTTTGTCAAATCCCCTCGGGGTCCATAGAGGTGGCGGATAGCAAATCATTGAGCATTGGTGCTTATCTTCGTTGTTCGTAGGCGTACTCATAGAAGGTAAAGCCCGGGGCTCGAATTTTTTCAAGCTTGCGAGATGCAGCTGGCAGGCTCGTGCAAAGAACGACTGCGTTGCTCTTGAATGAAAACAATCTACGCTCCGGATTGCGCATTGTGAAAATCGCTGCTGTGATTAGTACGAGCTGCAATTTGCTTCAATTCAAAATCTTTTTTTGCGTCCGCAATGACATTTATCAAAGGAAGGTGCTTCAAGGCCGACATCGCTGCTCGGGTCCCTGCCACCCCTTTGCTATTCGCTTCTCCAGATCCCAAATGTTGCTTTTGCCAACCCCAACCCGTTAAGTAGACTCCTATATGATAGCTGGTCTTTCCTTCCTTCCGGTTGTGTTCTGCAGGTTTTTCTTCAATGTACTCAAGTTTCGTGCCCTTTCCCATAACCTTCTGGGCTAGCTCTTGCTTTGCATTGGGATTAACACTCGTGATGCCAGTAAAGAGAGGGAGTTTGGGTTCCCAAAGCTTAGCTAACCAAGCCTCAGCTTGTTCCAAGCCATGTTCTGGTGAAGATAATACAACAGCGGCCACATATGCTTCAAAGATATCTCCCATGAGTTTAGTCCAGGTCTTCGCTTGTGTGGATTGGATGTGCTTAGGAAACCGGGCTCGCGTGTCAAAACCGTAACCCATTGAATATTCCGCTAAAGTTTCATTCTTTACAAGAGTTTCGCGGAGCTGAGCCAATTGTCCAGCTGAAAGATCAGGGTATCGAAAATATAGCAGGCGAGATGCAATAATTTCCAAGTACGCATCGCCAAGAAATTCAAGGCGCTCATAGCTGTGCCTTGAAGAAGAACTATGCGTGGCATCAAGAGATCCCTGGTGCACAAAAGGCGTTTCCTGAAGACTTTCATCCATAATAGGCGGAAGAGCGGGGAGATTCTTGCTGAGAATACGAGAATTTGGAAGCAATTGTTGCTCTCCATGAGCCCCTTTGGTGGGAGGGATATCCAGTGCCGGGGTTTGCAGGCTCTGGGAAGTGTGTAATCTAGAATTAATGGCCGAGTATAATCGACTACATGCCTGTCGAATTACGTCTCCTCCAGAAGCGACGTGCTCAGTTATTGAGTCGTCAGATTCGCAAATAGAATCGACTATGCGGACAAGCTTCGATACCCGCTCTGGGCATGATTTGTACTGAATTTCCGGTTGAGACATCTTGATGTTTTTGGAACAACCGTGCTGAAGAGAAGTAAGTATACGAAGGCAAGGTTTAATTCGTCCCCCGAGTCTACTGACCTTTGTGTCGGATGAGCTCTTCTTGTAGTCTGATTCAAACGAATCGCCTTCGCTCTCGTCGTGGCGTCTTTTTTTGCCCATTTTATCAGTTATAGAATGTGAGAGAACCGATCAATCAAAATAATTGTTATCGCAGGCGCTCCGATGTTTACAGGTATTTTCCAGCTCCTTGCGTACCATGACCTAACGTGCCTTACCTTAGGTAAGTTACTCCGGTACCTAAGGTAGGTATCTGGGTACGATGGGTGTTTGGAACCGGAACTTGCCGCACCGCAAAGAGCCGACTGAGGCGGAATCGTAGGGGTTGATATCTTAATGGCCAGCGGCAATCTGGATTGTGCTCTATGCTCCTCGAATTCTGGTACTGGATTTACGAGATGGCTGCTCCACGGTCAAGAATTTTGGAATTGCTGCGAGTACGCATGTGCGCTCCTTTACTGTTTCGACCCGATTATTCTGACGGCGTATAGGCGCAATGCCGGATATTTTCCACGACATTCAATCCAGAAGGCATCCGGACCGGAAACAAAGTCTTGCGTCAGAGACTCCGTGGTGCAGCTGTTGCCGCATATTATCCTCGAAGAGTAGTTACTTTCAAGGATTTGCAGAAGAGCTATCCGGAATTTGAAATTTTTGACGATGTTCAGGACGACCGGATTGAACATCTTCAGATGTAAGTACCATTGGTTTCTTTTGCGACTTACTCTAACAAAGTTTTGCAGCCTGAAAGCGAAAGGAAAGGGTGCGCCAAAGAAGAAGAAGTCAGCGGAAGGTAATTGTCCCGAGCATAATGATGCGGAAAACTGCTAAATCGTCCTCTCTACGTACAGAATCGAAGAAATTCGCCAGCAAGAAAAAGCCAGCAGCTGCCCCGAAAGCAGTCAGTTTTTAAAAGGCACTATTATATAATTTATTTACGGAATCCGGCGTTCGATAATACTAGAGGCGAGAAACAAATGGTCATTAATTTATGATAACTTAGCACATATATTTCCTGAGTCATTGCTTAGCATGCTCTACAATCAAATCTGTGTCTAATAGCACGGCTCTAACCGCCTTAAAATTCTTAGTTCGATATCGATTCAGAAAGAGAACATTTGTTAGCAACCGATTTGCTTCATGGTATTTGATCCATGAACAAACCACTGGGGAAGCCATCCAATTACTGTGCTCATAATACTGACGAATACATCATCCATAAGACACTTGGGGTTGAGGCTCTCCTGGAGCCATGAAATTTGTTTGTGGGTTACCTGTTGCTTTGGCTGCGGAACAACGGGCCATAGTTGGTGAACTAGTAATGTCAGAGCAGCCCATCACCCTGTTGGATGAACATACCTTCGTGAGATAACATCAGTGAAATAAAAATTTTCAATAGCCTTCTTAAAAGCTTGGGAGGAGGATCTTAAGCCTTTGTTCTGGTCCACAAGCTGGGCCTTGCCGAGTGAACTGAGGGATACAGGTTCCACAATATCATATCGTCTAAAGATCGGCGAAATTTCCTCCATGCGGTCGCGGAGCGCTTCGACGTCGTCATAAGGGAGACCGACGCCCAAGTATTCACTTGCTGCTCGAATTATTTTCCAATCTTCCCGCGCAGCACCAGCAAGGGACGTAGCAGCTCGAGTCATCTGCACACGACCTTCTGTGTTGACATATGTTGCAGACTTTTCCGTATAGGCAGCGCCGGGTAAGATTACATTCGCAAGTTGTGCTCCACGGTCCCCATGATGGCCTTGATAAATGACGAATGCTTCCCGAGGAATCTCCTCTTCGCTGACCTCATCCGCACCAAGCAGCCAGATGAATTTGGATTGTGTAGCAGAGATGGCCGGAGACGGCGTCGTAAACCCGACCTCATAGGCTCCGGCCCGGGATGCTGCACGTTGCAGCACATTATACCCATTCCACTCCGGAGTCAAAAAATTCGCGCTATGTTTATCAACGAAACTCCCCACTGTTTCAAAGACAGCTTTGGCATCTGGATGCTCAACAGCGCCGCTCCCCACAATTATCATTGGCCGCTTTGCAGTCTGCAATTTTTTCCCAAATGATCCAGCGAGCGACTTCTTCAAAGACGACAGATCGCTGCCTAGGTGCTCATATTCAAATGTACTGTCGAAATCCTCTCCAATCAAGCCGACCTCAAGTTCGGATCTCAACCATTGTTTACGTATCCTAGCGTTGAGACCAGCAGCCTCGTGACGGGGATTGGTGCCGATAAGCAAAATAAAGTCCGCCTCTTCAACGCCCCATATTTTAGAATTGAAAAGATAGTTTGAACGTACATCAATACCATGCGCAACGGGTTGTGCTCCCTGCGGTTGATCGAGCGTAAGATTTTCCGAACCGAGTCGATTGGCGAGATCTTTCATGGCAACCAATGACTCGACTTCGGTCAAATGCCCCGCAATAGCCTGAAACTCATTTCCGCTCGGCGCTATATTCTGATAAGCTGCTGAAATCTCCATGAGAGCTTGCTCCCACGTCGCGGGTTGAAATTTGTTCTCCCGCCGAATAAGAGGGGTGGTAAGTCTTTGTGTCTTCAAACCATCACAAGCAAATCTAGATTTGTCATTGATCCATTCTTCATTGATATCATCGTTGAGTCTCGGCAATATCCTCATGACTTCCATTCCACGTGAATCGATTCGTATATTTGATCCCAAAGCGTCAAGTATATCAATCGACTCTGAATGTTGCAACTCCCACGGCCGTGCGCGGAATGCGTACGGCTTTGATGTCAAGGCTCCTACCGGGCACAAATCAATGACGTTACCCGACATTTCTGAATCGAGATTGCGCTCGAGGTAGGTCCCAATCTGTAAATCATTTCCTCGGCCTGTAGAACCGAGTTCGGGGGCTCCCGCAACATCGTTAGCAAAACGAACGCATCGCGTACAATGAATGCACCGATTCATTGAAGTCTAATTACATCAGCTCGAATCTTTTATGTATCCAGCCTCGTGGAAATCTTACCTTGATCAACGGTCCTATATTTTTATCCTCTACCCCACGTTTTCCGGAAATTTCATGGAAGCGGCCCCGGTCCGCTCCATAGCGCATAGACTGGTCTTGCAAATCGCATTCGCCGCCTTGGTCGCAAATTGCTGTTCTGCGTCAGCTTGATACCCTCCGGTAAAAAGGTAGAGCTCGTACGGCAGTCCAGGGGGTGATTCTGGAAAAAGTTAGTATGTGATACCAAAGCTTTTTGAAAGGTCTCATACAGCCAAAAGAAATTCCATCACTCCCTCTCGAGCTTTGTGTGTGAGCGGAGAATCTGTCTTGACGACCATGCCAGGCTGGACTGGCCACGCACAAGATGCGACTGGCTTTGGTGCTTTCTCAACTTCAACTAAGCACATTCGACCTAGAAAAATTAAAACAAGTCAATTGATGGGGTGGTTGTTGCAGACTGACAATTTCCAGCGATCATTAATTTTCTTTGTCATGTAGTGTTAGTATATTCCACTTATCTTAATGATCAACACCGACTCACTCATGATAGCAGTATCTAGAGCCTCAATTAGCATCAGCCTCCTAAATCTAATTGTATAACTTACCTAGGCACGACAACCCCGGCCTTCTCGCAGGCCTGGATAAGAGCAGATCCAGCTAGAGACTGTTTAGCAATACATACCTATATGTTTGTTCTTGATAAACGATCAGGTACCTTCAATAGAAACCTTTTTCCCATCTATATTGGTAAATTAGCGCCAGCACTGCAGACTTTCCCTTCTCTATGGTGACTTTGGCGATGCTGGTAAGGTTGATTGATTAAGGGCTAAGCCTGAAGCATGACCCACCTATCGTGAGCTCCACCTCCGCATTTTTGGGGTGCGAGGTGGCGAAAGCTCGTGCGGCGCGCTTCGACAGAGGCAGGCAGCGCCTCCTGCCTGCGCCAAGCAGCTGACATCTCAACATATCTTCGACGCAGTGATGGAAAGAGTCCTCAATCAAATTTTAGCAATGTTCTTGTTTTGACGGTGAGGTCGTTGAGCAGCACGACCAACTGCTGCGGAGAGTTAGTTCGGCCCGAGCGTTTGTTGAATGCTTTCCCCAGTTCTGGGGTATCCGGCTAAGGAAAGGGGCTGACTAAGGTAAATATGGGCTCACGCTGATTTGGCGTTGCCATACGGGTGTAAGCGAAAGTTTTAGCACTGATTGCCCAGAGGTATATTTACCCCTGTTTCGCTCAAAACTTTTTTCTCTTTTTTTTTTTTTTTTTCCACATACTCATCCACGGGCGCGATTATTGTAGGTTGGTCTGGCAGCTCCCTGCGAGCACCACCTCACCTTCCTCTGCTACGCGCCCAAGAGCACGGAAATATCTCCAGGGGCCGTTACTGGAGCCAACCAGAGCTCTCACAACTGTGAAGCTCCATGAGGTTTTAGTTCTTTACCGACGGTTCTACATCCACCCAATCCCACTCCTGGTCAGTAATCACCATTTACCGAACCAACACGGGACAATCTCCTTAAATATGCTGCCTATACTTTGAACGCAACTTTCTAGATATCAATACTATTACAAGGAATATAAATCTATGTTATTTGCCCCAACAAAACGCCGTGGCATGCCTTCACGCAACTGTAGTATCTGTCCAGGGCGCCGGGTCTGCCCTTGGTGCAATGGTATCTTCTGGTTTCCAGGTCTGCTCCTGCCTCGTACCTGGAGGCAACCAACTCGCAGCATTGCTCGAAGCCCGTGCTCGTCCCGGGCCAGCTCCATCCAGCTTCTTCCCATCTCCGTTGACACCAGAAAAAGCGTGTGGACTGCCAAAAAGCTGTCCTGAGGAAGTAGCTTGCCCTGATTCCATTGTTGGCTCACCATCTCTGCCTTTGCGGTCTTTGGTGAGCGGCAAAAGAGGACCCTCTACTCTTCGCTGAGTTGATTGCGCCCGGCGACGGCCCTTTGTCGCATCACTGGAGCGGTCATAAAGGTATAGCCCGATGAATGTGAGAGATATTCCAACAGCTTGTATAATAGTCGTCTTGTTGCCGAACCAGACTATTGCGACAACAATGACGAATATTCGCTTCACGAGACTTGCGACGGAATAAGTCACAGGGGACACAGCGGACAAAAGAACGAATGCTATGATGTTCTGTCCAAAATGAAACGTTCCGTTGAAGAAAAACTCGGCGGCGAGCCTGGATGGACCCAGAGCATCACTATTCTTGGATAATGCTAAAGCACCATCATGAAAGAAGTCCACCAGCAAGGAAAAGCCCTCGGTCCATAGCCATAATGGGAATGTTAGGACGAAAGCAAGGCCGGAAGAGTAACACAACAGGTTGAGCTTATCCAATTTTCTGCTCTTTTGTCTTTGGCCATCGGCCTCGGCCCTGGCCGCCTCATTGAAAAGCTTTTTGGAGAAAATATTTTGGGTCACGAATATGATCGCACCGCCAAATGCACATAGAACTCCTCCGAAGTTTCCAGAGAATTCGGCAGAACATGCTAACATTACTCCAAGCGTGAGGGGAAAGAGCGAAAGATACGTGGACGTAGCGTAGTGCACCTTGAAGAGAACCCTGTAAGCCAAGACTGTGAAGAGAGGAGAAAGCCCCTTTATAGTGTGCACCAATGATACGGGAATTTTCGATGTCGCATTCGCGCTTAGAATATGGCCCCCGACCTGAAAGGCTGCAAGAGGTAGCGTTGTCAGGATGACATCCTTGCTGGGATAACGGAGCCCATGGCGCAGCGCTGGAATTACGTTCCTCAAGCTCGGGTTTAGATGCGCGACATAAGCTAGGAAAACACACCATGACGAGACAAATCCGAATTGCACAAGCGTCAGGGTAATCGGCTGCGCGAATGCGTTCAGAATCGATTTCGAAGAAGTGTTCGTAAGCGCAGAACTAAGGTACCAAACGAGGCAGAGGAACTATATGTAGTCAGCAAGTTTTATTCCAAATTGTGCTCGATATTGCCTAAAGATATGTCCTACAATCAATCGAGGCGACACAGGGGCCTTGAGCGCATCCGCAATTTCGTGTGCGTTGGCGCTCACGCTGCCCCGCCGCGTGCGAATTGTTTTAAGGGCATCGCTCAGACTTTTCTGTCTGCCATGCCCGCCGACTGCTCGATGTCCCTCTTCGTTCCAGCGCATAAAATTGTCTTTGCGAGTTTGCCAGAGGTCCGCCTGTCCATCATTCTTGAAAGACTCTACGTCTGTGTCGGATGGGAATGAAGTCTGCTTAACATCTAATTGAGGGAAAGAAGAGAGCGTCTCAGAGGTGCCAACAGGTATAATTATATTATCGGAAGGCTGAAAGGCCAATGGTCTTTCCGAAGTTGAAGCGCGCTGTTCAATCGCGAGAGAGGTCATCGTCAGTCGCCCTTCTGAAGCAAAACGGAGGGTGATATTATATCGCTATGTATAATCCAGGTCGACGGAAGCCATGGAAACCAAGTGTTGGTAGAGTGCGCAATTTGTTTTTCTGGAATGTATAGTTTGTGGAAACGGTTCGAGCTGGAAATGCGGTGCTTGCCAACGGCAGTGATGGAGGTTGTTCGGTGTAGTCGGTGTAGTATTGTTGCATTCAGCAACAAATTATAGCAACAGAGTAAAGGACCGGCTACAATATTGGCTCTCAGTGCAATCGTATAACCCTGGTTTGTTGCTCCCCTATTTGAAATTCCTAGAGCGCAAGGTTATCTAATATTCAAAAACTTTTACACATCGCATCCGACCTCCCCTCGTTCCAAGGGGCCAAGGTATGGTAATCGCTTCCAGCCGGGTAACACCACAGACTCCGACCTACACTATCCTGGACGCCTTGAGAAGCTATGACATTGACCATTAGTTGGGTCATTTGATTCTCATGGAAGGAATATGACTGTACGAATAGTCAATGTTCTAGGAGCTGTTGGATTCCATGCGTAATTATGATATGCTTACAGCTGCTTATTACTTTTTTGTCTTGCTTTCATGCATGTTTTTGCAACGCTTCTATTGAACAGATACTACCACTTCCCCAATCAACTGATTTAAGTTTTTCAGCGGAATGGCAGGTCCTTGGACCGTTTCAGATAGGCACAAGAGGCAAGGAAACTGATGTGTTTGCGCTAGTCATAGAATCTGATTCGTATTGTTCACAGAAGCCTCCTGGGGCGCCGATCCTTTGGAGCTCTACGGAGGATTCCGCTCTCTATCTTACAAGAAGGAAAGGAAATTCCGCAGTTCGCTGGCATACAATGGCACAACAAGTTGGTTCAATTTCTCTGCAGTCTGTATCATTGACGATCCAATCAAATTGCGTGTCATTTCTCATATTGGATTCCCAAACGTGGACTGGATATTGCTACAAAATGTTTACGGTTGGGCGGCTCATCAGTATCAGGCATGGGCTCGCGGCACGCTGAATGTCCATTCACAAAGTCGGGAATTTGTTATTCTAAATATTCAGAATATTCTCGAGCTCTGGGTCGATGATGAACATTATTTCGGCGGGGATTATTACGGCTACGAACGAGCACCGATTGTTTTATCGCTCAATCCTGGTCCCCATCGGATTGACGTGCGATTAATTTATGACGTTCGGTTGATGGGCGGAATCAGCAACCCTACAATGACCCTAATTCTCGACGCCGAAATTTCTGCTGGTGACCTAGCCGTGGTGGCAGATCATCTTCTAGCACCAGATGTAGTTGACGATAAATTATCAAGCCATTTAGTTTCGGTTACTTTACGAAACGAAAGTCCATACTGGCTCACTGTTCAGTGTGTCGAATCTATGACCGTGGGTGCCTGAGAAGCTTTTCACAAGCAATTTTGTTTTGACTAATGTCCACAAGAGCTCACTGCAAATATCACTACGTGAAAGATCGCCCTTCCGACTGGCGCCGGGACAATCCAGACCTCTGGCATTTGAAATACATTTCAATGGGCCCCTCGAAAAGGATCTTTCTTTTCGAATAGCATATCTGAAAGGATCTGAACGGGCGATACTAAAGTCGTCGCCGATCACTCACAAGCTTTCTCATATTTCTCGGCTAGATCCTCATCGAATTACGTTCTCTCATCCCTCTGGGATAGTATCATATGCCATTGTTCGAGCACCGAACTATCAGTTGAACTGTTCACAGAGACGATCAGCGTCTTTACCACTCATACTCAGCTTACATGGAGCAGGGGTAGATATCGCGAAATCCGAGTTCTCTCACGTTTTTGACAATTTATCAGACATTTGCGCCTGGCTTGTGATGCCTTCAGGAGTCACCACTTGGAGCGGTGATGATTGGCGTAAGGACTGCCACGAAGGATCTAATTTTCGCTAACTGTGACCAGACGCCTGGGGATTGGCGGACGCTGAAGCCGCGATTGGTGCTTTGTCTTCTTGGATAGTTTCAGTTAGTTGGAACGGATCTGGGGTTGATGTCTCGAGATGGCTAGTTAATGGACATTCAAATGGAGGTGAGCTCCTCCAGGTATTGCAACCTCAAGGGCATAATATATCTGACCGCAGAAGGTCAAGGAACTTGGCATGTGCTGACACATCGACCCGACAATATTGTTGCTGCTGCACCACTATCGGGATATACGTCGATTGAAAGTAAGACACTCAATAGCATATTTAAGCATAACATGAGTAGATGATGACGGTCCCAGACTATGTACCATATCAATTTTGGCATGCTGCAGATCCCCGCCTTATGGCTTTGATCTCATCGGCTCTGAGCAGTTACAAACATGAGCGATTACTAGCAAATCTCAAGGGTATCCCGATCATGCAACAACATGGAGGCCAGGATGATAATGTGCCTGCCTATCATTCGCGACTTATGCGACAGCTTTTGGAAGAACACCGCTGGTTTTCATCTTACATCGAACTTTCGAGGGAGGGTCATTGGTTTGAAGGTATTATGACAACACCAGCTCTCAAAGAATTCTACCAACACTATCTTCACCCCTCGCACACCTCGCATCTTTCACCGGGTAACTTCTCCATAACTGTGGCTGATCCAGGAGACATGGGATCGAGGCACGGCTTCCGGGTTGAACAGTTGCAGACCATTGGGAAATTCGGTCATATTAAAGTTGATCTTCGTCTTGTCGATCAGCTTTTGATAATTCGCACAACCAATATTCGGCGTTTCCGATTTACTCCAAAAGGCTCCGGCCTCGAGGAAGCTGAATTTATTATTGACGATCAGAGCCTGCATATAAATACCGGTCTATGCGGAGATGGAGGGGATTCTTATCTTTGGTTTTTGAGAAAGGACAATAGTCCATGGACGGTATTGGTTCTATCCCATTCCGCTCGTATGATCTGCTGATTCCTTTAAGTTCTCTTGCTCCCCAAATTGGACGTCCAGAGAGAGGCGGCCCCGCCAAATGGGGGGGCTCCATGCCATTATGAGGGCAAGACAACGCTTCAGAATTAGTTCTCATAGCCCGACTACTTATAAGATTGGTTTGCAAATATCTCGTAATTTGTTCCAGTATTTTGGAGCGGACACGGAGTTGGGAGAGTTTGGTTTCGAAACCTGGACCGAGAATGGGAACTTGATTCGCGTGGCGATGGGTGTTGATAGGTTTCCTAAACTAAACACTTATCCATTAAGACTTAGAGAGGGGAAATACTTTTCGATACAGTTCGAAAAAAGAGAAATCATGTACCTCTTGGAGGAAGGCATGGGCGCTATATTCCTGTTGCCTTCAGGGAATGATACTCTCGAGCTCGTCATCTGGGGCTTCGACGAAGATGGTCTCCGCCGCGCCTCTCGTCTCTTCCCGACTCTGACCGGCGTCGGACAACCAGATTTCATCTTCTTGAGCAGGGAGTGCTCTTACAACGGCTTGGATGGCATCTTGGCTGCGGGTTTCTTTGGTAATGAGTGGGAAATATCAACTGAATCCTACTTTAAGTGAAGCTTAAAAAATTACGTTCGGGTTTGAGAATCCGATATTTCCTGGGTGGGAATAAAACTTGCGTTGGAAGGTATTCTTTCACTTTTCTTGGACTACCAAGTACACTTGAAGTGGTAGTGAATACAATTCCCTGGAGTGCCGTGTTAAGAACTGCTAAATGTCTCGGTTACGCGTTTTGGTTCAAGTAGGCAGCTCCTATATCATATTTACCAACCTATTGTCTTAAAATTGCTTTTGGAAGTCACGTCTGACAGTTGGGCGCGAGGACCCTTCCCAACTTGGCACTTCACCATTGCATCCAACACTTTGTCTCTACCACGTCTCGCACCCACAGTGTTTTGTTCGGCCTTGCTGAGAGCTCTGTTTTGATGCTGTTTCAATGTTTCACACTGCTCAAGTTTCTCTATTTGTGATTGCCATCCAAGCATCATAGCCCCGATACGCGTCTCATCTCCATCTTCTTGCCTACAAGTGAGCTGCTACCCAATAGCGTGTACGTCTCTTATTTTTCGGCTTAGTGCCTCGAGAATTGGTCGACAGGACAAAATGACGACGCTCCAATCCGCCGTCTCATCCCAAACTCGAGGGGCGAAGGCTCCTGCTCAATTCCATATTCACGACGAAAAAGAGCTCGATGAAGCTTCGAGCGTTCGATGCAGATCAGACAGTCTTGTAAGTGAATGGCCCTCCGTACATACCAGAGTCTAGCCTCAAAGTTAATTTCGTAACCTGACGTTCATCCAAGGCTACTAAAAGAAGCAATGAGGCCGTGGGCGATGGGACAATACCGTTGACCACATCAAAGCTGCTTAATCAACAAGCACAACCATGTATTCGTTCAGAAGTTTCTAAGGTTAATTTTGATCAATAAAATGTACGATAAACAAGTGCTAACAGTGTCAGAAGCAGAAGACAAATCATACACAGGCCCAGTCTCCAGTCAAGTTGCAGCAGGCTAAGGTTGAGCAACTGCTTACAAGGCTGTCTGAACAACAGCAGCTTATTCAAAAGCAGAAACAAGCTCTAACATCAAAGGACCGCAGCAACAACCCGCTGCATTCTCACGACGGAGGATCCTCCTATGGGTCTGTTACAATCACTCCGGCCGCAAATACTTTTGCTGAAAATCACGTTCCCCCAACCACGAATTCTGAGCATCCTCAACCGGTTGATGCTGTGGAATTTCTTCGTCTGAAACAAGAGCTCCTGATTGCCAAAAACAGAATTGCGAAGATGGATCAAGAGCTGTCTCAGACCCGCATTACAAAACATACCCTGGAACAAGCTATGGGTTCGTCTTTAGACGTGGACGTCCAGCTCAAAGGAGAAGGAACAGAATATACACTCAACAAATTACGCTCCGCCTTCAATGCTTCTACAAAACCTTCTGGAGGGACGCACAACATGTGGACATTTCCCGACGACAGCCATTCAGATGCCAGTGAATCTTTATCCGCTGAATTACACAACAATGCTCAGAAAGCATGGGCGAATCCCCACAAGAACGCATGTGTCTTTGCGATTTCCCCAACCTCCGAGGCACGCCATGCCAATCCGTTACTAAAATGGAGCCAAGACTCTGTTCAAAGCTGGGCAAACCAAGCAGAATCAGTGTCAACATCAGTACAAGCCCTAAGTACTGCCGAGCAGCATCAACGACAATTGCCTGATCCATATATAAACGCCTATAACGCTGATAATCGCCTCATGACTAGTCGAAATCAATACTGGCAAGATCACATTCGCCAAAGTCAGAGTCAATATGGCCGAGCAAACTTCTCATTGCCACAACGTCATACTGATTGGGCTGCTTATCACATTGGAGCTAACAATGATGGAATCAGCCCTCCTTGTACGCCATATCAGCCTGGAAGTATGTATCAAGCTCATGTTGCGTACCAGCAAAGGCCAATCGGTACACCATTGTCGCCTACAGCTCCTGACTTCAACGCATCTCACATTCAATCCAGTTCATGGAATGCACAGGTAAGGAGCCCCGAAATTTTTGGACACGTCCTAGCGTTATTGACAAGAGCATAGACACCTTCCTCACCTGGTCAGACCTATGTCGCGCCGTTGGAACCCCTGAACTACCGTCGGCTCCTCGACCGCAATGTCATCTGCAATTGGAAATATATTGTTGACAAAATTGTGTGCAACAACGATCAACAGGCCTCAATTTTCTTACAGCAGAAACTTAAGATTGGCACTGTTGATCAAAGATTCGAAATAGTAGAGGCCATAATTGCACAAGCTTATCCTTTGATGATAAATAGATTCGGAAATTTTCTTGTGCAACGCTGCTTCGAGCATGGAACTCCAGAACAGGTTATTGCAATCGCGAACGCAATTCGAGGCAACACCCTCAATTTGAGCATGGACGCCTTCGGTTGCCATGTGGTTCAGAAGGCCTTCGACTGTGTCCCAGAAGAATACAAAGCGATCATGGTTCATGAACTCCTTCGTCGGATCCCGGAGACCGTGATTCATCGTTACGCCTGTCACGTCTGGCAGAAATTGTTCGAGCTTCGTTGGAGCGGACCGCCTCCTCAGATTATGAAGCATGTCAATGAAGCTTTGCGTGGCATGTGGCATGAGGTTGCTCTCGGAGAGACAGGTAGCCTAGTGGTCCAGAATATTTTTGAAAATTGCCTAGAAGAAGATAAGGTATGGATAAGTCCAAGTTGACACTATGGATATACTGACGAGGATAGCGACCATGTATCAACGAGGTACTGGCAAATATTGATATAGTGGCTCACGGACAGTTTGGAAATTGGTGTATTCAACATATCTGCGAGCATGGATCACCGGCGGACCGCAACTGCGCGATCGAGCATGTCCTATGCTACGTTACTGAATACAGCATGGATCAGTTTGCTTCAAAGGTAGTGGAAAAGTGCCTTAAAATTGGGGGACCTGATTTTTTGGAACGCTACCTCCAACGTGTATGCGAGGGTCGCCCTGAGCGTCCTCGCATCCCATTAGTCGACAGTGGGTCCATTCTGGCCAGGAGACGTGGTCAAACATTCACTAACAACATTGCGCAGTAGCAAGTGACCAGTACGGAAATTATCTGATACAGTACATCTTGACCCATGCGAATCCACAGCATCGCGAGGTTGTAGCCACACATATCCGGTATGGTTTCTATTTATTGAATTGTGGAACCGGAAAGGTCGCTAACGATCTTACAGAAAGCATATGGTTTCTCTGCGTGGTTCCAAATTTGGATCTCGAGTCGGAATGCTTTGTTGCAATCCCGCTTTCGCAACAAGACCCGGCCCAGCCGGATCTCAAACTAACAGATATGGGCATTTCAATCGTTTAGGTGGGGCTTATCGTTGAAACAGCTGGTAATATTAATATCAAGCGCGCTCATGTTGCCAAAATGTTTTGGTCCTTGCTATTAGGGGTGGTGCTGAAACCTGTTCCTGATCATCGATAAGCCGGGAGCTTTTTTCCGCCCTGCGCCTGACATGCTCAGCTCTTGAGCCCGAGTCCAAGCGATATATCTTGCTTTCGTTGCTGCGTTATCGAGATTTCATTTGTGGTAATTCTCATGAATTCTCTTTTCATAATACCTATTGGCATCCACCACACTTTGTCTTTGCCGCACGAGTATGGACTGAATTTATTTTAGGGTCAGCTCTCCCGTTCATGTGTGGAACAAGGAAGAGGATTGAACTAATTTTTACGCATGAGAGGCTGCTTCCTTATGCTCTTGGAAAAGGGAGATTCGGACCTTAGCCATTGCACTCATTTCTGCTTGATCGTCACCTGTCGTTTCTAGTGTATTTCCTGAAAATTTCCTGTAATAGGTCTCCATGCTCGTCTTCTCTCTTTTATATGGACGGACTAGGTTGCCATCCTTTTTATTAGTAGTTAATGCAGTTATCTGGACTTCAGGAAACTCCGATCTTTATCGATTCCGTGTGGCGAAGATCCTTCCCTAGGTTGATTCAACGTGGAGAGCTATGCTGCGGAGTTCGATATGAAGACGTAGAATGGAGAATTTCGGTTTTTTTTTTTTTTTTTTTTTTATTTTTGGCAGCAAACGCGGCAACCCATCATCTGCAATTTGACATCGCGTTTGTCTCACTAGCACCCAGGCAATACAACGCCCCACACAGCAGGATACATTATGCAGTAGAGCTCACATGGTCATAATATGAGGGGGAAAATATAAATCCAATTGACAGTGAATGTTCATTTTTCCCATGGTTTCTTTCGCGGGACAGCCTTGCTCCGAGATTCTTGCCCTTCCAAAACAGTATCCGGTATCTCCTGGATGCCTGGAATCGGCCTGCCATTTGTAATAAGCTCAACTATCTGCTCGAATGAGCGAGGATATGGTGCAGGTGGGCAATGAGATGGGACAGTTGTGGATGAAGCCGAGCTTATAGGACTCTGCGAAGCTTTGCTATTAGAAGGCTGAATACTACTATCCCCCGCGGATGGTAAAGTGCGTAAGTTTAGCCACGATTTATATTCATCGTAATCCACTGCCATGTTATTTTTTCTAAGTAAAGCACATTAATAAATCAAGTTAGATAGTATATTAAGAAACCAAGCTGGTTCAAACGCACCGTGAAAAATAAAAACATTTCGCGCGGATCTCTAACTCTCGAGCTTGATCCGGTGATGGATTCTGCCCAAGGATCGCCAGAAGACCGCTTTGAAATTCTGCATCATTTCCCCAAGGATAGCATTCCAATTGCTCAAATATACGATAATTTTCAGATACGACGCTTTCTGAAGACATGATAAATGGATGACGATAGAATATAATTCGCAGCAAAATTCACATGATGTTTGCCTTGTTAGCCAGCGCTATGCAATGGATTTATAATTAAGGACAGCCCACGTGATAAAACAATTCGCCTAGCCGTGTAACTAGGTAGTAAATCACGCTGAATAACTATGGAGTATTTGCTACAGCGAGGACAAACCACCATAACGAGGAACTTATCCAGTCAATTTTTTGGCCTACCTTGTTGTAAATATTCTCCATTTCCCAACATTCTTCATCACACTTACATACATCGCTTACTCATTGCGAAATTTGATAATTTCGGCTGTCTCTTCAGGATTTTTTGAGTCCAGATGCTCCCGAATGGAGCGCAATTATAAGCTTTCTTCCCTATATCGATTTCAGAATTTGTTCTAGAAGCATGTAACATTGCAAGCAACATAAAATCAATTTATGGTCAAAGGTAATGTAGGCTTATTGGGAGATTTCAGATCATCGCATCTATGTCATTCAGTTTTTTGATATAAAACGCACAAGCGTGTTCTTTTATCTACAAAGTACATGAGAATTAAACGATCATGCGCCTCGATATGATTTCGCACAAGATAGGAAAAGAGAATCGCAAGAGAAAAGCTGTGCACAATGCCATTGAAAGAAAAGAAACCATGAGAGAGATATCATGTAAAGTTTCCGATCCCGCAGGCGACGCCACAGTATCAGAGTGAATATGATGCGCCGACCTTAAATATTATGAGAAGCCTTGCAAGGCAAGAACACCGAATAAATATCACTCTCAGGGTCGACAAAGCCTAATGAAGAGCACACAGGAAGGTAAATGTGAATGTGAGAGTACCCGATGATGGCAGCGCTTCAGAATCGTCAAAATGCCCGATCGAACCACCGAAATGACCCTTGACCAGTGGGTAAAGATCGGTTCGAATTTAAAATTGCAATAGGGACATCCTTTCAACCTAGACGGGCTCACTAAGCATGAGCGGACAGGGAAAGCAGTTGGACTGATATAAAAAATGGCTCAACTTTGACAAGCCTCAAGGCAGATTGCCTGGAATCTCATCATCCCACAGTGGACTTGAGGTCACGGGCCCGTCGAGCCAAAGGCGGGATCATCCTCAAGGCAGGGTCATGCGGATTCGTCTCAGCGATACGCATGTAGAGTCCTTCGAGCCGTTGACTCAAAACATCCATTATTTTCGGAGCTACCTCAAGAATATCGGGATCCTTGAAAGGAGGAATATGTAAGCATTGCAGACTTATTTCACATGGGGTCCACAAACTCACTCGAGTATCAAGCGTAGCGAAAATAGTTTCTAGCCAGTGAAACCTTTCCAACAAATTATCATTCAGAGAAGATGTTACCGCGGCTGAAACTGACAGCGTAACCAGAGGCGACAAGGAACGCATGTATTCAGGGTTGCAACGAACGAAGAAGCGATCAAAGAGCTCAGCCTGGTGAGAAGATTGCAGCCACTTATGCCTATTAGTATCTGCGTCTGGAAGAAAAACAAAAAGGGCTTACTTGAATAGTACCCTCCTCAAAATTTCCTTCTCTCATGAGTGAAGCAATGGTTTCAAGCTCTTGTTGCTCTTCGCTCTTTTCTTCGTACTCCTCCGCCTGGGAAGAGCTCGGGTGACGATGTTCAACTGATGCAGTTCTGGCCGTCGACTCGTCGTGGTTTTGTACCAAGCTTCGCTGCAACTTCAGGATTTCACTCTGAAAGTCTGACTGCGCCGTTGCCATGGTATGTACTGTCTCTGAGAGACCCCGAACAAGGTTTGTTAGTTGATCGATCTTCAGGCTGTCATTATGGCGTTGTATATCCGACTTTCGAATTTGTTCCCCAACCCGTCTCTCAACATCTCCGGCCATTTTCTGTGCTGTAGAAATAGCAAGACTTTTAAATGCCGGAGTAATTGTATTGTGGAGCACTGACGTGAACTCGCTTTCAACTTGAGAGGCTATCCTGCCGGCAACCAGATCCGAAATGGCCCGTAGTACTTCAGGCCCTTGTAGCGCTTTAGCAATGGCATCGGGAAGGGCCCGTCTCAATTCAAGAGGGATTGATTGGTGGAGATTTTGTGTAAGTCCATCTGAAAGTCTGCGATCCAAAGTCACCGCTGCAGTGTCCGCCACCGAAGGTAGAACAACCTGTTCAATGCTTGTTCCAATCATTCGAGCCAGATTCTTCTCGACATTCTCCGAGAGTGTACTGGATACCAGACGCAACACCGCATCGTGCTTCGCAGCTGACGCAGCATCCAATGCTCGCTTGTCCGCATCAAAACGGCGGTAGATCTCATCCAACTCCCTTCCTAGAACGCGTCCAAATTCAGCTGACACACCCTTTTCAATTTTCACAAGTTCTTTGTTGAGCCATTCTCCCGATATGCCAAGATTGATAGACTCTTCAGCAGCCACAGGTCGACTGGAGATGTTTGGCGTAGGACTACCAATCGTTTCCGATGCATTTTTTGCATTCATCTTGGAGGCATCTGCCGGTGCCATGAACGAATTCAATGACGGCTCAGTTGAAGGCGTTGTATTTTCTCCATTAGTAACTGCAGAGCTCGGTTGATCGACTCCACGTGCGATGGCTTCCGCCCGCTTCTTCTTCCGTTTCTCGCCCTTGTCACCGCCGCCGATGTCTCTGTTGCCGTTCATTGTAGCGGCTCGTGCAGCATCTTGTTTGCTCTCAACTCTCGCCAGAGTGGATGCAATCACGGTGGCTTCGGATGTCAAAGGGGTGGTGGGCCGAGGACTTAGAGGCGCCTCCTTCTTGACAATCTCTTTCGGAAGGCCCTTCGAGCCAGCTGGCGCAGTACGCAAAGTTGAAGGTACAGCAGGGCCCTCAGAGACTGTTGATGGCGCCTCGTTTGAAACAACCGGAGGCAGGTCTCGAAGATCTTTCACCGAAATAACGCCCTCGATTTCGGCATCCACAGGACGAAGTACCTTATTCTCTTTGCTCCATCCAAGGTCCTCTCTTTTGATGTTAAGGCAGGTGACACCTTTGGAATGCATGGCATAGAGCTCAAACAAGACGGGATCTTCTCTGTCTGATACGTCCAAGGATATTGCAGGCGTAGGTAGCATATCAACACTTCGAAGTTGTCCCTTGGAGTCAAAAGACACCTCCCTCAGACCGCTCATAATTGCCGTGGCGTCCGGCTTAGGGATAGAGTCATCGCTTGTAGCAAGCTTCTGAATGTATTTTGCCTGGCTCATAGCAGGGAGGTTGTACTTTGGGGCTGAGAGGTGGACGAAGAAGATCGAATTACGTGTGGGATGTCCGACGACGATGATCCCAGAATTCGGGTGATAAGACACGCTACAGATAGCATCTGATTCGTTCTCGTGAGGAAAGTTCAATTCCTGGACTGCCTTCCCAAGAGCTAAATCCCACAATTGGAATGTATGATTCTGCTTCATGCCAACTAGCAGGTATCGCAATGCTATGCCCTTGGTATAAGGTCGATATTTGTCCACGAAAAGAACAGACGTTGGCCAAGATTTTTCCGAAGGTGCAATGGTGAAAAGCGTCATCAGTGGAACCTTGACTTCAATAGGTGCGATCTTCGTCTGAGTTCCGTTAATTGGGTCCACAAGTGGGCGGATATCCCAAAACCGGAGGCGGCCAGCTTTGTCTAGAGAGACGATCAGGGTGTCATCCTCGCTAAAAGTAAAATCTTTGCCGGCTTTGCCTGTAGTAATCTTCAAACAACGCTCATTGAAATATTTCTCACTGTCCACAATCCTGCTCTTGCCCTTGACAAGATATTTGGAGGAGCCCGCAACAAGCGGCCAAACCACGTGAATAGATCGTCCTCGCCCAATGGCAAAATATTCGGGATGACGCGAGCTCTTCTTCGCCCTGGTCTTTAGCTGGCCACCAGATGTATTATCGTCATGAGCCGGCATTGGGGGGAGAACAAGTCCCTTGCTGCCAACATCATCGTCCTCAAAGATATCTTCAGAAGGGTTTAGCAAGGTAGTCCAGTACACAGAGCCGCTGACTCCCGTTGCAAGAACAGCCTCTGTGCCCGCTGCTGGGGAGCCAGGTGGAGCTGTTGAGAGGGTGACAGAAAAGATTCGGTCTTGTGTTGTACGGAAGATCTGCTTGTCTTTGCCATCGTCCTGTCGAATGATTCGAAGGCCGCCGCTTTTTGACATGGCGTAGACTATAAAATTGTTGGTCGAAGTAGCCAGTGTTCGATCGACCTGGTCAAACTCTTTCTTTAAACGCGCAATATCCATGACGGAATCCTGGCGCAACTGCAAGGCTTGCTGGTGACTCGATTTGATAGTGATAGAGACAAAAGGTCTCATGGGGAAGTTGTACACGGTAACGATCCGCTTCTGTCCTTCTTCCGCAGTGCTTTCCCCACCATCGGCACTCTCCCAGCTATCAGCCACATTACCATGAGCGAGATCCTCGATAACGTCCTTGACAGCTTCAGCGACCGGGGCTGGCATGGCCTCTTCCAGCGCACCATTGTTATCTTCTTTCTCCAGCTCTTGCTTGACATCAGCGGCAAGATCGTGCAGCTCGTCCTCTAATTCCGGTTCGTCAGATGCTTTCAAGTCTGTACTGCTCTCTGGTTTGAGAGTTTCATTGTCATTGGCTTCTTGTTCCTGCTCTGCTTTCAGCAGAGCTTCCTCGACCTGCTGGTCAATTTGTCCCTCAACCTCGCTCAAAGCGCCCGCTACAGACGCTGCATTTCGAGTATCGGCTCCAATCCCCATCAAAGCCTCTAATTTACTTCGTCCATCTGGAAGAAGAGAAGGCGCTGGCGAAGCAACGGAGGCTGGAGCTTCATCAACATTCGTCGCCTTCTCGACGGACGGTTCTGAGGGCCCGCTAGAAATCTCGTTGTTTTTCCGCTTGTTATCGTCTCCATTCACCGCAATGACAGCGTCGTCGCGAATTGGCTTTTGAATACCGATCGCCGGGGTGCCAGCTCCGGACCTGGGCTGGTCCATCTTTGGCGTGCGATTGCGTGGCGAAGAAGCAGCAAGCTGTTCAAATGGATTGACATAGGTGAACAGAGACGAGGTCCTTTTCGAGCCTGGTTCAATTTCTGAAGTCGACGGCTGGGGAAAGCTGCTGTCTTCCCCAAAGATTCGCAGGGGAGGATTCTTTAGCTTAGGAGAGTTCGGCTCCTCTGCAGCCTGCGGCGACGTCGTTCTAGGGGCGGCATTGGCAATGTTCGCAGCAAGCCTATTGACTGCTCCTTCAGGAGGTTCATTCTCCAATGATTTGATCGACGATGTTTCTTTCCGTAGAGGAGGGGCGGACTCTTGCTGCGCTGGCTTGGGACGATTGAGCAACTTGAGTAGAAAGTCTTGGGGATTGTCTGGCTGTTTGGAAGGCTCCGCAGCAGTCTGAGGCTTCGGCAGCAATTGGGGCATTCCTTCAGGATTTTGAGTGTCAGGAGGTCCCGATTTAGACATGAATGAAGCCACAAGATCGGATGCGGAGATTTCTCTCCCATGCTGAGGTCGACCACTGGCATGTTGGATGGACGCCCTCCGATCCACCTGCGTATGAGGATAAGCAATTGAGCCAGGTTCCTGTCCACCAGATGATGGCTGATTAAACTTGAGCAAGTTCAGCAAACTCGCAGTTCGATCAGCGTTTGACTGGCCAGGGGGGAATCCATGGCTTTCAACAACCGGGGAAGGGAGATTTGGGCTTAAAATGGCTGAATGGTGTCGCGGCTGAGGATACTGAGGATGCGGAGAGACTATCGGAGACGATGCAGTCGGAGCATGATAGCCATGAGATAGAGTGGAGTGCTGTGGCAACTGCTGCGATGAAAATCCGCCGTGAGCATACGGATCAGCTTGAGGCAGCGTCGCTGAAACGCCACGAGAAGCATTTTGCTGTTGCTGATTCGCCCGCAATTGAGCGAACAGAGACTGAATCGTATTGTTTCCAGCCGTATCAAAGCCGCCAGGATCTGCCATTATGAGAGAGCTTGCTCAACTTGGCAGAAGACAGTAGAGCAAGGTCACCCAGTTCATAGAGCTGCCAACGGCAAAAAGCCTAAGGCCAAAAGCTCTGATTTTGAAAAGCAAATGAGAAGAGATATTCAGCAAGCTGAGACGGGGGGTAGGAGGTTTAGCAGAAAGGATGGAAGATGGAAATCGGGGGAACGATGAAGTTGCAAAATTGCAGACCCGATGAGTTGTGAGATGAATGACGCCCACAGAGGTTTGAGTGGGAGTTTAGCTCAGCACCACGCACACAACAACCTCACGCTAAAACGTTTAACCGCAGAAGCTTCGCTGGCACCAGCCGACGACCGTATTTCCAAGCACTTGTAATTACGGCGCTCTATACGAATCTCTATCGCAACCAAGCAAGGTTGTCGTTCGATCCATTGAAAGGCGCCGTGACAGCTCCTACTGACCTTACCTAGATGGACCGTTACGGTTGTCTTCTGCAGCGAAGGAATGTGCAGTAAATTGGCCTGAAAATATTATTGGACTCTTCTCGAGCTTTGAGGAGTACCGGAATTTAATAGGTCCACAGGGACCGAATTCACCTGCTCGCCGCCAGTACCACCCGGTGAATCCATCCTCTCCACGACTTTCACACTGCAACCAAGCGCAGTGGCAGTTCGATAATCCAAACGCGCTTGGAAGAAAAATATCTGATCTTACCATAATGTTTTGCCTTCGGAGGTGAGTGCCTTTGAAACAGATTACGCACTGATAGTGACATTATCTAACTTGTAAGATAGCTGGTTGCCCGTTCTATTCATACCGACCAATGCGTCTCCGGCTTTCATATTTATGTTCTTCGTCTCCACTTATTTCCTGAATCGACCCTGCGTATACTGTTCTCTTCTTCTACTCATGTTATTCGTATCTTCATGCTACTGGTCGGACCACTGCTTTCTGGATCTTCGCAGTAATTGGTTTGAACCTCGCCATTTCTCCTCGCCACTCCCTGCTTCAATGCCCATGTTCGCAAACGATTCCTTAAATGCGTCAAATATGACAATGAGTCAAGCATCTTTCCTCGCACAGGCGATCAACGAAACGGCCTCTTCTCTTACCGGAGCAGCCGTCGAAGGAGTGAAGAAGCGCGTGGAGCTTGACCCGCAATGGACAGGCCTTGGGGTCGAATGGATGAGACGTTTACTTGGCAGACGGGAATGGAATATTCCCTGTGTCGACGTCATTATAAGGCTATGACAATGGCGATCTCGAAAGAGACGACCCCTTTCTTTCTACTTGCTTTGTTCGAGGATTCTGGGTTAGGACATGAGCCATGTCTCAAACATCTTTTGCATTTGCGGTGTTTTGCGTGTTAAGATTCTCCCATCGTGGGTATCGATAAGTGTTTTTTGTACAGCAATACCAGATTAATACGCGTGATTTTACATGTCATGGCGGGGCAGATTCCAGTGTAAGATTTTTGTTAGCGGTTCTAGATATTATTTGAAAAGGTAAATTTTGTAACCATTCTTCATAATGATCTCTTCTACAAATATCAACTTCTACTGCTTCCCAAGAGTATTTTCAGGTCTGTTCTTGTCCAATCAAGCCGCCAAGTAGACAACAACTATTCTGATTTTCCAGGTGCCGCCAGATAGGTGGTCAGCTTAAAAGCATAAGACTATGTTATTTCGAGTTTTCTAGCACTGTGTTGCCGATTGAGCCAGTTCACATCGCATTCACAGACTCTATACATTTGGGCTGTTACTTGTTGTTCACATGTACGGCTAGCTCCATTCACAACTCGATTTCTATTTTAATTTTGAAAGCTATATATTCAAAGACATGATGCTAACTATTGACTTGAAAATGGGAGAGTTCGGCGTAATAGTTCGATTGATGTCTTCGGTCAAAAATCTCCAATGGAGGAATCGCTGAATGGGGTCTGAGTTGTATCATTATTTCACCAACTTTCGGATGGAACCAACGAACGAATTCGCCTCGGCTCCGATGATGTAGCGGCCGTATCGGCAAGCGTTAAGACTTCCGAGGGTCTTGCATAACCAAGCTCAAAATCAGTATATCGACGGTGCCTCAAATGGGCCGTTCAAGCTTGATGTTGAGGTATAACTCTTTTGAAAGCTCTCAGTCAGGCGCTGAGAAGCATGTCAGATTCTGTTGGTACGTAATCCAAATGATCGTGGCTGTCGCGCATATATATTCTATCGCCATCTATTGGCAATACAGTCTGATAACTGAATGGTTGTTCCTGCGTCAGACCGAGTATTCGTCCATGCACTTAGCACGGTCAAGAAGATTCCCCGCACGGGGTCCGCGCGACCGCCGCCTGCGGAGCGTTTAAAACTATATGGCTTGTACAAGCAGAGTATGGGTAGGTGAGATCTCGAAGCGCAATGCTCTGGTTTCCTCGTTGAGTTCAATGGCGCGAAATATTGACATGACTTGTTTGAAAATTTAGAAGGAAATGTCGTTGGGATAATGGATAGACCTGCTGGCGATAATGACGAGGAACGCGCAGAGCGGGCCAAATGGTATGGCTGAGTCGGACCTCGAACGAGCAACATGCCCAGTCCTAACCCAACTCCCAGGGATGCCTGGAATCAACAGCATGGACTCTCAAAGACGGAAGCCAAGCGGCGTTACATTTCTACTTTGATTGATGCTATGCATAAATATGCTTCATCTACATCGTATGTCTCTGATCGAATGAAACCTAAGGGGAGAACTTTCTGTCGTTCTCCGAAGAAATTCTTTAAATGCATATGTAACTGACATTGCCTACAGAGAAGCCCGGGAACTTGTATCAGAGCTGGAATTCGTTTGGGACCAAATCAAATCGAATGCGCCGTCTTCATCTTCATCACCACCTCTACAAACGAATGACGTTCCAGTCGCACAGAGCTTGAGCGGACAGGAAAAGAGTGGCTTGAAGATTCTCAACCCTGTCTCACCTGGCGATGACGAAGGACATGAGCTCCGAGAATATGTGGAGGCCAAAACCGTTGATATCAGCGACATAGACAGCGACGAATATGAAAATGTCACAGAAAGGGACGAAAGCGGCTCTTTTGCTCGACGAAAATTCACTGACGAAATGCGCAGACCCCACCGGGACTGGAGAAGGCAAGTGGAGCAAGCGCTGGTTAAAATTACGGCAGAGATTGCAGCACTGCGCGAACAGATCGAGTCTTCTCATCGCCGCAGCGTCAAGAAGCGTCCCCCGCTTGTAGCCTTCGTTCTATGGGCCATGGGCACATCTATCCGTCATCTTTTGATAGATACGATCATTGTAGGTGTATTATTCCTATGGATGCGACGGCGAAAAGATCCAAGGCTAGAAGATGCCCTAAAAGTTATATTCAATGTGCTCCGAGAATATGCGAGGCGATTGAGGTATAGAAAACGGCGTTGATGATCGTACCATAGAACCCTGTATATATGTGTGAAATAATATCCTACTATATATATTTCCCACTCTCTATATAAACCATTTTTGCTAAGACAGGTGGCCAGTGGCATTGAGAAAAGCCATGTTTGATCCTATGGAAGGCGTGAAGTTTTCATATTTCTTGGATACATTCCAAAACAATGTTTATTTATGGGTAGACCTATAATTTCAGGCATGTATGAACCATAAAATCGCCCATTGACTCTAACGCTCAATTCGAAGCTTCAAAGTATACCTATAATTACACTTTACCAGCGCATTGTTGCCTAGACAATTGCGTTGTTAATCGGGCCAATGGTGATTTATCGAATCCTATAAACATCCTGGGCTTCAAACCCAAACAACAAGATTTGCCGCTCAATGAAAGGGTTCTCGCTACGACTTCATATCCATCCGGAATTGTAGTACTCTAGGAAGATCTCTCCAAGCACTTTATACCTTCTCCATTATCAACATGGGTGAAATTGAAGATGAAAACGTGAGGCTGACTTTCACTCCTAATCCGTTTCTTCGTCAAGCAGTTTTCTGACGCGGTTAGTTGACCATACAACGGGCCATTTGTACTTCTATTCCCACGTAAGTGATTCATTTTCGAATTCTATAACAAATACATTATGCGTGACAACTTTCCACATGGGAATGTCTAATCTCCCTCATCCAAAACACTGAGCCTGGATCAAGTTGTTATATTTAATTTTGAATGAGCGTTTGTCCCTCTTGTTTTCTCAGATTGTCCGCTTTCGCCCAAAAAACCAGCTCTATTTAGCATGTGCTGTTTTCTGCGGAATTATCCAAATGAATAATAAATACTGATTGCGCTGACATTCATGGCCACACGGTCATCACCAGAGACATACACCGCCCAGAGAATGGAACTAGCGTTGCAAAGCTCGATGCGCTGATGCGCAACATTGAACAACACGATGCATCAATTCGGTTGGTTTAGAATTTACATTGTTTACCGTTCAAACTTTCGCATCGTTTAAGTCCTATATATTATTTTTCATATTCTTTTATTCTCTAGACCAGTCTGCGGCTCACAGTTCAAAGCACTGTTTCAATATGGGACACTAGAGCTGAATCAACATAAATAGTCGCAACATCCTAGGCCTCGGCCACGAGTCTAACAGAGCCCAGAGCTCAGAAATAGAGAGCCATTTTCCAGGTCAAAACGAACGAGACCATTCAAATGCGTCCGTTGAGGAGGTTAATAAAAGTAACAACTCTGGCCGACGCACCAGCGCGCCTACTATCCCGTCGGAGCAATCTTCCTGGAACCACGACACTCGGAGTGTCGCCGATATGCTCGGGACGAGGTGGGAGAGGCACACTCCCAAGCCAATGGTCAAGTCAGCAGCAGCATTGCGGTCTGAACTCATGACTTCATCGCGGGATGTATCATCGCCGGCGGACAAGAGGGCGCGGGTGGTACTCAGAACGGCTCAAATGATGAGTGAGCATGATCGAGTGGCTGCGCGAAGAATGCGTATTTATCGTGAAGCTGCGGAGCGGACAAAAAGTAGGGTTGGCGGCTTTGGTGGGACGTACGATCAGGCTGATGCGACAAATGTTGCCGGCGTATCGGAAGTGAGAAATAACCCGATGCAGAATAGTTACGATAAGAGTCGGGATCCGAGACTGAAATAATAATCCCCAAAGGCGTAGGAGCTTCAGGAAAATTGGTTCGCGACGTGATGAGAAGCTCATTAGGCAAATGGATTAGGGGTTTGGCACACTAGAAAATAGGATGTATATGAATCTGTTTAAAAATGTCTCGTAAAAATCGTCAAACCCAAAAATTATCATATATCCACCCCTCCAATAAGGCATCTGAAAGAGAAAAGAAACAGAGATTGACCAGAAAAGAACATCGATAGAAAAAGATCTCAGTACCTGCAAGGTATATGAGGGGTGGAATTCGGCGCAGATTAGAAGTCCAATTCAGTTCGTCCATTTCAATTTGGGTAGCCGCAGTCGGGTTAGATCATGCCAATGCTTTAACGCTCCACAATGCCGCTTTCGAAAAGAGAATCCAAACCAGAAATATATTGTCTCCAATATCGATGTACGACTTGTGACAATACTACTCAAGAGTGTTCGATCCCGTTCAAACCATTGGTTTGGCTGTCTCCGTTTATATGTTCATCAACTTCAATGCGTCCATTGGGCTTGTCATGGCCGGCCACGTCGCCGTTGAAATGCCCATTGAGCTTAATATTTCCTGGCGAACGACCTCGATCAACAGAGGCCTCTCTTGGGTCAGGGACGCTCCGTGACTCGATGTGCCAGTCATGAATGGCTCGAATGATATCGACAGCCAGAGGGCCATTGTTGCGCAAGGCTTTGGCCCAGTGCTGAGGAATCTCTTCGCTCAGCGTTAGGAAACGAGCAATGCTCTCAACAAAGAGTTGTCGCATAGGAGAACCATCGGCAGTGTTGGCATAAATGTACTGAACACGGCGCAATCCGGGGTACGTCCCAGTGCTGTGGTAGAAGGTCCTCACTGTCTCAACGACAGTCTCCTTGAGGCGATCGATGGACCACTTCTCGCCCATGAGGTACACCTCGAAGAGCGCGGCAAGGTCTTGCTCCTTCTCCGGAACGGGAAGGATGCCACTGTAGAGCCACCCAACGAACATATTGAAGGGACCTTCTTCATCGTCAGGAAGACCAAGATCCTTGCTCCTACCTTCATCTTTACTCTTATCATAGAAGATACTGGCAAAGAAAGGCGATCGGTAGCAGAGCAGTTTCTCATGAAGAATATAATGTGTGTTCTCAGGACCGACGTAGATGTCAACCATTGTCCTCGACAAGAGCCTAAAGCGAATAATTGTCAGTGTTGCGAGGGACAACTGAGGACTTGGCTCACCACGCACTCATGAAGAGCCTTTTCCCTCTTCTCGGCCATTTTGTGGATTATTTGGAAATATTGAATGAAAAAGAGCTCGGGAGGGTCAAATGAAGCGCAGGAAATGCGAAGTTAAACAAGGCTAACGATAATGAGATGAAGTCGGAAATTCAATCCTGAACGACAGCGAGAAATTAACAAGCGAATGCAATAGTAAGCCAACGCTTGGGTGCAAAGCAGAATGAGATTAAATTTGAGAAAAGTATTACTTTGAGAAGATCATTATGGAGAGGCTGGTGGTGGGACATGAGACAAGGTAAGATTGGGGTCCGCCAAACAAGGCAGCATGTTGGTGACGTCGAGCCAAGTGCAGTTCAAGCCACAACTTGGCAGGTAGGGACCGGGATCATCCGCGAGAATCAACCGTGACGTCGATCCGGCTCGCTCCACGAACTTGTCTCGCCCGGTACCCCAGATTCACTATCCACCCTTCTAGTTAAGCATCCGTCACCAAAACAGTGGTTCATTCCAAATCAGCCCTCTGAATCACTTGTGGTAGCTTCCCTAAGGCAGAGCGGTGCCGTTTCAAATCAGCCCGAGTGTCCCAAAGATTTATTCGAGAGCCCATGTGGTTGTGGCCATGCGACGGTGTAGCTCAACGCCAGTGGCGCTCTTCTGATCTTGGGTAGGTTCCCTGATTCATTCTTACGCAACTCTACTATTACGCTTCCCGGTCCTACAGAAATATTCATGTTAAACTTGCCGGCTTCCATCACTTGTCGTACAGCTTGCTGCCTTCCTTTTGCTAAAGCTTTTGGTATAAAATCCTCTCTAATAGCTTATACATAGTAGTAGTAAATAGCTAAATGGTCTAGCCTCTCAGAATGATCTATTCCTTGGCCTGTTTGCTTTCTCTGTGATTGGAGAGAACTTCATGAAGAATCAATGCCTGCCCAGCTACCCTGTCGACCGCCTGCAAACCAATTATATGGACGCTGAATTGGTGGCGTTGCGCCAGCCGTGTGTGCGAAGGACAGAGTCTGAGTGGTCGTTTGTGTAAGCTTGACGCATCCTGTGAGGAAGATATAGATAGTAATGTCGGGTATGAAATGTCTTGAGAAGTCAAGGTGTGAAGTCTTAGGCTTGGCACTAGGCGCCTTTCATCATCTGTCGCTGAAGTGCGGGGCCGTGATCCACGGCAAAATTTCGGAGTTGATAAGAATAATACATCAAGTTCTCCCATGTGGGCAGGTGACAGTAGTAAGGGTCCCTTTGACATACCTACATCAAAGCACGAAGCTTTGAGTGCTATCTGTTGATATGTGATGCCGGGGTCATGTCATGATAGATGAGCAATGAATTGGTCTCTTGACCGTCAAGATGCATTATGCTTCTACCTGGATCTGGACAGAAAGTACAATAATAAAGGTCGACCACAATCAATAGTTGAATGAGCCTATAAATAGCAGAAACAGAAGAATTGACGGTGATATATTTTTTCCTTTCTAAAATTTATACGTTGTTAAATGGTGCAAAGTGTTCAATGGTGGATGGAGTTGAGCGGAGCTGAGCGGAGCTGATGATCATTATTGGACATGCATATAGTACTAGGGGAAAAGTGGTAGCAAAATTACTGTATTACCACTACAAATCTTTCTCTATTCTACAGGACTAGAAATCAACACTTGTTGTAAAATAATCTGTGTTTTTATAGACAATAGTTCTCATTTATATAGCATTTAATTCTTATAGTAGGCATGTAGGCTACTTGTTAAAGTAAAGGGCAAATACTTCAAGTACTTGGACGATAAAACAAGCAAGAATAGTCGATAGAAAAAAAGCTAGGGAAAAGTATTATAGAATACAAGTATTGTGATAAAATATAAAAATATTTATTGGCAGCTTTCTGAGCCTTCCGAGCTGGTATCCCCCAATGTTCAAGTCAATGCCTGCTGGACAATAGACAAGCATTCTGGACCTCTTGCTTGGACAAAACTCTTGAGCAAGACTGACAGGTGTGGAATCTTGAAACCATGATTTGTTGTCGGTGATGCTGAGTCGAATAGAGATCAAAACACACCGAACAATGGATTGGGAGGATGATTAAAATTTAGCTTCCACGGTTCTACCTACCTTACCTACCTCAGGTAGTTTGGTGTCAAAACACTCATGTCAGAAGGACTATGGCTCTGGTTCAGGCCCAAATTACATCAATTAATCACGCCACAATTTATGCACTATTGGGAAACCAAAAAGCTTAGCCTGTGTCCCGCAGATTCGGCAAAGTCATGTCTCGTCCTACAGATAAAAGATGAAGAAAGATGTTCGACTTGTTGCTAAAGGCGGGTGATTACCACAATTGTGGTTATGGTGCTGACGCGCGGCCGATGTGGCTCAGCGGGGTCGCTTCTTCGGCGGGTAATAATAATGTACTCGGTCAGATGGTCGCAATAGTGCTCCTCGAGTATCCCACGGATGGGTGACCTCAGGACTAGGTTGGCCCACCTTGGCGGGGGCCCCGTTGGCTCCCCAAAATTAAAGTAGAGGCCGATTACGAGTAATTTATGATTTTCTTCACTTTCATCCCCGCTCTCTCGATTTAGCCGAAGTCAGGGGGCATCCGACAAGACTTTCGAAACCGCAGCAAACGGATAAAGGCAAGGGCCGACAAGTTCTGTCGACAAGGGACTCAAGGGAGACCCAAAAACAAACGACAAATGTCCCAAAAAAGACAGAAGAGGTCTTGGTGAAGAGGAAGTTTAGTACTTTATCACTTTACGGGCAAGGTTCAAACATGCAACGTCTCTTGCCGGCACCAGATACCATTCTCAGATTCGATGCGGTCTGACCGCGTTGTTTCACCAGCTAGGTGATGTCCGTAAAGCTGCACGTAGACCAGATCTTGTACGTCATTCAGGGATTGCAAGCTCGTTTACGAGTAGAAGTGCCGAGAAGGCCTCTTTGCGCGCTTGGTTCAGTTCACCTTGACAGGTAAAAAAGCAAATTGGGAGACGAGAACGTAGTGCACGGTAGAAGAGTTTGTGCCGCGCCCACTAGGGTTAAAAGCCGAAGGAACCAGGTACGGTAGGAAGAGTAACAGAGTGCAATTTGTGCTGAGCCAAGCGCAGGAGCGAAATAACATGCACCGCTGTGGACGCTTTTCTACTAGCCTTCATTCATGATTTTCGAAAGAGGGAAGAGAGGGGTGGGGGCGTTGAAGCCAACTACAAAAGAAAACAGGATCGCTTGTCGATTCTTATGATGATCAGGATCCCAGACCAAGGGGGGATGAATGTGTCGTTGGTGTCCAATCCTTTTCCTCGCATGATGAACCCCCGTAGTGGGGATGAGCTTGGCACACCAGCGAGGCTGCAAACGTCAGGACGGACTAACATACTATGGAATATATCTTTGGTAGAGAAGAAGACGCCAAGATTGGGGCGGCTCTGAGAGTTTTGCTTGAGAATCCAGGTCAACCAACCTTACCTTAAACGAGCCGGTGCGCTCTCGGCGTTGTGCTCCGGTAAGACGACTGCCCTGGCCCTCCAATCTCTTTGCAGGCACCAGACCCGCTGCGATTGCCGTCCTTGACTTTTATCGGAAGACGAGCGAGGAGGAAGACGTAGGGAGAGAAGAAAAATCCTTGGCATCGGTAGGACATCTCACGCTCACTCATCTCCCCCGTTGCCCTCCCCCCCCCACAGCCAAGGTAGTAATTGTAGTAATTAGAGAAGAGAGAGCCGTAAAATAAGCTTGGCTCTGAATCTGATTCTTGTTGCCCATTGCCTACAAATCATTGAAGACCTACCCCCTTTGCCCAGTTCGCGACCACATTCCGCCTCCAGATATCGCTGCCCCCATATCGCTCGCTCAATCCTTTTTTGGGGACTATCGACTCCCCTTGAGCGATCATTAATCCTCGCTTAGTGGCGACGATCCCGGCAGAGTCTAGTTAAGGCCATATCTTGCGTTTGGTGCAAGTCGGGCACGCGTTCGTCTGGTTATCCTGGCGGGAACCCATTTCCACTTATCGACACAAATTATCTGACCACGCGATCACTTTCGTTCTCAACCATCGCAACATTTCCAGCTTTGTAGATTGGATCAGAGGCCATTGCTGCCTTCTCTGTCAAAGATCTTCACGGTTACCAGGAACGCACCTCTTGCGACAGACTCTAGAGAGCGCCGATCCCTTTTATTTCCCGAAAGACGGCCAGGGGAGGCCGAGTTTCCATTACCGACGGTAGAGAACAGCAAAGACTTGAGTCGTAACAAGTCTTTCTTTGCTCTGTCGATACAATTCGATTCAAGATGAGGTTGGCTTCGGTGGGTATCAAGTTGGCAATGGCCTTGGCAGTGCTGGCAGCGGGCAGACTTGGCGAAGCGTCATCACTTGAAGCAAGAGATGATGACACCAAATACTTTTGTAAGCTCTGACTGATTGATAAAGTGAACTGGACAGCGAACACATTACTAATTTGCTTCTGCTCGCAGTCGAGGCTGGGTTCGTCTTCTACCTTTCCTTGAGATTGCCTGTATGCTGCGAGGACGCGCGGTTGGCAGGCTCACTTATCAAACCCGAATACTGACAAATACTGGTAGTGACGGCGACATCTTGAACCACTATGACAGAAGATTCTTCAAAAACCAGCTCTCTTACGACGAAAGAGCCGACACCTTACTCCATATGGTGCGCGCCTATCTGATCACCTTTCGAAAAATGGGCATCGAAACCTGGATCGCCCACGGCACGCTACTCGGATGGTGGTGGAACGGACAGGTATGCGCGAACAAGGATAGGTCCTCGTATTCGAAATTGCTGCGGCTAACATCTCATTCTGTTCTAGATGCTTCCCTGGGACTGGGATCTCGACACCCAGGTTTCCGGCGCTACACTTGATTACCTGGGGGATAACCTAAACTACACAACGCACAACTACGTTTCGGAAGACAAGAAGGTGCAGCGCCAGTATTTCTTGGACGTCAACCCCTGGGCGATTGAACGTACTCGCGGGGACGGAAACAATGTCATTGATGCGCGCTGGATTGACGTAAGAAACGGCTTGTACATTGATATCACTGGCCTCAGCGAAACTCATCCAGACATTGCGCCGGGAATCTGGAGCTGCAAAAACTACCACCGCTACAAGACGACTGACCTCTACCCCATGCGGGAAAGTATCTTTGAGGGAGTGCCTGCGCTGATTCCGTACAACTATGACAAGATCTTGGTCGAGGAGTATCAGCACAAGGCCATGAGCCTGACACATTACGAGGGGTATGGACCAACCCCTCCTCTATTTTTATTCCACCTTTATCACATTTGCTGACTTGCCATCCATAGACACACTTGGAACGCCACTTTGAAGCACTGGGCCAAAGACCCCGAGGAGGAAAAGAAAGAGAACAATAAGAGAAACCGACTTGGCCGTCGACAAGCGATGCCTGACTTTTGAGTTGGCCACAAGCAGGAAACCTTCTCTAGCATGGAAGATTTTGCTTCTCAGCAATTCTTTTTCTCAAAGTGTTCATTTCTCGGAGAGGATCAAATGGTCGCCCTGGCTCGAACACCTTCCGCACGCAAAATGGAGGGAGACGTTGATTCGTTCGGGCAAGGAAGCATTGCACGGATGCCTGCATAATACAACCACGACCAGGGGCGAACCCTGGCGCTCATTCACCAATTCCAAGGCTCTTGCTGCCTCCTCTCAAGAAACTGGTTTGCCTATTTTGCATAATGAAAGCATAGCGTCGGCGTTATTTCGGGTGCCCCGGTACTTTTGCTGCGAAAGTCTGCTCCTGCTTTTCCTTTTCTCAATTGACTTGAGGGGATGTCCTGCTCCCCCTTGTAGGATCAGTTATTCGCAGAATTCCTGTCACGCATCTTACAACCCTTTTTGTTTTTTTTTTTTCTAAATTGTTGGCGTTGGATGTGGTTCGGAAATCAGAATATGCGCGTGTGCAGTAGAGGATTCGACACGGTAAATGGTAGCCAAGCATCTCAGATACCTTTTGCAGAAGACCTCTGTCCTGACACTTTGGTCAAAATTGAGCATTTATTGTAACCGTTGCTTGTCCAGTGATTAATTTATTTTCTTTTATATTTCCTCTCTTTTCTCTTTCTTTTTTTCTTTCTTTCTTTTTTTTTTTTTAAGTTTGACTTTTCAGTATGTCAAGTTCTGCGAGCATTTCTATAAGCGCACCTGTCATATCGTGCCCTTATTCTCAGTCTCGTCTTATGGATTAGAATCTACCTTGAATATTTGACTTACGATCATACAATAGCTGAATCAATCGCTTTTCGTCATTTTACAAAATTCCGCTAAATGACAACATTATATCCCACGTTATTCTACTCCAATTACTATTAAGGGAAAATATCTCATAGTGATCAAGTGGATTAACGACGAAAGTATGATGCTAAGAGGTCTTCGAAGAATATGAATACACAGTTGTCCAAATCTCAATCATGGTATGGGTCGTGATGTACGAAGATCGCCAAACTATATCTTGGCTCTTCTCTATCAAACAAGAGTACTAAAGACCAAAAGGGAATATAAAAATGTCGCTGCCTGAAAGAATATTTGCTGGAATGTCCTTGCAAACGCCAAAAGCTAGGTAGTCCAATGTGCTCCAATCGAATACAGGCAACCCAGTCGATCCAACGCAAGCTATGATTTACATACCGAAGAACCCAAAACGGGAACAGAAAAGAGAAACGAAGGACAGCATCAAGGGTAAACTAAATAGTGTATATCATCGGAAAAGGGAGAAAAATAAGAAAATATAAAGGAGAGAAATTAGGAATTAAAAAGGAAAGTAATATCGTATCGCTACGAGCCTGCTTCGTTTCCAGGCTTGCCATGTTGTTGCTGCTGCTTGAACCGCTCTTCCGCAGCGCGGGCAAGAATTTCTCGACGACTAAGAGGATTAGTATTCTGTGCTCCTGCACCGGACGGCTGTTGCGTGGCAGCCGCAGAACCAGCGCCGAGAACAAACTCGCCACCGCTCCAACCGCCATGATCAGCAACCTGGTCTGTCGCGTCCAGCTGGTCGTCGTCCGGATTATAAAATTCCTGGTCGGACAGAGCATGTCCACCGGATCGCCAATCTCCGCTTTCTACTTCGCGCTCAATCTGCTTGCACAGTTCCCAGAAGTTGCGGTCGTGCTCTCCCCAGACATTGTGCGCGAGCTCGTGGCACAGCGTGTTGCGGATGGTCCGGTAGTCGCGGTATCCGTCGTAAGCGTCGGTGCGCAGACGCAGTTCGATTACTTCTCCGCGGTTGCGGTTCAGTCCGAGTGTTCGCGACTCATGCGTTGTATGTGCCGCGGGATCCATTTCCGTCAGGAGCGGCACAGTCCATTTGTGTTTCCGCATGGTCGCTTTGATGCCTGGATCGTCGCGAAGGCGCGCGAGAAAGCGCTCAGAGCGCTCAGGCCGTGGTAGGTATGGCAGAGGCCGGAGTGTTGTGAATGTATATATGGCTTCTTCTTGCTCGCGCTTCCAATCTCGTCGCCGTGCGGGTGCCGCGGGCTGGATAGGGCCTGTTGCTCCTCCAACTCTTCCACTCCGCCGAATCGGGCGTGACCGGGATTCAGCGACTAACGTCTCGACTGATGCGACTTCTGCAGAAGTGCTGCCCATCAGAACTATCTTCTTGGATGATAGTGACGAGAGAGACAGACTCGGATCCTTGAACGGTGGTCGCAGAACTCCGACTTTAGGCGTGATCATGAATTTCTGATTTGATGCCGGAACGAGGAGATTTTCGGCCACTGCCGTCGAGAGGTCCTCAATAGTCCCGTCTGGAGGGAAACCGAAGGTAATCGGGTCACCATGATAAGTTATTGTGAGTTGGACATCTTGGTCACCGATTTCGGATTGTAGATTGGCTTCTGGGGCAAACGGCGCTTCAACTTTTGCGTCGGCCATGTGGAAATTGTTCAATAGAAATCGTGGCTGGGCCCTGAGGATTATAGATATCTTCAATCAAGCATCAGAAGAGAAATCAAAAAGACGATAAGAATAGTTAATATATATCCTGAGGCATATTATTGCTCTAGTTGTCAAGGAAGCGCGGATTGTTGTAGGCCGCGACACATGCTGCGCTGCCTAAGCAATGTTTACTAAGGATGGAAAGTGACGGAATTACGTAGGCTCACAAGGACGGAGTCCTGGACCCCGAAACGCTAAATCTCCGATATTAGTCGATTATCTTATCATTGCCCCAGCGGCGAGCGCGTGACCAGTTACCACAAAGTATTTCCCTAGCAATGTACCCAGTCATATTTGACGATAGTACAACACAATGGCAAGAATTGGATGAGAATCATTCGCAAGACTTCAGACGCAGAAGAATTGATTAAAGCCTATTCATCAACTCCATTTTCCCCAAACTGCATCAGTCGGTTTGAGACAATTCAACCATTTGACTTTCGCGAAATCGACTCATTAGCTATAAAGTCCATAAAAAGCGCCCCAACCCGGCCCAAGGTATGAAATAGCATCCCTAACAGGCGTGAAATTGGTCGTAACTACCTAAAGATTGAAAAGATCCCACATGATACAAGCACATCACCTGCCCAGTAAATTGTCGTGGCAAAGTATGTTTCAGTTTTTTCGTTGATGGCAGTGAACATTTCCAACCAACGCGCGGCTAAAGTTACAATGGAAAAGAAAATCGTCAGATATTTTCGTTGGCATCAATACCGAACTTTCAAGGCCATACTGGCGAAAGGCCCCTAGAAGTCAGCGGCCACTGTGGTGTTAATTGCAGCTGGATTGACCCGACCGCCTCTCTGGTTACCTCTGTTGCCGCGATAACTTTGGAAACCCCCTCTCCCTCTTCCGGTACCTCTGCCTCTTCCCCTGCCTCGATATCCTCCGCGGTAGCCACTGTCGACGCTACCTTGGCCGAAGGTCTCCATGTTCTTCTTCATCTCCTCTCCTCTCCATTCACGACCACCAAGGCGTTTGCCAGAGGCTTCTTCTCGGTCCCTGCTTTCACTAGAGATGTTGTCGAAAAACGAACTAGTTCTGTTGTAAGAGACAGTGGAAGCAGAAGTGCTTTCCGCGCTTGGAGCAGCGTGTTCGAAGGGATCCTCCCCAACACCATTCGCGTGTGTCGACTCGCCAGGTGTGCCCGACGGCGAGCCCGTTGCAATAGCCTCCTTCACCAGATCCTGTTTGTTGAATTTGGCGTTTGCTGAGGCAAAGTCATAATCAGTAGTCGGAACCTCAATCTTGTGCCCATGAGGACCATGGTGGCGTCCGCCACGGGCACCGCCCCGGTGACTAACTCCAAAGTTCGCCTGGCGTTGGTTTCGGGCAGCGTCTGAAGTCCTCATTTCTTGAACTCTCCTAGTTAGATTATCAACAGCACCGTCAGTTGGCTGCGGCTGCTTTTGACCGGGAGCCGGGGGCAATTTAGCCATCGCCGCTGCAACAGCGGCAGTCGCAGCTTTTGTGGCATTCTGATACTCCAACGCAGCATTGGAAGTTGGGTGCCCAGGTTTCGCCAACGGCTGTGGTAGGACATTATACGAAGTCACAGGGACAGGAACATCTGACGCTACCTGCTTCATGCCAGAACTAGGTTGAGAGTGACCGTGTGCCAGAGCTGCCTCTGCACCCGGGCCGGGCTGCGGCAGAACATTGTATGGAGAGACGGAAGCAGGACCGCCAGATGAGGGGCCTTTGGCAGCGCCAGCTTGCAAAGGCACGGCCGGCACTATTCTTCCATTCCTAAAGGCGTCGGAGGTAGGCTTGGAAGAGGCAGCAAGGTGTTTGTTAGCTGCGTTGGGTGATGCAAGGGCAGTGGCAACGTCAGGCTTCGACTCCAAAGGTGGAGGTGGTCCAGTGGAAGTTACACCACGTGCAACATCAGAAATCGAAGGCTTTGCCTGCGCGCTGGAACTTTGGTCTTGCAGAGCCTTCACATCATTGCTAAGACCCGTGCTGCCTGCAGGAGCCTGACTTGGCTGCTCAGGTGACGATTGAGAGCCTTGCGCTTGAGGCTGCGGCTGAGTCTCTGGCAAAGGTCGCTGGCCTTGAGGACCAACGGGACCTTGTCCAGGCGGAAATGGTCCTGGAGCTTGAGGAAAGCCCTGTCCGGGTGGAGGATACCAACCAGGAGGGGCGCCATAGGGCATGCCAGGGAAGCCCGGCCCTGGAGGAAAGCCCGCCTGAGGAGCGCCCGGTCCAAATCTCTGTCCAGGCAACGGAGGGTAATAGTACGGGAAAGGAGGTTGCTGCTGGAACGGTGGGGGTTGAGTTTGCCTTTCTTGTTGTGGCTGGATAGGGTGCTGCGGCGCCGGGGATGGCCGAGAACCACTCTGCAAAGGACCGTATATCAGCTCGGTCCAGATAAAACTTGTAGGATCGCAAAAAGAAAATAAAACAGTCGACTGTCAGAAGGAAGGCAACGGAAATCTCCACACGGTTTTTGCGCTCTCGGAGAAAATTAAAAGGTTTACATCCGAAATGTTTCATCACCCAGTCGAGGAAACAGAAAAGATGGGAGGCGAGCGACACTTACACCTAAGATGGCAGGATCATTGGGGACAGGTGGCGGTTTGTTCTCCTTCGGAGGCTCTTCAATCCGCAAATCTTTCACGTCGCTGCCTCTGAAGACAATATAGTCGTACACCGTGTCTGAGGGGCCAACTTCATCCTCTGGATTACTTCGTCTGCCCTCGGTGCCAAACGATACGACGTTTTCAAGAGCAACAGTCGACTTGTCAGAGTTGATGTCGTGAAGGGTTCCGACATAACTGATGGAGCATCAGCACGAGAGTGATCCCCAAACATGCCTAGATTGATGCCACGGACCGGATATCACTCTTGGAAACAAGAGAGATGCGTGATCTGATATAGACCTGTACTTAGCTGCAATGGTCACCTTGAGCGATGACGGACAACCAACCCGATGAACTCGGACATTTTGATGGATTAAATCCAGAACCCACAACTTCAGATAGTTGAGGAGCGATTCAGGCTAACAGAGGGTGTGAAAAAAAATGGAATAAAGTGAGATGGGAGAGAAGTAGATGAATTGGATGAGAAGGAGATGAAGAGGAAGAATGGGAACAATTGAAGTGCGAAATGAAGAGCAAGAGGTGTAACAAGTCTGCACAAGCTCGCTTAAGCTCGAGGCCCAAGCTATTGTCATCCTCGCATATGATTGGATAATGCCCTTCGGTTGCGCTCCGGTCCCGGTTTTCAAGGAACCTCAACCTACAAGAGGGCATGATATGACTGTACCGTGAAAACGGCCTTTGACCGCAGCATATTACTATAGAGCAAGCTTCAATTCTGAGCATTTCCCAAATATACCTTTGAAGCTTACAATCTCGTATTCTGGATTCTGTTTCAAATGTGCTAGGCAAACGCTGCCATACGTTCAACATATCTTTCAACTTTGTGTATTAACGCACGGATTTTCTAGTGAATAAGAGGTGTGATCAGTGCAGGAAGATTAAAGGACTTGCAAATCAATAGCATGCACGATAATTGCTGCGAATTTCATTAAGAAAAAGATATACGATGCGATACAAGAGCGTGTTGATCTCCAAGCCCATTATGACCTTGAAGCCTATGGTTTGAGCCACATTAGACGAAAGTCTCGAGACCGAAGGAATTCGCTCTACTCTCAGCTAAACCAGCCGAAGCAGGCCCCGTAATTTACCTTAATTTAGGCTCAAGAGGGAGGGGCATGGTATACGGAGTAGAGCTCACACGATTACTCCAAGTTTGGTGGTGTAGCTCTTGCCTGGCTTCGCTTTGCGTCGGTACATTACATACTGGTACCTGATAACACCATGCGGGGCTTGAACGGCTCGCGGGGTACCAATATTCCGAGAAAGCAAACATCAGGTTCAATTCCAGTCTCGTGAGAGGAGCTTCACTTCTTACATTTGTTGGTTAAATTTCAATCCATGGACTCTTTCCAAGGTTAGAACTAGACTGGCTCTGCCCTCCAAGATTGACTTTGCTCTTTCCCTTCCTGGCTCCTTTCTCTTATTCAGGGAGCTTTCAACGCCGGAGTCGTGCCCTCAGGAGCAGCTGTTCGCTTCCGTTTTGTGCGGAGCTTCTCACGCCATCTCAATTCATATACAGTGAAATTTGAAAAGCTCTGCCAAATAGACCTTGCACAATGGCAGGCAAAGACCGTGATGTCCTGCCGGATGCGTACGACACTCACCCCCGATACATTACTAATGCCACTACTGATTGTTTGTTTCGCCTTGCAGGGTAAAGCCCATTCATTATGCCATTTCCCTCTATGACTTGGAACTGGGCGGCTCTTTCAGTTACAAAGGGACTGTAAAAATAGACACTGCTATCCAAAAGAAAACTGCGGAAATTGTCCTCAACTCTCTCGAATTGAAGTTGCATGATGCCGAGGTCTTTACGGAGCACACTAAAAGTAAGCTTTATTTTCACAGCTTGTTGGCATCACAATGTCTAACAGAAGTGCATTTGATAGCGCAACATGCGATTCGGGCGTCCAACATCTCCTACGATGAGACTTCACAACGGGTCAGGCTTGAGTTTCCTACTGAGCTTCCTACTTCCTCCAAGGCCATATTGGTGATCAATTTCAGCGGTACGATGAACAACAAGATGGCGGGTTTCTATCGGTCCAAATATAAGCCAGCTGCACCGCATGTGGCATCCGTTCCTAGAGATGCTGAGCATCATTATATGTTCAGCACGCAATTCGAATCATGCGATGCGAGACGTGCTTTTCCCTGCTTCGACGAGCCGAACTTGAAGGCGACATTTGATTTTGATATCGAGATCCCCGCGGACCAGACAGCTTTGAGCAACATGCCGGAAAAGGAGACTGTCAAGAGCAGCAAAGACAGTCTTAAGATTGTCTCGTTCGAACGAACCCCCGTTATGAGCACCTATGTAGGATATCCGAATTGCAAGGATAAAACCATCCAATCTGTGCTAACACGTTTCTAGCTTCTGGCCTGGGCTTTTGGCGATTTTGAATACGTCGAAGATTTCACGAAGCGCAAATACAACGGCGTCAACCTCCCAGTGCGAGTCTACACGACAAAGGGCCTGAAGGAGCAAGGAAAATTCGCACTTCAAAATGCCCATCAAATAGTCGATTATTTCTCAGATGTAAGCCCCAAGGAAGCCAAACCTACCACGTCCGGGGAGCCTATACTCAAATATTTATAGGTCTTTGGGATTGACTACCCACTGCCAAAGGTCGACTTACTAGCAGTACATGAATTTGTAAGCTGCTCACCCGTTCATTCATGACAAGTTTGTTTTTCGTCCATGGGCGGCTTCGCTAACCATGTAGACCGCTATATGTTCCCCCTGAATCTAAAGCAGTGTTTGCAAACAGTTATGTAGCTGACCAAGTTTGCTAGTCTCACGGCGCAATGGAGAACTGGGGTCTGATCACCTACCGCACCACCGCCGTTTTGTTTGATGAAGCAAAGTCTGACGCCAAATATAAGAACCGCGTTGCTTATGTTGTGGCTCATGGTATGAACTTTGCTAGTTTAGAAACTCGCAAGATAACTGACTCTAAGTTTAGAACTGGCTCACCAATGGTTTGGGAATCTGGTAACTATGGATTGGTGGAGCGAGCTATGGTTGAACGAAGGATTTGCCACTTGGGTTGGCTGGCTCGCCATTGACCATCTCTATCCCGGTTAGTGCTGTGGCTGTGAAAATATGACAAGCTGGATACTAATATGCCGTTAGAATGGAATGTCTGGGCACAGTTTGTTGTGCGTCGCATGCCCCAAGGTACTTTGCTCTGCCGAGAATGTGCCATGCTGACCATGAGTTCTAACCTAGACTGAGTCTGTTCAATCAGCATTCCAACTGGATTCTCTCCGTGGTTCACATCCGATTGAGGTTCCTGTAAAAGATGCATTAGAGATTGATCAAGTCTTTGACGCGATCAGCTACCTGAAGGGCAGTTCTGTGATCCGGATGCTCAGCGCCTACCTCGGAGTAAAGACATTCTTACAGGGCGTCTCGAACTATCTCAAGAGCCATGCTTATGGTACGAATTACTTTCCATTTATCTTCTACGTACGTTCACACCAGTGTAGGAAATGCTACAACCGACGATTTGTGGACAGCTGTAAGCCAGACATCCAAGCAAGATGTCAACGGATTTATGGTGAGTGAACCCTGAAATTGATGTATGGGAATATTACTAAACTCCGCAGCACAACTGGATCAAAAAGATTGGGTTCCCGGTTGTTACTGTTGCCGAAGAGCCCGGACAGATTACGATTCGTCAGTCGCGTTTCTTGTCCACTGGAGACGTCAAAGAGACCGAGGACGAGACTACTTGGTGGATACCTCTTGGCCTTAAGACTGCAAGCAAGCCGACAGGAAGCGCGGCGGGAGCCTTTTCATCAAAGGAGGAAACACTCCGCGATCTAGACGAGAGCTTTTACAAGCTCAATGTAAATCAAACTGGATTCTTCCGCACCAACTACCCCCCTCAACGACTGGCTAAGCTTGGAAATGCCCGCGAGAACCTGTCCGCTGAAGACAAGATTGGACTGATCGGCGATGCCGCAGCCCTTGCTATTGCTGGTGACGGCACAACGGCTGGATTGCTTGCTTTTGTTGAGGGTTTCAAGGGAGAGAAGAATTACCTGTGTGTTTTGGCTCATTTCCTGTACCCGTGATTGTTTCTTCTCGCTGACAATAGGTAGTGTGTGGGCTCAAGTGATCTCAGCCCTCGCCAACGTGCGCTCGATATTCTCGGACAATGAGCAGGTGTCAAAAGGGCTCAAAAACTTTACATTACAACTAATTTCGCCAGCAACAGAGGCCATCTGCTGGGAATTCACTCCCAATGAAGATTTCTTGACCGGCCAGCTCCGCGCCTTGCTTATTAGTAGCGCAGGTGGCGCAGGCCATCAAAGGTCAGTTGAAACTTTTTCTTGTATCTATTGTTTATTACTAACATGTGTCTTTAGCGTAATTTCCGAGGCAAGGAGACGCTTTCAACTCTACAGCTCTGGCAAGGATCAGGCAGCTGTACATCCAAATCTCCGTCTTGCCGTGTTCCGCACTATTGTCACGGAGGGTGGAGCAGCAGAATACGAAGCCGTCAAGGAACAGTATCTGAAGACAACTGCAATTGATGGAAAGGAAATTGCTTTGCAGGCCATGGGGCGTGTCGACACGGCAGAGCTCGCCAACAACTATTTAGATTTCCTTTTCTCCGACAAAGTCGCCGTGCAAGATCTCCACAGTGGCGCTGCCTCTCTTGGGGCAAACTCGAAGGCTCGCATTCACTTGTGGCAATACATTAAAACACAGTGGGATGCCATTCATCCAAAACTTGCTGCCAACTCGGTAGTGATTGATAGATTCTTGAAAATGGGACTGTCGAAGTTTGCTAGCCATGAGGTTGGACAAGACATTGCCAAATTTTTTGAGGGCAAGGACAACCGTGGCTACGACCGGACTCTTGGGGTCATCTCCGATACTGTACGCGCCAATGCAAATTATAAGGAAAGGGATGAAAAGCTGGTGCTCGAGTGGCTGCAAGCTCATGGCTATGCCTAATCGTAAGCAATCTGCTGTTTCACCTTTACCAGAATGAAGCCGATATACATGTCCATTGTGCGATGCCGCGGATGCCTCCAGCACCTTAGCAGAGCCATCATGTGACCAGAGTATATATCAGGTAGACGTCATTAGAATGAGAAATATTGAAGAGCATGAGATTGCATTTAACTGTTGCCTGTAGTGATTGAAATGCATGTGACTGAGGATGATATTGTGGAAGACGAGTCTCTTCGTATAAGAAATTATGCTTTATATATAGCGATGCCAGCTGCGTGAAAGGCGAGACCTCGTGCCAACCTCCTGACCATGAACAGATGTGCGCAGTCAATACTAAGATAGGATGAAAATAGAGACATTGTTATTGCCCCAAATATTCTAATCGTACTGGGGAGATGAAGCCATAATATATTTCGAGTAGCAAGGTCTGAGCTGCCGCGAGTCTGACGTTTGATCCAAGTGCAAGGCAAGTCTCAGGGGCGACGTTTCGTGACCTGGTTCGGTATCTTCGACAAGTACGAGTAGTGTCGGTGTCCAGCTGAGGGTGACGGAGTGACAGAATCCTCACCTAAAACAGTTAGCGTGGCTCGCGGCCGATACAATGGAGGGCGAAGCGACGACAACCCAAAGTTCCCAGCGACCCCAAGGCCGTCCATCACAAGTCACCGCCCAGCTTCCAACATCCCTACACTCTTATCGTCATCTTCGTCTTTCATTCTTGACTACTGTCGTCTCATAAAACGGCATTTTTCTACCTGGAGAACGCCCGTCTTATATCGCTTTGAGTTTCAAACATAGCAGACCATCAAGATGAACCCAGAGTAGTACGTAACGGTCCAACCCCCGAATTAGCATCGATATGGTGTGGCAAGCGTAGATTGCAACTTACTGAGTATACTGACGTATCATCTGTGTATATAGAGTCTCAAATCGATGTTGGAGGCGCCACGGAGCATTCTAGCTGCGATCGTCTTTGATATGGATGCTTATTTTGCTGCTATGCTTGACTTGGGAAACTAATAGAGACCCATTTATAGATACGATTACCTTTTCAAGCTCCTCCTCATCGGAGACTCCGGTGTTGGAAAGTCCTGCTTGCTTCTGCGATTTGCCGATGACACATATACTGAGAGCTACATTTCCACTATCGGCGTTGACTTTGTCCGTCCATCCCCTTGAACTTCAGCCACTGTTCAAACCCGCTGACAAAAGGCTCCAAGAAAATCCGAACCATCGAGCTGGACGGAAAGACGGTTAAGCTTCAGATTGTACGTAATGGGATCAAAAAATTACTGGACCCTAATTTTCCTTTATCGAATCGATGGCGAGCAGTATGTACTGACCATTCGAATCTAGTGGGACACCGCTGGTCAAGAGCGATTCCGAACCATCACCTCGTCCTACTACCGTGGCGCTCATGGTATCTGCGTCGTTTATGATGTAACGGATATGGATTCTTTCAACAATGTCAAGCAGTGGCTGCAGGAGATTGACCGCTACGCTACGGAAGGTGTTAACAAGCTACTGGTGGGCAACAAGAGCGATATGACGGACAAGAAAGTTGTTGAGTATACTGCTGCCAAGGTTCGTATTTCTGGGGCATCTTTGAACCCTTCTGCCCAGATTTCGGTTGTCACAATACTTATTACCAAACAGGAATTTGCCGATAGCCTCGGAATTCCCTTCCTCGAGACATCAGCAAAGAACGCAACGAATGTCGAGCAAGCCTTCTTGACTATGGCCAGGCAGATCAAGGAGCGGATGGGTACCACGACCGTCAACAACAAGCCTACCGTCCAGGTCGGACAAGGCCAGGGTGTGCAGTCAGGTTCAGCTGGTGGATGCTGCTAAATGAATAGTATGAAGGTGTGGGCCTCGTGCGATGGGGTAATTGTGCTTCGGGGAGTCGACCTCCGAACAATTATGGTGTGACATCTTTATTCATGGAAAGGGGGTTTTTTCTGCGCATTAGACGAACGATTTTTCGTCGTTTGGATCCGTTGCACACCATTTCGACAGACTTAATGGGGATCGATTTGTTTTGTTTGGGCCACACGTCGTGCTCTGCGCCGGTCAAGAAGGAACTCAAACACAAGTGTAACAGTCAAGATGGGTTGGGTTTTACACATCTGGCGATAATGAAATGTGAATGCAGCACGTCCATCCTTGATTTTTCTTTATTGTTGTCGTTGTTCTTTGCAGGGCTAATTGTGTGTATCTTTTTATGCCTAAATGGTTCCTTTACTACTACTTTTCAAGACTTCATTATCTAGTATCATCACTTTGTTATCCAGAGATCAAGATCTCAGCTGGCCCATATACCATGTGATTATTCCATTGCTTGTGCATTGCTAAAATCTCAACTGGGTATCATTGCTATGGCGCACGGAGGTACCGCTAACGCTAGGTTCCTAGTGGTGGAATGTAATAAAAGAAAAAGAAAAGTTTGGTACAATCGATTAGTCTGCGTCAAAGCGGCCTTGGAACCAAAGGTTCTAGGCAAATGAAAAAAAAAAAAAAAAAAAAAAAAAAAAGACGCGGGGCCAGAAGCATAAGGCAAGTTACACGTTGGGAGGTGATCAACGTGTCATTACTAGTCTGAGAGGGTTGCGATTCATGAGGAATGTCAGAATCTTCAACAGCAACCACTGCAGTCTAGACAGCCGCTACAATCCAGTGAGACGCAGTCAATGAACATGCAGTCAGATAAACCGCACGGTATCGCTCCGCAACACGGTTGACAGCCGTCGGCAGCGTCCTTGCTGGCATCACCCCCGTACTTAGCGGCCCTTTTGGCTCGAATAAAAATGATGATGGCCGCAATAACAAAACCAAGAACTACACTTCCTCCGACAGTCGCTCCCACAATGACCGCCAGTCTTGTGTGAGGATCGCAGCTAACAGGAGAGTGACAGTCTGATGACGAAGTTGCTGTGGCGCTCCCTGCGGCTGGTGATGAAGAGGATGGTGCCGATGAGTTTGACGATGATGGTACAGCAGACGCCATGGAAGGATACGAGGAGGTAGAAGTTGCTTGTGATTGTGCGCTTTCTAGCGCCTTTGAGTTTTGAAACGCTTGATGCATAGCAGTGGAAGTGGCTGTTGGTATTGACGTCGATACCAAGGCCGTTGTTTGTTTTTGCTGGCCAAGAACCGAGACGATCAGGGCCAACATCACTGCAGTTAGAGTGAGGACCTTTTGAGAAAGACGCATTGCGCTGGTTTGAGCTTGCAAGTCCGATGCGTTTTCATACGAAAAGAATAATTCCGTAAAGATGATGACGAGCAGAATGACAAGGAAAAGGAGCGAAGATATTCAGTATAAACCAATTTTTCAAAGGCCTCTTTTCTTTTCAATACAGGGTCTGCGAGATGCGCTTTTCTTGTCTATCTTCTTAAAATCCACTCAAAAGCTTCACTTTCACAGCCTACCTCAACTGTTCATCACACCCTGCGGCACAGACCATCTTTCTTTTTGACGGGCTGTTCCACAGGGGCTTAGAAGACGGAAAGAGGGGTTCAAGCTTTTCATATGAGGAAACGTGGATACAAAGCAAACTGGCACAAAGGGGCCAAAAAATTGTGAGCTGCTCTAACTGAAAACAGGGGGACGGGATGGCCTTGGGAAATAATGGGGCGCCATGATTTAGAAGGGCGGACGAATCATTCTAGTCGGGCCCTTATTTGTACTAGCATAATGCTTAGCATGTCATGCCAGACTTTGGGGCCGTCTTGCCTTGGATAAAAAGAAGCAGGCAATTTCGATGCGGGGCGGGTCATTTTACGGGATGTTGGTGTGATTGTTGCTGTCTGTTGGTAAGTTATAGGCTGCCGTGCCTTCTGGTCGCATTTGCACAGCCCCCGAGGCGTCCCTCTGACCTTGCTCCCCCGTAGATCAGCGACATGACGTGTGCTGTACAGTACCAGTAGTAATTGTAGTGCTTTTTTTTGTTTGATGCAATAAGTATTGAAAGAAAATGCTCATAAAAAAAGCTTAATGATTCACCAAACGATAATAAATCTTAGGAACCGAGTTGGCGATACATCTGGGTATATAACCTCAGAGGCGGTCAGTGGCGAGGGGCTTTGGTTATCTACGGACCCCTATCCACGCGGCTGGCGGGGCGGGATTACTTCCGATGCCGCCCCGCAATTCCGCCCCAAGCTAATTAACCGCTGGCGCCGGCACAAACGAAAAGCTCCATGACAGCAGCAGAACCGCGCAACCTGACCGCGTTGGGACCTCTTTGGCTTGACACAAGGCTCTAAGCGCGGTTGGCTCTTTTTTAAAAAGTATTTAGCATATCATTGACTGGTCGAGCCCGAGGAACACAGCCCTGTGTTCTGTCCTCATTTCCGTTTCTTATCTTGTTTTTTTTTTCCTCGAGCCAGTTCTGCATTATACCCACCATGTCTCGGTCTGCCGACCCAGGGCATTTCTTCCAGACGGAGTAAGTGGCAACCTTTCCCGGCGCAGCACGGCAGAACGCCATGTTGTCATTATTTTTTATTTTAGCAGGGGACCCCGGCGGATCATGCGCGCAGCAGCTGACATACCCCGCTATTCCGCAGAACTGCTCTGGAAAAGAGCCAACGGAAGACCATCAAGTCCAGCAACACAAACGGCGACCCAATAAAGCTTACTTCCAAGGTCCTCGCTGTTGTCCCGGACCCTGCGGATGCGGGCAGAGCTTATGTGGCTGAGAGTGCGGGCGTAGTGAGGAGAATTGCAATTGAAGTCTGTAAGAGCGCGTTGATTACAAAATTTTCCCGTGTTGTGGTGCATTTCTTGGTTTCCCCATTCTGCCAAAACCATATTCAATTTTCTTCTTAGTCTTTGTCTCGAAAACTAACATTTCATTTTCCTTCTAAATAGAGTGGTGACAAGTCTACTATATACCGCGGCCCTACCGCCCCACTTACCTCTCTCGCGATAACATCAACCACCGTCTACGCAGGATGCTGGGACAAGGCCATTTGGAGCTGGGACATTTCGAGCCGCGCCCCACAGCGACGGTTTGTCGGGCATGGCGATTTCGTCAAAGCTCTGCTTTGCGTACGGCTTGGCGGCAAGGACTTGCTCGTCTCAGGCGGCGCAGATGCGGCAATCATCATCTGGGACCTGACTTCCGGCGCAAAGCTTCACACACTCAAGGGCCATACGCGGGGTATACAGGATCTCGCTCTTGATCCGGCATCGATCATCATACCCGACGCCAACAATGCCAACGACAGCACCGCACAGAAAAGCGAAATCACAATCTTTAGCGCTGGCAGCGATCGCGAGATTCGACAGTGGCAAATCGCTGTCTCGGGCCAGAAAGCACAGGGCAATAGCAGTAGTAGCAGTAGTAGTAGCACTACCGGCAGCAGCGACGGTATCGTTGAGGCGAGCGAGATCACACAAACCTCGCCGCTCATCCGCCACGAAACAAGCGTGTACAGACTCCGCTTCGACGCCGACGACGACCTGTGGACCGCTTCAGCAGATAACTCTGCCAAATGTCTGTCCCGCGAACGCGCCTGGGAAGACGACACGGTGCTCGCGCATCCTGATTTTGTCAGGGACGTGGTGATTGACGACGAGGCCGGGTGGGCAATAACCGCGTGTCGGGATGAGGAAATTCGCGTCTGGGATAAAAGTGTATGTTCATCTTATCCTACCCTATCCTATCCTGTTCTACCCTCCTGTATCCTGTTTCTATTTATTTTCTTTTTCGCCATTCAATCTCATAATATCTTTTATTTTTTCTTTCTTTTTTCCCCCTTGCCTTACAAGTCTTCAAGAAGAGAGCCAGAACTTAGCTAACAAACATCACTCTCGTGTTTCCAATATAGACCGGCTCCCTAATCCACACCTTCTCCGGCCACTTTGACGAAGTCACCGGCCTAGCGATCCTGCAAGGGGACCGACAAGGCAAAATCACAGACACAGGCACAGGCAAACAAGAACAGCAACAACAACAACAGCAGCAGCAGCAGCCTATTAAAACTCTCATCAGCGTCTCTATTGACGCTACGTTGCGCAAATGGAATCTTGACCCAAAGGACATGCAGGCAGCGGCGGCGGCAGCAGCATCGTCTTCTGGCCAGGATGAGGAGGCGGAGCAGCAGGGTGATGAGGACAACAAGGTAACGAACAAAGAGAAGAAGAATAATGCCAAAGCATCCTTAATGACGGAAGAAGAAGAGCGGGAATTGGCTGAATTAATGGACGACGATGATGAGTAGATCCGAATTACAATAGACGATATAGAGATCACAAGACCAGGTTAAACCTGTCACAAGTCTATAAATGACGTGAACTATACAGAGGCATACGCAGTACATGGAAATGATAGAAGTAGCTATAGTCAGTTGAATAATTTCAATGAAAAAAATAGAATTGATATATACAACTTGATTCAGAAAAGAAAGTCATACTGAAGCAGCAGATATTATAGCTATGCGCCACAAATCCGGTTCCCAAATAATAAACATGTGCGGAAATTACATACAGCGAAAAAATAAAAAAAAATAAAAAATAAAAAATAAAAAATAAAACAAAGATATTCCAAGTCCAATAGAACAGAGACATGTCCGGTCAGCAGTCTGATAACAAAAAAGCTCAAATCACTAGACTCCAAGACGAGAATGAAAGTAAATACAGTCAAATTATATAAAAAAAAATTAAAACAGAGGAAATAAAGACTCGAAAAGAGTACGGCACAAAATGAAGAAGAGATAGACAAGATGTGAAATGAAGAGGACAGCGTGACAAAGGCTAAATATCATTCAAATGAAGTTTCTTCCCGATAGCACGCCTCGCATGGCCAACGGCCTTTGCGCTCGGTCGTTCGTCTTGTTTGGACTTGAGGGCTTGTAGGAGCATGCCTGCGTCGAAGAAGCCGTCTGTGGGGATTAAAAATTAGTATTGTATTTATACTCACGCATTGTACTGCAACAGAGAACATGGGAGGTGGAGTAACGGTAGGCACACCAAGGAAAGAGGTAACAGGGAGATAATGCGAGATTTAAGATGAAATGAATAATAAAAGTAGACAGAGGGAAAAACTTACATCCACCGAGTCCCTCTTCATCACTGTCCACTCTACTCTCCGTGTCGGATGGCGGAATGCTCTGTCCGCCAATGAGGCGGCCTCGACTCTTGTGCTTGGCCAGTTTCGGCCGCTCCTCGACCTCCCTGACCCGGCTGGCCCGGGTAGAGACCTTTTGGGGAGCGGTTTGGCGGAGCAGTTTGCGCATCTCAATCAAGTATGACTCAATCGCGTCGACAAACCGGCTTGTCTGGCGATGCTTGGAGCTCGCGCAAATGGAGATGCTGTCATCCTTGATAATGTATCCAATGCCGAAACCCTCGCCAGAAGTGGGGCCGAATCCAAATTGGCGGAGCGACGGATTACCGCAATTCGATGTCGACAAGATTGTCATGTTAAGCTTGTCCCATCCGCCGTCGGAGAAGATGGCGGGCATTTGATGAGCGGTGGGCGAGCCTCCTGCTGTGGAGCCCTGGCGGCTATGTTGGCCACGCGAAGGCGAGGAGCTGCTGGCAATGGATTCGCGGTGAGGGCGGCGTCGGCCGGATGAGCTGCTGCTACCAAATGATGAGCGGCCTGGAGGAGGGGAACTGGCGTCGCGGTGTCGTTCAGAAGACGCATTGGACGCGGCGTCATCCATTGGCGTCGATCGTCCATTGGAGCTGGCGGCGTCATTGGAGGAATTGTTGTCACCCAAATTGAAGTCTTCGCTCGCGGCGGCGTCCAAGGCTCGCGACCAGATGCAAAAGAGCGCATACAAGTGGCGGTCCATGCCTTGTGCTTTGGCACTCTCCTTGGTAATGGCCACGTGCTTTTGGCATGCTTTGCGCAGACTGTCGACCTTTTGGCTTGCTGGGTTTTCACCCCAAAAGATGCGCACAAAATCGGCGGCTTCGTCCGTCACCGACCGAATGGCTTCGGTGCGTCCGTGAAAGTACACCTTGGTCATGGCGGGTTCATATGTGCACTCCACCCGGCCGTAGAGACCGTAGTAGGCGGCCTGAAAGGCCATCTGGACAAAGGCGTCGGGCGAAAAGCCCATGGATGTGATAAAGTTTTTGCCATAGCCTTGGAAATCGAGCGTGGCAAATTCGTTCTGCTGAATCAGATCGGCGAGGCGGGTTTCTGCAAAGCGCAACGCAAATGCGAGCTCGGGATGCATGTCCCATTCGAGCTTGTGTGGGGTCGTGCTGACATCGCCAAAGCTCTCTGGGTCGCGCTTTGACGGGTCCGGGCTGGTGGAGGCCCAAAGACGGGGAGATTTGCCATTGATGGAATGCGCAAAGCGGAGGATGGTGTCGGTATAAACATCGCTGGCGAATCGAAGCACGGTGTGGCCGTCGACGCCCGTGTGTTCAAAGTTGATACCGGCGCTTCCATTCTTGCAGACAATAATCTGGAGCTTGTCGTACCACCGGTTGGTGCAGGTACCAATCTGGACGCCTTTTTCGACTTTGCTGGTGCCACAGAGCATGTTCATGCAGAGGTCTGCCGTGCTCTGGGGTTCCGAGTAGTCGAGGCAGACGATAAAAAGGGCCGAGTCGACGATGCCCAGACAGTCGGCATTGTTCGAGCCTTCTTCGCGCGTGAGAATGTCTCGGAGGCGCGCCCAGACTTTTCGATTTTCGGTACTGAGGACGCCCAAGGCGCCCTTGGCGGCCTCTTCGATAGGCGTCATCTGGGCATCGTCGACTATGACTTGAAGGTTCAGGACCAAGTCCTTTTCCGTCATGATAATGTCCGAGTTGTCGTCGAGCACGTCAAACCAGTAGAATTGGCCTCGACAAATGACCACAATATGTTTTGCCGTGGTATCGAGTCCAATGACGCAGCCATTCTCTGTCGGAATACGTGCGGTGCCAAAGAGTCGTGAATACTGGTGCATACATAGCGGCGTGCTTTTGAGTGTATCTGGTGCGAGCTCTTCCTTGCGCACCGCTCGTACAAAATTGAGAGCAGAGATCACCAAGGAAGATGCACGAGTGACCTGGTCGTTGCGCGCCGGCGTCGGGTCATCTTCGAGAAGGAAGCTTCAGCATTGTTAGTGATGTGGTATCATTTAACGGGTGTCTCGAGCATGCGCTTACAAAGGATTGAGGTTCAGAACCACAGCTGCAATACTTAGTTAGCTTTTGCGGTACATGACGGTACACTCGACTGGGAAATCGATCAACTCACGATTGTCAAAGTTTAGGTATGAATCGTACCCTGTATGACCCTGTTAGAAGCTCTTCTCTGCAACATCATAAATGAAATGGATGTGGCGTACAAAACTGCTCAATGTAGCTGGATCGACCTGTCGCATACTTCTTCAAGCGTTCCTGCAGCTCGGGCCCACCGGACTTGAGAAACTCGTGTACCGCTGCTTTCGTCTCGTGATGTTCGCGAGCAGACTGCAGTGGTCTCAAGGCTGCTATATATTTTCGACAGGTACTTTCTAGCTCGGGAATGGGAAGCTTGGGAAGCTTGTGCTGCGAGGAAAAAGTGACGCCGCCTTGGTGGGTCGGAGTTGAAGCTGGTTCAACGGTGTGATGCGAAAGGTGGGAATATTTATGTTCGTTGGACGGCGATCTTGGCGGATGCGTGTCGAGGCCGTTGAGCTTGGCCGTGGCGAATTCCTCGAGTTTCTCCATGATGGTTCTCGGCGAAGATCCACGTGCAAGCGATTATATAAAAGTGTAGAGTTTCGCGAATATTATATACAATACGTTATAGATGCGTCACACGCTTGTCTCGAGGTGTTTCTGATTCACGCGTACAGAGGGGAGATAAAGGTGGCGATAGAAAGCAGACGCAGCGCACTGCGGTAAAAGTAATGGCAGTCTTGTAAGCAGTAGGCCGGCATTGAACGGATCCCCGCAAGAAAGCTCTGGGAATGTGCGAATATGTCGGGGAGCGATGGCCTTATCAGCGGCGAGTACAGGGGATTTCGAGGTAAAGGAACCACGATTATGATCGCATGTCAAGCGTAACGTGGGATAGAAGCTTCAAGGGAAATAAAGGGTGGCGTACCCGTGGTGGTTTATATGGTGGAGAGCACGGGTAGATGAATGTGTGATATAAATACCTTGTATATGAGAAAGTTGGGAGAAATGATTACTCTACGTGGACCAAGGAAAGTCGGGTAAGAGTTGCAGGCAGCCAGCACGGGACCGATTGAAAGAAATGAGGGAAGATCAGCTGGACAGGGTTCTCATTTTTGATCAGAAGGAAGGATCAAGAGTAAGAAATTGGGTAGAGAGGAACAGGAGGGGTAAAGGCGGAATTGGATTGCAAAACGAACAAGAAGCCGTTTCTAGCTTTTGCCATCGGAAACGCGGAGCTTTTCTTTTTTAGCTTCAATCGCCTCCCTTTCTCTCTCTCTTTTCTGCTGCTACTCTTTCCCCAGACTCTTCTTTCCCCGCCTTCCATAGCCGAACTGAACCAAAGTTTAAGCATTTCACACTTACGAGTAACGTAGGATTAACACGGCAAATGACGACAACATTATTAAAGATAAGATTAGACCATGACCTTGATGGCCTCAATGCATGGCTACAACTCAATCATTTGGGTGCAGTAATACCAATATTGTGATTTGATTGGTTTATCTCATTAGATCCTCTGAATGTTGATACTAGAATCATGCTGCACCTTTTTTCTCCATTGTACATCATCTCTTCTTCCCAGAATTTGGCTCTAAAAGTCTTGCCCGGACCATTTTGGCACACACCAGGGACATGGAATCTAGCGGCACTTGCTGCCATCCACCCCTATCCCTCCATGTGCCGCGGGATCAATTTCCCGTCAAACTTTGAATTACCCGCGTTGATCTCTCTCTCTTTCTTGCGTACTTGTTGTTATATGCTACCTAAGCAAAGGACGGGCCAGCGGAACTTGTCCATGTGTGAGTGTCTCTGCCTCTTTGGATTCATCAGCCGAGGCATTCCCATGCTATGGTCGAACCGTCCGTTGCTGCTTCACATGCCCATAGATACTGGCAATAAGGAAACAAGATGATAACCAAAATCTCTTTTCCTTTTGACCAATCCAGATAGCCCGCCTGCTTCACATCTCACTGGAATAGTTGCTGCAGAACCCAAAACCATCGAAAAGCAAATGGTCTTGGACGGAAAACTTCCAATACACAGAGGCTTTATGTAGTATACATCTATTTACATTCTAAATACTTTTAGAGCGCAGTGACATGTCTATATATGTTCCAATATCGCGCTCGTCCCCCGGACGTGTCTCTTATTGCCCCTTTGCTGCCAAAACAGGAGCACGGAGAGCGCCAAACACGATTCCACATACGCCCAACATGCCCATGCCGCCCACCAGATAGGCCACGCTTCGGCCAGCCCACCAGTAGAGTGAACAAAAGATGATCGGTCCAAGCGCACGACCAATTTGACCTGCAGCCCCCCGCCGTCAGTCCTCTGTGACTTAAAAGTGTGATTGTAAAAAAGGGAATCCATGTCAACGACTTACCAAAGCTGCGATGATTGCCCAGGCGCTGACCTCGCTCTGCAGCACGCGCCTCAAGACTACTGAGGCTATTGAGGCCTGTTACCACGGTTGCTGTCGTCACTGCCAGCAGTGCCGCAGCCGCGTACAAGCCTCCTTCAGTGCGGACTTGCCCCAATAGAAAGAAACTAATTGTGCAGCTTACAACTCCTGCTTGCACAGCGCGCAGAGGATGGAGTCGCCGTGTTACCCCGCCCTGGAAGAGTGACGCGATGAGGCCCATGAAACCCAGGAGACGTCCAGAGTTCGCCGAGCCGTACGAGAACAAATCATAGGTCATGAATGGGAGAGAGTATTCCATGCCGGAAAAGAACAGAATGAAGAGAAAATGTGTAGCATTGAGCAAGGCATGCGAGTTGGTGCGTACGTGGGCGGGCTCAGGCTTCTTCTCACTCGACGACTCCTCTTTGCCTGGCCCAGTCACCTGAGGAAGAGTTTCCGGGAGAGAAACATAGAGATAGATAGTTTCTGTCACAATCAAAAACAGTGAGAAGCCAGCCGCGGCTGCAAAAGGATTGCTAGTCACCACCGTTATCTTGGACAAGCTAGCGCCAAGAGCAGGGCCAAAGGTAAACGCAATGGAGAAGCACGCTCCGACCAGCGCCATCGTTGACCCTCGTTGCTTCTCATCACTAATATCCGCCGCAATTGCCGTCGCTAGCTGCACATTGCCTTCACTCAATCCGCCCACGACACGGCTGGCAAGGAACGTCCGGAAGTCGGTCGCGACAAGCCAGAGCGCGACAGAGATAATATTCCCGACCATGGACCACAGCAGAGCAGTGCGTCGGCCATATCGATCTGACAACCGTCCAATTACTGGCGAAGCAATAGACTGCAGAAAGGAGAAGAGTGAACCGAGAGCGCCGCCCAGGAGGACAATATCGTAACGGTCATTAATGGGACGGGCAAACGCTTGCTTGTACGCGTTAAGGCCGGCGAGGATGTGGGTAAGAGCTGAATTTGAGTCTCCTCGTCCGATTTCAAGCTCGCGATAGAATTCTAGTAATTTTGGAAAAAGCGGAAGAATAAATGTAAAGGAAATCTAGGGGAAGTTCTCAAAGTTAGCAAGGAAATGTGCTTGGAAACCGTGGAAATGCGACTCGACGCACCAAGTCTAGCAGCAATGAGATGAAAAGCACCCGAAGCACATTTTCCCTCAGGTTACTTGGTGGTGCTTGTGGACCAGACATTTTGAAGAATGAAAGTTGTTATTGAATGGCCAAGGTGGCCGAATGCTCGTATCATTGTCGGGTTATATTGCACACTACCAGAATGGCCGAGGTTGGCTATGAGCTCATCCGATGGTGTCGTGAGGTGACAATTTTAGCACAAAATATAGTTGCCGCGTCATTGTATTTTCCTTGCACTTGTCTCAGAATGAAAGTACTGTAATGAAAGAGATTCAGGCCATAAATTATGATAAAAATCTATCGAGGTTTTGCTTCTAGCAAGTGGTTTTTGGTTTGTTTGATTATCTCTCCGCGTCAGGTCACTATAATACCAGATCTTGCGTAATCACTTTGCAGAGTCATCAAATTTCAAGCAGATGTAGAATAGGCTGGAAATCAATGGCTTTTAGGAACAAATTCATTTTACGACATCATCGGAACTGATTTCTTTGTGGTGGTGAATATTGTGAATAAACTCTGTCTATAGGCAGCTACTATTGTAGGTGTCTCGGCTGGAGTTGCCACCCTTTGATTTAAATCTAGGCGAGAGTCGCTGCTGCTGCTTCTGGGGCTTCATCCGGCATTATCATCATCAACATTTCAACCGCAGCGACTTTTGCATTTCCGAGACACACCTCTAGGCTCCTTCTCTCTTGAAAGTGAAGGACGCAAGTGAGGTAGATTGATAAAACTGATTACATTGTCCTGATTTTAATATCAAGATCCCGACTCTGACCGGGATATTGGAGTTCTTCTCTTTATCTATTTCATCAACATGTCGTCGGCCTCAGATTCCCGCCCAGTCTCGCCTATACCAGAGGCTGGTCATGATCCTCAGGATACCGCGTTAGACTATGAAGACAAAGACTCGCCGGCCCCTCCTCTAGCTGATCCGCACCAAGACATGGATGCAGTCGAAGATCAAGACCAAAATGCCGTGGACGATGCCCAGGACGACGCGCTCTCCGATAATGAGTCTGCTCTATCTGAAGTTGACGAAGCGCAATTTGAAGATTTCGACCCCGCCAACATTGCGATCGATGATCGTCCCGCTATTGCCGTTGACGAAAGCAACGTCGCTCTCTTGGGCCGACACAAGCGGAAGCGCGACGATGGCTTAGACGGAGAATCAGGAAAGAAGAAGAAAAAGGAGGGAAAGCGCGAGAAGAAGTCTCGTCAGCGAAGGGGCGAAGATGACGGTTTCAGTGGTGGTGAAGAGGTTGAAGGCAAACGGTCCCGAAAGACCAAGGAGGTCAAGGAGCGTAAAGAGAGAGCTCGCGCGAGACGACCCAGCGTCGAGGATGAATCTGCACTTACTCCTGAAGAAAGTGAGTCGGCTCATCACAGCCATTTCTATATCATGATAGTTAACCGGTGGTATTTAGGACGGAAACGGGCTCTTGACAAGGCAATGGACGAAGCGCTCCGAAACCCCAACCGCCGCAGACGCAAGGCCGATGGAATCGTATGTTTATCTTTTCTTGCTTTAAAAACGACATTCACTTAGGATGATGATGATACTGACATGTCTGCGTAGGATCTCGAAGCCATGGCTGATGCTGAAATCGAAGACGTCCGCCGCCGCATGGCCGAGGCGGCCAAGGCCGATACCGACGCCCGTGACGCTGGCAGACCCGCCATGCACAAGCTCAAGATGCTTCCGGAAGTCGTGGCGTTGCTTAACCGCAACACGCTGCAGCACAACATTGTGGACCCGGACGTAAACCTCCTCGAGGCGGTGCGATTCTTCTTGGAGCCTCTCAACGACGGCAGTCTCCCGGCATATAATATCCAGCGCGACCTTTTTGCGGCCCTTGCCAAGCTGCCCATTAACAAGGATTCTCTCGTGGCAAGCGGCATTGGAAAAGTTGTCCTGTTCTATACCAAGAGCAAGAGACCTGAGCCGGGTATCAAGCGTCAAGCGGAGCGTCTCCTGGGAGAATGGACTCGACCTATCCTGAAGCGCACTGATGATTATCGAAAGAGAGAACGCGCCGAAGCGTCCTATGATCCTACGTATGTTTGGTCCCTCCTCTTGTTCTTGATTTAGCTGCCTTTTGGACTCCCCTAATCCAACGCCCCTTTCCTCCCTTTTCACAATCCTTCTATTTCTCTTTTATGTACGCAAATGGCACCGACACTGGCTAACTCTATTACCTTTAGCAAACTCCCCTCCCGCGCCGTCCCGCACATTTCCCGCGAACAAATCGCCGCCGAGGCTCGCCAGCGCATGCTCGCTCCCGTGCGCAACACCAACAGAGCCCGCGCCGAGACCGGTACCACCACATACACCATTGCTCCTGTCAACGTTGGTCCTATTCACAGCGCATACGCCAGACCAATGGGCGCCAGCGGGGAAGATGCTTTCCGTCGCATGAAGGCCCGACAAATGGGCAAAGCCGGCGGTCGTCGTTAGACTCATCTTTGCGGTACATGCGAACTTTGTCCATCCCGTACTCTTTCGTCTTATGGCACTTCGTCCGTGGTCAGCGGTCCTATGATCCATAGTCTGTCTCCTATTGTCCGTTCGTTCACTACTACCGTTCTCATCATATCATATCATACCACCCCCTCCCTCATTCAACCATCTTTCTGTTTCATTTATTTCCAAAAAAAACAGACCACAGATCCTTTCTATCGGCGTTTGTAATGGGCGTTACGCGGCGTCAGCCTTTTTGAGTTTTCGAGAAAAGCACAAGGCGGAGGAAATGGAACGCAATTCTCTTCCTTTTTTTCGTTTATGACAATGTCATACCTGGGTGTTTCTTCAAGTCTTGCAATTACATTAAGTGTTATCAATCACATCAATTCCATTACCTCCTCACGTCCATTAGTACATTAGTACAGCAAGTATATCAATTACCAATTCCATTACGTTTTACATTTGTCAATCCAATCTACTGCCATTTTCTTTACACTGTTGTGTGTTTCCCATGTTATCCTGATTCCCCATATCATCCTGACTTCCTGAGTGAGACGCTACATCCTTGGTTTTGGTGAGAGACGAAGCAACAATGACTGTAAATATCACCATGTATATCACACGAGACTTGGCTCTTCCGACGATCCCGACGATCCCGACGACCCCGACGATCCCGAGGGTTCAGATTCCGAGAACTTCCAAAGTGCAAGTAGACGTACCGCATGCCGCTCTACATGATACAGTACGGAGTATGAAGTTGCAGCAGGAAGTACAAAGGTACGAGTAGAGGCGCAGTATTGTCTTCAAAGAGGATACACCCAAGTAAATATCATTCTTAAAAATTGAGATGAAAGAGACACGGGCATTGTTATATTGTGATATTGTGAAATTGTGAACAAAGGCCCTGTATGAGGGGTACAAGAAGCGTATAGTCCTAAAACTTGCAAAAAAAAAGAAAAGAAAAAGGAAAACACGGGCAATTGAACACCGACCTTCTTTTCTTTTCCCCTCTTTTTTTTTTGGTGGGATATAAACGATAGAAACAGTAAAGAATGATAAATGAAAGACGGGAAGAAAAACGGGAAGGGAATGAAGAAAGAAAGAAAGAAAGAAAGAAAGAAAGACAAAAAGGGATGAAAACAGTAAAAAATGAAAGGGAAAAAAAAAAAAAAAAAAAAAAAAAAAAAAAAGGGAAGCTAAAAAAGGGGGGAGGCAAAAATATAAAAAAAAAAAAAATTTTTGGGAAAAAAAAAAAAAAAAAAAAAAAAAAATTCAGAACCCAAAAAAGGCCCTCAACTGCTGCCGCCCATTCATTTCCTCAAAAGGCATCTGTGGTTCCTGCGGCCGACTATAACCACCTAGACCACTACCATTCATTCCCGCAAAGGCCAGCAAGCGTTCCTGACGCGTCGTCGTAGCGTGCAATTCTTTCCGATCGAGCGGCCAGCCAATTTTATCTTTATATTTGTAATTGAAAGCACTACCAGGGGGAGCGTCCTGTTCTTTGCGCCGTTGGTTTTCGCGATACTCCTGGTCGCGTTTATGGAAGATCGGGAGCCATGTTTCCTCGTATCGTTGGCATTTGGCGTGTATGTGCGCAAGGTAGTCTTCGAGTTCGGGCACTAGGGTGTAAGGGAGGTAGACGGTGAGAGTGTGCCATGCGAGACGCCAGTCAATGGGTATGATGGGGTTGGTATCCGCATCGGCGGATGTTTCGGGTTCAGGTTCGATGGAATTGGACATGTCATGGGAGTCGGCACCTTCGAGGGTTTCGAGGGTTTCGAGGTTTTCGAGGGTTTCGAGGGTTTCGAAGGCTTGGGGAGAGTATTCGAAATCTAGGGTGCTTTGAGGAAGGCCGTGTGGGCTTGGGCTTGGGCTTGGGCTCAAGTCTTGGTCGCTAGGCACATTCATAGGCATAGACAGAGGCAGAGGCGTAGGTGTGCCGGCCAAAACCTCGTAGTGGATGCATGTACTCCCTGATTCGGCCGACTGAACAGAAGGGGTGATTGGCGTGGAAGAGCCGCTGTTGCTGGTAGCTAGTGCCCTTGTGAGGAGTTGATGGAGTGGTGTTTTGGGATGGTCAGCGGACCAAGGAGGAGCTTGATTCGCGGGCTCGGGGGACGGAGTGATTTGTGGAGTTGAGGAGTTTGTCTGGTTGAAACGATCATTGTTGCCCTCGAGAGTGTGTGCTGTGGTATGGTTACTCTCGTATTCTCCAGAGTTGAAATAAGTTGCTGGGCTACTGTCGTAGTGGCTGTTAAAGTCTGCACTTGTTCCCTGAATATTTTCGAACTCCTGAGCTTCAGGGTACGACGATTCTTCATTCTCAGTGTTTTGTAATTCTTCCGGCTGTTCCTCATTGTCGATATCCAGATTATAAATGTTGTGATGGATTTGAGTATTGTTGCTTGCGAGAGACTCCGTGCTGACATTTGTCAAGTTACTGACATTCCGCACCCCACGCCTCCATTTCTCGATGCTGGTTCTTGTCCTCCCGTCGATAAAGTCGGAAATGATTTCACATGAGGAGCTGCTCTGGATCTCGGATCCGCTTGTAAAGTCCTCCTCATATTGAATAGTGCCGTCGGTTTGGATAATGCTCTCATCATTATCAATAGAATCATCACTGGAAGAATGCTGATCGGTATGGACTTCGAATCCGCAAAGAACGTGTCTGTTCAGAGGTATATTGCTCTTGGGAAGAAGTCGACAAGCATAGATTTCACAAAGTGGGTATTCTCCGTCCTTCAGGCAATTGTATACGGATTCGAGATCGTCGAGAAACGAGTCGCGGAGGTGGTGTGCTTTGGGATTAGGAGGATATCTCCATATCTGGGTAGCAAACGTGTCAGTATACTTCTTTACAAAGTTCTCATCTGCAAATTCATTTGCTCAGACTGTGGACTGATGTAAGGGCCGTCTGGGAAAAGGAAGATGGATTTGAAAATCGACGGTATGAAACAAGTATCATGGCCCGTGAGGAATAATGAAAAGGTGACGCACAGAGTATGTAAACTCGTTGTCCCTGATTCGAAGTCTTAAGGCTTTTATCCTCCGTATCGCCCATCGGAGATGCATGCGCAATTTGCTGTTTTTAATGTGAGTGATGTGCGGATCAGCCATCTTATGACCAGTATATCCACTCTCAAGTGCTTATCAGAAAGCACAGAGATGGATTTTCGAGCTTGCCAACGGCAGGTGAAGCTTTGGGAATCTGATTCTTGCAGTAACAAAGTCCATAATGTAAATAATGCTTTTGTCGTAGGAAACCAAAGTTGACAGAAAGTGCCGCGCTGGTTAGAAACATGGTTTGGGAAGGCGCGTTGTCGCGACTAAATATACGCTTCATCACACGGAGCCCTTCATAAGAGCTCCTTCCTGAAACACTATTTCAGCAGACACGGCCAAACAAACGACTTATATCATTGAACATGTATTAATTCTCTATTTCGAAACCCACAAAGAAAAAGAAAATTGATACAATATCTCCAAAAAGGGGGGTTTTGATACCATCAGTGTTCAGAAGTAATATCAAAACACTATCCATTTTCTGGATCCCCTGACCTACCTTTAAGATTTGTACACCGGCAATCTCATTCTGTTTTACTTCTTGTCAACCCATCATGGTATGCTCCTTGGGACTTATCAGCTGCTTGTGCGTGTAGAGATACTCACCCATCTCAGAGCGAAAAATCTCAGAACGAAAAGCCGGCGACACCCGCTACCGCAGAATCTGAGTCGGAAGCCCCGGTGTTATCGTCTACATCAGCCACTGCTGGATCGGATTCGGAAGCCGCGGGAGTATTGTCTACACCTGCCACTGCTGGATCTGAGCTCGACGGTCCTGTACTGTCATCGACAAGCCGGCCAGTCATGGAGGTGTCCAGTTCAATGCGTGATGACCTTGGCTGCAAAGTCATTGGATCTGATGGAGTGCTGCGCCAATTTGATTATATCGGGAATGTCGTAGACGCCAGAAGACTTGATCCAGATCAAGTCAATGAATGGTACAGCATTTTCGCCTTTATTCAACCAGACCAACGTTTCGAAAATGCCGATGGACGCGAGGTATCCGACCATCAGTTGTTCAATCCTCTTGAGAAAGATCAAATGGAGTCAATGCCCTTCGAGTTATTGATGACCAAGGTAGAAAATATGACGGATGTGCCAGCGCAGACAATCCAAACCTATTACGATGACGCGGTGCAGCGCGAGAGGGCAAAGTATGCATCTCAGCGCGACCAGTCCAAGGATGATGAGCTTGAAGCGGGAAAACAAGTTGAAGAAGCGAAAAAACTACTTGAAGAAGCAGAACAACTATTTCGAGAAGCAGCACGAGGAGAAGTAGAAGGAAGTGAGGAAAAGGAAGAAGGAGAAAAGGCAGGGAAAAAAGGAAGGAGGGGAAAAGGAGGAAGAGGAGGGAAAGGAAGAAAAAGAGGAACGGGGAGAGAAAGAGGTGTAGGAAAAGGAAGAGCGGAGGGAAGAAAAAGAAGAGGAAAGACGTAGTCAATTTCGATGTTGCTTTGCTGTTTGTTTGACAATTGTGGGCTCACGTAGTCTTTAGTGCTTTCAGGATATTTCTTGGATGGACAATGATAAATGAAACAGAAGTAAGAGTACTCCGTATGCTAACGTATATTCAGACAAAGGAAAGGGATAAGGGGAGAACTGAATTCGAAGCAAGACACTCTGAATACGAGAATGCACAAACCAACTTTAGAATATCTGTGTTTTGTCGATGCTTTAATTGAAACAAAACATGATGTTGCATCCTCTCATGTCTTAAGGTGTATTGTGTAGTAATATACTGGATAGGCGGAGGGCGCCAGCGCGCGTCTGTCGGAAATCGGGAATCTAACGCCGACTAAATTGAACCCCAGATTTTGGCGCCGACGCGCTCCAACTCTATAAACAAATTGGACGATTCACTCCAATCTCGAAACTGATGACCGACTTGCTGAATATTCTTCCTGACTTTTCAATACGGTCATATACACACCTACTTCCGTCGCTCGAAAAGAACCGTATCTCGACTACGGATCTAATTACACTTGATGCACTAGAGATTGCAAAGCGGGCGCAAGTGCCCTTGCTCGATGTGAGACGATTGGCGAGCGCTGTCTTGGACGCACTACAAGGCGAGTTGGGTTTGGGCACTCAGGCGGAGAATCGAAATGCCATTCAAACGGGAAATAGCAATGGCACGAGCACGTCAAACGGCACCGCGCAAAAGGGCAGGTTACTGAGAAAGAATGGACTGGACGCGGCGCGAGCTCCTCAGACCATTAGTACGCTCGACGAGCAATTGGATGCCGCGCTGGGCGGGGGATTCCCAACAGGCTACATCTCGGAGCTTACTGGAGAAAGGTATTATAATTGCTACGTGCCCTATCGGTAACAAGAGCTAATTGACTCGCAGTGGTGCCGGCAAGACTCAGTTTCTTTTGACGCTTCTCCTATCAACCCAGCTACCTGCACCCCACGGTCTTGGTAAAAGAGCATTATACATTTCCACAGAAGCGCCATTGTCTACGCAGCGTCTGTCGCAGCTTCTTCGCGCTCACCCGGTGCTATCTGCATTGCCTGCCGATCGAAAACCTTCCCTCGAGCGCGTCCTGGCCATTCAAACCCCCGACCTCGAATCTCAAGAACACATATTACGATACCAACTCCCCGTTGCAGTGCGACGACATGGAATTGGCCTCGTAGTACTGGATAGTGTCGCAGCCAACTATCGCGCTGAATTGGCCCATGGGGGACTCGGTAGCAGGCACGCTGCAGCCATGGCGCAGCGATCTGGCGATCTGGCGCGGCTTGGGTATATGTTGCGCGAGCTGGCGCAGTCAGAGAACCTGGCCGTCGTAGTAGCTAATCAGGTAGCGGATAGATTTGATGCGCCTACATTAGCACCGTCGTCACAACATGCTTTCCAAGCATCACAGGCTGGAGGAGGAGGATTGCCATCGTCCTCGCAATGGCGACCCAATGGTGGTGGTGGTGGTGGTGGTGGGCTTGGTCTTCCATCATCTTCTTCGCCTTTACCGCCCTCGTCACCTTCACCATTCGTCCTACCAGACTCAACCATGGGAGCCGGAGGTTTGGTCCCGCCGTTTGCAGCGACGCCCACGTCCACATCGACTCCCACCGCAGACCCCATGACGCTGGACCACCAACAGCGTTGGTTTACAGGATGGGGAGATTTGCGATGGACAAGACAAGATATGAAGACTCCTGCTCTGGGACTTGTGTGGGCACAGCAGATATCAGCCCGAATCGCACTCATCCGGGAGCCAGTGTATGTGTCTAAGAGAAGGAGGGAGGATGAAGCTTATCACGGTCGAACCGTCCGTCTTGGCTCATCACCCCCACCACCATCGCCCCCGCCGGCTAAGATACGCAGGGACTTTTGTCCTGCGAGTAAGACGGATAACATGGGTCAGATAGAGAGAACGACTAATTCCGTTGGGTTACATGATGGCCATAAGAAGATTCCATCTGCGGACAAGAAAACCGATGATTCCGCCATCCCTCACTCCTCGCCGTCCTCGTCATCGTCATCTCCACTCTCTTCGCCGCCGCCGCTTTCTCCAGACCGGCCTCCACTCGTCTCACCTACGCGTCAGGCCTCTGATTCGAGACCAATACCGACTTTAGACAATTCAGCCACGTCTAAAACGATACAGTCAAGTCAAATCGAAGACTCGGAAGACGAGAATCAGTCGCAGGACGAAGAGGAAGAGGAACAGCATCCTCGTCAGATCGATCATGACAATGACGACGAAGATGACGAAGACGAACTGGCATTATCACAACCACAGCCACATCCAGCAGTCCCCGCTGCCACTGTCAAACCCATCGCTTCTACGCAGCCAGAACAATCTCAGGCTCCGTCTCCATCTAAACCTTCCTCTCACGCTGACCCTCTACATGCATCTCCACAGTTATCACAGCATGGTTCCAACGTGCTTAATGATACGACAGTCCCATTTTCCAAACAAGATGTACCTCAGGGCCAGGGCAACGATAGTGCTTCCCGCCTTGAGGGTCTTACTGCAGTTGTGTCTGCTCCTGCTCCTTCTGTCCCTTCTATCACACTTGTCGATCCTACCTCTGCCCCTATCAACCTCATCGATTCTACCACTGTTAATGAAGACAAACTCGATACCAACAAGGCTGTTGCGGCCAACGTCGATGCAAACGGCGCTGCCACTGATGATGCACACAACCTCGATACCAACGACGCCAAAAAGCACGAGGAACAAAGAGACGACGACAAGACAACCCAACATCATCAGCATCATCAACGAGCCCCAGAAACAGACACGCACCCCACCGCCCCCGCCCGCGCGCACTGGCGACGCTACTTCAAACTCGTCTACGCGAGCTACGCGGCCCCGCATGACGGCACGCGGGGCATTGAATTTAGTATCACGACGAGCGGGATCCGTACTGCTAGTCCCAGTGCCAGTGCCAGGTTCGGTACATAGCACGTACCTTTTCAAGGCTTTAGGCCCAGCAGGGTTGTTTGGCCTATCAGGGTCTATGCCTGCTAGGGTTGTTAGACCTAGAGATGCATATCTTACAGAACAAGCTATATATATATATATATACGAAACAAGCTATATATGAGGGGAAAAAAAAAACCGGAGATATATACGAAACAACAGAGATATATACCTTACCTTACAGAAACAAGGCAATCTGGAAAAGATAGGTGGATGGACGAGTGGAATGACTAGGTTTCGAGCGAGTGACATGGATAAATGCATGGAAAAGACCTATTGGGATAATAATAATAAAAATACGGGTTTTTTGAGATATAGCCTAGTCCGAGCATATGATACAATATACTACCATTTTGCGATACAAGTTGTATACAGTATCCATATTCGATTGATTTTGTAAATACAGTCAGGAGAGTGGCGCTATCGTAGGGTAAGAGGAAGAAGGGGGAAAAAAAAAAGAAAAGAAAAAAGAAAAAGAAAAAGAAAATCAAATAAAGAAATAAAAGACGAAAGATCCAAGAATACAAGACCACGCCTCGCAGCGCCTACATGGAATAGATCATCGACACAGAGATAAGGAGAACAAGTATAACGAGCTTATAACGACAGATAGATAAACTGAGTTGGTTGTCCCAGTGTAAACCTTGTTCTCGATGAAAAGGCCCAAAAGAAAAAAAGAAAAAAGAATAAAAAAAAAAGCGAGAAGAAGAGATGACCTACGGACATTCATGGTCACGGCAAGGCGGCCTGCAAATCGTCCATGTCCAACTCTTCCTTACACACGCCGGCTTCGCAGATCTGGACGCGGGCCACGGTGGAATCGAGAGAGGCGAGGAGGGAATTCCGCTTGACGAGCCACGAGGATTGTATTAACGAAGAAGAAGAAGATGATGACGTTGTCGTCTTTGGTGTGGTTGCAGTTGCAGTATTTGCGATCCTCGCCACAGTTGTAGTCGGTCCAATGCTTGTCCGGAATTTCTCCAACGCGGCGCGAATGTTGGCCGGCTGCTGATCGCGCGGTAATCCGTCTACGCCACCAGTAAGCACGATACTGCGCATACCTAAGTTGCTCGCGACCACTGCGGAGAGCATGCTGGAGAAAAGAAAAGGGTGCTGCATGATTTCAGGTTCAAACGCTTGCGTCGTCTGTTGCGCAAACGTGGCGTATCGCTCGTCGTTCAAGAGACTGCCCAGGCGATGCAGGTTGAGAGCGCTGATGCCGTTGGTTGAAGGCTCGGCGCTGTCCATGCCGTCTTTGAGGCGCAGAATAAGGTCTGGCGCCGAGGCTTCTGTCGAGAAGAACCCGTAGGAAGAGGTATCCCAGAAAAGGTCGATTTGAGTTTCTGTGCAGAAGCAAGATATTAGTAAAGTGGTTTTGACGTAAGATATTGGACAAAATACATACGTTGTAGTCGATCGGCGAGTTCCAAATACGCATCGTTAAATGTAGCTTGGTATAAATCAATCAGGCCCGAAATTAAGAATGTATAATCGTCTGCAAATCCTGGCGCATCGCCTGGTCCCTCACGGTACACTCGTCGCAATCGGCCAGTGGTCTCGTCATAGAGCTGCGAGCGGATAAAAGCTACGGCCTTTTCGGCGGCTTCGCGGCACACACGAGACTTTTCAACGTCAACGCCATTGACGATACTGCTGACGCGCGCCAGCGCGCCAATAGCTAGTCCGTTCCATGCGACAACAATCTTGTCGTCAAGGTTCGGTCGCGGCCTCTCGCGCTCCCGATACTCGCGCAATTTCTGTCGGCTCTCCTTTATAATCCGGATCACTTCCTCCTCGCCAAGTCCAAACTCTTTGCTGAGCAATGCTGGCGTACTCTTCACCGACAGCACATTCTGGTCGATAAACTCATCATGTGCATCATGCTCGGGGCTGACGTTGCCATGGGCGCTAACACCAAAGAATCGCGCGCACACTTCGGCGTCACGCTCGCCCAGGATAGACTGAAACTCTTTCAGAGTCCATACATAGAATGCACCTTCGCGCTTTTCCGAGTCGCCTGCTCGGGGAAGCGAGTCAGCATCCTCGGCGGAGAAGAAGCCACCCGTAGGCGAAGCCAGTGGGTGTTCGGTAAGGTAGGTCGAAATGTCGTAGACGGCGCCGAGCATTTCTGGATCTTGCGAGATAAGAAATGCGTCCAGGTAGATGTTGAGCAGCTGAGCTTGATCATAGAGCCTATAGCAGACGGGGGTATCAGTTCTGAAATCCTGCGATAATCAAACAATGGGTCTGAGGGGACAACACACATCTTCTCAAAGTGAGGGAGGCTCCAGTCCCGAGTAACAGAATAACGAGCAAAGCCGTTGCCAACGTGATCGTGAATCCCGCCACGAGCCATGTGTCGAAGTGTCTCAAGCGCCATGAATGTCGCATTGGCACATTCTGCCTCGCCCACCAAATCCTCAACTGGGCCAGGATACTGGCTCAGCCGGAGCAAGAAGCTGAGATTGACCGGGGTCGGGAACTTTGGTGCCACCGCGAATCCTCCGTGAGTGGTGTCAAATCGCCCCTCGAAATGGCGATAGGCTTCCTCCAGGAGCTCAATCTCAAGTCCTGACCCAGCATCCTCGCCGCCTCGCGATGCTCCACTCAGAGTGCCTTCTTGCGCAAAGTCTCGCAGTTGAGCCGTGATTTCCTTCGCGCTCATGAGACATCGCTGCTCCTGATCCCGCCAGACGTCGCTGACCTTTTCGAGAATATCCAGGAATCCAACGTGGTCTTGGCCCATGACAGTCGCGGAGTTGGGCCCTGGCCAATATGTGCCGCCAAAGACAGGTTCAAGGTCCGGCGTAATGAAAACATTGAGAGGCCAGCCTCCCGATCCAGTTGTCGCCTGGACAAAGTTCATGTATATGCGATCAATGTCTGGGCGCTCTTCTCGATCGACCTTGACGGGGATGAATGAAGAATTCAACACGGCGGCGATCTCAGGTGACATGAACGACTCGCGCTCCATGACATGGCACCCTAGACTCTATGGTTAATCAAGCATTCACCCCGGGATCGCGCATCCTCGAGACATACAATGGCAGGCCGCATAACCAATGCTCACAAAAAGAAGCTTATTGTGCTGTTTTGCTAATCCCAGAGCTTCGGGACCCCACATTTGCCATGCTACCGGGTTGTTCATATGTCCACGGACCTGGGTTTGTCCCATATGCAGTCAGCCAATTGATTGCAATAATTATTGCTTAAATTCGAAAGATTGTTAGCGGAGCCAACTCCGACCGGGGCACGCGACAGCTTCGACCCAGACCATTGAAGCTCTCTTGATGCGTGCCACGCTTCAGTCGAAGCAGTCAGACAATAGGCCAGCATTTCCGCATACTCGCAAGTAGGGTCTTCTGCTGCCTCAATGTTGTCAAGTCGCATCGTGTCTAACGATACATTGGAAAAGCTCTTGACGGACAATCGTCTCACATAAGCAGACCAACACCAGCAGGGGCCTCACTCACATAAGGACTCCGACTTTCATCCAAGCGATTGACAAGCTTAAGCTTGCCTGCATTGGCTGCCTGGCTGGCATAACCCTGCCTGGCGCCTGCACCGGGAATGGCCTGCGCCGCGGATGCCATGAGGCTCGTATCGATAGTGGTTAAAGTGGTAGAGGTGCTGAAGCGAGAAACCCCAAGCAAAGGTCGGAAAGAAAGCTTCTTTCCGTGAAGACGTGCTGGCGATGAGAGCGGTGAGACCGTCCGGCGGGGAAGAGCTGGCGAAATTGGAGTTTGTTTCAAGGAAGGCCTGGGGCAAGCTTTCGTAATAGAAGATATAGGAAATTGACAATGTCCCTTCTCAACTAGCTGTTGGTCGTGGGAAGGACTTGTCTTGAATAAAAAGCTTAATAGCTGCAGAACCACAAAAGACCCTGTCAGAGAAAAACGAAGAAGCGACCAGTACAAAGAAGGCAGCGAAGACGATAAAGGTGATAATAATAATAATAATAATCGCGCGTCTCCAGGAGAGGTAATCGTGAGGTGGGGCCCTGGGCCCTGGTGGATGCGAATGCGGCGAAGGCGGGACGAACAGGAAGGGTCAAGCTGAGCGAGGGCGTGTCTAGAAGTGACCGATGTGACTGAGCGCATCAAGAGATTGAGTGTTGCCACATCAGGGTCCAGCTTCCCCTCAAACCTGATGTGAGATAAATTGCGGAAAGAGACGCGTTTAAGCGCGAGCAAAGCGCTGGGAATGTCAGGATTGATTGAGTTTCCCGCAAAACTTCCAATTTAACCTTTTCTTCTCTGCCATCGATCAGCAAATGCCGTTGGCGGGTGCGGTAGGTTTTGGGCAAAAAAGCAATTATGACGCCTTGGCCGCTTGGCTCGCGCCACCAGGACCTGCTAAATTCACGCGAGCAGATGGGTATCCGCACCGTTAAAAGTAGTCGATACTGGGGGATCCCTTCACGTCCCATTGATTGTATGCAAGACAGCGGGGAAACCCCTCTCCCCAAAAAAAGCAAAGAGAGAAGAAAACATACAAAATGCGGTGTTATCATTCATTTTGGGCAACCCACTTGAGGCGAGCTGTTAGACAATGTTCCCATGATCTATTGGACTTAAATGCTTCTCTCCACCTAGGTGGAAGATGACCTTCCTTTCGCTCCTCTTGTTCCTAACTAAATGAGGCTTCTACGACCGAGGGAACTTTTCTCCACCGGCTTCTGATAACCGACTCCCCCTTGCCCATACTGTAGTACTATATCTATCTCCTCATATCGTTTCCTAAAAGGCTGGAAACCCTTGGATTTTGCTCGCCGCTAAAAACAATGTTCACAACTCTAGATGAATCGCTCACTAATTGTTACAATCTCAAATCACTTTCTGATCACATGCCAAAGATAAAAGATATTTGTTACTTCAAAAAGATGATGAAATGAATTGAACTTTTTCCCCTAACTAAGGAACAATCATCATATCTATCAAATGATTTATACATGACAAACTGTATAAAGATGCAAATCAAAGCGCGATGCTGATACAAGCGGCCATGCTCACATGCCCACAAATGCCATCTACATGACAAAAGAATGAATGAAATAAAGAGTGGCACCTCTCGAGAGAGGGAAAGAAAGAAAAGACTGAACAACCACCGTGTACCAGACACGCGTGGTTCATATCAAAGTGTCCGGCTCGCCGAAGACTTGTTCCCGAACCAGAAGCCTCCGGAAAAGGCGCTTAGACGGAGACGGTCTGGTCGCCCTTGGGCTTCTGGACATTGTCGGCATACTCGCCGCCATAGTTTCCAGGGGGGTAGTAGTTGCAGACGGTGAAGTAGGGGGGCACGTTGCTGCCAGTGTTGGCGAGCGACGAGCACTGGTGAGTGGCGCAGCCGACCGAGGTGGTGTCCTTCCAGACGATCTGAGAGAAGTGACCCCACTTCTCAAAGTTGGTCATGTCGGGGTTGGCCTGGCCATAGAGACCATCGAAGTAGTTGATCTCGCCATTGTAGAACATGTCGGAGATGATCTTGTCAATGCCGCTAGCGTCGACACCGGCAGCGATGTTCTGGCCGTAGCCACCACCGCCAGTCTGGGTGTTGTGAGCATAGACGCAGCTGGAAGCGATCTGAGAAGCAATGTCGGCGAGGGTGTCGTTGTACTGGAGGTCCGAGACCGTGTGGTTGGCACGGTGGACGTTGTGGTGGTAGAGAACCGTGCTGGCGTAGTCAGACGGGCTGCTGCCGCTGACAGCGTCAACAGTGGCCGAGGGGGCCTCCGAGGAAGAGGAGCTAGCAGCCTGAGTAGAAGAGGGAGCCGCAGAGCTGGTGGAAGCCTCAGTCTGGTGGGGCTGCTGAGCGTTGAAGAACTCGCCGTGAGCAGTCACGGTCTCAGTGGGAGCAGTGACGGTGTCAGTGACAACGACAACGTTGACGTTGGTGACGGCGTCACGCTTGGCCATGGGAGAGGCAAGAGCGCCAGCGGCGAAGAGAGCAGAGACGAGAGCGGAGTAACGCATGTTGATTGAGGATATCAAAAAAGATTGATTTGAATCTGGTAGGAGCAACGAGACAGGATATCAAATCACTGAGTCGTTGAAAGGAATGAAGCAGATCGACTGCGAAAGATTGACAGAAGAAAAGAAGTTGTACACTTGAAAGATTGAAAGTGCACAAAGAAGAAGAAGATTGCAGGTCAAGCCCGTTGACTGAAGAGAATGGATCTTTTGAATGTTTGAAACAGTTGAGAACTGATGGAGAAAGAAGGGATGGAAGTGGAGCGGTGGGTCGGTTTAAATAATGAAATGAGCAGGAAGAGAAACGGGATGCACAAGGGGCGGGAGGGCCGAGACGACGCACAATGGGTGGCCCGTGTTGGTGAAACACGGCGACGTCGGTCGAACCCTCGGTCTCGGTGCGATCGTGGACAGTTGGAGGAGAAAGAAGGTGTTTGGGATCGGGCACAAGGTCAATCGGCAGAGAGGCACGTTAGACTGCTGTATGTCACTCTCTAGTGGCCGGCCGCGTGTTTTGCTACTCTCGGGAAGAAAAACACACTCGGCCCGTCTAGGAAATGGGAGGGGTGGGGCCGTAGTACTTCCGTAGACCTCGACAACAAAGACGACGACGACGACGACAATGGAGAGAAAAAGAAAATGAAGAAAAAAAAAATTGCAATTTCTCCACAAGAACCAAAGGTTCACGATTATGGCCAACCCGATCACTCGGCTTTGTTTCCGATCCACCAGAATCGGTCCTCGTCATCCCCTCTTCATTGAAGAGGTCACTGTAGTCTTTATACATGATGTACAGGTCATGGTTCGAGCACGCGCTCAGGCGTTTCACCTTTGACTTTTTCTTGTTCTTCGTGCCCTGACAAGCCACGCCGCACGAGCCTGACCGTTCAAGAGGTCTAGTTCCATTCATGGTAGAAGGGAAAACACCTCCTTTGTCAAAATCATCACCACTGTTGCGCTGTATTCCTTTCGTTCCTCGTCTCCCTCTCTCCCCCCTCTGTCTCGCGTCCTTTTTTTGGGAGGGGCGACGTCAAAGGAGGCATGACCCAGGGGGCGTCAGGGCAGCATAGTGATTGGTTGGAACTTGGAACAACGTGATTAAGCGAGAAGCGGACAGAGAAACTAAGCGAATAAAGACCATGTACCTTGCAGGTATCCGGGCAAAAGTACCCGAGGAGGTTGATTGAAGGAACACGACAGGGGGCCGCAATCATTTGGTCTCCTCCTATCAAATGGCCCACAGCCGTTCACTTGGTCACTTCGCTCGTACTGAGAAACGCACCCCAGATCATCCCCCCTGCTCTCTCACCAAAAACCTCCTACTCTATACGCCATTGTAATCCTTGCAGCACTCCCGTTCCTAGCGTGAAAATGTATGCCCCTCCGGCTTCACTTCATTCCCTCCCCTCATTAATGGGGCGCCGGGAACATCCTTGCCAATCTCACGATGAACAGCCCCTCTCCAAGGACTCCACAATTTAATCGATGCACGAACAGTGGGGTTTCCCCATCGTGAGATACGTTCTGCTAATCCCCATTATTTAAGAATCGCATGATCCCAATCTGTGCAAAACTGCTACTGTTTCGCCATACGGTACTTCGTCCTTCCTCCCTCGAACATTCGTATACTTCAACGATACATTGCCACACCAATATTGCCGGTGCCTGCCGCCGCAAACCATGGTAAGAGCCATCAAAAAAAGGCAAGACGTAGAAACAAAGGAATTCACCGAGGAGACACCACGGCAGTAAAAATTTGACTGGCAGGCAGCAGTACTTTTTTCGCCTCCTTTTTTCTTTGCATTTCTTCGTTCCAGGGCCAAACCCCGAGCAGGTAATAGTACCGGAACGATCCTCTAGGTGCCGAGCCCGTGGAAGTGCCGATTGAAAGGAACCAAGCCTGTGGATTGGCTCCGGCCATACTTCTCGTCGTAGTACAAGTCCTTCTCTCTTTTTCCCCTTTGTCCTTCCGATCCAAGAGAACGCGTTACCAAGTGGGTCAATATGGGACTTCTCCCGGCCCACTCAACGGTCCGCTCACGATGCTCCGAGTCAATCAAATTTTCTACATCCTCTCTCGGTGGAAATTACAAGAGAGAAAATTTTTATGAACTATTGGTCGAGGCGTCAACGATGCCAACTGCGCTCCCAAGAGACCCACGCAAAGCATTCCACGCGGCCTAATTATTGGACCTCAACGGGCACATCCCGGTCGTAGATCATTCGTCCCGAATGAAGCCTTGCGGCCCGGAAGGCACGACGGTTCTCCATAATGGAGAGGATATGGAGATGATATGGAGATCGTTAGTCGGAGAGCAGTAGTGAAGAATCACAATGCGGCAACTTCGTTTCGATAATTTGAAGCACCATGCATGTCTCGCCCAATTTGCTGCTCAGTAACACATAATGACGGCATAATCGTAGAACCCTTGATTCAAAAACGAAAAAAGCAAAACAAAAAATTCTTTTGCCGACCGGCTTAACACTTCACCAGCAGACATTTGCCGCTAGAAGACGGACACTTTTCACTTTTGGGGGGTTAGTCAGGGGGAGTTGCCATCTGCCGTTATACTTGGTAGCCCTTCGCGCAAGCCATCGGAAGATTGCGTGTTGCGGCAAATGTCCCAAAGAGGAAGGCCAATGGCTTTGTCAACCGGCCTGCTTAGGTGTAACCACTCAATAGTAAATTAAATAGACCCGGCTTTATTGCAAGAAAAACCTTTCTACCCATTGTACTGCTCAGATATGGAAAGTGCTCCATCGTCCCACACGTGAATTCCGCTTTAATATGGAACCTGCCGTTGAGAGCCTTTGGTTCAAGCCACGTCTGCAAGGTCTCGACCCAAATTAGGATCCGATGTTGCACGGCAGACCGGAAAACCGGAATACAGCAGTTGTGATCGCGATGAATGTAGTCTAGTGTGGCTTGACCGGGGTTTTGTCCGAATTATCGTAACGCATCACCAGTTGTTGAATCATGCATCAACGAAGTGATTTCGAAAACGGCTGAATACTGGTAGTTGGATACTTGGACCAGATGAAAACCTGTAATATCTAGACTTCTTGATAATTCATCAGTAGACATGTGATTTTCTTTTTCCTCTGTTTGATTTTTCGAAGTTGGCGTAGATACACCACATCAATTGACAGCCTCACGTGTATGACATGAGTCCGACCCGTCTGCTTGGTTCCGAAGCACGTGTGAGATGATTCGAGTCTTCTACCACGTGACTACTGTGATCATGTATACGCAATGGCGCTTGTTTCTACGTGCTCGATAATACACGCTCGAGAAATGCACTGCATGTCTTCTTATGTATTACTTATGCCGCAGTCACATGATCTTATGCTCCAACTGACCAGTTGATGACATAACCTGCCCTTTTCAATGCCTAGATATGCGCAGTTATCAGCAGACTCCAGCACTAGAGTTTCATCGGGGGTATCGTCACACAGCCAAACGTTTGAACCAAAAGCGCAAATCGGAAATTCCATACCATCTGCCAAAGACCACAAGCTCCGTTAACCCTAAATCACTTACCTCACCTCTTTCCAAAGTACTTTCTTTCTACAACAGATCCAATTAACAAAATGTTCGGAGGACGTAAGTGACCTGCTTTCAGGCATTCTTCAATTCTTTTCGAGGTTGCAAGCTAGAGCAAAAGAAATTCTCTTTTGACTGCTGCGCATAGAAGAAACCAAAGTACAATAATGTTTCTTTGGACCAAATGCTGACTTTGAAATTGTTTCCAGCTCCACCACCCCCTAGCAAGGCCGAGCTTCAGGTACGAATATTCTTGATCTTCTGAGTGTCAATCTGCACAAAACTTTCACCATCCCAATCACACATCACACATCCCGCATTCGCAGCTCGGATGTTTCGAGGTCGATTCTATTTTGGCGATGTTCTTGAGGACGGGTCCAATTGTACACCATCACTGTCTGGTGTTGGTATCTCACGCGGTCTATAAAAGCCTTTCTCTTCCATCTGGTCTCGTGTTGGACTGAGAATAGGCAATCACGCACGAACTGGGACCAAAGCAAGGAACGAACTGCGACTGGCATGCATTCCGGGAGATCATCGATCTCAAAGCATAGATGCATCAAAGCAGTGGTCTTGCTATGAATTCAGCACCAGGCGTCCGTTTTGCACCCAGAGCATTCTCCTCCCGAACCGGAAGAGACCAATTAGGATTTTTCGAATGGAACAAAACCTCAAGCCAGACCCTACGAAAGACCTCGGATCAGCATGCACTCACCCCATTCCTATTCGTATAAAATACTCTCGAAAACCCACTCCTCTACTCCATACTAAACTACCCACATTGCCGTTGCAAGCTCGCAGGCTAACCAGGATGATCTCTTTAGGCCCAGGAGAAAGCAGCCTGCACTACCGTCCGCAACGTCTGCATCACCAGCGTCGTGCTGTACCTTTGTACGTTAACATTTCTATTCTCCCAAATAACAGCGACAAGCGATCCTTGAAGAGTATGCAGCAATATACTAACATGATCTTTTCTTAGCTCCCTTCGCCATCGACTTCGCCCGCAAGCTCTTCTAAACAAATCATTTTGTGTTAATTACATACCTACCTACCTACCTATCTACCTTGCATCCCTCCTTCTCTTCAGCCTGATTCGCCAGGGTCAACATACATCTATCCATCCATCCATTCATACGTCCAACCAATGTATTACCAACCTAGCCACTAGTTACCTAGCTAGTAACCTAGATTTGAACATAGAGGCTTAGACTCTCTTGGGCCTTTGTATATTAAAAATATCTTTCCCCCCTATTTCTCGTTTTCTTTCCTGTTAAATTGGACGTGGCATTCAATATATGTGAGAAGTTGAACTATCAAAATAAATAAGATGATCACGAAGTCGAGCAGAAATATGTGCAAAAAGCTATTAAGTAGACAGTAAGTAAATATTTATTTGATATCCATGCGCCCTAGCTTGATTTGATTCAATGAAGAGAAGTGAAGCCAAAGTTACGAGAGTTGAAGTGTGAAGAATGAGCATGATGGAAAAGCGAGATGGAAAATGAAAGATGGAGAATGGAAGATTGTGATGAAGGGGAAGACACCCTGGAAGGCAAAAAGAAGGGCTAGAGAGGTGGGGAAAGAAGACGGAGTCTAATTGCTCTATTGTTTCTTTGAATCGTTTGGAACAAAAGTACTCTTCTCCCATATCGTAAAGTCGGACTGAATCTGGGTGAGTTCCTTGTCGAGATGTGCAAGTTGGGCAGCGTAGTCTTGTAGAATCTGAGAAGAAAAAGGAAAAATGCAATGTTAGTACCTGAATTGGAGGACATGTGCACAGCAAGTTTGCCGCGAAGCGAATTGTGGAAAATATAACAAAGGGGGGGGGGAAACAACCCGAAAACATACCTTGGTGGCTTTCTTGACAACCTCCTCGTCAACACTGTCTCCTTGACCGGTTCCATTCGCGGCACTTCGCCCCGCCTTGTCTAATTCTTCTTGCAACACTCTGGCGCGTTCTCGGACGCCCACCATTCTAGCCCAGATTTCCTCTCCTCTGCCCACGAGGGCCGGGTCAAAGACGCCACGCTCTAGAGTGAGAAGTTTCTTGCGTAGATCCTCCTCAACTGCGTCCATGGCGTAGCCTCGGTTGCGCAGAACTTGGACTTTGGTCGCGAGCGAGAGACAGCGGTGACTGAGCGAGACGTGGCGGCGTTTAGCGTCCATGGTGCGGATGGAGATGACGAGATCGAGATTTTGCAGCATCGAGGTAAGGGTATTGTTGATTTCGTGAAGACGAGTTTGAAGAACGTTGACATGCGCGACTTGGACCTCAAGGCGGCGGCCAAGCAGCTGGAAGCCTTTGCCGAGTACGGGAATTGTGTTTGGAATGGGCTTTTTCGACAGTGCTTCTTCCCACTTTTTCTCATCCTCGTCCGGCGGGGGCCGGTAGTATGGTGCTTGCTCGGCGGGCACTTTGTTGTAAAAGTAATGCTGGAATGCGCAGTTGGCGGAGTTGGGGTCCCATTTTTCTGCAATAAGTTGCATTTGTTCTGGGATGGTCTTTTGGCCTAAAGAGAGAAAAAATCAGTGACACGGATAATGTGAGGAAATAGAAATTTGTCACGTACGAGGCGCCACGTCGCTGCCAGGTTGCCATAGAGAAGAAGTATTGACGGTGGTCTGGCCAAAGAGGCCGGGTTGAGGCGCCTGGGCTTGTTGTTGTGCCGGCTGGAGGGTTGAGCCGAAAAGAGATGTTGAAGGCTTGCCTTGGTCCCAGATGGCATGTGTGGCGCTTGGTTGTCCCACTGAGGATCCGAAAAGCCCGCCAGTTTGTTGCTGCTGCTGCTGTTGCTGCTGCGGCTGTTGCTGGGCTCCGCCGAAGAGGGACGTTCCTGCGGGTCTACTCTGGCCAAAAAGTCCACCGCTGGTCTGTTGCTGTGGTTGATTCTGTGCCGTAGAGGATCCAAAGAGGCCACCACCACCGCCGCCGCCAGTTCCAGTCGTGCTTGACCCAAAGAGAGGCTTGTTTTGCTGTGACTGTTGTCCTAGTCCGCCAAACTGTCCACCGCCGGATTGCTGCTGGTTTTGGCCAGCACCGCCGAATGCTGAGCCACCGAAGAGAGACATCTTGTGAGAGTTCCCTCTCTAAATGAGAGAAACGGAAGTGTAGATAACGAATGCGCAATACTGTAGAATTCCTGAAAGTATCCGTCGTAGTCGACGCGTAGAAGTGATGTCCACTGTTGTCGACGGTTGCGGAAGGTAAATATCGTCGGACCCGAGCGAGACACAGTGCGTGAAATGTACAATCGGAGCAAAATAATCAAGCAGACACGAGCTCTGGAGAGCTGTAGCACTGAGAACGCGGAAGGTGTTCAGTCTGTTGAAGGGACAGGAGGCGCAATGTTGCTGCTCTCCTTGGGTTTGGTGTTTCACTTTTGTATTGCTTTTGGTTTTCAACTCGAAAAGGCAGCTGGTTGAGCTAAACCTAATCGGAGCAGCCGACCGGTTGGCCGAGCTTGGAGGTTCCCCCATCCCATCTGATTGTATCCCTCGTATGGACTTCCCAACTCCACAGTATCCACCACACCAACGAACTGACCCGCCAGCTCCACCATGTCTACTCGACAGCCACGGTATGTTTACATTCTCAATCGCGAACAACGTTTTGACTAGTTTACGTGGATTCAAGTAAGATCTGACAGAGAAATAGTTTTAATCAGCAGGTTCTCATAGACACAACCCCTCTTCCGGAGGATATTCCTAAAGTCCAGGAAATTGGCACTAGTTCGGCACCACTATTAAGCGCCTCCTTCTTCATCGGCGCACGGTGCAAAGACTACAATGACGATTTTATGAAGTGCAAGACTGAAGCTCATGGCAAGGGAGAAGTTGAATGCCTACGAGAAGGCAGAAAGGTCACCAGATGCGCAGCCAGCGTGTAGGTAGCTTCCGACCACTGCCCGATATTGCACTGGCTGGTTTTGGACTACACGTATACACAATTTGACCGCTGTCATGATCATTCAGCAAATAAATCTTTATCACGATATTTGCACAACTGCAATTAGAAGATCTCTATCCACATTAAGCTGACCTGATACAGACTTGAAGATATCAACAAAAACTGCCTGACAGAGTTCCGCAAGCACTGGGAATGCTTAGAGAACAACAACCAGCAACTATGGCATTGCAGACGTCCTGAGAGGACTCTCAACAAATGCGTCTTCGATAAGCTGGTCAGCTCGCCTCAACATCTGTCTTTGGTATAAAAGCCCACTGACCCTTGTATTAAACAGAACATTGAGAAGACCATCCCCGGAACACCAGAGGGAGAGACACCCGTACACCTGCGAAAAAGACAAATATACTCTCAAAATTGGTAGATGAATGAGTTTTTATCATTTCTGGTGAGGTCATTTCGCAACCCTCCAGGGCCTCACATGCCATGAGCATTGTTCCTTGCAATACAAACCTAGATATGAAAACCTCATGAAGCATATTGAAGAATGCATGACTAGTATTGAATATATCTTTATCCTTGTGGACATGAAAAGGAGCCGAAACAGTCTCAATAATATGTTTTAGAAGTAGAATATAGAATAGCTGCGAGAGGGTTTCGAAATGTTGATGTGTAAATATCTAGTTTATTAGTGTGTTCACAAATATAGTGGTAATAACACGGCGCGCCATACACAAAGCGTCCATTCTGCTGCCAAGCGCTCCACCTACCTCAACCATCATACAGTACAATATATTATATTTAAAATCGCCCCCATGGCGGGCTCACAGAAGCCTTATCCGCGAACGACGGTAAAGAAGATTGTCAAGGCCCACAGTAACAAGAGTCTCAGCAAAAATGTAGACATTCTCGTAGGTTATTCCTTATGCAGAAACCTGATGGCTATCCTTTTTGAGAACAAGAGCTAACAATCCCGGACACAGATCTACTTGGACTACATCCTTTTCATGCAACAGTATGTCTGAAGCATCTGTCAAACAAGATGGAAGGTACTGACTTTTAACTTAGTCTGATGCGTGAAGCGTCCATCTCAGCAAAGCAGGCCGGAGAGAAGAACATCTCGGCGAGATCAATACATAAGGTGACAGAGGTAGGGAATTATGCCAATTTTGACAACGTTCTTGACTCACATATATATGCAAAGGATGCTTTACGAAAGTTTAAAGGATAGTCTTGTGCTGGGACCGGAGGCGTTGCGGACACGGCGTTCTGATGTTTAGGCTCGCGTGACAACGCGATGAAGCAAGACGCGATGATGGAGCTACCCTGGCTTTGGTGTGTTAAAAGCTACCATGGTAGTGGACTAGTGGTATACCTTCCAATTATCAAATCTGCTACGTTCAAAATTCTTCAAATTAAAATAATAGACAATGAAATACAATTCAACTTGTTGGATTTTTTTTTGACGCGAATGTAAATGAACTGTAATCAGTTGACCGTGTGAATGGTAGTGGTTTAATCAGGACACGGATTTGTCTGCGTACACTATTATGATGCGCTAAGCTTCCCGACGCTGTCCCTGGCTTTCTTACGGCGAGTGCTCGACTTGGCCAAACCAGTAACAACAATCACTCTCGATCACTCTCGATCACTCAGCACCTTTCCGCTGTCCTACAGCAACCCCATTTTTAACTCTTAACTCTCATTCTTTGACCCATCTTTACTAAACCGACGCTTCTCGCTCGTGACAGCTCGTTGTGTCACCATGTCCGCTGAAGCTCTCGCAAACCCGCTGACCCGGGCCGAGTCCAAGAGCTCGAGAAAGAAGAAGACCAAGACCACCACCGCTTCCGAAAATGTTTCCAGCGCTGCCTCCACGACACCCACTGCTGAGCAACCTGCTACTCCTATCTCTGCAGAGCCGACCGTCAACGGTCAGGAGGGCGAGGAGAACCCTTACCTTAGGGAGCTGTTCAAGTAAGTTCCGCACCGCAGCTGTCGGACGGCCAGAACTTCATTCTTGGCCCTATAAAAGACCCATGATAAGCTAACCACAGTAAAGGAACATTCGCAATGTGAATAAAAAGCTGGTAAGGGCTCGTTCATAAGCACAAGTGAACCATCTGCAGCGGCATTCACTGACGGCTCCTTCTAAACAGAATGCTACCCAAAAGGTCGATAGCATCATTGCCGAGAACCCTGACATATCCCTGGACGAGCTAGTCGCCACACGCAAGATCAACAATGACCAGAAGACCCAAGCCTTGAAGAAACCCGCCCTGCAAGCCAGCCTAGCTCAGCTCGAAGAACAGGTTTCGCACTACAAGAAATTTGACCAGGAGTATCAAACCCGGATGGCTACTGAGAAGGCTCTTCTTGAGTCGACGCATAAAAAGGAGATGGGCGAGCTCAAGGATGCTATCCGCGCTGAAGCTAAAGCAGAGGCAGAAAAGGATGACAAAGAACGACTTCTGGTCTTCTCCAAGTTCTTGAGGGCGGCTGCTGCGAAGAGACAGTTTATTGATGAAGAGACTGAGGAATCCAAAGCGTTTGAGGGTGTTTTGCTTCTGGTCTATGGCGGCGACGCTTCTGCCGTGGCCTCCATTGAGCGTCTGATTGACGGCACTGCTGACCAGGTTACTGCCACCGATGGCACTCTCCTCAACTATACTTGTACGTCTTCTTACACTCGATCATGACACTCATGTCTGCTACAATCTTCTTCGAAGACTCAAGCTAACTTTTTTACCTCTGCAGTCCAACAAGTCAAGCAGGCTTCTCTTGAATATGCTCCCTTTGCCGCTGAAGAAGCTTGGGCTGAAGGTGTTGCTCAGTCCGAGCCTGCTCCTTTGGCTGATGCCTCCATCGAAGCTCCTCAAATCTCTGCCAGCCAGCCTATTGGAACTGATCCGACCACTGCTCATGCTGGATTAACCGAAATTACTGCCGGAGAGGGTGCTATTTCCGCCAACGCCGAGATCGAGGGCTCACACATTCCCATACAGACTACTATTGATGAGACTGCCGCCAACGCAGCTGCCGACTCTCACTGGGATACTAAACTGTCCGCTTCCGCTGAGTCTGGACCAGACGGCTGGGTTCAGGTGCCTCGCGACCCTGCGGAAACTGAGACTGGCACCGATGCTACTCCTGCAGCCAACCATGGCCAGCAAAGCTGGGCGGACGACCACCCTGCTCAGAATGTTCCCAATGTTGTCCAGCCCTCCGGAACAGGCTCTACTAACGGCAGTGATGGTTTCCACGAGGTGCACCATGGTCGGGGTGGACGCGGACGCGGCGGCTTTCAGGGCGAGTCTCGCGGCGGACGTGGACGTGGTGGGTTCCGAGGTGAGGGAGGTGGATACAGGGGTCGAGGAGGGTACAGAGGCGATCGCGAGGGCGGCTACCGTGGTCGTGGACGCGGCGGACGTGGCGGTCGTGGCCGCGATGCACCTGCCCCTGCACCTGCGGCTGCTCAGTAGAGTTGCCTTGACCGTCGGTCACCTCTGGCCTTTACTCGGTCTCATCATGTCCTCATCATATTGCGTGGGTTGATCTATGGCTTAAAAAGTTGAGTTGCACTGCATTTCCCATTCTTTTTAGATGAAGACATGAACGATCTTGATGTCTAGTCTTTACACTCTATGCTTTATGAGTCTACATTTGAAGCGATTGACTGCATTGCATCCTTGGTTCTTTTAAAAAAAAATCACCGCGTGTCATTATTGTACTGTGTCTTGATTTTGGTTCGTGCTTCTCCTCTTTGACGAGCTTCGCGTTGCTTGCGTGCCGTTCTTGCCTCTGGTGATATTTTCGTGCTTTGTGCTCTTGGCTTCCAGATGTGCCCCCTTGTCATAGCCAGCTCATGGTGCGTGCGCATGGAGGTTGTTCAAATCCACGCGCAAAATCGGGGACTACAACCAACAGTTCACTATGAATGAAAGTACATAATTTGCCCCGAGCTGGTCGTGGCACAATGACGCCAATCGAGCTACAAGGATGATGTGGCTGTGGAAAAGGGTTAGGAACCGGGTTAGGAACCGGGTGAGGGAAATGGTTTCGGCGCTGTGCCCCACGACCCGGAGGATCGGCCAACGCAAGTTGATCTAGGCGAATGCGGAGACGGCAACGGCGGGGAGGCGGTGGCGACGGGCCCTCAGGGTGCCTGGCAGTGTCCTGCAAGTCAAATTTCTGAGACACATGGCTAGTCAGCCCTAACAGGAGACAAGCTTATTCCTTTTCATGCTCCACTGGCAAGATCATGGCCCTCAACTTCCACGCCCTGCGGAATTTGTCTCCGTCGTTCCTCAAGGCGAAAAAGTTTTCCTTGCGAGGCAATTAATGATTCGAGCTCATCTTTGATTTGCTTATCGCCGCTACAATGACGAACTCATGCTACTCAAATTGGAGGATCACTGATAGACCGATCGCACCAGTGATGCTTGAAACCAGCTTCATCAGATCGCCATGCGGCTCATTCGGCTGATGAATAGAATTGACGGGCTTTGGAGGAGCGGCCAGATGTCACGTGTCAATGATGATTCTTTTCTTTAATCATATGGTTGATAGCAAAGTGAATTGATAAAATTAAATCATAAAAAACCAAGTCATTCGTAATGTAAAAATATCCTAGTTAAAAAGTCCCCGAGATAATTCTGTACGCAAAGCTCAAAGAGGATTTATTCCATGTGACGGATCTGATTGTGCCTGAAGCAGTTCATGCAGGGAACAAAAGTTGGGCTATTTCCCATGAAAGGTAAACCTGGCACTAAAAGTCGGCGCATTTGGTACTGATACAATCTCTTAAGCGCGGGTTGTAACAAAGAAACAAGTATCCGATACTGCACCTGTGCAGAGACCCCATGTCACTTGAGCCGGGAGTGATGAATGATCATCCCACTTCGCTCTTAAGCGAAGGCCCTCGGCGGGAAGCCCCGGTGGCCGCCAGAGTAGAGTTAACTCATGTAGCCCAGATCCAAGTCAAGCTCTACAGCCAAGACGGGGGGGAATTATTATCCACAAGTCCTCAGGCTCACCATCTTGACCACCTTTGACCTGTCTCACTTTTGCTGAATTCCTCCTACATTTGTATTCCCGTCAGTGAAGAGGACAAATTCAGAGAGACAAGAATATTTTTTTCCAATTCTGTTTGAATGTCGCTGCTCTGAGGTCGCTGGCCTTTGCGCCTCGGCTTTCGTGAGTTCACGCAAACCCCCTCTCGTCCTACGAGTCGATCAACAACTGCAGGCCTCCCCCACCCACGGCCGGGAAAACCTCCCAGTGATTTGAGCGGCAGCTTGCTGTCGAAAAATTACCTATCATGGCTGATCCCGTTACAACGCCCCAAAAAGGTGCACATGAAGAGGGCGAGACCAAGACCACATTGACGCCACCAGCCAGCGAGGAAACGGACAACTTCGGTGCATCTTCATCAGAGCTGTCGGATTTAGAACTGGAAGATGATGACATTGGGGAAATTGAACCGGACCATTATTACGGGGATGGAAAGATCCCAGTGTTTAAGCCTGTGAGCATGGTTCTTTTCTCTACAATCGCCTACATCTCCATGGCATTGCTGTTTGAGCTTTTACCAGCATTTGTTGTTTATCCTGTGGCAAAACAGTGTATGTGCTAATCAATTCAACTATTAATTCGTATGTAGACTATGGATCAATTTCGAAGCTTCCGAAAGTTTATCGATAAGGTTGATAAGTACGGAATGAAGTCCGGAATCATCAAGGTCATCCCTCCGAAAGAATGGTAGGCGCGCGCACAAGTCCTTTATACGCAGACTCTTCTCTACACCCATATTGACAATCGAAATAGGCGCGACTCTCTTCCTGCCCTAGACGAGTCTATCAAGTCAATCAAAATAAGGAACCCAATCGAACAAGATTTCGCCGGAGGCCAGGGAAGATATACGCAGGCAAACATGGAGAAGCAGCGTTCCTATAACCTTCCACAATGGAAAGCTCTATGTGAAGAGAGTAATCACCAGCCCCCGGCCAAGAGGGGCGAACGAAGGCGTAACCAAGACCGGTTTAACAGAGGGCGACCTGGCGCGGCAGACTCTCCAGAGAAGAAGCGCCGAGCGACCAAGACAACGAGAGCGAAGCGTGGGCGCTCACCGAGCAAAGTAGCCGACAGCACGGATGATACAGAATTACAACTCGAGGTGCCACCCACGCCTACCTCGCCTAGTAGGCTACCTGCCAAATCGGATTCGAACCAAGACATTGCTGAAGCCAGGGTTAAAACGGAGATGACCGACGAACAAGATGATGATATTATGAAGAGCACAAAGCCCGGCCGTCAGCCAAAGTCAATATCGTCTCGGAGACGAAATAATCGACGTGACGCTGCTGATGTGGTGGATGAGGCCGCCTTTGAGGACTTCAACTACCGAATGGAGAATCTCGAAGAATTCACGCCGGAACGATGCGCCGAGCTTGAAGCGTCATACTGGAAATCTTTGACCTTTAATAAGCCCATGTATGGCGCAGATATGCCTGGATCGCTCTTTGATGACTCGACCACGTCATGGAACGTTTCTAAGCTGGAGAATCTCTTGGATGTACTAGGCTCAAAGGTGCCGGGTGTTAATACGACATATCTTTACCTCGGCATGTGGAAAGCATCATTTGCTTGGCATCTTGAGGATGTCGATCTCTACAGCATCAATTACATACATTTTGGTGCCCCAAAGCAATGGTATAGCATTTCGCAGGAAGATGCCAGAAGGTTTGAGGCTGCTATGCGGAGTATTTGGCCCAACGATGCAAAGCAATGCAGCCAATTTCTACGTCATAAGACCTACCTAATATCGCCGTCGCTGTTGCAGTCGCAGTTCAACATCAAGGTTAATCGACTCGTTCACCATGAAGGCGAGTTTGTTATCACCTACCCTTATGGGTACCACTCCGGGTTTAATCTTGGCTACAACTGCGCTGAGTCGGTTAACTTTGCAACCGAGAACTGGCTGGAGTATGGTCGCATCGCCAAAAAATGCGATTGTGAAGCCGACAGCGTCTGGGTAGACGTCGGCGAGATTGAGCGCAAGCTTCGCGGCGAGAAGACTCCCGAACTGTATGAAGAGACGGATGAAGAACTAGACGAAGGCGAGGAGATGGGAGAAGACGCTGTTGCTGATCTTCCCACTCCTCCTGGCAGTGTTGGTGGGAAGCCCAAGCAGCAGCGCGGCCGAAAACGCAAGAGGAGCGCCGAAGGTGCAAAGGGCAGCGTTAAGAAGGTCAAGGTTCGGGTCAAGGTTCCTGCCAAGGAACCTTGTGTCCTCTGCCCGAATGATATGTCGTGTGACGAGCTGTTGCCTACGGATAATGGCAAAAGTGCTCACCGGCTATGTGCTACTTACATTCCGGAAACATACGTCTCCAACGAGGGTGCTAAAGAGGCCATTTGCGGCGTTGTCGATATTGATAAGGCGCGTCTAAGCCTAAAGTGTAACTTTTGCCGGTCTAAACGTGGCGCTTGCTTCCAGTGCTCGCAGAAGAAGTGCACTCGAGCATATCATGCAACGTGCGCTGCTGCTGCTGGAGTTCAGGTGGACATCGGAATGGTGCCGGTGTTTGGTGAGGATGGGGTTGAATACGCAGACATTGGCATCGATTTTAGATGCAGATTCCACCGGGTGAAGAGGGGCAAGAACGTGACTGGAGAAATGCTCGAAGAAGATTCATTGATTAAGGAGTACGCATCATCATTGCAGGCTCAGGAAGTTATTCAAATGCAATTATACCAAGGCGAAATATTTGCGGGCGTTGTGGTGGAGAATCGCAAGGACGAGGAAATGGTGCTTGTGGATCTCTTGCCTGGTGGCGGTCGAATGGAAGTGGAATACAAATGGATTTTGGTTCTGAATCCCAGCGACTCACAGCTGTCGAAACCATCTGCAAATGCCAAGCCACTACCATCAAACATGGCCAAACCCGGTGGAATGCAGGAACGACATGGCCCGCCCAAGGTCGATGATGCATTCTGCGATCCAGACGGACCGTATGTGTGGTCAGAGTTCAACACAGCCGAGCCAGAGCGCAATTCGACGCAGGCAAAGGTGGACTTTGAGAAACCCAACCAGATCTGGCACTATCTTGGAAAGACTTCGACAGAGGCCAGGGCTCAGTATACTGAGAATCCGGCGAAGGAGTTGCATAATCCCACAAGTAATTTCCTTGAAAGTGTGAAGCCACCTCCCATGTCACGAGTTGTGGCGGAGCGACGGTCTTTTCCGGCCACCCATCCTTCAGGCTCAAGCTTTATGCCGCGAGGTGGGACCGCTGCATTGAACAATCATCAGCGCCCGATCTCCTCATCAAAAGATGACCGACAAAAGAAGTCTGAAAAGGCCAAGGTTTTACCGCAGGCTCAGCGGGGCTATTCAATTGATGCACATGCATTACAGTCTCAGCGAGAGTTTCAACGTGATGCAGAGAAGCAGAAGACTCTTGGTCATGACGAGCGCTCTCGTGGAGCAGTGGCAACATCAAGCAGGCAGCCTGTAGCTCAGACCGCTCCTGCGAAACCAACTTTAGCCTCCCGGCAGCCATCATTTCCGTCTAGCCCGGGTCTGACTGGAAAAGGCCATCAGTCTTCATCTCGTCCACACCCGCCTTTGCCTGCGCAAGGGCGAGCTCCTATGGCCAACATGGAGCCGGGACCCTCTGTCTTGGCAGCCGCAGATGCCAATAAGGCGACGACTGAGCAGCGCGTTGCGGGACCGCATGTAAACGTTAGCGGTGCAAAGTCCAAGCACCCTTTGGCGGTTTACCCATATCTTCGCAATTCGTATGAAAACCATACGAGGAAATATTCCTCACCCTATCATCGAGGCGACCATCTCAGCTCACAATGTTCTCCGAGTTCCAGTTCGCCTCCCACGCCCGTTCACGTGCAGACGTCTTCTCCACAATCGTATCAACCGTTGCCGGCCCCGCCTTTGCAGCTTCAAAGCCATCCTCCACCTCCTTCTTATCAATACTACCGCCACTCTCCAAGTCCAATGTACCAACCGCAGGTACAACACATACAAAGTCAGCACAATCGCGCAACCCCACCGTCTACCTCCCTTGCTCATTCTCGTCCTCCCCATCCTCCTGTCTCATATTCTCAAACAACGACAGCAAATGGCTCAACTCCGATCAAGGCAGCTGTACCATTACCACATTATCAAACGCCGCAGCAGTTTGACCAGCAGGTCCAAAGAGCGTCTACGCTTCCGCAGCCCCATGGAGCAAGTTATGAAGCATTCTTTGCGGGATTGAAGAGCGCGGCGGGATCAAATGGAACGCGTGGTGCGTTGAATCGAGATGGTCTTGTCGCACCGACTTCTCCACACCACAGCGGCACTAGTACTCCGGCGTTTGCACTGCAACCATCTCGTTTGGTTCAAGGAACGCCATTGAAAGGTCCAGCTCCCCATGTCACATTACCCGCACCACAGCCAAATCATGCTGCACTCTTCACCACGCCAATACCTCCCCCGCAGGCGACAATGACTGTACCTGAACGACATGAAAGCCATGCAACTCCTCCAGTCATGTCTGCAGGCAACGTCCCTCCCGCGTCTATTGTAGCAAGGGATTGATTTTACTTCTCTCCCAGCATTTTCCTTTTTTGTTTCTCTCACTTATTCACGCCCTATTATAACAAGAGCAAGGTGTCGCGGTCGTAGTGCTGGTTTCATGGTACATTCAAGGTGCGGTGTTCTGGTTGCGACAGTTTGTATGATGACAAGGTATATCATTCACGTCTCAAGTTTCAATTCGCAAGGAACGGCGTCTTTTCCTGGCCTTTTCTCTAGTCCTATTTCATATTTTCTTGGCAGCCTTGACTTGCAGGCCTCTCCCGATTCCTTAATGAATTATTTGCTCTCTTTTTCTCTTTTCACATTTATTAATATGGAGTCCTAAAGATTTTTCTTCTCTTCTCATCTCAATCTTATCATCAATCGAAACGGCGCTGAGTCGTCCTTATTTTTCAATACAGTCCCGTTTACATTTTTCCTTACGATCTCTGACTCATTCGCCTGTGACGAAGCGATTTTAGTCGTTACCCTGAATCTATCGTGCTGTCATACAGCTGTGCCGTCCATGTATGTATTGTATCGTAAGGCAAAGTGCATCTCGTGGTTCTCGTTCGTAGCTTACAGAATGTAAAGCACATATTCCAATGAAATGTACGGTGTGGATATGTCAACCTGATGTCCCGTTATAAGGCAAACACTCTGTATAAGTGAGTGATATGAATGTACCTATAGAGACACCATTAAAGCAAATACATGATATACATGGATATTTAAAACGTAGGAGTATTATTATGTATTATATTTCAAGGTATGTATATTTCAGGATATATATATTTCAATATATTATACTACCCATATAGACATGCTATCCGTTCACGATTACAGATCCAGGTACCAGACGTCTGGTCTTCCTTCCGGGCGGGGTATCGTCAATCTCAATAACGATACGTTATCGCATGTAATGTACGGAGTATTATAAAGACCGAGACGACAAATGATCAGAGATCAGTGATCAGTGATCAGTGAGCAGAGACCAGAGACACCGAAAAGGCTGAAAAAGGGAAAGAGTCGTCCAATGTACCTAAGAGTCAGGTAGTCATGTAGTCATGTAATGAGTTGACTTGTGTCCCTTTTCCATTCCCCTTTCCATGCCCCCTTCCGCTTCCCTTTCTCCTTTTCTCCTTTCCCATCAACCCTCCGCTTCCCCGCCCCACCACACACACACGCCCGAACATGAGAGGACTTGAGTGCTGTGCTGTGTAGTATGGCGAACCATATTTATGACTGCGTAATCACACGGTGGCGATGGCGCGGGCGCGGGCGCGTTCGAGTAGATTTTATAGCGTGTCGGGATGAGTGTACGGTAGACGTATACGTGTATACAGGGAAATGGGTGTGTAGGTCGAGTAGTCGCGATAAGTCGAGCAGTCGCAGTACATGGGGCAGGCAGGGACTGCTATACCGGTACGCTATCTTGTCACGACGCAAGACAAAGCCGTAATATAGCAACCCCCATCGCGCTCTTTTCGTATACGTATATATACTCCACACGCCAAGCGCTTTGCCAAGCACCTCTGTCGCAACCGGCACCTTGGAGAAATGAATGGGAGTGAATAGGAAATGAATAGGGGATAAAGTAACATAATCACGGTATCGAGTTACCGCGAATATGGACGGTTCTAAATCTCCTCTGAGGCAATCGGCTTCTGCTTCTGCGCGTGCTCCACATGCGCGCCAGGCGCATTCGTCTTTTGCGGCCTAGCACGGGTACGAGTACGCGATGACGACGACGAGGAGGGACGGTGGATTTGGATTTGTTTGATAATATGCTGTTTTTCTTCTTCTGTCAGACCGCCAAAGTCATGACTAATAGAAGAAGAAGGTTCTTCCGCATCTGCCTGGTGCTCCTCCTCGTCCTCAATGTCCCACGACTTGACGGGCATAGTCTTTGTCGGGGCGGCGGGTAGGCCGGCCTGCAGGACGGCGGTGGGAAGAGGAGAATTGGTCAGAAACTCAATGACGCGACTGGCTTGGTGGTCGATATACTCGAGGACGTCGACGACCTCGTCGAGCACTGACATGCCGGCTTTGTGCTCGATGACGGTGGTGGGATTTGTGGGCTTTGTTGTTTTGGGTCTGCCGCCGCCGCGACCTCGGCCGTTACCTTTGCCTCGATTGGGATCTGTGGATTTGGACTTGTGGTCCTTGTCCTTGTCGTTATGGTGGTGGTGAGGCTTCATGTTGAGTGCTTCCAACGTCTTTTCATCCAGGGACCATTCGAGTTCCGGGTGAGCAAAGTTGTGTGACCAGCGATGATTGTCGAGGTTGTGATGATCATGATCATGGTCGTGGTCGCCGTGGCTCTGATGCGACATGTGCATCACCAAGGTGTGCTCAATGTTGGCTTGCTCATTGGGGTTGGTGTGGTCATGAGGCGGCTGAGGTGCGGGCACGGCGAGGACCAACTGAGGCAGAATGGCCGCTCCGAGGGCCAGAGTGGTCAAGGAGGAGGAAGATTGGAAGAAACGCATGATGAAATGGTAATGGTAATGGTAATGGTAATGCTCGAAAGGGAGAAAAAAAGGAACAGTAGTGTCAAGGCTCAACGGCTTCGAGGTGGATATCGTTGATAGTGATGATATAATAGAGAAAATAAAAGAAAAAGTCAGGGTATAAGATGGAGGTTTGTAAAAGTAGACAATATAGATTGAATATCAGCCTTGGCTCTCGAGGCGTAAGGTGGTGACGAGAATAACGAGTGAAGTGCCCACGGGTAATATCAGAATGATAATCAAGCTTGATGGTCAGAGAAGCGCGACAAGGATCAATGCGATCAAAGAGTCGAATCACAGAGCTTGTAATTGTAACGAATGTGCGAAAAGGAGGAAATAGTAGCAAGATACAAAATGGGGAAGAGTTGTTGGGCCTAATATATACAGGACAGAGCGTTCTCCACATGAAGCTTTGGGTGTGGCGCACCGCTACCATAACATGCATGCGGACGAATAGCGCGCACGGTAAAAGCAAAAGAAGACGTGGGGACACGGACTGATACTAGAAAGGAAATGGGTCGTGCAGACCACGTCTTCAAACTTCGCCGCGTTGAGTTTAATGCAAGAGCAAAGCTAAAGTCAAAACAACTATCGGACACATCCGCCTTGTTGGGCCGGGCAGCAATTTAGCATCATAATCATCATACCCTCTTCGTTTGGCACGTGTACGGAGCAAGCGCCATCAAGCCCGGGAGCAAGCCGGCAAGTAATCAAACCGCCCCTGTGAGCAAATTGTGTGGAAGCAACAAATACAAAACCGTCAAAAATGGGAGGGGAGAAAAATAAACGGTGAGTGAGACCCGAGATTGAGGGCGTCTCATTACCCCACAGCCACCAACCCATGTCCAATAACGCATATATTGAATGCAGCAATGAGCGCCTTTTTTCGGAAGAAATGCCTAGCTCAGCGTAACATTTCCAAAAGGTTAATAACGGATAAATGGAGAGACAAGAGAGAAAGCAAAAAAGATACGAATCGAGATGGTGCCGTAGGTTAGGCATTCAAAGTTCAATTCTGCCCCGGGTCGGGAAGCCGAGTTTACTCTCCTTTCCTAAACTTGAGCCCCAGTCACATAATAGTGGGGATCTGCCGCGGACGGACCGGGATACTCCATCAGGGGTGCGATCGTCGGATGCGTCTAAAAAGGGTCGCGGGAGAAAACAGAAGCGTTTGGACCGTGCGATGCAGGTCTCCTCTGAGTCTCTGCCTCGTACCCAATGACGGGCAGAACAGGTAGCGACTAGGTACTGGCCGCATGCAGAGCACGCCGGTCTTTGCCGCACACTCCCACCTGCCAGCCCCTGAATAGATACATGGCAGTCACTCACTCCCGACCCACGTTGCCCCCGAAACGGTACCTGAAAGGATCCGAAAGCCCGGCTCCCCTTGTCGTTTTTGTCGTAAAAGCTGTTTTCGCCCATGCAAAGGGCCCCCCAGGATCTTCGGCTCCTTAGTGTCAGTCTTGCACAGCAATTTTCCGCCTCTCATTCAATCACAACAGTCGTTGATTGGCAATGACTGCTTTGCATCTGGCAACCAAGCTTCTGTTAACACGTCTTGGCAACATCTTGGCAAGTCTTGGCATACATTCGTCATGACCAGGTTCAGTGTGCAGCTGGTTCAATCACAGTCGCTTTCCTCGGCTCAGCACTCAAGACCAATCAATTTTGCCTTTGAATTAGCCAGCCACAGTTGTCTCTGGAGGAATGTGGAAATGATCCGATCATGGTTGGTCGTGGTCACGATGGTGCACTCGGTAATTTTACCATTCAGCTGAAGGATGATTAGCGACGAAGAGGTAAGCGTTGTTGCAAGCATCAGGGGAACCCCCCGTCAGACCCGCTGCGCTGCCACGATGTGCCCTCGGCACTCGAGCGCTCCTTTTGAATTCTGCACCAGAGAGAAGAAAAAAGGGCCTTTCCCCCTGCTTAGGGCGTAAAATGTCGCGAGCATACTCCGATAGCTCAGTCCAAGTGCGAGTTAAAGACGCTCCTATCAAAACGGCTGCTAGGCAGCAATTTCAGGAATTACTCATTCGTTTAATGAGCTGTCTCCTGCCTACTCAGGGCAGCGAACTGTCAATCTGGTTTCGGAAAAGATTTGAGAAAAAAAAAATTTTTGGGATCGCGTTGACTGTCTTGACCGGCCTGTCCTCGTAGGCTAGAGTCGAACGATTTGTGTCACCCTCATTTCGAACACATGCACTACTGACATCTTCAAGATTCCGTCTGCAAGCTCGCAGCCGTGCTACTGTTAGTGAGAGGCTTGACTTGCCAAGAAACCAGACGGCCTGTGGCTGGGTCTCGACTCACATTGGACCTTGAAAGAGATCAGGCGTACAAAGCTGACCGGTCACGATTCAAGTGTTCCCAGTAGTAAAAAAACAACTTTACAATAATCACATCAGTCGTAAGAAAAAATCTCATCGATGCCAGCGTCAGCAGATACTGTTCATCGTTGCCAGCATTGGACTCTCTAAGAGCGTCAAAACTTCCGTGCCTAGCCGGGCGAAGTGAGGGGTCCGGAGTGCAGTACACTACTCGAACCTGCAAATTTAGCGTCAGCGGTGAGAAACGAGAGAGAGAGAGAACAGTAATACTCGTAGTAAATATTAATTAAATGAAAACTGCTACTTCAAATGAATACGAGACAGAGAAGAAAGAATTGACCCACCTATTACGAGCAACACAGGATAATCCTAGCGGAGTAGAGGGCTCGAGGCGGAGCAGCACGCTTTGCCCCGGTTGACATTTCAATGATCCACAAGGCGTAGCATGGGCTCTCGTGTCCGAGAGATCAATGACCCCAGTAAGTCATGATTTGAGAAGTTTAATAGTAATAATCCGCGTGGGATATTTGACGGCCGTTGAAGTTGAACACAATAGACAAGCACTGTCCGGGTATATTAAATATGGTATTTACACTAGCTTAGTGTAAGAAGTACTTTACCCTCAGTTAAAAATTCATAGACAAATCAAGTACCTCTTCCACTTTGTTTTCATGATATTAACACACTGGCGATCTTCGTGTTTCAACAACTTCACCTTCTCTCTTCTCTGCCACTCCAAACATCCCACGCTGCCTTGCATCGACAATCTCGTCTAGACCTTCCTATGCCAGCAATATCCCGCCGCTGTCCCGTATCAACTGATTTCCCCTCCTTTACAACTTGCTTTACTCGTACGCGTTGACGGTCCTCTATGCCCTTTGCGGAAGGCGAATCTATCATTTGAAATTCACGTTGTCAACCATAACGTCACACCTGATCGCAACTTGATACTGTATCATCTACCTTTGTACCGTTTTGCTTTTCCTCGAAGAGTGCATCTGTCTTCATTCTATCCCAAAGATGCTATCATCTTTACCATTGATTGCACCACGCGATGTACGTACAATCCAAACTCCAAACCAGTCTTCTGCACCTCCCATAATTCTCCAGAGGACAATTCCAAAATGCTGACGAGGCTTCGCAGGCTCATACTTTATGGTATACACCAACCAGCCTCTCGCAATCTTCATCCGGAGTAGACGGCAGCAACAGCAGCAATAATGCGGCCATTGACGGTGCCTACCCCGCCGCCTTCTCCAACTTCCACTCGCAACCGTACGGCCAGCGACGCGCAGGCGCAAGTTCTCGCAACCCATTAGCCCTTCTCGCTCTTGAAGAGAACTACATTGTCGCGCGCAAAGAAAATGTCCGTCGGTTCGGAGCGGGCTGGATCCGGCCACCGGGCGTCGCAAAAACGTACCAAGCCACGATGGACGAGGCCGCGGAGCGCGAAGAGCAAGAGATAGCCGCAGCCCGTGAAGCCGCGGCCTTGGAGCACGCCGCCATGCTGGAAGGGCAAACGGAAGGAGAAGAAGAAACGATGGAAGGTGCAGAAGGCGAGGGGGACGGCGAAGCAGAGCGCGATCTAGACGACGACGTGCCCGACGCAGATGATGCCGAGATGGAGGCCGAAGCCGACGGCGACGGGTTCGACGACATGGACGATGACGAGGAAGAAGAAGGACTCGCTGAAGCCGACGAAGACGGCCAGCTCGGCGAGGGTCTCATGGACGGCACGATTGATATGGATGCCGATCTCGACCATGACGAACCCATGATTGTCGAGCAGGAGCACGATCTCGACGATGACGTGCCCGAGGCCGGAAGCTACGAGCATACTGATACAGAGCTGGAGGACGAAGCAACAGATTTTGATTCCAGCCATTTACATCACCCCGGAGATGGCCATGGCCTCCTCCACCACCACCACCACCACCACCATCATCATCACCATCCAAGCAGCGCGTCATCGTCGTCTCGTCGGCGCGGCAGCCGCACCCGTCGTGGAAGTGGTCATTTGCGCGGGTTTGGCTTCACGAGCAGTAGCAGTCCCGCGGGACGTACAAGTCTCGTGCGAAGTGACGGAAGCAGTCTTGTCATGGGCAGTTCGATTCTCGGCAGCAGTCCGGCCGCCGCGCCGACCTTTCTTGGCCGACTCAGACGCCGGGATACATAGAACCATGAACTGTTCATTGACCCTGTTTTTGTTTTGGGTGGTGAAGCATGTTAGCTTCGTCAGGAGCATTTTCTACTGTGTTTCTTTTCTTTTCTTTTCTTTTCTTTTCTTCCGTTCCCATCCCCTTTCATCTTCCATCCCTTTTCATTTCCCATCGCTTTTGTTTCGTCAATATACCCATTTCCCTTTCCCTTTCCCTTCTCCTTTTCCTTTTCCTTTCCCCATTGTCCCATCCTATCCCTGCTCCTTACCCCTCCCACAGCAAACGTCACTTACACAGCATACGCGCTATCACGTACGAACAAACACCTTCACCTTCACCCCATCTCCCTACGTATACGCATACGCATACGAATGTTTTCTGCGCTCCACATCCTGTGCGCTTAGCATCAGTTCCTTTTACTCCTGACGAACATGCATTGATCGGATACATGTGTCTACATGTGTCTACATGTGTCCATCTCTTCTGCGTATTCGTGTTTCAATCGGGTAGAGTACCTTAGGTACTTTACATAACCTACCTACCTAGGTACTTTGAAAGACCTACCTAGGCAGTTTAAAATCGAATAGCTACGAATGACAAATACGATAGCTACAATGACACAAACAACTAATGTGCTGATCCAATACACATCAACTAAGACGTGAATTTCAGCTGCATAGTCAGACATTGCTCACACGGATATTGCTCACACAGATAACGCTCAGATCGACGACCAATAATGCAGACTAGACATGAACTGACAAGTCGACACTGTCACTCTTTCGGAAGATACGTGGAATGTAGATGGCAATAAAGTGATTTTGATTTGCATTTTGATTTGGTTCTGCATATGATCAAGTATGACGGTATGATCAAGTATAACAGTATAACAGTATAACAATATAACAAAATTGGACATAAAATATACATACAAAAAATCCCATATAATATTCGAAAAGAGACATGTAGACATGAGGACGTTAAGGAAAAAACAAATTAAACACGGTCAAAAGTGGCTGCGTTCCTGCCTGAGAGGAAAGGGGCAGAGGAAGTGGATAATGAGTAATAAAAAGTGGAAAAAGTAAATATTTAGAGTTGAAGAGAAACGAAGAGAAACGAAGAGGAGGGAAGAGAGGGAGGAAGGAGGGAAGGAGGGAAAAAGGTAAAGGGACATGTAAAGGGACATTAAAATATAATAAGAGACCCGAATAACGGGGAAGAGATGAGGAAATGATACGAGGATCATATAAGAGACCCGAATAACGGGAGAGAGGTGAGAATAAATGGGAAAGAAAGGAAAAATCGTATACATGATTGAACGAGAAGCAAAACTATAAATAAAAATAAAATAAAAAACGCCGAGAGAATATGCGAGTGATGCATCATGCGGAAGGGGATTTAAGGACGTGTGGCGGTGGTTGCCCAAATTATGTATGTAGTGTGGAACGAGTCCGGATCGAAAGAGAAGGGTATAGAAAGAGTGTCTTTTGGTAAGAAGGAGGAATAGAGCTTGGTGTATGATCATCTCCAGCGGTATACGGTAACAGTGCAGGATATGTTGTATTGACGCACGATGGTGCCGTGGTTTTGATGGGGTTGTAGGCAGCATTGGCGTGGTGTGAAATGAGTAGTGAAGTACGATTGGAACGATCGGAGAGTGAGCTGTCAAAGGGTGCTGGGATTTCGATGTGAGCCGCTGAATATTGCTTGGGCTTGTTGAGGTTGAGTATGCGCTCAGATGCGGTTCAGGACTGTATGCTTTGTTTGTTCGAAACCCTGGGAGGTGATGCGGCGCAACCCGAGACGCAGCTGAGGCGGTTTGCGAAACTAAGATGATTTTGCTTTCCCTTCCCCTTCGTCTTCATCTTCGTCTTCGTTTTCGTCTCATCTTCATCTTTATAGTCATATTCTGGCAGGGCCGAAAGTTATCCAAGCCAGACCCACCAGAAGAGGAATATGACAGCGGCAAAAAAGGATGCCCAAGCCTTCCAGCTGACACCAGTCGACTCAGCCATTCTCAACATGCGGTTCATTGTCCCGCGTAGTCGGACACGAGTGTTGTCAAAAGAGTCATTCATTTGGTCGGCGAGGGTAGTAGAAGATCTGATTTCGTGGCCAATAGCGACGGTAATCTTGAAATGAGAAACCACGGATTAGTCGGTGCTGATTTCTTCGGCGAGACTGTAGTCAAGCACTTGGAGGGCCAGAGGGTCTTGGCTCCTATACATACATCTTTGAGCATCTTCACCTTTGCGCCCATGCCCTCGAGCTGTTCGTCATTCTGACTTTCGAGTTCGGAGAGAACTGCGTCGCTGTATTGGCCTCTGTCAGGTTACAACCGTTAGCTTCAAGTCGCTTCGAACATGAGGTGTCTCTTCTCCAGCAACATGATCTGAATGAAAAGCGAAAGAGACTGCATGTAAGAAGGATCCGCATACCTCTTATTCGGTGTAGCAGATCTGTAGCCTAAGCCACTGCCAGGGGATGCTCCGCGATTGTTCAATCCGTATCCAGGCTCAGCATAGAGTCCCGAAGGCGACGGCGTTGGATTTCTGGATGCATTGTAGCTCTCGAATAATGAGTTGCGCGGGTCGCGCTGATGTCCGAACCTGTGTCAAAGCCAAGGCTCGCGCTGTTAGCAATGGGCTCTCATGCTGAAAATGCGGAGGAGATGCGGAGGAGAGATGCCAGGCAGGGCATGCTCAGTATGGTAATCTCTGCCTGGTTGCGACGAAAATACTTTAATGGAAGCTTATCAGGACTCACCTTGAGGACATTGCACAGACTATGGAAGACTAAAAGATCAAAGAGAACAATTATCGATATGGGCGGGATGTAATAATAACTGGGATTTGGGGAAATGGAGATGCCAAGACTGGCCGGATCAGGGGGTTTCATTCGCTAGTCGAGAGCGAGAGACACTTGACAGATCTGTTTTGGTCCAAGTCTCAACTCCACGAGTCCGCGACACTCCTACGTATGCTGAGCTCCACTGAATCTGAACACTTTTTACTGCGTATTCTTAATGATGATCGGCAGTTAAGCTCAAAATCATTTTTAAGCGTTAACAAAAGAGAAAAAAAAAAGTTCAAGCATTACGCCTGGTATGTCATTCGTTTCATATTTGGAACTGCTGCAGAAAAGAAAAGCAAGAGTGATAAGAAGTCGCACCGCTCTGAAGACTCCTCAAGATGCAGCGAATATCGTCTCGGAGTTGAGCTTAGACCATTTATTGTTTGAGACCCTGCTCGGACTGAGAAAGATGCCATTTTTTCCCTTTTGACCGCCGACGAGACATGATCTCCTCCACCAACGCCCTGGTATTTCATGGCAAGCGTAAAAGCATCAGACATATTTTGCCCATTTCCGTGACCCAGTTGCTCCGCAGAGTGAGACCTTTTTACTCCTGCATGGCGTCATCGTCTCCGAGAAAGTCCTCATCATCGTCTTCGTCCTCTTCGAGCTCGGGGCCAGCGGCCTGCGCGGCCTTGGCAAAGTCAATGTTCTTGCCACGGGTCCGTCGTCCGCCCTCGATGATGTTGTCCATGTCGATCTCCTTCATGTCGTCATCATCTTCCTCCTCCTCGCCGGCTCCTTTAATGAGTTAGTATCGCGTGTAAGTTGACAACGTTTGCTTCTGAGAGAGCATACCTTCACCGCCCTAATTGCAAAAGGGAAAAAAATTAGCATTGCAAACGTTGTGAATATATTTCCTCGTTCCTTACATTCTCTTCAGGGCCAGACTCCTCTTCAGAGCTTTCCTCTTCCTCGCTGAGACCCTGGGGGGTTCTGTCGACGGCCTTTCCCTTGCCCTTGTTGACACCGGGAGCTTCAGAGGCGTTTTCCTGAGCCTCAGGCTTGAAGGTGGTAGTACCGTTCGTGTCGCTCATATTTGCAATGTGCAGAATGGGATATACAAAAGTCTGAGATAATTTGGTAGAAAAAGACGGCAATTAAATGCTTCAGTGATTGCGAGAAAAGAATCACGTTGAAGTTGCGTGAAGCGACGGCGGCAAACCCCCAAACGGTGAATCTCCCATCTCGCAAGTCCCTTTAAACCACCAATTACCCTGCAAACCACCAAAACAATAGCCTGGCCCTACTGGCAACCAGAGCAACCACGATGATGATGATGCATATGAAGTGATCAATTACTATCAATCCGCTCACTTTCGCCCTCATGACTGAGTTGGAAATACTTTTCGATTACTAAAACCTCAGTCTGGAGTTACCACAGACTGTCAGCTTATTACTGTATCATCTCCGTACTAGAGGCATCGATTATTCAAGAACTTTGCGCTATTGTCCTAATCTCTTCTCCAGTCTACTTTGTGCAGGATTCAATTTATTAGGAGAGCAGACAAATATGGACTAGATTGCTATGTGAATGCAGTCCAGCACTTGACAACTCGGATGGGATTGCAATGAGGCATCTGCGCACGAAAAACAGTGATATATGCAGTGTTCGACAGGTCGAGTCGACATCAGACTTGGCATCCACACCGCCGACCTGAGAAATACGATAATTTATTCCCCCGCATTGCGGGGTACTGCAACATGTTGCGGGCGACCCTGAGAAAAGCTGCAAGAGATCGCAGTCACATATGTCCCAGCTACAGATGACGCTGCTTTCTCAGTTTGAAAACAATTACGTGAATACAAAATAATAAAGATCATCGAGTTTTCCATTTCTTCAGATTGAAAAATTTCCGATATATCCGACGGCTTACAGATTATCAATGGCTTAGTCTAAAGCGTATCAAATCGACGAGTCAGAGTATTGATTCCATTCTCGGGGAGAGATCGGAAGCATGTCAGCAATCAGCGGAAAGCAATCGTCGGCTCATGCAATGGGAGAGAATATACAGGCGAATTAAGTGAGTATCAATACCCGTACAGTAATGAAATACGAGTATGACATTTTACTCCAGCCATTTTGTCTCTATCAGATCTGTCAGCGGGGACGGTTGATTGATAGTATGGGGTCGCTCGCAAGGACTTTCCAAAAGAGGCAGGGACAGCCGTTTAGCGTCATCATGGAAACCATTCCTTATCGATGCTTATCCACAGCTTGTGCCTTCTCTCCACCTACCATGCCGGCATGATTTGCCCGCCTCGTGATGATTTTACGTATTTGATTTCTGTCCTATTGCTTTGTTGGAAAATACTTTAAATATGGCTCTTCCCACTTGTTCAATCCCAATTCCTCCCTCTTCATCTTCAAGGTTTTCTCATTTACGTTTTGGCAATCTATTCTCTTACTCTGTTGTCCTGCTCGGTCTCTGTATCATAACACCGCCGCTAGAGAATGAGCGTTCCCCACCCTTTGGATGCTCTCACCGTCAATGAGATCAAGCGTGCTAGTGACATCGTCTTGAATGCCCGCGGCAATGCATTGATTGAATTCCGTTCCATCTCCCTTGAGGAGCCTCCCAAAGCTCAGCTCCAGCCTTTCTTCGAGCTTGAAGCCCAGGGTAAACTTACCTATCAAACTCCTCGTCCCGCACGACAGGCATCCATCAAGTACGATGTTGTATGTGAAGACCGGAGCCGAGACTATATGGAGTCTCTTGTCGACGTCAATACCGGAAAGGAGACAAAGCACCGGGTTGTTGACAAGAGACACCAGCCCAGCTTGACCTTGTACGTTGAGACTACTCCCCCATCAACGATTTTCCTTTTTATTTTTCTTCAGAAGGATGAGACTGATTAGCTTTCCAGGGAGGAGTTTGAAGCTTTCCAGGATGCCTGCACCGCGTCCCAGCTTTTCAAGGATGAATTGGCCAAGTACAAGCTGCCTGAGGGCTTCGTTGTCACTATTGACCCCTGGCCCTATGGCGGTCCTGACCCGGGCGAGATCTACCCCCGGTATACTCAGGGACTCTGCTTTGCCCGGGACGCACGCAATGGCAACCCTGACTCGAATCACTACGGCTACCCGTTGCCCATGATCCCCGTCATGGACACTTATAAGCAAGAAATTGTGCGCATCGACAAGCTCGCCACCGGCGGCACCGAGGACGGCCTCCGGTACGACACCACGCAGCGGAACATTCTCGACCACTGCGCTCCTGCCGAGTACGTGCCCGAACTTCTCGAGGGCGGTCTTCGAACAGATCTCAAGCCTCTCAACGTGATCCAGCCCGAGGGACCTTCCTTCAAAGTCAGCGACGAGAGCGTTGTCGAGTGGCAGAAGTGGCGGTTCCGGGTTGGCTTCAACCCGCGCGAGGGTGCCACTCTCCACGACATTCGTTATGATGGCCGCAGTGTCCTATACAGACTGAGCATCAGCGAAATGGTAAACTCCTCCTATCATACCCCCTCTACTTCCACTCTCTCCCTCCGCACCAGTATACTAACAATGCGTGTTCCACCCTTCAGACCGTCCCATACGGTGACCCCCGACCCCCATTCCACCGCAAACAAGCCTTTGATTTTGGCGACGCCGGCGCCGGCCGAGCTGCCAACAACCTCGAACTTGGCTGCGACTGTCTCGGACTGATCAAGTACTTTGACGCCGTCATGGTGGACACATCAGGCGCACCCAGCGTCTCCAAGAACGTCATTTGTCTGCACGAGCAAGACAACGGGATCGGATGGAAACACACCAACTACCGAACCAACCGCGCCGTCGTCACGCGCTACCGCGAACTCGTTATCCAATTCATCATCACGCTCGCCAACTACGAGTACATCTTCATGTACAAGTTCGACCAAGCAGGCGGGATCGACATTGAGACGCGCGCCACGGGAATCGTCTCCGTCGTCAACATCGACCCGGGCAAGACCTCTCCCTGGGGCAACGTCGTGTCTCCCGGCGCACTGGCGCAGAACCACCAACACGTCTTCTGCCTGCGCATCGACCCAGCCATTGACGGGCCGCGCAACACCATTCTCAAGGAAGAATCTCTACCCATCCCCATGACCCCCGAACTCAACCCCTTTGGCAACGGCTACGAAGTGCGCCGCACCCCCATCACGCGCTCCTCCTTCCTCGACGCCTCCCCGCAGACCAACCGCGTCATCAAAATGATCAACCCCCACAAGCTCAACCCCATCTCCGGCCGCCCCATCGGATACAAATTCACCCCGACCGCCAGCCAGCTTCTGCTCGCCCACCCGGACAGCATCCAGGCCAAGCGCGCCCAGTTCGCCCAGCACCACGTCTGGATCACCAAGCACCGCGACGGCGAGTTCTGGGCCGGCGGCGAATTCACCAACCAGAGCCAGGCCGAAGTCGACGGCGTCGCGGACGCTGTCGCCCGCGATGAAAACGTGCAAGACGACGATGTCGTCGTCTGGAATGTCTTTGGTCTCACGCACAATCCCCGTGTCGAGGACTGGCCTGTCATGCCCATGGAGTCCCATTCGGTCCATCTCCGCCCCGTCGACTTTTTCACGCGGAACCCCGCAATCGATGTCCCCGGAAGCAAGAACTTGTCGTCCGTCCTCGCCCCGGGGAGTAAACAGGGCGATGGCAGCTCGTGTTGCTCGGGCAAAGTCCAGTCCCAGCCGACATCGCATGGTCAAGGTCAGGGCGAACTAAAGCCCCAGGATGGAACTCATAAGTTGTGAGATGCGAATGAGGAATGAGTGATTGTGCTTGACCGGCACAAGCAGCTTGGATGTTAGATGTTGGATAGTGAACGGTGTATGCTCATCGGGCACTGATTTGAGTCGTTTGACTAGAATGTGTTCTGCAACATTCGGCATATGTAATTCTCCCGACGGGAGAAAGCATGATACGGTGATCTTCATGAAAAATGGCGTTTTGGGAATGGATTTCATGATATACGGTCTGGAGGTGCACTGTTTTGGCTTGTCTGTTGTATATATCTACCTAGCATTCTTGAATCCTTTTGGTATATATGCCCTCTATATATATACCTAGCATTGACTTCATTATTTTCTCACATCTAAACACCCTGCTTAGTCCCGTTTGGGAAGTATCTGTTTAGCCTGGTGAAGGCTTTACTATCTAGACTCGGGATAACAGCAGGATTGTATTTCTTCGGAGCTTCCTAAACTAAACTGCGCATTCCCGCAACTAATGAGCTTGATACAATTTAAAAAGGAAAGGCGAAACAAAGACAAGCAAAACATTGTCGTTAATATATGATAATATATGATAATATCCGTCGTGCAATTTCACGTCCTTGTTGCCATATCATTCAAATTATCTCTTAAATATCGACTTCTTGAAGCCTTCCCTCTCTCAGCAATTCTTAGAAAATATTATAATGTCCCGCCTCCCAGTCGCGTTGAATACTTGAGATGGCTTTTCGTAAGCGGGCGGCAGTATTAGGTATCAAGGACGACCAAGGCGGCCTCATTCGAAGACAAATACTCATTATCCACAGCTGTCTCCTACTCGAATCTGAGTCTCTGTCCTCTTCCGATGTTCATGTTAGTTAGGAAAAAGGTAGGTCAAAAACCGAAAACCGAGAGAGAGAGAAGCGTAGGTTACATTCTACCAGGGCCTACACGCGACTCGCGTTAGGGGGAAGGAGTCATGTCGTCGCTGGAGATATCATGAGGACCAGGTGGAGGTGGGCGGATAATAACTAATGTGAATGTCGAGATTAGCCATGATGTGTATCAGAAAGGGGTCATTCCAACACAACAGCACGCACCTGCAGCTTCTATAATTTCTTCTATGGCAGAGTCTGGAATGCTATGCAAAGCGATATAGCAATTTGAAACCTGATTCCCTGCCGCTCGAGGGAAGTTGCGCAGACCCAACTTCTTGACGACCGTGCTAAATTTAAACACGTAGACGTCCTCCAGCTCTCGAGAATCTATTTTAAAGAGGGTCCATCCAATAATCGCCTCCTCCTCGAAGTCTTGATTCGACCACAACTTATAGATCCAGTTCACCGCGTGGTCCTGCTCGGAGAAGAGCGCAATGTAAGGCTGAACAACTCTGCTATGCCAACTAAGGTTGTTCTCCACAGATTGGCCAAACTCTTTCCGCTGGTCATCTTTGTAAAACGTGTCGGTGTCCTGGGCGTAGAGCCCTTGCCCTTCAATATATTCGGTTTGACAACCAGGATGTTGGACTCTCCACAAGTAGCGGGGGCGTAGCTGATCCAGCTGCTCCTGTGGAACACGAAACTGATCCATTTCGATAAACTTATTTAATATTTGCAATGGAGAATCGAAGGCACGTCGAAAAGAGCTCTCTTCTCGTCTCCTTGGAAGAGTCAAGACGTGAGATGTGGAGCCTCTCAAGACGATGCTGAACTCATATTTATAACCTGCCATCTGTACTGCCAGGGAAGTACTATTGGCAATAAGTGCGGGGATAGGCTCAGCATCCACCACCATCCAAAACGCCCGAGTCAAGAAGCTGGTTCTGAGAAGTCGCCACTCTGGGACGAAGACAGGGCAGCCAGGCAGTGGGAGTCATAGAGAGCTATTGCGCGTTCTTCAGTTTGCGGAAAGAATAACCGCTATTCGAGAACGTTGACAGGGCCATGGGGGAGAAATGCTGCATGTAAGCACATGGAGACTATGCAATTGACGGCAGGTTGTTTCAAACTGCTGCAGAATGAAAGCGCGGCAGCGTTCGGATTGGCTATCCATGGGCCGAAAGCTCAGAGGTGGCTTTCTTATCGGCCAACCTGGAGACACCTTCAGCTTTGTCGACGAGTTCGAGCAGAGTCACACATCTCGTGGATCCGTGTCCTCTTGCAGAAATTCCTGCATCTCTGCCCGTCTGTAGCGCATTCAACGATAGTGATTGGTAGAGACAACCGTCTGGCAGGTCTGCTGGCGAACCACACGTTCAAGCCCGTTCATTTAACTCATTGATTGGCCCGTAGCCTTCTGTCCCCCACGCACCTTGGCATTACCTCAGCCTTGCGATGTTAAAGCATGACGAGACCTCTTGCTCTGACAACTCTGGCCGTCTTGGGCGGCGAGGCAAAAGAGCTGCCATCTATCGCATCATCTTGCCGCAGATTGTGAAGCTGATCCGGCGACGACAAGGATATCATCTGGCGCCACGTGTTTTGAGGTTGGGCCGCGGCCGCATAATAAAATATGGCTCTGCGGCCATCCTTGCAGAGGCTCAAGCTCTCGACTATGTATCACGAAATACATCGATACCTGTTCCTGAAACGATCACAGCTTTCCAGTCACAAGAGGGGATCACCTACATCCTTATGAAAAGATGTCCTGGCATTCCCCTTTGCAATGCATTCTCTAAATTATCTGTTGTGGAGAAACAAAATATCTTGCAGCAATTACGGGGTTATATGAACGAACTTCGTGCCCTCAAGCCACCCAAGCCTGGGCAGGTCGGATCTGCATGCTACGGGCTGCTTGAAGACGAGCGGATTCAAACTTCACCATGTGGACCATTCGACAGTGTAGCTGACTTTCATCGAGCTCTACGAGGAGGAATTACAGGTCCGATAGGGCATGAGGAGTGCGATCACATGATCGCCGCACAGGATAGGCGGGATTATGAGATAAAGTTCACGCACGGCGATCTTTCCTTTCGCAATATCATATATAATGATGGCAAAATTACGGGAATCGTGGATTGGGAGTCCGCTGGCTGGTTTCCTGACTATTGGGAGTATACCATGACTTGGGACTCGTTCTGGGATAACAGGGAATTGAGGGATGAAATTCCGGCGTTTTTGGACCCTTTCCCAGCAGAGCTTGAAATGGAACGGACACGATGGAGACTGTTCGTTGGTTGGTGATATCCAAAAGAATTCTTGTAGACTATTTATCGTAGTTGAAAAGCAAATCCAGATTCTTGCGTCGTCGTAAGGACCTTTTCGCCGTTGTGTCTTTGAGCCATTGTCTGTCCTGTTTTATCAGGTTGGAAGTCTCATTGGAAGTGGATGCTGTGTAGCTTCACAGCTGCCAACCATCCTGTTAACAATACAAAAACTAAGCTTGGCTTGAACAGTATGCATTCTATTGATTGCTTAGTAGTTAAAGTTAACCTCGTGCATTGAAATATTTGTATATATCTTATCCAACTCTTACTCTTGGGAAGTAATACTAATAGAATAAGTATAAATAAAAACCTATAAAGAAAAGGCTTTAAAGGATTTAAAGGAGATCTAAGTATCTAAGATATAGTGCTTTATCTAAACAATACTTATTATTATAATTAAAGGAGTTACAAGAAAACTCAAGTTCTTAAACTTAAGTGTATCAAAAATCATAATGTCGTTGCCTATTCCAAGTCTACCATGGACTTAGACAAGAACCTAGATCTCAAGATAAAGTAAAGCAAGTTTATGGTAAGTCTAAGTAGGACTCATTGTCCAAGGAGAGCCAGTGTTCTTGGCACTAGTATATTAAGAGGCACCGGTGCATCCAATGTAAGCCGGGGTAGAAATATAAGCCATCTCGGTCTTGAGCAATGCGAGAGGGTGGTGACATAACAGCACTCAAGGGCAAGGACAATATGTGGAAGAGAAGATAGTGTCAAATGTACTCGTTGTAATCATACTAACGACGTGAAATATATTCAACAAGGAACAGCAATAACAATAATTTTAGTACAAAAGTCCACGAAAAAAAACAAAAACAGCAAGGTATATACAACAGACGCAAGACAACAACAAAAAAAGGACAGCAATTTTCTCCGCCTTCAAAGCGATATCATCCCGTTTTGCTCCCAATAATTCTTTTGAGATAAGATTTCATCGCCTCGTCTAAGTGCATTGCCATTTTTGCAGTTGAAATAGGAAAAGTTTAGACATGAAAACCATTAATAAGCACACGATCCATCCAATTCGTCCTTCCGTCCAAACTCGCTGATATCATTTGACCAAATTGCTTCGAAACTTGACAGTCGCTTGCAGAACAGCAGAGGGAAGAAAGGAAAAATCGTAAGAGTCGTCAAATACAATCGAAACATGATTCGTCTTTTGTAAATTTGTCATCGGAGACGTCGTGAGGAAGAGTAGGGCAATCTCTTAATAGCGAAAGTGACGCATCCGCTCAAGAGGAAGCGCCGACGGCTTGAAGAGGAGCGCGCTCAGCCCGACCGAGAATCTCGTGGGAGGCAGCTTCGTGAGCAGATCGGAAGGGGGCACGAGGGACGATACCGCCAGTGACGGGGAGCTGAGAGCCAAGACCCTCGAGGTAAGTGTCGACCTCGCGGGCAGTCATACGACCTTCGTTGATGGCCCAGACGATGAGAGACTGTCCACGGCGGCAGTCACCAGCAGCGAAAACACCAGGGATAGAGCTGCTGTAGCGGCCAGCAGGAGTCTTGACGTTCTTGCGGGGGTCGCGCTCAATGTCACCAAGAACACGCTCCTCAGGGCCCAAGAAACCCATGGAGAGCAGAACGAGGTCGGCCTCAAAGTATTGCTCGCTACCCTCAACCTGCTTCATGTCCCAACCGCCAGAGGCACCCTTGGTCCACTCGACGCGGACAGTCTTGATACCCTTGACACGACCGTTGCCATCGTCAACGAATTCCTTGGACATGACACAGAACTCACGAGGATCGCGACCCATATGAGTCTTGACCTCAGAGTGACCGTAGTCAACACGGTAGATACGAGGCCATTGGGGCCAGGGGTTGTCGCGAGCACGCTCCTGAGGAGGCTGAGGCAGCAGCTCAAAGTTGATTACAGACTTGGCACCGTGACGAACAGAGGTACCAATGCAGTCGTTACCAGTGTCACCACCACCAATGACAATGACATGCTTGTCCTTGGCAGAGATGTAGGAGCCGTCAGCCAGGCCAGAGTCGAGAAGAGACTTGGTGTTCTTGTGCAAGAACTCCATGGCGAAGTGGATACCCTCCAGGTTTCGGCCTTGGATGGGCAGGTCACGGGCAACGGTGGCACCAGTGGCAAGGATGACGGCGTCGTTCTGGCTGCGAAGGGAGTCGAGGGTGATGTCCCCTTCGCCAACAGCGACACCGGCGGCGAACTTGACACCCTCGGCGCTCATGAAATCGACACGGCGCTGGACGACGTTCTTGTCGAGTTTCATATTGGGGATACCGTACATCAGCAGACCTCCAATACGGTCGGCACGCTCGTACACAGTGACAGAGTGGCCAGCCTTGTTGAGCTGGTCTGCAGCAGCCAGACCGGCGGGACCGGAACCAATGATGGCGACATTCTTGCCAGTGCGGACCTTGGGAGGCTGAGGGATCATCCAGCCCATCTCAAAACCGCGGTCAATAATGGCGCACTCAATGGATTTGATGCCGACGGGGTCCTCATTGATACCAAGAACACAAGCACCCTCACAAGGTGCAGGGCATACACGACCGGTGAACTCGGGGAAGTTGTTGGTCATGAGCAGACGGTTAAGGGCGTCTTTCCACTGGTTCTGGAAAACAAGCTCGTTCCATTTGGGAATAATGTTGGAGATGGGGCAACCAGTGTCAGACTGGCAGAAAGGAACACCACAGTCCATGCAACGAGCAGATTGGTATTTCAGCTCGTCTTCGTTCAGACGAGAAGAAATCTCCTGCCAATCCCGGGTACGGGTCTTGGAGTTCCGGTACTTCTCACTGCGGCGCTGGTACTTCATGAAGCCCTTGGTCTTGTCAAGCACAAGAGTGGATCGCTTCTTCTCAGCCTTGGCGTCACCGACACTCTCTTCAATATCTGTCATGTCATTCTTCTTCTTCTGAACGTCTTTCTCGTGCTCGTGCTTCTTAGACTCTTCGTGAGCAGCGCGAACGGGGTTGCCAGGGAGGATCGGAAGATGGTACTCAGCCTTCTTCGCAGCGGCAGCCTTGGCAGCTTCAGCCTCAAGGACCCTCTTGTAGTCAATGGGCAGGACCTTGACGAATCTAGGCAAAGCACGAGTGAAGTCAAGCAGGATGCGAGCAGCAAGCTCCGAACCGGTGTAGTGGTGGTGGTCCTCAATCAATCCACGGACAAAAGCGACTTCGGTGGGCTCTTCGATGCCAGAAATTTCAACCATCTCAGTGTTGACCTTGGTGTGGAAGTCCTGGTTCATGTCGAGAACGTAGGCAATACCACCAGACATACCGGCCGCGAAGTTACGGCCAGTGCCACCCAAGCAGATGACGCGACCACCAGTCATGTACTCGCAACCATGGTCACCAACACCCTCAACCACAGCAGTGGCTCCAGAGTTGCGGACGGCAAAACGCTCAGCAGCAATACCGCGGAAGAAGCAAGTACCACGGGTGGCACCATAAAGACAGGTGTTACCAATAATAATGTTCTCCTCGGCCTTGAAGACGGCGGACCGGGGGGGGTAGATGATGAGACGACCACCGGAGAGACCCTTACCAACATAGTCGTTGGCATCACCCTCGAGCTCCAGAGTAACACCAGGAGCAAGGAAAGCACCAAATGCCTGTCCAGCAGAGCCGCGAATGTTGACATGGATAGTGTCCTGAGGCAGGCCGGTCTCGCCATAGCGCTTGCTGATGTGGTACGACAAGCTGGTACCGAGAGTGCGGTCGGTGTTGACAACGTCGCACTCAATGCGGACGGGCAGACCCTTCTCCAGCGCCAATTCAGACTCAGCAATGAGCTTGTTGTCGAGGCGAGTGTGGAGCATGTGGTCCTGCTTGCGGACATTGTAGGTAGCGACGCCGGGCCGGAGGGAGTGGGCCGGGGTGAGAATAAGCGAGAGGTCAATGTTTTCCGTCTTCGAAGTGCGAAGATCCTCACGAACGCGCAGGGCCTCGCAGTGACCAACCATTTCGTTAACAGTGCGGAAACCAAGCTTGGCCATAATAGCACGCATCTCATTGGCTAGGTAGTAGAAGAAGTTAATCACGTGCTCAGGGGTACCAGTGAACTTTTTACGAAGCTCAGGATCCTGGGTAGCAATTCCGACAGGGCAAGTATTCCTAAAATACGAATTAGCAACGAATTTCAAAGCATTTCAAGGGCATTTGGAAACGTAACAGGTGGCATTTTCGCATCATGATGCATCCCATTGCAATTAAAGGAGCAGTAGCAAAGCCAAACTCCTCAGCACCAAGCAAGCAGGCAATGGCAATGTCACGACCAGTCTTAATCTGACCATCAGTCTGGACAACAACACGGCCACGTAGGTCATTCAAGACAAGAGTCTGGTGAGTCTCAGCAAGACCAAGCTCCCAAGGAAGACCAGCGTACTTGATACCGGTCCATCGAGAGGCACCAGTACCACCGTCGTGACCGGAAATGAGGATATGGTCAGCCTTGGCCTTAGCGACACCAGAGGCGACAATACCAACACCAGTTTCCGATACAAGCTTGACGGAGACACGAGAACGAGGGCTAGAGCACTTCAGATCGTAGATCAACTGCTTCAGATCCTCAATGGAGTAAATGTCGTGGTGAGGGGGAGGAGAGATGAGACCGACACCAGCAGTGGAGTGACGGGTGTGAGCAATAGCACCGGACACCTTGTGACCAGGAAGCTCACCACCTTCACCAGGCTTGGCACCCTGAGCCATCTTGATCTGAAGCTCATCTGAGTCGGCAAGATAGTGAGAGGTGACACCAAAACGACCAGATGCGACCTGCTTGATGGCAGAGCGCATAGTGTCGCCATTCTCCATGATCAAGCTTCTCTCAGGGTCCTCACCACCCTCACCGGTGTTTGACTTGCCACCAAGACGGTTCATGGCAACGGCAAGGGTAGAGTGAGACTCCATGGAGATAGAGCCATAGGACATGGCACCAGTGGCAAAACGCCGGACAATCTCGGTCCAAGGCTCAACCTGGTCAATGGGCACAGGGGTGGCCTCATCAAAGTTGAAGTCAAGCATGCCACGGAGAGTGCAGTTCTTGATCTGTTCATATTCAGATTTCGCATATGCCTCGTAGGACTTGTCATTCTTAGTTCGGACAGCATCCTGCACGTTCGCAATGCTGACAGGGTCGTTGACGTGAGGCTCACCACCGTCTCGCCAGTGATATTCACCGGTCTCAGAAAGACCAGGAACACTGACGACATCGCGTGAGGGGAATCCTCTCTCGTGAATGGCGATGGCATCCTGAGCAATGAGCTCAAAAGTCATACCCTTGATACGGGTAGCGGTACCAGTGAAGCATCGGTCAACGACCGTGTCATCCAAACCAAGAGCTTCAAAAATCTGAGCACCCTTGTAGCTCTGCAGGGTAGAGATGCCCATTTTGCTCATGACCTTAAGGATACCACCATCGCAAGAGTACTTGTAGTTGTTGATAACCTGCTCATCAGTGAGCTGTTTGCGGATGAGATTCTCACGGTTCATCTTGAGAATACAGTCGAGAGCCAGGTAGGGGCAGATGGCGTCCGCACCGTAACCGAGCAGCACGCACATGTGGTGAACCTCACGAGCTTCAGCGGTCTCAACCATAAGAGCGGCCTGCGACCGCCACTTGTTCCGGACCATGTGGTGGTGGACGAGACCAGTAGCGAGGAGGGCTGAGATGGGAACACGTTCAGCTGAGGTGGCACGGTCAGAGAGGACCAAGATCTTGTCTCCCTGCTGAATGCCCTCATTGACTGCCTCACAGATACGGTCCAAAGCATTCATGTAGCCTTGGACGCCCTCACTCTTAGCGAAGGTGATGTCGATCACCTTCACACTCCAGTCAGCGTGGAGCTGGTTGATAGCAAGGATACCGTTGAATTCAGAGAGAGAGAGGATGGGCGAGGGGAGGAGGAGACGACGGCACTGCGAGGGGTCCATCTCAAGCAGATTGCCTTGGGGTCCGACGTAGCACTCGAGAGACATGACGACGGCCTCACGGATAGGGTCGATGGGAGGATTCGTGACCTGAGCGAACAATTCTCTGAAGTATTCGTAGAGCACACGAGGTTGCTGCGCCAAGCAGGCGAGGGGAGCATCGTTACCCATCGAACCGAGAGCTTCCTTGGAGTCTGCAGCCATAGGGCCCAAGAGCAAGCTGACTTGCTCAAAGGAGTAGCCAAAAGCTCTGAGGAAGGGGTCCTGCTGGACGACGACGTCATTGAGCTTGTAGCTGAGATCGGCGCCGTGAGAGGTGAGCTGCTCGCAAAGTGTGGGCAGCGTCAAGAGCTCGCGGTCCAGCCAAGTCCGGAAATCCTGGCGGTGGCAGACGGTCGCCTTAAGCTCGGCATCATCGACAATACGGCCAGCAAGCGTGTCGACAAGCAACATCTTACCAGGTTGAAGACGGCCCTTTTGGATGACGGTCTCAGGCTCAATGAACATAGTTCCAACCTCAGACGCGCAAATCATGCGGTCATCGGAAGTGACATAGAATCGACAAGGACGGAGACCATTTCGGTCAAGGTTGGCTCCGCAGTACCGACCATCGGCAAAGGTGAAGAGAGCCGGACCATCCCAGGGTTCCATGTTGCAGGCAGCCCACTCGTAGAAGGCCGCCTTGGCGGGGTCCATGGCAGCGTTGCCCTGCCATGATTCAGGGACCAACAGCATGACGGCTTCCGGGAGCGACAGAACGCCATTAATCATCAAAAGTTCCAGGACGTTGTCAAAAGCAGCCGAGTCGGAACCGCCATCTTCAATGACGGGCAACAAATTCTGCAACTCATCACCAAAAATCTCAGACTTGAGCAATCCCTCACGAGCTCTCATCCAGTTCTTGTTACCACGGAGTGTGTTAATCTCACCTGAATTGAGATTGTCAGTAAATCGTCGCATGTATTTGGGAAGTGGCAGGCGTTCTTACCGTTGTGGGCGGCCCACCGGAGGGGCTGAGCGCGATCCCAGCTGGGGAAGGTGTTTGTAGAGAAACGGGAGTGTACCAGGGCGAAGTGAGCCTCGTAGTCAACAGATACCAGGTCGTGGTAGTACTGGTAGACCTGTACGGGTGCCAATTGACCCTTGTAGACAATGTTCTTGTTGCTCAATGAGCAAAGGTAAAACCAGTTGTGGATACCAATGGTGTGGGTAGCCCGCTTTCGCAGGATGAAGAGCTGACGCTCAAAATACTTCCAGTCGAAAGTCTCAGGATCGGTCTGCTCGGGCGCGTTGCCCTCGCCATACGCAGATCGGAGGACGACGAAAGGTTGGAGCACAACAGGCTCACGGGAAAGGGCGGCGGGACCCAAAAGACTGGAGTCTCTGGGGACTTCTCTCCATCCAAGGACTCGCAGGCCAACCTCCGCGGCAATATCCTCAAAGGTCTTGGTGCACTCTTTGAGCACCTCTTCGTCCGGCTTGAAGAACAAGTTACCAGCAGCGTACTGGCCGAGCGGGGGAAGTTTCCATCCATATTCCCGCTCAAAGTTCTTCAAGAAGAACTTGTGAGGGATGGAGGTCATAACACCGGCACCGTCACCGTCCCGAACATCAGAACCCACCGCACCACGGTGGGTCATGTTGCAGAGAAGATTCCGTGCTGCAGGAAAAAATAATCGTCAATTCCATCTCCTTTGCAAATTCTAGGGCAATTGAAAGTTCAAATTTTCCACTTACCATCGCTAACGATTTTGTAGCTGGCCTTGCCCTTGATGTGGCTATAATTTCCCGTTAGTCTCTCTGTCCATACAACCCCGCTCAGAGTATCAAAATAGCCAACTTACGCAGTGAAGCCAACACCACAGGAATCCTTCTCCAGCTCCGGATCATATAGACCCTGCTTCAACGGCAGAGTACCGGCCCATGACCGATTCTCCGGCGTTTCCTGGTAAGGAAAAACCTTGGTAGGTTGCTCTTCCTCTATGCGGTAGTCATTGAAGTCATTGGCGAAACTCCCCATTCTTTCCCGGGGCAACCGGAAATCACAGCGATTACGAAGAAAGGTTCGCAGAAAGGGTTGCTTCGAGTGTCCCTTGGGCCGATGAGGTCGTCAATGATGGTGAAGGGCGTGTGTTTCCGTGAAGGGCCTCTTCTGTCTGTTGGAGTAGAGGGGGAGGAAAAAGAAGACAACACGGGCAGGTCGAGTAATTGTAATAGCAGGGCAAGTTACGCCGGTCGGGACGAATGAGGCGGATTGCAATTGGCTAGCAATCTAGTGTCAGTATGGTGGGGTCTAACCCTGCCTCTGCACCGTGGCGAAAATCGGTAGGATGATGCAAGCACGCTTACCAGACTGCTCTCGGAGGGTTTTTACTGGTGGAGCAAGGTGGACAAGCTGTGGTAGGTGTAGTACACAGTATGTCGGTGGTAAGGTGGTAGGGATTATTATGGGGGGAGGGTTGATCCAGTCGGGGGGCACGGCCAAATGTGAAGAAGGGGATCTCTGTCTTTTTTTTTTCACAAGCATATAGTTGGCCAAGCAGGAGAGCGGCGATTGGGGTAAAGTTAGGTTAAGCTGGGCTCTGGGCGTTTTCGTTCGCGGGCAGATCAACTAGGTCAAGCAAGTAGGGGAAATTCTTCGAGGGGCTGTCATTAGCGTTGCGATAAGCTCACACACCAGCCAATCAGAGACCAGATGTTTGTCTGCAGGCCCGAAAAGAGGGCCGTTCGGCAGAACTCGCCAAATCTACGCTAACTCCGGATAGACACGTTCTGGCTTGTGGGGGGTGGTGATTTCTTTGCCTCAAAGAAGAAAAAAAAGCTGGAGTTGCGAGGGGTCTCACAATTTACACCCAAGAGGAAAGGACGAGCGAATCGTATCGAGTTATCGATTGGTACATCACCTGTCAATCTGTCATGACAAGCAATTGGGGTTGAGTAGGTAGGGAAAGCAAAAGAAAAAATGCATAAACCACGTCACCCTCAACGTGAGCATGATTTAATGACAACGCCGGACCTTCTTCAGGTTCCTGCGACCGACGAAATGACGATGACTGAGGCAGCGGAATAAATCTGCCGGAACCAGGGGGAAGACACTGCGCCCCTCCCAGTCGCAGGTCGCCTATGAGTACAATACCATTTTGGCGCTACGACACATCAATTCTCCAAACACACCTGAGCAGACCATTTCGAGAAATGAATGGACAGGGAGGGGCAAATGGAGAAAATTTTGATGCTGGCTCTTGTTTGAAGCCAAATCTCGTCTACTCCGATAGGCTTGTCCAGGGCCTCGAGATGTCCGCTCTCTTCCTGTTCCAGCACACATTGGCGGAAATTGATCCCCGCCCTCTCCCTCATAACCGCTCTTTTTGAGCCCCGATTTCTTGTGCACATGCTGTCCGGTACCCTTCTGTACTCAAATGTACTTTGCTAAACAGATATCGTACGATGCTGACAAAGTACCTGAAGCGTATCGATGTCGTAGCCGATCGTCTCCTCCGACACGCATTAGAGGCGAAGAAGTAACAGGAAATAATCATCATTGCTCGTCGTCATCGATCCATCATCAAGTGTAAAGCATTTTGACCAATTCGTCTTTTGATTCCCGAATGCTTGAGTAAAAAAGCAATTCTTTTCGTCTTCTTTGGCCGAGGAAGGGGGAATTCAAGCCGGCGTTGACCGAGTTCTAGGCGCCAACTCCGTATCTGATCAATATTGACTGCGTAATACTATATCCCAATCTCATCGAGTAATACATTTGCTTGCCTTCCGTGCACCTTTAGGCTAAGCTGTAAACACTCTTGCTACCGCGGAGTTCCCCTCTCGCGCCAGCCTGCTCACTTGGATGCATTTAAGCAACCCCCACCCTTACTTAGCGAATAATCAAGCCGATGTCGGCAATCTCTTAGACACCTTGCCAACCATGTCTCAGACTCCTTATGGTGATGCAAGCAGGACCGTTGGTAACATGGTCAGGGAACCCGTTCAAAAATTTTCCCATGCCCTTGGTCCGAGCACACATCGGTCCTGCGAAGTCCCAAGGTTTTCCACACATGTGAACCATCGATAGATTGCAGGTGCCCGGGGCAGGGATAAGCGTGGGGACCTACACAGGAGGAACAGCAACAGTTGCAATTTAAGCAAACTTATGGGCTTTTTTTCTGGGGGATTCTTAATCTAAGGTAATCTTATGCTTTTACTGTCGCGCCAATTGCCGACGCCAAATGAGCCAATAATGATAGGCTTGATCGTCAGCTATACAGACTTAAGTGCCAGGACGACTATGGTGACTGAATTACCATTACGAAACGAGAACTGACTGAGCCCAGTTTTGTCGTCGCTGACATCCGTCGAGACGAACAGGAGGTTGACTGGTGAGGTGGTCTCCCTTCTCGGTCGCCGCTCGGGAAGGCACGGGAGCGGCCTACCGACCTCGTACTCCCCTTTCCCGTTGTGACTCAGAGATTCAAGAAGGCGCCTAAGACCAAAAGGAGTCCCGAACCAGGGCAGACGGACGCTTTCGGGTGTTTGAATCCTGGCGACCGAGGGAAAGTGTTCCCCGACGTACTGTCGAGATTTTGACAGAGTACAGTAATGGAGGCCGATTTCGCAACAACTGCTTCATTTCCTTTCAGGCTCCACTCAGCCAGGAGAAAATGGTTGGTATCCCGAGGCCTTATGCAAGTATCAACATGAGCTAGACCAGAGTGCTTCGAGGCTAAAGCGAGCCCCTCCTTCTATGCACATGTCAATTTTTCCTCTCGATTGCGCAGTCACAGGAGATCATTTCCACTCTACGGACTGACCCCGTGGGTCACACTATCCATAGAAGAAGCCCTTTCGTCTGTGTCGCGGAGTTACCAGGAGGCTCCTCCATCTCCATAAACCCTTCCCCACTCGCAGAAAAAAAGTTTTTCAGTTCGATCTGATCGCGAGCTTGCATCTCCCGCAAGCTTCTTCCAGCCAGTGACAGTCACCGTATTTGATAAATGGGAATTCACAGCAAATCCTCGTTTTGCAGCTTAGCAACCTTGGGATTCTATTCAACCTCTTTCCGGCGGAGGTTTCTCTGGCCGGCCTTCAGATGATGAGAGTTTCGAAGATCGATTATTCGTATCTAACGCTCTGTAAGTCTGTCAAGACGCAACCGGCGTTCAACTGGTTCAACGGGTCTCTGCATGAAATTTCGTCACGTGGTTTCGTTCACGTGATCTGCGGTGAAGCCTCCCTCTTTCCTAAATTGTAATAATTCAAGCTGCGTGTGCTCTCACGGTGGAATATTGCCGGTTTCTCCGCATTATCCGCTTCTTTCTGAGCGGGTTTTAGTCCCTGAAATGTTCGTAGATGCTTCATCGGTCTCATATAGATGGTCAATTTGCAATCCCACTACGGTCTGCTGCTGTGTGAGAAGTCTCCAAGGGAGCCCCTCACCAGCGCCAAGTCATGAATCTCAGCCTTGCAGCAATGAAACATTTACTAGAGATCGACGGTTGCAATATATAATAGGCGCCTTGTGGTGCAGAATCACCATCCACGATCCTTGCCGTGACTCGTGGCATCTTGTTTAGGTAGCAAATAATCAAGCGATACCCCGGCACATACGTCTTCTGGATGTTCCTATTACATCATCACTGGGAAAAAATTTCTTTGTGTTTTGACGTCAAAGAAAATCTCATTTTCTGTAGGCCACATAAAATTGTCACTAGGAAAACAGACTAAATAACTGTATATGTGCCGTAATATATTTTTTCCGAATCTTAAAGAATAGTTTCCGGCTCGAAGAATTACGCTGGACCGCCAACTAATGAGTCCGAGATAATGTTGTCCATTGGTCGAGTAAAACTTGCTGGGAGCAGTCTCCATGCACAATCACCGGATAAATATCTTGATTTACGGAGTATGCTCCGTGCACAATATCCAAGGTACACTAGCATAGGTGCTACCGGTGATAATTTTCGGGTATTTTCTGGTTCATACGTAGTAGTTTTCTTGAGGACGACATTCGGCTACAATATTAGCTATATGACGTTGCCAGTCAATTCAAGGTTCTCAAAATTTTATGGCCATATCAATCTGATATCTGACATCTGCAGCACAACGGCATTCCAAAGGTTAGCAAATAAATGTACCTACCAGAGATTGGGTTGCAAGATGTCTTTCTACAGCGTTTCTCCATTGTACTGAAGCTCAATGCTTCTTCAAAACTAAAGGTTATTTGCTTGTCCAAATAAAATTTGCAGTAGAAATAGATGTTGTTCTGGTTACGACCACGTATGTTTACTATCCATTCAACACTTTTGGAAGAGCTGTAGAGAAAGGTCCAATATCGATAAAATTTCACTAAGGTTCATGTCACTTTATATGACGAGCAGCTGGTATTCACGATGAGGTAGTGTTATAGGACTTGAAATTTAATCATAATTGCTCCACAAGATGGTGAATATGAGGTCAGTCCAAGACACGAAATGAAACATGATGCGATGGTTACCTGGCGCAACGGCAAGCTCCTTATCGGCAAAAAGAGGCTAGCCCGAAGCGGAAAGGCCAACGTCATCCCGAGATCATGAAGACGATGGAAGTCGAACAATGAAGGGACGAAAAATGCGTAAAGAACGGTCATTGCATGCATAATTTGCAGGGGAAAAAAGCAACTAGTAAAGACAGGGCTGATCTGATTGATCTCGAAATATCAAGCTGCATCGAGATCAGAGTCTTTCGTGGTCGAGAAGAGGGCACTCGTGGGTTCACGTATGTTGTGGGCCGCGCTGGTCCCCCATGGAATCGCTTAGATGTATATAGAATCCACAGAAACTTCCAGCACGTCGGGCACCGCTAAGGTACATAAACCGTTTCACCCACAATCCGCCATCATCTCTTTTCATACTTCAGACTCACACAAAGAAACTCCTCCTCTTCATACCCTTCACGAATTCACGACCTACATCTTCCTACCTTTTTTTAATATAGGTCTTGTTTCTCTTATTGCATCTTTTACATTTCTTTCATCATGGCCCCCGCTGTCGGTATTGACTTGGGAACCACCTACTCGTGCGTGGGTATCTTCCGGGATGACCGCATTGAGATTATCGCCAACGACCAGGGCAACCGCACTACGCCCTCGTTCGTTGCCTTCACCGACACCGAGCGGTTGATCGGTGATGCTGCCAAGAACCAGGTCGCCATGAACCCTCACAACACTGTCTTCGACGCCAAGCGTCTCATTGGCCGCAAGTTCGCCGATGCTGAGGTCCAGGCCGATATGAAGCACTTCCCCTTCAAGATTATTGAGAAGAACGGCAAGCCTCACATCGAGGTTGAGTTCAAGGGTGAGACCAAGGTCTTCACTCCTGAGGAAATCTCCGCCATGGTCCTCGTCAAGATGCGGGAGACTGCTGAGTCTTACCTCGGTGGCACCGTCAACAACGCTGTCGTCACTGTCCCTGCCTACTTCAACGACTCTCAGCGTCAGGCTACCAAGGATGCCGGTCTCATTGCTGGCTTGAACGTCCTCCGTATCATCAACGAGCCCACCGCGGCCGCCATTGCCTATGGTCTCGACAAGAAGCAGGAGGGTGAGCGCAACGTCCTCATCTTCGACTTGGGTGGTGGTACCTTTGATGTTTCCCTCCTGACCATTGAGGAGGGTATCTTCGAGGTCAAGTCCACCGCTGGTGACACCCACCTTGGTGGTGAGGACTTTGACAACCGCCTCGTCAACCACTTCGTCAACGAGTTCAAGCGCAAGCACAAGAAGGACCTTTCCTCCAACGCTCGTGCTCTTCGCCGTCTCCGCACTGCTTGCGAGCGTGCTAAGCGCACTCTCTCGTCTGCTGCCCAGACCTCCATTGAGATCGACTCTCTCTTCGAGGGTATCGACTTCTACACCTCCATTACCCGTGCTCGTTTCGAGGAGCTCTGCCAGGACCTCTTCCGCTCCACCATGGAGCCCGTTGAGCGTGTCCTCCGTGACGGCAAGGTCGACAAGTCCTCCGTCCACGAGATTGTCCTCGTCGGTGGTTCTACCCGTATCCCCAAGATCCAGAGACTCGTTTCCGACTTCTTCAACGGCAAGGAGCCCAACAAGTCCATCAACCCCGATGAGGCTGTCGCCTACGGTGCTGCCGTCCAGGCCGCCATTCTCTCTGGTGACCAGAGCTCCAAGTCCACCAACGAGATCCTTCTGCTCGATGTTGCCCCGCTCTCTGTCGGTATCGAGACCGCCGGTGGTGTCATGACTGCCTTGATCAAGCGCAACACCACCATCCCCACCAAGAAGTCTGAGGTCTTCTCCACCTTCTCCGACAATCAGCCTGGTGTGCTTATCCAGGTTTATGAGGGTGAGCGTGCTCGCACCAAGGACAACAACTTGCTCGGCAAGTTCGAGCTTACCGGCATTCCCCCGGCTCCCCGCGGTGTTCCCCAGATTGAGGTCACCTTTGACGTTGATGCCAACGGTATCATGAACGTCTCTGCTCTCGAGAAGGGCACTGGCAAGACCAACAAGATTGTCATCACCAACGACAAGGGCCGTCTCTCCAAGGAGGACATTGAGCGTATGCTTGCTGAGGCCGAGAAGTACAAGGCTGAGGATGAGGCTGAGGCTGCTCGTATTGGCGCCAAGAACGGTCTCGAGTCCTATGCCTACTCGCTCCGCAACACCGTCTCCGACCCCAAGGTTGACGAGAAGCTCGATGCCGCTGACAAGGAGAAGCTCAAGGCTGAGGTTGACAAGACCGTTGAGTGGCTCGACAGCAACACCACCGCCACCAAGGACGAGTACGAGGACAAGCAGAAGGAGCTTGAGTCCGTCGCCTCTCCCATCATGATGAAGCTGTACGGTGGCGGTGCTGAGGGTGGCGCCCCTGGTGGCTTCCCTGGCGCTGGTGCTGGTGCTGGTGGCCCCGCCCCTGGTGCCGGTGGTGACGACGGCCCCACCGTTGAGGAGGTTGACTAAACGAATCGCTTCTTTTGATGCCGTTTTCGTTTTGAGATTTTTTAAAAACCTTTCTCTCTTCTGATATGACTTTGGCGTCGTGCATGAATAATGGGTCTAAAGTTTGTCGATTTTTTTCGTTTTTACAAAGGGAATAGTCATGATATGAGCGAAAGTGTGGATTCCTCTTTTTTTTCTTTCTGTTTAAAACTTTGCCCACGAAGGCATTTTATATCTTCTACTTTCGAAGTATCTAGTTTTTTTACGATCTTCTTATAAAGAGATGCAGAGAAATGAAAAGCTAGCTTCCTAATTCAAACCTGTCCACCTATGAATATGAATGTGAACCTCAATCGTCGATTTCTTCATTTTCAAGTCCGTTGACAAGTAAATTATTGCACTACGTAAGGCCTTTGGCAACCAATCCAGCCGTGATGCCATCACGTGATACCGTCATCCTGTATAGCATCTGAAACAAACTTGAGGTATGATAACTCACTCATTTCGTAAGGACGAAATAGCTAAAAACAGTGTTTTGGGAGTCTCTTCCCTCTTTGGTCCATGGCTGTCATGTAGTATAGTTAAGGTATGTATTATTCGAAAAAGTACGTTCATGTATCAAGGGAAATAAAGACAAATATTTATTTGATAGTGCGACTTTTAATTATTTTTCCTTTCGTACATGCTCTAACTCATAAACTCTGCTCTACATCGGTTTTAATTTGTCTATCTATCAACCTGTCTGCTTTTTCGTTTTACTTTCACTTTTTAAGGTTGACTGGTTGGTTTATTTTCAATTGTTATTTTATGTTGTATTTTTACCCATTTTACACTTTAAATTTCCTGTCTTTGTTTTCAGATTCCCGTCTTGTTTTTTTTTTATCCATTTATATGTTATACTCATTTCCATATTCCGTTTCATTTTCGTTTTCTTTTTTTTTTTTTTTTTTTTTTTTTTTCAATTTTCTGTCTACTTTTTCTCCCGCGGCTCTTTCCATCCCTCTTCTCTTCTTCCTTTGCTCCTTTGCTCCCCACCTACCTGCATCCTTGCCTTTCCCCTTTTCTCACCAGGGGGAGAGAAGCTGGTAGTTGTATATGTGGTGTATTCTTCCTTTTTTTTGGACATGTGTCGATTGTATAGACTCGAAACGGTAGAAACTAAGAGTCTAAGACAGGTCACAGGAAGGTATGCAGAATCATGCATTGCAATATCGACGTAGTATATTTCCATATACGGTACTCAATGCTCTTTTGGGAAGCAGCTTGTTACCTGGGTTGCTGTGGAGAACGTATACAGTATGCTATTATGCTACTATACTAATGTTCTCCGGGATTGGGGCAAGCTGGCTTTATGTGGGATCGGGACTCGTGATGTCTTACCAGATCGAGAGGGAAAGTTAAAAAAGAAGACAAAAAGCGGAGAAAGCAAGTGGCATCTTACCATAACGGGAGAGGAAAGTAGAAAAGGAGAAGAGGGGGAAAAAGAAGGGGAAAAAAGAAAGCATCTTACCTGACCCCGAGAGGACGAAAGAGCAAAGAAACCAAGGTAAAAAGGACAAAGAAGTAACAAACAACTCAAAAGGCAAAGTACAGGTCAACTCTAAAAGGGAAACAGTAAGAATGATAAAGACTGAGCATTCGGACGCACATGACATGTCAGATTAAAAGCCGCTGGTGGATCAGTGCAGACGAGACAGTGAAATGAAGTGATATACTACTCAACGGAAAAATTGTAAAATGATCTGTGTTTCATTGGTCAGAAAAATGCTAGATATCGTCATACTATACAATACAATAAACTAAAGCTAATATACATTGGATATAGACTGAATGGAAAAGTGACGGTCATGATATACAAACGGAAAATCCAGAACACGTGAGTAGAATGAGATGAGTGCGACGGAGGCGCGAGTGGATATAGAAAAAGTTGGTCCTTCAGAGTCAGGTGACTCAATAGATGGACATCAGGTGGATTGAATATCCTCAATTCATCCTTCGTCTTGCGTGATCTCCGCTGGAACATACTATCTGCTCCGCAACCAAGGGAGCGCGAAATTAAACGGAAGAGTTGAATAAACAAATAGGGGGGGGGGGAAGGGCCTCTCGGAATGACGCGCGAGGCTTGGTTGGTGGTAAGGTGATGAGTGTATTTTCAGGAAAAGGAGGAACGGAAGAGATGAGAGCCGGGGCTTAGTAACTCAGGTTGACCGTAGCGAGGATGAGTGCGACGGTTAAAAGCAGGTGAGAGAAAAGGATACAAGGACATGCGAGTTTCCATGCCCAAAGTCGAGGTGTTAGGATTCGCGCATTAGCGGTAAGAGGTAAAGGGCAGCTTAAAATTCAGTCTTCAAGACCTTCTTCAATACCACACTGTCAGTCTCATACTTCATGATGCGGTCCTGGCATCCTGCAATCTTGTCCAGGAGCCAGGAAATCCGCGACGAGAGCTGAGAGGGTTGCTTAGGCAGGGCGCCAAGACGGTTGAGCTCGCCCTCGTATTTGTCGATGCTAGCCGTCTCGATTTTGATCAGTTCTGTGAGAATGCCCAAGTCAAGACGCGAATTGAGAACGCGGTCTCCAATGAGAGTCTTGAAAGCAGCCTGGTAGACGGGCTTGCCGGGCTTAATGGAGTAGGGACGACCGTTGGCGGATATAATGGTGATGAGCTCAGCTTGTTCAAGGGCGCGGAGAGCATCTTCGCCGCCGGACTTGTATGTATCGGAGAGGAGGACCTCGTTGTAACGGAGCTGTGGCATCAGTCAGCATCGTCGCAAATGACGAATACAAAGTAGTGCGGTTGTTGAAAAGGGGCGAGGGTGAGAGAAGAGAAGCTTAGGACTTACACTATCCTTTTCAGCAAGCTGTTTGATCAAAAGCCATGCTTGCTCTTGGGTCCATTTGCGCTGGCCAGATTCTGTTCCAAAAATGTACATTTTCAGAACCTCGGAAGCGCTCTGCTCTACAATCTCATGAACGGCATCTGCAGCATAGTCAGCATATCTGTCGCGTATAGTGGAAATGGTTGCCAAAGGTTTGAAGCGGACGTACTGGACGGGGTCTCGCCGGCCTTGATGCGGCGCGCAAGGAATTCCAGGTCGGTCAACCGACCACCGAGGACCTCGATAGAGCCGTCAAGTTCGACGAGATCACTGCGCCGCTGAGATGGCGTGAGTTTTTCTTCGCCTTCTTCCAGATCCGCGTCTGAATCCAACTGGTTGATCACGTAGCGCTTGGCGACCTCGGGTTTGCAGTCACCGAGAGAGATTTGTCGGAACACACGGTCGGGCAGTGCCTTGCTCAGAGATTTGGAGAAGGAAACATCGTTTGTGAGGAAGACGACGTGCGCAATGTTCGAGGTAGTGAGAGATGCGGCCCTAAATTAGGTGAGCGAAAAAGGGTTCATTTGAAGGTCGCGATTTTTCAAAATACGTACCATTCTGCGAGCTTGTCGTACACAACGTCGTTCTCCTGAGATTTGTGGAGGAAATTGTCGATTACCACAACAGGCCGTCTTTCGGGATGCGCCTCAAGGTATTCGTCCATGCCCATGTTTGCATCCTTTTCATTCTTTTTCCGATCCTCCAAAGCAATCTGCTTCAAGGCCGTGGCAGTGTTTGCTAAAATCTTTGCCAACTGCGTATCCAGCGTCTCGGAAAAACCAGTCTTCGTGCCAATAGTACCTTGCGCTGCCAAGTCGATCAGGCCGCTGATGCTATTCATAAAGGAGAATACAGGGCGGTATCCGACCTCTCGAGCAGCAGCGTCAATGGTCGAGCTGTCGCCGCGGGCCTCTTGAATAGGCTTGCAGTCGATTACTAGGGTGTTCTTTCGGTGTTTCAAGGCTTGATCCAACAGTAGCTCCCTCTTGCCAGAGCCCCTCGGACCTTGGATGACGATGAAAGTATCAGTGGTTTCCATGAGCCATCGGCGGATTTGCTCAATGGCATCTCGACGGTCGTCCCAGATAGCGTCAAGCCCAACGTCACTTGTTTTATTTTTGCGGAAAACCAAAATGTCAGTGGCTTGGTCCTTGAACCACCTAATGACGGAGTTGTTCGTGAGGTCCCAAGTGTGACTGATGTGGGCCTTGACAAAGAACGTTCGGATTCTTTCAGGTGTTAGCATATAGAGATGAAATGAGAAATTTTGATCATCAAACTTACGGATCAAACACAGCTACCGTGATGGCTGCCACGAGTGCTGCAATTGCCGGAATAACAACCCTTGGATGACTAAAGATCCAATCCCGGATCCAGTGTGCATGGACTGTTTGCTCGTAGAGAAGGCGTAGTTGCGTGCCTGACTTACCGCCACCATTTGCTTCCAGGATCTTGAACCCGTGCATGCAATTCTTTGCCATGGTAGCTTGTCTGGCGAGGACAAAGTTCAGGTAGGCAAACTTTGGCAGCACCTTCGAGTCAGGCGGTTGTGGAACAATGTCGGCGAGTTTACCAAAGGGGCGAAAGAGAGAATATAAGGCTTCCGGAGACAATTCGGCCGCTTCACCACCTGTAGTCGCAGGGAGAAACTCCACCTTGAGCCTTTTAGTGGGCGTACGATTCAAGTCTTCAATCCATGGCCGTCCTTGCACCAAGGATGCGCGCACACGCCGGAACGGGTTGAACCAGGGCTTAATCGGGTGTTCTCTGAGATGAATCCTCAGCTTCTCTACCGCTTCCGTGAGGTCAACATCTTCCGGTTTAGAGAATTTGACATATGCGCCCCCTTCCTTGATCCTAGGAAGCACCTCCACAACCGTGATGGGGATCTCTGGAGGAACCGCGCGCTTGATGATGCTCAAGGGGTCGGCAGCAGCAATATTCGGGCTGTTGAACTTGTTCATAATCTCTGGAATAGTCTTGCTTGTATTCAAAGGCAAGCTAAGTAGCCATTGAAGCCGTAAAGGGAAGATATCTAGTATTTGCTACGTCAGCTTTGACCTCTGTATTAATTAAATATAACCTACTATCGAAGAATAGAATGCCCTGGTTGGGCCCGGAGCTTATGTGACCAGACTTGTTTTCCCCTGCCTCAAAGGTAAAGCATCGTGCACCACGAAAATTCGCGCGCATAACAGTCCTTGCGCGTAATGCATTTTCTGTAAAAAAGACCTGCTGTCGAGGTGCGGCCGCTATATGCGCCTCGAAAGCTGCCGTGGAAATGGAACGTAAGAAATGGGACATTTTAGGTATTGTGTTCTTTTAACTCGAACATAAATTCACTCCCTCGATAATCATCTGCCCCAGGCCGCCATCGCTGGGAAGAAAAAGTCAAAGAACGAATTGAAGAGCTTCAACTAAAGAAGATTTGAACAGGGGAAAGTATGTGAGGAACAAATAGCAGGTTGACAGACACCAATGACGTCGATCTGGACCCTCCCAACCCTTGCAAGCGAGACAATCAATCATCGGAAATCTCCGTTGCAGTCAACCTCCGAAGCTCAGACCAAAATCGAGATGAAGATGATATTCTAAGCCATTGCCAGACCTGCAAAGCCTCCTACAATCCAGCTTTTGACAAATATACTTCGACAATGGGATGGTGGTGGAGTGGATCAGGCTCAGCAAAGACTTCTGCTGAGCCTACACCAGACAAGCCTGCGGCTGAAGCAGCTCCTGCCATTCCAATTAATCCTCCGTCTCCTACGAATACCGCCCCGGAAAAGCCTAGTCAGCCATTATCGCGCGAGGAACAGGCTGAATCAGACTTGAACAGTCTAATTTTGCAGCTGCGTGAGGAAGAGAGAGAGAACCAGGGGATCCCGCCACTTCAGAAAGACGGCTCCACTCCGGCTACTTCTTCAACATCAAATCCATCCTCGCTTTATCCGACTACCATGTCCTGCCGGCAATCCTTCGACCAAGCATTCTACTGTCAATCTCCGGGTGGTCAATTCATGAACGTTTACCGATATGGCGACCTTCGCGACTGTTCTGAGCTTTGGAGCCAATTCTGGTTCTGTATGCGAACGAAGAGTTACTCTGAAGCGAAACGAAAGACCATGATTCAAGAACATTACATGGAGCGTGCTATCAAGTACAAGCTCGGTTCCAGCAGCGAGGATGTCTGGGAATCACGGACAGAACCGATACGGGGCGCATTCCAAGAGGACCCTGACGCGGAGTAACGGCGAAGATACCCAGCATATTTGTGATTTCATGAGGTTGGCATTGGATTTTATGGAGTCAAAAAAGCATTTGCATAATATATCTCAGCTCTATCTGTTTGACAATATCTGTTATACGACATCTTACTTGTACTATAATTTATTTTTCTATTCGTTCGGGTACAGAGCGGTGTCAATGCTGCAACACTCGGATGCCTTGATGTAACAATATATTACCAAAGCATTTCGGTCTGGAAATAGTTAAACCTTTTAGATGGAGGATTTGAGAAGAATAGCAATTATCAATATGCACATATAACTCATTCACTTTTATCATGTTAATCCAGTGAGAGCATTGATTTCGCAGGACTGGTCTATCCTCGAGGGCGGAGAGACGTTTCGATGCATCGCTAAAGTTTCCAGTTTGGGACAGATGATCGATAATTACACGCGACGCGACCCGACGCGTCTCCCGTACTGAAGACCTAACCTGCACCGACAACATTCTGAAAGCGGAGAGGATATTGAACAGTGACGACTGTTGTCAACCGTGGAAAATGGCGGCGACAATACAGCACCGGATACGAGGACGTCCAGCCCGTAAGCTTATTCAATATACGTCTCAATTTGGACAAAAAATACTGACAGGTTCACCCCCTTCAAGACACTCCGGGTCCGACTTTCCTTACATACACCCCCGATGGTCGACGCTTGATTACTGCGGGATCGAACAACTCGGTGCGCGTATACACCACTGGGTCTGATGGAGAACCGACGAACGTGGACGACTGTCAAGAATCCAATACCGCCGTGGTCGCAACTGTAAGGATACCGGAGAAGAGTCGACCAATTGGGCGACTGACTGAAATGAACAATTAGGACGATTTCTTCATTACCGGCTCTGAAGATGGCACGGTGTCCATGTATTCGTTGCAAAGCAACACTTTGGAAAAGATGCTGCTTCGCTGCACGCTACCAATTCGAGACATTGCGCTTTCTCCGGACGGTAATTGGGCTGCTGTTGCCAGCGAGTAGGTTACGAAACAGCGAGTCCCAAAGTTGTAACCAGCTGACATTCGAACAGCGAACTGGTGGTAAAGGTCGTAAATACGCAGGACATGACCAGAGTGCTCTACTTAAGGGAGCAATCGAAGCCTGTCAAACATCTTTCATTCGACCCAAGTGGTACATACATCGCCTTATCCTGCTCGGACGGTGTTATATTTGTATATTCATTGAGTACCGAGGAGCCGGCGCTGGTGAAGAAGGTGGATGGGTTGATTAGAAATTTGGAAACGGATGCAGAGGCTAGTTCTCGGGTTGCTTGGCACCCAGATGGTAGAGCTTTTGCCGCGCCTACTCCGACAAAGGGTATGTTGAATATACTTAGCTGGGCTGCGATTCGTTTGACTGAATTTTCCCCAAAGATATCCAGGTGATGTCAAACAGTGACTGGGAGCGCCAGCGAGCATTTTCCTCGGGGCATGCTGGAGACATTACAGCTTTCGCCTGGTCTCCAAACGGAGCCCTACTTGCTAGTGCAGGCACTGACCGAAAGGTCCTTCTCTGGGATTGCAAGACACAGAGGGTCATTGCGAGGTAGGTGATATGTGCTGTGGCCGCCGTGCAAAAATTATACTTATACTTTCTAGGTTTGACTATCCAAATGTCATGGCGATTGCTTGGCATCCCACCCAGAACCTCATGTCATTTACGACTTCTGATGGCGAGGTTTTCATGTACAATGATATCGTACCTTCAGAATATATGTCATTATTGAAGAAGGGTGTCCAGCCGGCCCCTTTTATCCATGACCCTCTTGCGGAGACTTTAGCCAACGGTAACAGCAATGGCATTGGCCAAAAAGAGGGGTTGCGAAGACGATATGGCACTCCAGACTCGCTGGACGATATTCTCGGATCTGAGGGGGGCGGAGATGAAGATGATTTCATTGTCGACGACGACGGTGCAGGATATGCGGAAAGGGCAGAGTTTCCATTGAAACGGCCATATGACGATTATGAAACAGAACCAGCATATGCTCCGTTGGCCAAGCGAACAGCTTATGAACATTATCGTCCTAGAATGCATACGCCATTCCAGGTGGGAAGTACTCCATGGAGAGGAAACCGCAAGTATTTGTGTAAGTAGCGTGGTTTTCTTGACGATTCCAACGCTGACATATTTACAGGTCTAAACTTGATTGGCTTCGTTTGGACAGTTGATCAGGAAACACATCACACCGTTACTGTGGAGTTTTACGACAGAGAATTGCATCGAGACTTTCACTTTACGGACCCGTACCGTTACGACAAGGCTTGTTTGAGTGAGTTATTGAATCATAGATCAGTGTTTTTTGGTACTGACAAATTAAAAGATGACAACGGCGCGCTTTTTTCATGTTCTCCGACAGACGGGAATCCGGCAATGATCTTTTACCGTCCACATGAAACGTGGACAACAAGAGCGGACTGGCGGACAACGCTTCCACCCCAAGAGCACATTACAGGTATTTAAGACCGAATCTTTGTCTTGATGAATCGCTGACATAATTGTAGCAATTGCACTCAGCGATTCGTATATCTTCGTGAGCACAACTGCGAATTACCTTCGTGTCTATACTCTCTTTGGCACTCCATTCCGTGTGTTTAGACAAAAGAGTTCCCCGACGGTCACATGCGCTTCATGGCGCGATTATGTTATGACAATGGGAAACGGACCGGTTGGGGGCGACGGCTGCACCCGCCTAATGTACACAATTGAAAATGTAAAGCGGGGCGAGGTTTGCCAGAGTGAGGACGTAGTAGCCTTGCCTCCAAATGCTGAGCTCAGAAGCGTATTCTTCTCTGATAGAGGTGTAAGTAGAACCGTTCGCTCCTCCTACAAACTAGGAAGCTAATCCGCAGGAAAAAATAGGACCCATGCATCTATGACTCGACGGGAGTGCTGCTGGTGCTATTGCATTGGCGAACACCTGGCCAGGCACAATGGGCGCCAATTCTAGACACAAAACAGCTTGAGCGACTTGCTAGCGGCCGCAAAGAAGAGACGTACTGGCCAGTGGCTGTCGCAGCAGATAAATTTCACTGTATCATCTTAAAGGGAGGTGACAAGTACCCTTACTTTCCACGACCGCTGCTCAGCGAATTCGATCTCAAGATTCCCATTTCTTCGTTGCCTGCTGCGACTGCGGACGACGAGAATTCGAGCGCCAACGACGGTCCTAGACTGGAGGAAACTTTTGTGCGGACTTCAGTCGAATTGAACTTGATGGAGGACCTTGTCAACGCTACAGCTGCAACGCATAGTCAGCGCACAGAGCTTGCACGAAAAGAGGTTGATGTAGACAAGGCATTGCTGCAGCTGTTAGCAATTGAATGCAGAGAAAGCGAAGACAAGGGTATGAAGGCTCTAGAGATTGTCGAGTTAATGCGGGATCAGACCGGCCGGATGCTTGAGGCAGCGGAAAAGGTAGCTGCGCGGTTCCAGAGGAATATGCTGGCAGAGAAGATTCGAGAGCTGGCCGAGCGAAGGCTCGCAGGTTTAGAGGATGAGGACTGAATGCTCGTATGAAATCATGAAGATTCTATGGCGCACGTGGAGTTGAGAGAGTTATATATCCATTTTCTGTCTTTTAATTAATCAGAATATCATGATGTACTTAATGTACAGTGCGTATACTTTACAAAATACTATGAATACAATTATCATCACTTTGTGCCTCCAGTGTTGTTGACAAGGCAAGGGAAGCCGTTGCGAGACATTGACTAAGCGACGTCATGCCGCATCTCCAGACCCTCCAGTTAGCTGATTTTCTGGGGTTAAGAGTCGTATCGATAATAGGAGAACATTCGCCCTTTATCAATAACATGGATTTCAAACACATTATTCGCATCTCTTTACACATATAACAATCTTAAGACACTATTCATACATTTCAAGTGACACAATTTCCGATACCACATCCACCATCGCAATATATTCCATCTTTCCAGCACCGACACACAACATTGATGCATCCGCCACGCCCCCTTCCACCGCCGGTGTGACTGCCTGGTCTCTTCTTACCAGCTCTATTCTCTACCACCTATTTCTACCTCATCTAGTACAATATCTATCGCGGCAACCGCATCACTAGATTTGATACAGAAAAAAGAAAACACACCCTTCCCGTCATGCGGTCTGCCTTGACTATTCCGCATACCCGGCCGCCCACGACCAGAACATTCCACTGCCTACGCACGACAACAGGCCACTTTGAGACGCTTCATAACGGGGATACACACAGAGGCAGACATGCCCCGCTGACGCCGTCGAGGAGCTACACGCACCCGACACATCCATCTCGATCACGAACAGTTACTCGCGCAAGTAGCCCTCACTCGCCGCGGCGGCATCCAACGTCCCACTTCAGCCCCTATGACGCCTCACATGCTTCACCTACCCGTGGGGCATATCTGAGTGCAAATACATCGGCACATCTCCGCCGGCGCGGCCTTGCAAGCATACAGTCCGATGACCGCGCATTGCCCAGCGTCTGGTTCAACTCGCGCAATTCGCACCTCCAGGAGAGAGACGGGGACAATGGGCGTCCAATTGGACCGAATAACGGCAATGGTGGCAGTGACAGAGACAGCGGTCCTCCAGACGAACGAACACTGAAGCTGGGAAAGAGTACGTTTTCTTATCCACCACACCCTACCCTACCTATTTATTCTTTATAGCCACCTCTCTTGATTCCTGTAAGCTCTATTGCTCAAAGCTGCGTACTAACATACGACTTTTTCCAGCAATTCGCATCCTGCAAGAACGTCTACCAACCCTACTCGCCTCTCCACTACCACAAGAGATTCTCTCGCCGCATATCTCTCTGCATCTCTTTCCGTCTACGCACCCGCATCTACCCACTGTTTCGGGCCGGGTCGCATACCTCGCCGCGCTCTGGACCGCGCCTGTCGCATGGGGCCGGGTGCCGATAGTGGGGAACGTCAAACTGATCATTCTCTCCGAACGCATGGTCAAGGGCTCTTCATCATGTTCATATTCCTCCTCCCCTCCTTCTTCTTCCTCGTATCCTCCGGCCTACGACACCGACTCCCCGCCTTCAGACCCACATTCAAGATCACCGCACGGAAGATCAGCAGGCTTTGACGAACGTCTGATTGTCCGATGGCGCACCTGCGGCAAAACCAAAGGCAAAGGCATGGGCGGCGCTCTGTACCGGGGCATCGGCGCGCGCGAGCAAGTCGACAAGATCACAGAGTTTCTCGGCGGCCACCATGCGCCGCACGACGACGAGGAGTTTACGGGCCTCTTCATCTTCGAATTCGACGACGAGGGGCGCATCCTCAGCCACACCATCGAGCATGTAGACGAGACCGGCAACTGGGATAAAATGGCCAAAGTCATTAGCGTGACGGACTGGCTGCTAGGTAAAGCGCGCTGGAAGAGGGCGCATGAGCTTGAAGAAGGCCTCGCTCTGGGGTTTTGCGAGACTGCGCATGCACATGTACGACATGGAGGTAAACGGGAGTAGCCTCCTTGCCTTTATTTTATGTTATTGTTTTTATTATCTTTTTTTCATGTTAAATTTTGTGTTGTTATTTCTATCTTATTATATTTTGTCCCGTTACTTCTATTTCATTATATCTTGTCTCTCACTATTTCTATATTATCCTTTCACTCCCCTCCCTCCCCGCTCTACTACTTCTCCCTAGTAACCTTTCTTTTTTTTTTCTTCTTCTCTTTATGTCTAAAGAGTCCACTTGACGGCGTTTGTTGGGAAGCTTGGAATCGTTGTATCCTCCCACTGGGCCAAATATGCACCCGGCCCCTACCTGTACCACTTACCTTAGTTGCTTCTACGTGTAAACGTACTCGGAATCTTGTGTACAATATCATGATATCCCTACTCTACTCTACTCTTTCAATATAACAGTGTACCTACCTACCTCACTCAATCATATAGCAGCGTATCTAACTGACTCAATTGACATAATACTACACCTAACTTAACCATATAACATTGCACCTACTGTCAAACATATAACACTGCACCTTGATGTACTACGAATGACTACATGAGCATAAACCTGAGCATTGAAATTAATACTGTGTGTAGTGGGAAGGGTGAAATGTATTGCAACTACCTACGGGTACTCCGTACCGTACATGTCAAGTTGTCAAGTCCATCCAATGACATCAATCACGAAAGAAATAAACAGCAACAACAACCTAGTACCCTAAATGTAATAAAATTAAATACATAGAGACAAATGGCTAAGGAGGACAAAGGGATAAAAAAATGACATTGATGAAAGAAAGAGACAGAACAAAACTACACTATGCATCCCTGCCGCCACCAAACAAGTACTCCGCCTCAAGACAATACCGCGCCTCACGACCGCCGCCAGCGCCTCGTTCACTTCCCCAGCAGACGACACCCGCGTCGACGATGCCTGCAAGGACGCCTTCCATGGCGCCGAGCACGGCCCAGCCGATTGCGCCGGCGATCAGGCCGACGACGTAGGCGTAGAGACTGCCGCGCACGCCGACGCCGCCGGTTCCACCACTGGCGCTGCTCTGGATGGTCAGGGTTCGGGCGGTGCTGACCCAGCCGCCGAACCCTAGGGCAAGGGACATGATGAAGCGGGTGGCATGGAGGAGGAGTTTGGCGAGTCTGTAGGGGAGTAAAGGGGATGAGGCACCGCCGCCGCCACCTGGTCGTGAAGAGGTAGTTGAAAAGGTTCGAGGGTGGAGAGTGGATGTGGGGGAGGCAGCGGCGAGGAAAGTCATCTGGGAGAGTCCGCGTGCGGAAATGGTCAATGGTTGGGAGTGAATGGCGGCGTAGGTCAGAGTGAGAGGATTAGTCAAGGCGGCGATTGGCGTGGGGATCAAGGAGTATGCGCAGACGCTGACGAGCGCGACGATGCGGCGGGGCAGGACGACTAGTGGCAGACGAACGAGGATGGAGAGTAAAGTGGAATAGCAAATGGTGCCGAATAACGTAGACGAGGCGTGGGTGAGTGCCGCCTGGACGACTTGCCGCGAGGTTGGCGCGGGAATGGCCAACCGGTGGAAATACCATTGACTGACGGTAGCAGCGGTGGTGGCGCGCTGGATCCCAGACCCCACGGCGAGCGTCCAGAGGTAGACCAGGATGAAAAAGACACCCAGCCACCATGTACCGGCGTCAATGATGAACATGTGCTTGGTCGCGGACAAGTGGCCGCCGAGAAAGACGCGCGTGAACATCCCCATCCAAACCCATGTCCATGCTACCACGCCTGCAAGAGTGGCGAAGCCGACAATGAGAAGAGCTGGATTGGCGGTAAGAATCCGACACGCAAACTCTAGGATTCCAATGGCTCTTCCAAAGGAGTGGCGTCCCCTGTAGACCGTATACGTCCAGAGAGCGGCAATGACTCCGGGAATAAAAGAGAGCCACCGCATGGCTCGATCTTGTACGCTCTTGCCGTGCCATTGCCCCTTGTAAGAGGATATTAAGGGATAGAGGGAAAACGAAAAGAGAATAATGGGGACCGCGATCAGGATTAGGTAAACCAGAGGCCGGACAAATGACCTGAGAATAGCGAGCCAAAGCAGAGAGACGATTACTGCGACAAGGGTATCGGTTGCTAAGAGATGAAACGATGAATGCAATGTGGTATAGATAGTATCACCGAGGGGATGTTTGCGGTCGGGCGCAGAAGTATGCAGGAACACGAGGAAAAATGTGGCGAAGAGAGAGGCAAGACAGATGAGGAAGAGGGATGCCCAGAATGGATCATGGCGTGGCGGTTCTACTGGTGGGTATGAAATTGTTGGAGGGACCTGCAAAGACAAGTCAGACTGAACGACTCTGGACGGTATAAAATGGACTTACACTAGAAGCATCAGAGCTTGGTGGTCGAGGGTGCGCAAATGCAGTTTCCTTGTCGGTCTCTCGCGGTAGAAAAGATGTCTTGGCGTCTGGTGGTCGACGGAATTGTTGAAAAGCAGGTGGATGGTCGTCTGGAGGCATTTCAATCGCCAAATCACCAGGATTCTGCACAAATTAGATTTACGTTGAAGAATGTCCCAGTACAAGAGAAACGTACCGAATGATCCAAAGGCTCGACACTGTCGCCTATGGATGACTCTAAGCCAATGTCTACCATTTTTCCTTTGCTTCTGCTCTTGTCGCTGCCATCCCATTCTCCATTCTCTTCATTTTCCTTTTCTCGCTCACCAAACGAATCTGGCTTCTTTGCTCTTGTCGACCGAGTGCCCTTCCAAGAGCTCCGAATACCCGCACCCTTGCCAAACAGTCTATCGTGAGAGGCTCTGCCTTCGGAGTTCTCGCTTTGACCGAGCCCAGATCCTCGACTAGCATCGTCATCGTCATCCACTTCCGACGAGTCCACCAGCCGGCTTCCGCCAAACTGACGCCGCGAGCGCTGCAGCGCATAGAAATCAGCCACCTCACGCTCGTGCTCTTCCTCGTCGTCCTCTTCCCGGAACTCGTCCGTCGCACTGTAAAAGAGCGGAGCAGGGTTTCCAGCTCGAGACGCGAACGGGAACTGCGAGACTTGCGATGCCGAGGGCTGATATGGGCTGCCCATGGCAGGTCGTTGTAGGATCGACCGGGACGACGGAAATCTTGAAGGACCCGGGTTCAGACGCCGCTGGCGATCCGAGGGGTTTCGGGAGGAAGTATCATTGTTGGCATCTGGCTGGAGGAAGGAGATTCGGGACTGCGACTGAGCCAGGAAGCGGGAGGCGTCTGCACCAAAGAGAGTGATTAGATCGTTCCAGGTCAACATCATTCAAACATGCAGTTCAAAAAAAAAGAGCAGTATAGAAACTGTGCAATGCGAAGACTGTGCTTACATTCAGAAAACATATTCCTCGACCGCTTATGTTCCTCCTACGCCTTTCGCCGTGGCCGTCTTGTGGGGGAATCAACCCAAAAGGTCCCAATGTCTGGTTCAGCGATAAGCGTAGTAAGTGCGGGTAGCGTGAGCAACGACCTAGGCAGGTGATCCAGCCGGAGTCTACAGCCTAACGGAAGTGTTTCAGGCAGAAGACAGGAAATGATAAAATAGAAGCCTGTCAGTCACAAGACAGGACAAGTGTGAAAGATAAGGTGAGAAGATATCATCCAGGGGCGAAGGGAAAAGACAAAAGGATCAGTAGGCCCGACGTCGCTTTGTCGGACAAAGCTGGAGAAGCTCAAGTCTAAGCTGCACTGGATGCGGTGAGGTGAATCACTCCGGGGATGGTGTAAGCGAGTCCAGGTTACTCCCGGGCCGTAGGCAGATCCGGTGCGTGCGTGATGCGGAACAATGGGAGGGAGAGAGACAGAGATTCAATGTCCTTTGTGATGAGGAATGTACCTTTTTCTTGATAAGGCTCTGAGATATATTCCTCACAGATGCACTTCTGTCTCTTTCTTTTTTCTACTCAACCATTGCTTTTGATCATCTTTGCGCTCAGAATGTCGTTGCACCCAGTCCAACGCTACGGCACACGACACCATCCAATGCGTCACTGATAAGCTATCCTACAGTAAGTTAGTAACACTTGAGATGCAAATACTACGTCAGACGAATTCGGTCTGATATGCACATTCTGACGTCGAGCAAAACTCCAAAGTCGCCGACTATAGTCCCTGCTGCAGTGATTCTACACATTCAATCAATTCATTACAACGCTACCCCGTTCATTTTAAGAAATACTATTAAAGAAACGCCTATTCCTGAATCCCATTCAAGATCCCAAATCTCTCTCATATACCACCTCAATCCCTCGGAGCATTCTCCGAACGGCGCATCAAGACCCCTAACCTAAACATCCACAACAGTGTGGATGTCGCAATCATGGGACTACATAGCCAAACTCGTCTGCATAGGCGACTCAGGCACCGGTAAATCAAGCGTACGTTCTATACTCTTCCACTCATTCCTTCTGCCATTTTCTTGCCTACCTTCAATTCCACTAATACTTCCGCCAGCTCACAATCCGCCTCTGCGAAGGACGCTTCTCACCACACCACGACGTGACTATCGGCGTTGAATTCGGCTCGCGCATTGTCCCAGTCGGGCCTCCTTTTTCCTCTGCACTATTATCCACATCTGGCAGCGCAGGCGCTGCATCTATTCCTCGCGACCCGTATCAATCCGCATCTACCGACGACGACACCACCACATCTCACGCTACTTCAGATCCTTCAACGACTAATAATTCCAATGACACAAAGTCAAAATCCAAATCTAAATCCAAATCCAAACCTGACGCCCCAACATCATCAGCATCAGCACCGCAAAAATACATGAAACTCTCCCTCTGGGACACTGCCGGACAGGAAACATACAAGTCCATTACACGCTCCTACTTCCGCGGCGCCAGCGGCGCGCTGCTCGTCTTCGACATTACCCGGCGCGCAACCTTTGAGCACGTCACGCCGTGGCTGCAAGACCTGCGACAAATTGCCGAAGAAGGCATCGTCGTCATTCTTGTCGGGAACAAATCTGATCTTGCCGATGACGAGGAGTCGAATGGCGAGGATGATGCCTCTACCAGCAACGGCCACCTGAACGGCAGCATCTCAAATAACACTGAATCAAAACCCAAACGCAAGCGCGAAGTCACACCCGAAGAGGCAGAAGCATGGTGCAAACAGAACCAAGTCTTCCGCTACGTCGAAACGTCAGCGAAATCCGGCGTCGGCGTCGAGCGCGCCTTTCTCGAGGTCGCCGAGCGCATCTATCAGAATATCCAGGCGGGCAAATACGACTTGAACGATCGGCGGTCCGGCGTCAAGGGACCCGGTGCCGGTGGCCCGGGTGCGGGTGCGGGTTCGCGAGTCACTGGTAATACAGCGCGGACGGTCAATCTGAGCATGAATGAAGTGGGTAATGCAGGGAGTGCAGGTCGGTGCTGTTATTAGTCGAGTCTTGGACCTATCGTCTAGACCTTGCCTTGTATACTATTTCATTGCCTGGTATCAGCCTTCCCATATACGTCTTGTATACTACATTTCATTTACTTTATCACAGTCTATATCCATATACATCCTGTATACTAGCTAACTACCAACGTACCTACCTACCTACCTACCTATCTACCTACACTTATATCATTGAGTCTTCTATCCAATATATGTCTTATATCCCCTATACATCCTATACATCCTGTATACCTACGTTCTATACGTCCTATACTTCCCATATACATCCCATACATCCTGTTGACCAGAGGCACAACTGTATAACTCGCCCACTTTCTCGTGAATAAATACGGTCTGTATACTACTTTGTATTTGTATGCTACTTTGTATAGAAAGATAGAAACCACCCAGGTTTCACGTCAGACATGTGTGGCAATTAATAAGTTATATGTCACAGAACAGACAAGACAAGTATGTCCCAACCAAGACAAGGCAAGATGGTATCTACCTAAAGGAAACAATACTCCCAAAACAGGGAATAGACTCCCCGCGAGACAATGTGTTCCTAAAAGAGGCCATATTCCTAAAGGAGAGAAAATATCTAGGAGGGAAATGAAAATAGATCTACAAGGGAATAAATCTCGAGTAAAGACAAGCATGTCCCAACCACGACAAGGCAAGATAATGTATATCTAAACGAGGCAATACCTCCAAAGGAGGGAGTACTCTCAAATAAGGGAATACTCCCAAAGGAGGCAATAGATCTAGGAGGCAATACTCCCAAAGGGAGAAAAAAAAAAAAAATCTCAAGCAAAGACACGACATGAAAAGTATCCGTACTTGCATTTATAACACTAGGACTTAATGACAATGACAATGACAATGAGAATGACATTATTACCATATAATTAATAGGCTACTACTTACGTTCTTGACAAACCAAAACTTTATAAACACGATGAAAATCAGGACCAAAAATAGGATTCGAACTAAAAGTAGAACTGGGACGATAGTTAAGACTCGAAGTAGAATTAGAACTCGAACTAGTCTGGATTCTGTAGATTGAAACCTCCATTTTAAACATACACATGCACATGACATGCACCGACTTGCAAAAGCAGAGCAGCGAGAGCCAAGGAGCATGCAAACCGCAAACTAAGATAGGCCAAAAAAAGGAAATTGGATTTTTTTATTAGGCTCAAAAAGGGAAAGAACAAGAAAGTAGAAACGAGAGGGTAAAAAGAAGTAGGACGGTAATAGGCGAAGTAAGGTGATAATAGAGGAAATAGGCCAGAAGGGAAGAAGGAAAGAAATAGGACAGCAGTGAAGAAGATGGCAATAGAGGAGTAGGACAAAAGGGAGAAATGGGACAAAAGAATCAATCAGTAATCCGCCAGCTATCAAACCACTTGAGATATCTCCACTGACTACTGGGCCCCTTCATGCCGAAGCTAATAGGAGAAAAGAGCGCGAAAAGGCCAATGACGAGGACGTACAAGGCCAGATACGTCGCCCAGTAGGCATACGTGTTGAGCGCCTTGTTGGACGACGGGAGGAGCGACCGACGCGTGACGTGGTCGACAAAGAAGCCAAAGCAGAGAATGGCAAAGTACAGAGCCGGGTAGTAGTGGTGGACATAGGTGACACGGGCCATGGCGACAAAGGGGAGGTAGTGCAGCGCCCAGCCGGCCAGCGGGTACAGGCCCGAGTAGTGGATGCGGTCAATTTCAGCGGGTTTGAGCTCCTCGAAGCCGCGCTGCCACCGGAGAAGGTACCATGCCACGACAAGGCCGACGGCGCCAAGCGCTGCGGTCGAGCCCCAGTACACGACTGGGTTGCCCAGGAGGAAGTACTTGACGACTATTGATGATCAGTATAACTAAATTTGGACAATGAAGGGTGATTGGACTAGACCTACCGCCGTCATCCCAGCTGCACATGCGGAGACCGACGTGCAAAATGGGCCACTGCCAAAACATGGAGGCGAGGTCGTCCTGCTTGTCGGGATCGGGAACGAGGGCATTGTTCGACGTCATCATGGCCACGTTGAGGTGCATAAAGTCCCGCAAAAATGGAGACTTGTATGATCCTGGGTCACCGTCGGGCACTGCAAAAAGTCAGCTGGATTCGAAGGAAACACTAGAAGACCAAGATATACATACATCTCTCGTTCCAGTGGCTTTCCACGTTCCAATGAGTATAGACATCACGCGGCTTGTTCTCCCTGACGCAGGTAGTCTCAATCTGCTTGAAACCCCATTGTGGGAGATTGACATTGCCGGCACGCAGGTAGCAGTTAAGAGCATTATGCTTGAGACGAAACGAGGTCGTCAATGTCCGGATTCTAGACCGGTCACTCGAAGCAGCGTCATCGACAACCTCAATTGTCCAGTGATCCTTGTCGTCGCCAATGGTCAAGTTTCCATAACCGGACACTTCGTAATCCGCCTTGGTCTCGGGAGCGGCAATCTGATGCGAGTGGAGATTACGGCCCGTCTGTGCGTGGATAAGTCGAATAGTATCGCCGTCGGCAATGAATCGAAGCGGCCTCTCTGGGTCGTAGTCTTGCTCGAACCGGTTCGGATAAAAGAACCAGTCATTGTTGGCATCCTTGTGGTGGTAGCAAGTAACTTGCTGCTGCTGGGAACCTTCGGGAAAAGTCTGAACGTGAGAGTGGAGCAATCCACCACCGTAACCCATATTCTTCAACGTCGCGCGGGATCCAATGGCAATCTCAAGCGGGCTGTCCTTGCCAACGTCGGTTCCCTTGAGGTTTGCCTGGAATAATGAGCTCATTTGAGCGTCACCAGGACCGCTGTTCTCCAGAATGAGGAAATGGACCCAGAAAGAGAACATGTAAACAAGCGTAGGAATGACAATGAGGCCGATAACACGAGCAAACAAATGAGAAGCAAGTTCAACCTAACATCAATTAGCTCTGATATGGTTTCCAATCTGGATATGAGTTCTCACCTTTGGCATCTTGACGTCGCCAAATTTGGTCCATAGATCCTCGACCGTGTACAGTCCGACCAAGGCAGTGCAGAAAAGTCCAACCCATTTGACACTGCAGACGCAGCCAATGGAAAAACCAGTCAGGCAGAGCCAAGTCCACCACTCGATGGAGAAGCTCTGCTTCTGGAGCTTGTGGAAACGGGCCCAGCAAAGCACAGTCGTAAACGTAAAGAAGAGAAGCATAGAATCGAGGAGGATGAATCGGCTAATGGTGGCATACGAGTTCTCAAAGAGCACCATGAGCGTCACCAACCAGACAGCAGCCCTCTTCAAATCGAGTTCACGAGCAGTAAAGTACGCCACTGGCACGCAGAGCGCGCCAAATGTCGCATTGAAAATGCGCATAAAGGCATAGTTCACCTCCTCAGGGTAGGTATCACCAGATTTGAACTCAAAAGAGCCATTGTAACCAGCCATGTATCCAGACAAACCAACAAGCATCTTTCCAAGCGGAGGGTGCACATCAAAGTAGAATTCTCGTTTCAGGTAGTGAGAGCCGAACTTTCCAAAACTATGACTCTGTCAGACTTGGATCATGTTGCCGATACACATATGATAAAAGACTTACTGAGCCTCGTCCCAGGTGACAATGTTAGACTGGCTAATCTTGTACATACGGGTGAAAAAAGAGAGGAGCGTGAAGATGATTGGAGCAATGATAAATTCATATTCGTCAAGAGTCCGGAGGATTGACTATATAGTTGTTAATCGTCAATTCCACGCAAAACCACCATTGTCGCCCTCCTCAAGCGCTAGACTTGAAAATCAGACGCCGATGAACTCACCTGCCACTGAGCATTGGACTTGCCCTTTGCCTTTTTATCATCCACCTCGGTCTCCTGCAAAGCATGGCCATTGTGCTTCAACTCGGGGACATTTCTCCGGCGCACATCATGACCATTGAGGTCCGCGCCAGTAGCTAGGCTTGCCATGGCGGTGATTATTGTTTTTGTCCGAATTGGTTATTTCAATGGTGTTATTTCGTTCGTCCGGGTTTGGTATTTCGGTCTGTCCGCTCGTCCGAGTCTTAATATTGTATTTCAATCCGTCCGTTTCGTCCAAATCTCGAAATTGTGATTCGTCTATTCTGGTTCCGCTGTGATGTCGATCCCTCAATTCATCGATAATCTGTCCTTTTAATCTGATTCCGTTCGTCCCTTTGCCGTGGAATCGTTTCCGTTCAAAAGTGACTCCTCCGTTGCGGGCCGATTCCCAGTCTTCCCTTCTAGTGACCTGTCCTTTGATTCGAACCACCAAATTCTAAACGTCGAAGCCCTATCCTCGAATGCTCAGATTCCCGGGAATTGTAGTATCTTGGCCTTCAAGCGTTTGATCGTAAAGCAGACAAGTTACTCTCTCACGCCTGTCCGACAGTGCAGTAAACTCGTCAACTCGTCAACCTGCCTTCTTTTAAGCGTTTTCGAAGCAGGAGCAGCAGCAGTGGTGGCGGAATGTACCATGCGTTGTTCGAAGGAAAACAGCACGGTAAGATGTTTGGTTAGAGCCTTAAGTGTTTCCACGCCCTCTTCTCAGCCTGTCAGCCGGTAAGACCACCCTGTCCGAGTCTATCCTTTAACCACAACTTCAACCTCGACTTCAACTTCGGGTCTGCACGCTGTTCAAGCCGTACAAGCTTTCCAGCTCTCGCCCAGCTTCAATTCGTCTCAAGGAGAATCTTAGAAAAAGAGATGCGTTGTCGTTGTCGTTGTCGTTGTCTTTGTTTGACAATCTCAAGCTGCTCAAAGCTATCCAGCTCTCGCCCAGCTTGAATCTAGCTGAGCTGAAATAAAATCAAAAGAAAAAGAGGATGGAGTGTCTTTGTCTTTGATTGACAAAAAAAAACGAATGTTGTAGTGACTCGACAGTCTTTGTTCTCCTGAAACGCAAACGCAAACGCGACAACGTTTATGTTCCGTTCCCTCGTTCGTTTATCCCTGGAGATGGCGGTTCGGTCAGGCTACGTATCTCGGTCGTGTACCTCGCTCTGTACCTCGTACCTTTTTTAGCTGGCAGGTGGAGGGTCCTTGGTCCCTTAGCAGGTTAAGGTACCTAGCGTTAGTGTACGAAGCTACGGCGTTGCAGTACAAAGCGTACACTACACTACACTACACTACAGACTACACTACAGGTTTGAACTGGTCTCTGGTCTGCGACTCTGTCCTGCTGTCCACCCCACACGAAACCCTGAGGTCCCCCCAAATGGCCGCCTCCCTCGCCCGTTGCCCCTTGGTTCGACGGTTCTCGTAAATTTACTTCGTACTCTACTCTCACTTTCAGGTCTACGGAGGACAAAGTAGCTTACTCCTACGAGTACGCGACTTTGCGTACGTAGTACACGAACGACAGGGACGACAGGACGAGTACGGAGTAAGGAGACCGCAGGGTCCCAGGTTCAACCAAGGGTCCCAACCAAGGGCCACAACCAGTGCAACGCAAACGCAAGGGCTCGAAATTCGAACTTTTTTCACATTTACATATTGTCAAGTGTCAACGTGGCTCGATTGTGAATGATCACAGTTTTGATTGTACTCTACAAATTGAACACACCAAGAGAATTATACTCTAGAATACATAGAAAAGTAAGTTGTGTTTCTTAAATCAAAAGCAAAATATAGCAGTCAATAAACAAATCAAAAAGGAAAAAAAAAAAAAAAAAAAAGCTTGATTCAATACAAATAAAAATATGAATACAACAAATACAAATACAAATACGTACAAAAATCACCAATCTTGAATGAAATGGTATAAATGAAACATGTTGATAATCATGATAAGGTAATAAATAATATGATAATCATGATATGGTAATAAATAATATGACATATAAAAGAAGAAAAAAATAAAATGACCTAAAACGAAATGATGATACATCATACAGCATGTACCTTGTACCTTAGATATGAGCGGTATTACAAGTAACTCCGTTTCTTCTGCTTGCCACACGGGTCCAGCTAATCTTGAAAAATGTTTCGTACCTATCGTACCTATCGTGTCTATCCTGCCATCTCTTGCAATAAGGAAAGAAAGAAAAGAGACATGTTTGAACTTTCTGCCCAGTCTTCAGTCTATATGACGAATCAGGGGCCCCTCTTTGGTCATCATAAACATACACGTCATTGATGCTGGATGAAAGGCGAAGAAGAAAAAAAAAAAAAAAAAAAACTATTTTCACATGTGCCAACGAAAATGAGACATTTAAAAAGAACACTGATCCCAGGGTAATCAAGAGTACGAATCTAGTCTTCGTCCTGTCCGAGGCGGCGATAACTGCCCTCGCTAGAGCTTCCGTTTCCTCCCTTGGTCCGCTTCACCATCTTGGAGATCCAGCCGCCGACGCCTTCGCCTCTTCCGTCGTCTCGACTCGGTAATTGCGGCTTGCCGTTCTCAACCGAGACAGCCGGCGGGTTAATGTCCAGACCAGGAATCGCAGCATTAACTCCAGGAGCACGGCGAATATCGAGTGATGGTACAGGAGAGCCCATGCCAACGAGAGACTCGCGCTCAGCGTGAGTGGATGGCGTAGGCATGGCCGTAGTCGCATCACCAAAGAGCTGACTCATATCCTCGAGGCGAACACCACTGGTTTCGGGGTAGATAAAGTAGACTGAGATCAGTTAGGACGAGATTGTATCAAAAGAGTGGAAGTAGGTAGGAGGGAAAACGTACCAACAATGAAACTAACGGCGCAAAAGAACGCATGCACGAGGTACAACCGCCACTTGATCCATTCTTGCAAAATTGGCGTAAGCTCGCCGACCAGCCAGTTAAACGCCCAGTTGGCGGCAGTGCTCAAGCTGGCGCCCTTGGCGCGGATGCTCAACGGCAGAATTTCTGGCGGATATAACCATGGAATAGGACCCCACGAGGCGCCAAAAGCAGCATTGTATATCATGACAAAGACGACGACCAGTGTGGGTGTGTAGTGAATGTCAATGTAGATAAAGTAGGAAATGGCGGATAACGAGAGCACCATGGCGACCGCGCCAGACAGCAAAATGACACGGCGACCCCAGCGGTCCACGAGATACCACGGTGGAACGGTCGAAAGCAGATACGTAAGTCCGTTGACGCCAGTCATCAAAATAGCGTCACGGCCAACCCAGCCGGCAGACTCAAAGACGAGAGGCGCATAGTACGAGATAACGTTGATACCGTTCAGCTGAGCAAACGATTGAGCGGACATGGCGATAAAGACCCGCTTGTAGTATCGCCTGAACATGTCTCGGTAAGACCGCTCGCCCTCCTGCCGCTGCAGCAGCACATCCATTTTGATTTCGCGATATTCGTCCCGTGCTTTGGGGTTGTGGATGTCGCCCTTGCCATATAAATTCGCAATGACAACAATGCCTTCCTCGTCGTGGTCATTATCCAATAGCCATCTATGATATCAATTGATTAGACCATTGGCTTTTCCCCCCTAGAATAAACTTGTCATTTTTGGGGGAAAGGGGCATATTGCGACTTACCTCGGTGACTCGCAAATAATCAAGCTTCCAAGACCAAGCAGAGCGCCCATGAAACACTGCAAAAGCAATGGCACACGCCAGGCGAAATCATTTTGGATATAGCTGCAAAAGTAGTCTACCCACACACTGGCCGCATAACCACAAATGTTGCCTGAAAATTCGATGCAGGCGAGTTTGCCACGATTGTGCGGGGGAGAAATCTCCGACTGATATACGGGCACAATGGTTGACAGGGCGCCGACACCCAGACCGGCAATCACACGGCCGATATACATCATGGGCATGCCGGTGGCACAAGTCTGCAGTGCACCGCCGATGAAAAAGACAATGGAGCCATAGAGAATGGTCTTTCGGCGGCCTATCAAATCGCCAATTCGTCCTACCGACAACGAAGCAACAAAGGCGCCCACTTCGAGGATGGCCACCATGGTACCAATCTCTGCGCGAGTTGGCTGGTTAAAATAGTCTTTAAAGTAAGGGCCACTGCCATTGGTCAGTAAGTTTGTATTCACCGTGAAAATCCTTGTAACCGGAGATAGCATCGAGGAAAACCTACGTGATAATGCCCGACATGACACCCTGATCATATCCAAAAAGGAAAACGCCTAATGATACAAATACACTCGTAAAGTAACTGGTCGGGGTCAGTCCATGGGCCCAAGAGTCCACATGCCAAAGATTGTGAGAACGTACATGAGCGGCTTGCCGGTCAAGCCGTGCATCCGGCTCGAAGAAATGTTGCCCGTCATGATGATGGCGATGGCCTTCTCGACAATGGAAATGTGACGAGGCGCAGGGCGCGGAATCTCAATCGCCTCCTTATCGACTCCACGCTGACCTCTTCTGCTGGCAGCAAGCTGCTCGAGTCGCTCTTGCTGCTGTTGGTGGAGTTGATAGTGGACGCGCTTTGGACGGCGGGCACGCGGAGTCGAAGTGCCAGTGCCCGTGCCAGTGCCAAAACGATCCTGGTCAAAGGATTCTTCTCGAAGTTTGATTTGAAGCGGATCCTCCTCGTCGGCAATCTGCTCAGCGAGGTCACCAGTGTCACTCCACAGAGAAAAATCCGAACCCTCAGAGTCGGAGGAGTGTCGCGAGAGATAGCGACGATGATGTCGATGATGTCGCTTCTCAGAAGTGGACCCGGGTGTCGAGGGCGACTCCGGCGGATAATGCACCAGGCGGGACGAGTTGGACAAGGTGCGAAGTGGAATACTAGCGGGCCGGCGCGATGAAGCGGAAGAAGGCGGAGGAGGAATTGTGATGGTGGGCTGGGCTGAGAAAGAGCAGCCTCGTCTCTCTAGGAAATTTTTTTATTTATTTTCTGCTCTTTTCCTTGCAGTCTCTTTCAGACTACTATCTCAACTTCCTTTGCCTGACACTTGCAGTGCCGGGCATGCAGCGATAGGCGAGTAATGGTGGCCCAGAGGGGTCCAGTGACGTTGGTTCCGGGGATCAGTGGGCCGGTGGTTGTGATTGGGGGGCAAGGATACCGCACACAACGTGCGTGTGAGCTGTGGTGGTTATGTGAGTGGCTCCGACTGCTGCAAAGGCTGGCTGGCTGGCTGGCTGACTGACTGACCGCTGGCAACAATCAAGGCCCCTCGCCCTTCGGCCCGTGTTGATGGATGATCGTGTACAAAGAAAGAGTGGAAGACAAACAAGACCGATTGGGAGGACTATCGTCAGAGTGGATCTCTCATGGAGAAATTGTGGATTCGCTCCGAACTGACGGCTTGCTACTGTGCGGTATGGGGCGGGCAGAAGGTGGTTGTGGTTTCACACACTTTGCTGGGCACAAGGTTTGATGGCAATGAGGGAGGAAAATAGAACAATTGGAGACAAAATGACAATAATGGTCTAAACAAGTTCTCTCTTCTAACCTGTCAGCTCTGAATAGACTTTTGTAATTGATTGGTTACTGTCTTGTCTATCCTGTTTGTTTCTTGGGGGTGAATTCTCCCAGTCTCGGAGACATCCAGGGACACGCATGCGTGCATCTTGTGCTCTATTCTACTGCGAACACGCCTCTTCCTACGCGGAAAATATGCAAGATAGCGTGGAGATCTCAGCACATGGAGGCGATACCGTCTGTAGAGCTGGCCGCCGAACAAAACAAGAGCAAAAGTGAAAGTAGTGGTACCTGTTGCTGAAGCTCAAATCAGACAGGCGAACAGGTCTCAGTACAGATGTCGTATCCACTCCACAGCGTCTCAACCCATGTCAGCCACCAGAAGTCCGGCTCCCCGCTAAAATGGTCATCAGTAAACCTCCCAGCCAGCAAGGACATGGGCAAAACGTTTTTTTTTTGTGCTGCTGACGATGAGTCCGCATGGATAGCAGGGACCAACTCCGCTGACTCTGCTAGAGTACGCCTTTTCGTCCGTACTCGTACTTTATTGTCAGCTGGTAATGGTTTTCCCACCACGTGCATCAGAAACAGCAATCATGCCTACTGACCCATGCCAGCTGTGAATAATATAATATAATTTCAAACAACAGAAGAAAGCAAAGCATGACTGATCGATTCTCGACGGGGCTGACTTGTGATTTCTCTGAACCCAAAAAATACCCAAGTAACGTTGGCCATGCTTATTCATTCTATTCGTCATTCTTACTATCTAAAGTCTATGTCTATTAATGGTCTATATGGTGTCTGTTTATTTGATGCATCATTCATTACCCGTAACATCTCATGTTGATATATTCACGATCCCTCTTCCACATACTCGACGGTGCTGAGCTTTCCTTGCCATCCATTGGATCGCAAGTACTCAACAAATTTGGCATCTTCCTGCTCCAAGTCCATGTTCTTGCCCTCGGGAATGAAATAGTAGATGAGCGCACCGACAATGCCGATACCGCCGGCCACAAAGAAGGTGGCGGCTTGTCCAGCACTGTCTTCGATAGGCAAAAAGACCTGTGTGCCCACGGCGGCACCGGCTTTGCCAAAGGCTGCAGAGATACCGTAGCCCATGCCGCGGACGGCGGTGGGATAGCTCTCGACAGACATGAGTCCAATGGTTGCGCCAGGACCCAGATGACCCATACATTGCATCAGGCCGTAGAGGACAATGAAGGCAGGAATGGATCTCTCAGTCAAGGGCTTGTAAGCACCTCCCACGATGAAGCCAAACACAACGTAGCCCAAGAACCCAATGATACCGGTCCAGCGACGGCCAATCTTGTTGGTCAGGTATGCGCCGACAATCACACCGGGCACAGGCAGTACGTTGAGAATGAATTGCCAAATGGCCACTGTTTTGATATTGTGCGAGGGAACCACCTTGTTGACAATTGTCCCGCTCATGATGGAGTTCGGACTGGAGAGAAGAGTAAAGACGTTAGTTCACCCATGGGCGAACGCAAGAAAACCAACAACGACAAGGGAGGGATGCTCACAAGTTGATAAAGTCGTAAAGGAAGAAGGCGCTGCTGGTGCCCAGGAGCCGAAGCCAATATTTTTTGATGACGAGCCAGTAGGGCACACGCTCGTGCTTGAAGTTGCTCTTCTTGAAAATGAGGGCATCGCCCATGCGGATCCGCAGAATCAGAATGATGACAGGCAAGCAGGTTGCAAATCCATACATGGCGTGGTACGCGACCGAGAGATTATTTCCAGTAGCCATGATCGTCATCAGATAGATGAATGTGCATAGTGGTCCAGCGAACGTCGCGGTAAAGGTCGACATCATGACCTGAATGGGGCCACGCTTGCGATCAAAATGCTAACAATTGTCAACGATCATATTCTCGGTGCCTCAAAGCTAATTGGCGTTCTCACCTCGTTCGAGCCTTCCAGAGCAGCTGCAGCAGAAGTAGGATATTCTCCACCAGCACCAACACCCGCAATACCCCGAGCAATGGTCAAGTACCACATCATCTTGTGAGGACCGCCTTTCACCTGGAAGACCAGTGTTGCCATGAGACTGCCGATGAAGACTAAGCCGGACGTGAAAAACATTCCACCTTTACGGGACCATCGATCCGAGCAATAGCCTAGAATAAGAATACCAATGACAGAGCCGACCAGCAGCGAATTGGAGATGCGTGTTTGCACTTCAGAAGTGTATGCTTTGGGAATAAGGTGCTTAAAGATGACATTCATGTTCGAAGCCTATGACTGTGTTATGAGCGGGCCGGGTCATGGAAGATATATATTGGACTGCATTTGAAGCCATACCAAACTGTTTTGATACCCGTCCGAGAGGTTCGCAATCGCCTGTTGCATTTGGTCAACTTCATGCAGTGGGAGGATATAGGATCAATGCGGTGCCGTACGCAGCTGGCGATTGTGATGATGGACATTGTTTTTCGTGACGAAGCAATCTTCCTCCCAAAAGGTGGAGAGTCTCCATGATTTGGTTGCTGAGCTTCCAGCGACTTTTCCGTCGCCTGGTCTCGCACAACGGGTTCTTTGGTGTTGTCCTCCATGGTGCAACAGTCAAAAGTCCTCTTTAGGCACTTTAAAAATTGTTGTACACCAGCCGCACTCGTAGGAGGGGAAGTCCATCTTTTTGTATGGGGAAGGGTCCTCCCACTTGCGCACGCTGTGATTCAAAGAAAAAATCGGGAAATTCCTTATCGGCGCGCCCTGCGCGGGTCGGAATCTATCTCAATGGAGTGGGGAGAGCACGACCAGTTCAGAAAACATGGGTATCGCGGTCGACTAGGACCCACATTGTCGGTTGAGCCTTTTCCTCGGCCGTGAAGCAACAGTAGTATCGGGCTGCATGGTGACTTGATTCGCCAAATTCTTCAAGCAGAATGCTAGATTTGAAGCAAAGATCGACAGCTATGAAGCGTTGAGTAAAGGAAACTCCGAACACCTTGACCACGGTTTGCACAGACTCACGTGTTGATTTGATTGCGAATTTTTTGCTAGCTGCGAGAACAGGGCTGACCAAAGACGCTTATCTATGATTTCCGTTGCTTTGCCACGCGGATCTTGAACTTGCATACCGTATTGAAAGGTCAACATCGACTAGGCAAAACCTGAAGATTCAATTACATCTGATAGTCGACATGGTGCTCGATTGGCAGCCATCAGATTGCTTCCCGTCGCTGGGCCGGCCCACCTTGCGTTCTCGGCGCCGTGAAGCGAAAGCTTGGTTTCGTAGCGTTAACTTGTATAACCAACGATGGCCAAGATTACCTAAATTATTGTGCCATCATAACGAGCAAACGCCACATTTATTATCGATTTTCCCCATCACACACTGTGCGCTCGGCTAAAGAACACGGGCACTGTTCAATTGCCAAATGTACGACACTCTTGAATTCAAAAATAATTCCTCCCTGATGCAAGTATTTCTTGTAGCAAGGCACATGGACAAAATGAACCAGCTCTTCCACTTTTTGTTCTCTTGGCAAGAATATATTTCCCTCTTGACTGGAAATGCTTGATTATAAGAAAACAGGGACCCACTTCGAAACCACCAACCAGTAAAAGTAGGCAAGAGTGGGTTCCCAAGGGCCATCTCCAGATTATCTCCGCGGACCCAAATAGTCTCGACGCTGAATTTAACGGCCGTTCATCGTCCTGTCAGCGATTCTTTTAGTTCTTTGCTTACGACTTGTCGTGCCGGAGATACAAGTCCGTGGATAATATTTCAGAGACAGTAATTAAACTGGTGAGGGCATATTGAATCTCGCAGTGCGGGGTCGAGTGCGCTCTGATGAACAGCCGAACCCAGACAGGGTGTCTTTTGCATAAATGGCCATTGAATCCATCCAGTCAAAGCGGTGTCTTTGAGGGCTGGTGCAAGGGACCGGTGAAGCACGCTGCATGGCATCTACCTTGTGCGACCGAGCTTAAGACGGGTAATCAAACTCGTGCAACTGATGGAACACCAATGTGTATCTTTTCAGGAGAAAAATGGCATGGATGTCGTGCGGATAGCCACTTTTTCTCACCTTAATGGGTCAGCTATACGGCTCATTGTGCTGCTGATATGCCTTCAGAAACATGGAACAAATCGGCATGATTTCATCCAAGAGATTTGCTTCGTTTCAAGCTCTTGAGAGTGTTGCTCTCGGTTCAAGCTACTTCTATTGTTAGCTTAATAGGATACTACTATTAAGCTTGGCCAATACTACGAGTAGACGATAGGCGGGGGGAAATTGGATACGACGTGGTTCACGCTACCCAGAGTCGTTCCTGTACCGTCGTCTCAGTCTGGCGCGGATGATTTGCATGTGCGGCAGAACCACACTTTCATCTTAATTCCTAGACGAACTTACCTTATGTACTCCGTACCTCATTTACTTTGGATGTTTTCAAGGACATTGGTTTTTCTAAAGTTTAGGGGTCAGTCTTTATCCTAAATGCAACTCATACCTATCGTATTTTCCCCTGTGATCGTGATCCCCCCCTTTGAAGTGACAGCATCCCCTAGGAGACGCTTTCGCCTGAAGGAGTTTGGCGAGGTGCAAGGTGCAAGCTGCTTCGGTGGTGTGTCTTTGCGAGAGTTGGACTGAACTGTGTGTCCAGGGTTCTTTGACTGCGCTTTAACTGATTTTGGTTGCTGTCTAGACGTCTTAGCGTCCCTGGTCCTGGTCTTCTCTCGCTCGACCTTTAGGAGCTGCCACCGAGCACGCACAGCGAACGCCAATCCCTGGAAGCTAGCGAGCTGCTACTCTTCTGCGCCCGGACGAGCGAGGCAGAGAGAGAAAGAAAGCAGAGAGAAACTTGAAAAACTGGTCACCGTCTAGTCAAGGAAAGCTCTCAGGTACCCTGTGCACGCTGTCTGCTGGTCTTGGGTCGCTTCGGCTACGTTGATCCATCTCCATCCAGCCAGTCGTCCAATTCTTCGCGATACCTTGGACTGCTGGACCCAACTCAAATCGTGTTTACCAGCCCTCTCCCAGCTCGCTCAGACATCACAAGGAGCGCATCGCAACCTAGATTCTTCAAGAAATACCGCTGAAGCTGCCGACTGCAGCTCTCAAGGCGCGCCGGTCGCTGGGCAACCTCATAGTGACGAGCACGAAAGCCGTCATTCCGCTGCCTCGGCCTGCTTTTTGGGTCGTTGGCGGGCGAATTTCTTCCTCGCCAGCACCGGTACAACGACGAAGATGGATGTCGCCAACATGCATTCGCATCACACACAGTACGGCAATTTCTACGTATGAAGCCTCTATTGCAGCATCAGGTCATCCCCTCTGATCAGTCGCAGCCGAGCTAACCAGTGCTTTTATTGTTTGTAGGACTTTTGCCGCGATTCGACCCTCCCAGTCTGCAACGTACGCTCATCTTCCCGCCCCGTCATCATCTGTGACCGACGCAAGCCGAGAACTGACTGTTTGCATGATAGCTCTTTCGCGAATCACCCGTCAATGGAGGATCTGGTTGGGGTAGCTGTCAGTTGACAGGCATACCGCTCAGCGGCGGAAGACATTTGACAAACCTCGGTTGGTCTCAGCAAGCCTTACAGTCCATAGAAGGCCCATGTTGACAGAGACCTTTAGGATCAATCCTTCTGTGCGGCATTGCGATACTGGTGACGCTTCTGCTGTTATGGCGTTCGGAAAGGAAGCGTGCTGCCGTCGGGCGCAGGTACGGCCTCCATTTGGGAATGCAATAGACACCAGCTGTGTGCTAACAGAAGCGATATAGGGAGATGCAATTATTCCTCATTGGTTACTTGATTATCGAGATTTGTGAAATCTTCACCGTCGGAGGCTTTCCCTTGGAGCGGAAAGTGCGCATTGTACGTTTAACCTGACATGGTCAAATTGTGGAGCACACGCCCTGACCAGAGAATGTCGTCTAGGGCTTTACTGCCGTTCATATCGCCGCCATTGTCGCAAATTCCTGGATATTATTGATGAACGCGCTGGTCGGCTTTCAGCTTCTCGATGACGGTACACCTCTCTCGATCGGATTGATCCTTCTATCAGCAGCCGCCTTCTTCATCGGAACCGGATATATTGTGCTGGACACGGGTTTCAGTTGGACTGGGTTTTTCGACTCGGACTTGGTCAAACCAGACCGGTCGTATGCCATATACACGCTCTACCAACTGGTTCCCTTGGTCTTCCTTTTCCTCTACTTTGTGCTCGAAACCTATCTGGTGATTAAGGTCCTAGGAGAGAAGAAGCCGATGCGTAAGTGACACAGCTGAAAGATTGAAATTGTTCTCCTTACCTCACGGGAGTCTAACTAACATTCTGCCAGTCTATTTGATTGCCGCTACTCTCCTTTTCGCGGTCGGCCAAATCTTCCAGTATGTTATCAGCACGCACATTTGTCGAGGAACCCATGGCAAGATCAATGGCGCCTTATTCGAAACCTTCTTCACCTTGTGTGCTGTCGTCATGCTTTGGGTGTTCTGGTCAAGCATCACCGAAGACGACTGGCCCATGCCCGCTGCCGAAGCGCCATACACATAACGCGACACAGTCCCACGATGGAGGGCCGGAGGCAATCATGTTCTTGACGACTTTAGACGCCGACGCAGTTTCTTGCGTATATCCAACTTGATTATTTTGCATTTCTTCCCGATCGACATTCATCTTCGCAACTGTTCACCTTCCTATGCTTTTTTCTCTTCTCTACGGCACCTTTCGGTACATTATACGTGGACGTACGAAATGACGACCTGAAGCCCCATTTCTCACGTTTGCAACGACATGAGAGCCATTGAGCGGCGGTGCATGACCTACCTGCGTCGACCGTCGAGTGAGCTCTTTTACGACAACGAAAGCTTTTCGCCGCACCTTGTTCCAATTTCACTTTGAGCTGCTTGTCCCCATGGCACATACCTTCATCTCTGATACTTTTAATACGCCTCTTCATAATCATCAGTCCCTACCACTCATTACTCTCGAACATTAACCGTCTATCTCTCATTACTTTTCCGCATACACTCACACCTTTTGACATACAAATCCAGCTAGACCTCTTACTCCTGCTCTCTAGACGGAAAAAGCACAATCTGGATGATTAATACTGTAATGTTATCATAACCCTCCGACCTTATTTTAGCTAGCTACTTAGATACCAATTCCACCACTGAAAGTTAACAGTCTATTGATGGTTACGATAAGCCATGTTCAGAATATTTTTGTCTTCTTTCTGATATGCTTGAGTCACTAAGCGTTTTGAATCTGCTCTAGGCTTTGAGCGTTCGAGATTTGAACCTACCAATGCCACAACCAAATAATTAGCTACACCCTTTTCTTAGTAATTTGGGAGAGATTCTAGTCCCATAAAGCATAGCAGAATCCCTAGTGAGCCATCTATTAACGGACACGGTATTTCGTGTCGCTTCAATCCCCATTGCCACATAGCTAAGTCTCGGACTTGTTTCAACAATTCTGACCTTTGCAAAGACCCTCATTGGATGACCAGAGACGCAATAGAAAAATGACAGCCATCACGTGTGAATGATATCCTGAGATTTATTTGGTAAATACTATCAGTTACTGCAATGAATATGACCGCTCTTCGTATATAAACAAAAAGTTAAATTAAACTGGAGTAGAAAGAGAATAGTTTGTCAACGTCGTGGTTCGATGACCTAAGTCGGCCTAATTCCTGGGCAAGTTTAGTGGAAACTTAATTGTAGCTTCGGTTATGTTTTGGGCGAGACTGTCGATCTTTATGATCTTCGGGGATTCGTTACAATCTACTATGGTAGCCTTCAACTTTTGGAGCTTGACAGGATATCCCGTCGAGCATCTCAACCTACCCATTGGAAAGCTCGAACAGATAAGAGTCTGTCTTTTTGGTGAATTTTGAGAGAAATCACTGTTCAGTCTAGCTCAATATCCTCTCTTTTTTTTGGGGTATCTAAGCTGGACTATTTCCACTTCTTCAGCCTGGAGCTTGACATTGAACAATACAGCATATTCGCAGAGCTTTGAGCTTCCGACAACTCATAACCTAGACCTACCACGAAAGAGTCGGCATCCAATTCCAAAGCACCTTTCAATAACGCCTCCACAATGGCGGACTCTGACGGAGAATACATTGACGAGGCGCTGTCCGACGACGACACCACTGCGCAGCAGGGCACTCGCGGCGGCGACTATGGCACACGATCAGCTTCGAATCGCGCAATTAAGCGTCGCAGAACAGACGGACGGGGCGGAGGCACACAGACGCAACCCAAGGCGCGGTGGGAGGACATACATCGAAGTTGGGAGCACGTTGTAGAGGGCGCAGACGGCAGTATAAGCAGTACAGTTGAGGGCTTATTGGAGGCAGGAAAGCGAAAGAGGTGCGGCCCCCATGAGTTATTGGGAATTTGGTCCCATAGGACATGTTTCAAAATCTCAAGACCTCAAGCTCTCAATGCTAATATCGGTATAGATTACTTCGCGATACTACACCACTTCAACGAGGCATCATCCGACATATGATTCTTGTACTCGACCTGAGCGAGTCCATGGCAGAAAAAGATCTCCGGCCAACGCGATACCTCCTCACACTGCGTTACGCGCACGAGTTTGTGACTGAATTTTTTGAGCAGAATCCCATCAGCCAGCTGGGTGTCATTGGCATGAAGGACGGACTGGCAGTCAGAATCAGTGATATGAGCGGGAATCCCAGCGACCATATCAGCGCCATTGAGGGATTACGGCCGCAAGATCCAAAGGGGGACCCGAGTCTACAAAACGCGCTGGATATGGCCCGAGCTGCTTTATTGTATGCAATGCCCTCACATATAAACCCCAAACCTCGGCTATTGACGCCCATCAACTAACCAGAGTCTGAACAGCCACGCCCCGAGCCACGGCACGCGCGAAGTGCTCATCATCTTCGGCGCACTGTATTCGTCCGACCCAGGGGATATCCGGGACACAATCAAGAGCATCATCGCCGACAAGATTCGGGTCAGCATCGTGGGTCTGGCCGCCCAGGTGGCTATATGTCAGGAGATATGCTCCAAGACCAACGGGGGCGACGACACCGTGTACGGCGTTGCTCTCAACGAGCAGCATTTCCGCGAACTCTTCTTCGAGAGCACCACTCCGCCCGTCACGCGGTCCGCCAAACAAGCCGCTTCTTCACTACTGCAAATGGGCTTTCCCTCGCGCATCGTCGAGCAATCGCCCTCGCTGTGCGCGTGTCATTCCCAGCTTACCCGCGGCGGATACCTCTGCTCGCGGTGTCAGAGCAAAGTGTGTTCTCTACCGACCGAATGTCCGGCGTGTGGACTTACCCTGATTCTGTCTACGCATCTGGCACGGTCATATCATCATCTGTTTCCCTTGCGTAATTGGCATGATGTCAGTTGGGAAGACGCGCGGAAAAGTAAATCTACCCATTGTTTTGCATGTCAGGTCCCTTTTCCGCCTATACCAGACGGTGGTGGGGGTGGGAAGGGTGTAGACGGTGTTTCTTCCGGCGAGGGTGTATCTTCAAACATAAAATCAAAACCAGGCGCAGGCTCAGGATCAGCACCCCCCATTTCTCTCGCCGCTCCCGCCACGGGCGGCGCTACAGCGGGCCTCACGTCCCGCTACGAGTGCGAGGTATGCAAGCATCACTTCTGCATCGAGTGCGACTTGTTTGCGCATGAAGTCGTGCATAATTGTCCGGGCTGCCAGAGCGGTGCTCCTATAGATGATGGCGGTGGTGCAGTCAACGGTCAGGTCGGTCAGCATGCAACAGACGGTAACGGTAGTGGTAATGGTAATGGTAATAGTAATGGTAATGATATGGATTTAAGTTGATTTTACCCTTTTTCACATTATCCTTACTCTTCATCCATGTCCTTTATCTTTTATCCTTTACTCTTTTTTTTTTATCCTATCACTGTATCACTGTACCACTTTCACCTTCACAATATCTCTGTCCTTTGGCATTGACCGTCCAGCCTGTATCTTTTTACCCTTTATCCTTCATCCTACCACTTTGTCTACTTTATCCTCCATCCTATCCTTTATCCTATCCTTATTCTCTACTCTTATCCTCCATCCTATCCTTTATCCTATCCTTATTCTCTACTCTTATCCTCTATCCTATCCTTTAACCTATCCTTATTCTCTACCTCATTCTCTATCCTGGTTCTTTATCCTCTATCCTCTGTCCATTGTCCATTGTCACTATGTCATCTTATCTCCATTACACCATTACATTGTCACACTTATTCTTCTCATCACATATCACTATCACCATTTACCATACCAACAGACTAGCATATCGCCGTACCATCATATCACCAATCACCATACCATCTTATCATCTTACCATCTTACTACTATCGTCAATCCGTTGTTTACCATCATATTATCATTACCCCATTGTTGTTACAACTACTACATCTACTACCGCTACTACCGCTACTACCGCTGCTTCTATTCTATTGTACACCACCTTGATCGTCATCTTGATCATCTTCTTTATCATTAACATTATCATTACCATGACCGTTGTCATTATTTGTCTTCGTCATCTACACTACTCATCACCACTCATCACCACCGCCACTTCCACAGCCGTCATCATCCTCGTCTTCTTTTCATTCTCGTCACGATCAACATTAGTTGTCTATCACCTCTTATATAGCACCTATCATCTGTCGTCAGTCGTCTACTACCAGTCGTCTATCACCCCTCGTATGTCACCAACACCAGCACCACCTCCAGCCAGCAGCAGCAGTAGCAGCAGGAGGAGGAGGAGGAGGAGGAGGAGGAGGAGGAGGTCCAGAACATGCCCGACACATCTATACCGTATCATATCATATCCATCATATCATATCATGTCATGTCATATCATGTCATATCATGTCATAAGCACTGTTGATATGTTTTATCATACATCGACATCGACATCGACATCAACATCAGCAGCACAGCAGCACAGCAGGACGAGCGGGAACGGCACCGGCACCTATGTAAAAACCAACATGTACATACCTTACACATCGAATATAAACATATACCATAAACATGACCATGTACATCAACATCAACATAAACATGTACATAAACATTAGCATCAACACAAACAAGCATAAACACTGACGATTAAACTAATAGTGATATATATTTAATCTGTGCCACATCTTTACAATGAGTCTGAAGAGTAATCAGTGCCACACGCCAGACGTTTCTGGGAATGTAGACAGTAGACAGTAGACACGGCAGTGTACTACTTCAGTACAGTGACAACGAGATTGTTAGATAGGTATTAGGTCACATGAAACCGAATCACAATGAGAGTTCATTCACGTACAATTACATACGAAGATACAACACATACAACACATCGTATTATACACTGCTAGACTTAGATGTTCCAGTGGTTCTGAGTAGAAAAGACTTTGATAATTCTTTACACATTATAAACACACAAGAAAAGAAGCAGTTTTTGGTCCCATCCCCCATCAACTCCTCGAGGCAGATCCGGCATCTTTGTTTAGATGACATGGGGTCTCATCCCAAGGAGAATAAAACACGTGATGGGATCATCAACTACCAACCACCTAAGAAGACTTCTCCAACTCGGCAAGAATCTTCTCACCCTTGGCACGGGCAGACTCAAAGTCACCAACCATGTAGAAAGCACCTATTCAGAGTTAGCATATGCAAAAACAAAGAAAAATCAAATGGGGAATGGGGAAAGCTTACCCTCAGGAAGGTCATCACCCTCACCGTTCATGATAGCCTTGAACGAGCGGATGGTGTCCTTGAGGTCGACCAGCTTACCCTCGATACCAGTGAAGACCTGGGCGACGGCAAAAGGCTGGGACAAGAATCTCTGCAGCTTACGGGCACGCTCGACGGTGAGCTTGTCCGCCTCAGACAACTCGTCCATACCCAAAATGGCAATAATGTCCTGGAGCGACTTGTACTCCTGGAGCATCTGCTGCACACGGGTGGCAGTGTTGTAGTGGTCCTCACCAATGATACGGGGGTCCAGCATACGAGACTTGGAGTCAAGAGGGTCGACGGCCGGGTAGATACCCAACTCAGAGATACCACGAGACAACACAGTGGTGGCGTCCAAGTGGGCGAAAGTGGTGGCGGGGGCAGGGTCAGTCAAGTCGTCAGCAGGGACGTAGACGGCCTGCACCGAGGTAATGGAACCCTTCTGGGTGGTGGTGATACGCTCCTGCATGACACCCATGTCGACGGCAAGAGTGGGCTGGTAACCGACGGCAGAGGGGATACGACCAAGCAAGGCAGACACCTCAGAACCGGCCTGGGTGAAACGGAAAATGTTGTCAATGAAGAGAAGCACTGTAATATTAATGGCGTTAGCAAATTGGCCCAGACATCTTTACTTCTTCTTCTTCTTCTTCTTCTTCTTCTTTGGAATGCTAGACATACCGTCCTGACCCTCCTCGTCACGGAAGTACTCAGCAACAGTCAGACCAGTCAAGGCGACACGGGCACGAGCTCCCGGGGGCTCGTTCATCTGACCGAACACCAGGGCGACCTTGGAGTCACCGTCGAGCTGGATGACACCAGTCTCCTGCATTTCGTGGTACAAGTCGTTACCCTCACGAGTACGCTCACCGACACCAGTGAAGACGGAGTAACCACCGTGGGCCTTGGCAACGTTGTTCTGTTTTGAAGCTGTTAGCAGGCATTCCCTCTTCTTCTGGCGGTGGCAAGGTCTTCACATACAATCAACTCCTGAATGAACACAGTCTTGCCGACACCGGCACCACCGAAGAGACCAATCTTTCCACCACGAGCGTAGGGGGCAAGCAGGTCGACGACCTTGATACCAGTGACCAAGACCTCAGCGGCAGTGGACTGTTCAATGAACTCCGGAGGGTCGGCGTGGATGGGGAGCTTCTTGACGGCCTTGATGGGGCCACGCTCGTCAATGGGGTCGCCAGTGACGTTGATGATACGACCGAGAGTGCCAGGGCCGACGGGAATCATAATGGGGGCGCCAGTGTCAGTGGCCTTGGATCCACGAACGAGACCCTCGGTACCTATTGGAGTTTCATGTGTTAGCCCTCAAACTCATATTTCACCTTCGCAGAATCCCCCCGCAAACCATCCTCGGGTTATGGTTTTAGGAGAAACGGCGATGAACGCGTCACGAATTGGCAACGCTGGAAGGGGGAAAAAGGAGACATACCATCCATGGCAATAGTACGGACGACATTCTCACCCAAGTGTTGCTGGAATTGAGTGTTAGTGAGCTCAATTGAATGACGTCGGCTTTCCGAATAGCTCTTACAGCGACCTCCAAGACCAGCTTCTGGCCGTTGTTCTCAGTCTCCAGGGCGTTCAGGATCGAAGGGAGCTGCTCAGTCTCGAATTTCACTGCCAACAGCTGTCAGCATTCATGACGGGTCCTCAATTGATGGCTGCATGACGGATTCGTCCCCATGCGCGATGGAAAAGATTTTCTCGTACCATCGACGACGGCACCAATGACCTGGTGAATCTTGCCATCACGGGCAGCGTCGGTGCTGGCGAACCGGGCGCTCAGAGCGGGCAGAGCATTGCTCTTGACGACGGGGTTGATAGCCCGGCGAGCAGCCGTGGGCCGCAGGAAAGGAGTGGTCCGGATAGACCGAGCGATTCCGCTGTTAAAGAGCGACCGTGTCAGCAAAACCTCAACACCCTCAACCAACACAAAAAATTGACCAAATCTTCCATTGAAGATGCCCAATGGGTCAATTGAGGTTCTAAATTGATGACATACCTCTTGAACATGATGACGGATGTCAAAGAGCGATGATGACGGGAGTGGAGAGGGAGATGAGGATAGAGATGGTGATCCGGTTGAAGAGGAGATGAGGTTCTCTCGACTTCGGGAGCAAAAGGGAACTCGGCCTGTGGTTGGTCGGTGGCGGCCTTGGCACACTAAGGGGAGCTCTGGAATTACCGCCTGCCATTTGCCGGGTGAGCTTATGTAAGCAACTCGGATATCAAAATCGTTGAGCTGCCCTTGGTCCTGCTTTCCAGGACGAGGCATTTATTCGCAGACAGGCCAAAGATGCTCAATTGACCCTGTTCTCACAATCATACAATTCTTATTCCTAGCTAGATATTTCTCATATTTCAATAAAGCGATATCAAAAGTTCAAATCATCGTTATACAGTGCGCAGGCTACATCTGAGGTATAATGTGTATGGGGCCAATCATGCAAGCGAATTGGGCTAAATTTCCCAGCTTCCTTCTAATAAGTACAGTTTACATCACGTTACTCTTCCAGTGCAAGAACCTATAGAAATCATAGATTGTCAGACAATGGAGTTCCCAAAATGTTATGAAGGGCATTGTTGGAGGATGCACTTACAATGGCGGTTCTCGTCGGAATATACACATGGGTATGATTCTTTCGTCCATTCCATTCAAATGGCGTTGTAAAGTATCTAGTGCTCTCGTCGATACGATTGAGACCACCAAATGCAGGACTGTCCGAATTGATTACAATTTTGTACGTGCCAGCCGTTTCGACGCCAACACGGTAATCGGCGAAGCTCTGGGACGGATGGAAGTTGAAAATCCACAAGAGACCGGCACGCTCAAACACAATGACCTTGTCTCCCTCGTGCTTCAAGCTAATATACGCCTGGGGCGAGTGAAGCCATCCGTACTTTTCTTCGGTCCATTGCATCTTTCCGTCAAAGTCGTTGAGGAATTTGTACCGGAGGAGGTGATCATCCGTCAAGTTGAACTGGCGGCGTGCGTACCAGAAGCTATTGTTGTTGCCCTCACGCGGGAAATCCAGCCATTCGGGATGGCCAAATTCATTGCCCTCAAAGTTAAGATAGCCTTCTCCGCCGAGTCCATGTGTGATTAGGCGGATCATCTTGTGCAGAGCCATACCTCTCTCTATCACAGAGGTGAATTCTGTAAGAATGGACATGTGAGTGTACATCTCCTTATCGCAGAGCCACATGAGCAAGGTCTTGTCACCAACAAGGCTGCATCTCGAGTCAGTCCAAAACCGTATAACATCCAGATATTTCAAATATGTACGTACGCTTGATCGTGACTTTCGGCATAGGCAATAGTCTTTTCGCCGTGTCGCCGATTGGTGAGGGTGAAGCAGAGCGCCCCCATGTCCCACTCTTCATCTTCCTTCTCCTTGAGCCATTTGATGTACAAGTCAGGAATGGCCATGGCCAGACGGTAGTCAAAGCCAATGCCGCCGAGGGAAAGCTTGACACAAAGAGCTGGCATGCCAGAGACATCTTCTGCAATCGTGATGCAGTCAGGATAGAGGTCGTGGAGCATCTCGTTGGCCAGCATAAGATACACCACTCCGTCTTCGTCCACGCTCGAGCCAAAGTATTCGTGATATCCGCCAGAAAAGCCGCTGAAAACAAAAAAAGTCTCATTAGTGGGAAAGAACGCTAGATGAGAGCCAGGAATACTTACGTTCCAATGCCGTGATGAGTATAGAGCATGCTCGTCACACCATCGAATCTGAAGCCATCAAACTGGTATTCCTCCATCCAGAATCGAAGGTTGCTCAACAGAAAACGCAAAACTTCGTGGTGTCCATAGTTGAAGAGACGACTGTCCCACAGCTCATGGCGACCCTTGGCGCCTTCGTGGAAGTAGAGGTGGTCTGATCCATCAAACATGTTCAGACCATCCAGTGTATTCTTGGAGGCATGGCTGTGTACCACATCAAGCAGTACGGTTATGCCCATGCCGTGGGCAGTGTCGATGAGCTCTTTGAGATCATCAGGAGTTCCGTAGCGGCTGCTGGCCGCAAAGAAACTGTTGATCTGGTAGCCAAAACTAGCGTAGTATGCATGCTCCATGATCGCCATGAGCTGGATCACATTGTAGCCCAAGCTGCGAATTCGAGGAAGCACATCTCTGGTAAACTCCTTGTATGTAGCCACCTTTGGCTCAGGCGAAGAGATTCCGACATGAGCTTCGTAAATACGAGCGCTCGCGGGCTTCGGGGGTCTCGGGTGTTTGAATACATATCGTTCGGACTTGGGCGGGTTCCAGAAGACTGCGTCGTAGACGGGCGAGACTGAAAGATCTTGGGTGACACGGGTGATCCACACTGGAATTCTCTCAATTCGCTCTCCTGAAGGAATGACCATTGAAATCTGTGCGGAACACGCTCCTCAGTCAATTGGCGTCTTGCAAAAGGGGAGGAAAATACATTCGTAATGAGACTAAAAATCGTACCTTTAGCTTCGAGTTGTGGGGGATAGCGGGCTGACCATTCTTTGCAGGCAAAGTCAATTCCCAAACGCCGAAATCATTCTTTGTCAATGGTGTTGCATTGCGGTCCCAGCCATCTACGAATTGATTCTATTAGCAGTGCCATCTTGAAGTCAACAATCACAATTGACGTACTAAAGTCGCCAATCAGATTGGCCTGCACGGCATTCGGAGCCCACTCGCGGTAAACAATGTCTCCATTATCCTTGACGTTGAAACCGAAGTGTTCATAACCCTGAACAGACGTATTGTCAGCAATTAATGCAGTCGCCCTCACGGGGGACTATGGTGCAACAACGAACCCTGCTAAACTTCTCAAGACCACCTTCGGTATCGTTGATTTGTTTGATCCAATCCTGGGCACGACTGAACCTGTGACGTAATGCATCCTTGAAAGGCGACAGCCACGGGTCAAGCTGGATTACGCCTGTTTATCGGTCAGTCTCATCCTTTTGAGTATGTAAATGTAGCATAGTACATACCCGTCCCATCAGCCGGGACCTGCGCACTTGGCTCTACCAAGAGCGAATTTTCAGATGCCTGATTCAAAGACATTTTGACCGAATCGAGCCTCTACTCAACACCGACGATGAAGGTGTCGAGCAATCGCAATTGATAATCGAGGGAAGGCTTATTGGATTTACAATGGCGCCCACTTATAACAGATACGTAAAAATGGAAATAGAGGGGCGCAAATTGCAATGATCAAGGGTAATCTTCCTCAAGGAAAAATGGGAAAAAGTGCAGAGAGGGCGACGGTCGTCTTAAGACGGCTGCAAGCGTAAGGTTATCTCCCCCAGTACAAGGCTCGTGATATGGTGGGGTTCAGAGAGCTAGTATTACTATCGGGGAAGCATGTGTACGGGGGAAGGCCGGGTTGCTGTCAGCCAAGATTCCGTTCCCTCACTATCCCCGTCTAGAATCGTCATTGCTATTAACTAAGTACAGGGAGAGCTGGAAGCGATTCGTACTACAGAGAACGAGAAATGATCCTCGTAGGACTATTGCCACCAGATTCTCTGTTGGTTGAGCGGAGACGGGGGGCATCATTGGAACACTGGCCATGGTTTCCCCGTTCGAGCTCAAAGGGACCGTCATTGGCGACTGCCTGATTGGGGCTTAGGGAGTTCTTTCCCCGCTGGAGCAAGGCAGACACACTCTAAGCGAAACGCGCCATGCCCCATCTGGCATCATCGTCCCATTCGAATTGCAAGAGTCAAAGGCCGAGAACTCAACCAAAAGCAACCCCAGAGCGGGTACTCGTACTCCCATATTGTGTCTACTGCTGATAGTTCGTGACTGGGGCAGATGTTTTCTAATGATCTTAGGCCGAGTAGCTTCAAAAGCCATCTATATATAAATATCACTCAATGCTAGAAAGCTATACGTCCTACGGATTACTGGCAGTTGGAGAAGTGACTGGGCAGAGCCCTTCTCGAGCTCGCGTGTCATTTGTGAGAAGCTTTAGGAACAGCCCAAAGTGTCGGTGCTTTTGAACCTCACATTGCTACAATCGATGGGCAAATGCTGTAATTGACAGCTACCTATGCTTAATCAATGAAAGTAATACATCTGCAAAATGTCTTCTTTGATTTGCAGCAAAAGGACAGTCGAACCCAATCGCTGCGACAAGATCAATTGCGTAAATGGCGTCTGTGCGCGGTCGTAGATATCGCCATCCTCCTGCGGGCGATAAACTAATGGAGCTGCGGAGCACACGGAATGAGCAATACTCCAGTGAAGCTTGTCAGTCATTGTTGTGACACCCTTTGAACTTTACCTCTGCTTAGCCTGCGATTCTGCCAAAGAACATGCGAATATCGATCAACAAGAATACGACATATACTATACACTTGTAATTCCTCGCTGTCTTGGTCGAATTTTTCCCGAACCAAAGCTTTGATAACGTTTCGCCTCTCTCTGCTCATGGCCACAACCATTTCCATACCCCGCCGAACTCTTCGTCTCACCTCCGCTACTTTTTGCATTTTGCATCGCAGGACACTTGCGACTACCTCAAAATGCGCTTCTCAATTCAATCGATCCGACTTTTCTGGTCAGGGTTTCACTGGCAGCTATGAGGCCGGTCTACCCACCACCGGCCCACTCGCTGATGCGTCAATATATGGCGTACCGCGGATAACACCGCGCATGCTGAAGCAGCACCTTGATCAATTCGTCGTTGGGCAGGAAAGGGCAAAACGAGTGCTGAGTGTAGCAGTGTACAATCATTATCAGCGGATACAGGAGCTGCAGCGTCGGGATGAGGAGGAAGAGGAGCTGTTGCAACAACGGTTACGACGGGAGATGGGGGAGCGTAGCGGTGAAAGACATCCTGTAGAGGGTATGTAGTCTTTATTTTTACCCCCTCATAAATCTGTTTTTGACTGAATCATATACAGATGAATTTCCCGGTCAGCAACCCACGATCCCGATCCAACCGCCGCAGCCCGTAGTACCCACAAGCAGACTCGGTCAAGCCCCGTTAATCGATAGCAGTCCTCTGGCAATCGAAAAATCAAACATCATGATGCTCGGTCCATCAGGTGTTGGCAAAACACTCATGGCCAAGACGCTCGCACGAGTACTCGAAGTCCCCTTTAGCATGTCCGACTGCACGCCGTTCACGCAAGCCGGTTACATTGGCGAGGACGCAGAAGTCTGCGTCCAACGGCTGCTAGCAGCAGCAAATTATGACGTGGCCCGCGCCGAACGAGGCATCATCTGCTTGGATGAAGTGGACAAGATTGCCACCGTAAAGGTTGCGCACGGCAAGGACGTCAGCGGCGAGGGCGTCCAACAGGCGCTTCTGAAAATCGTCGAAGGCACAACCCTGCAAATACAAGCGAAGCAAGAGCGCGGCGGAGGAAGAATACCAGGCGGAAGCGGGATGAACCAGAACATGAACATCCCCGGCGGCCCAGGTGGTCTCGGCGGAGGCCCCGGCGGCGGTGCTGGGGCTGGCGGAGCAGGCATAGGCCCGACGACCGGCAAAGGCGAAGTATACAATGTCCGCACGGACAATATCCTCTTCATCTTCACAGGCGCTTTCATTGGTCTGCAGAAGATCATCATGGACCGTATCGCCCATGGCAGCATTGGATTTGAACAACCGGTACGAGCAGCCAATGCCGATAGCAGCCAAACCACATTCAGGGGCGAAAAGGAAGTTTTAAAGAAATATCTGCCATTCTTCGACGCCAATGAATCCAACCAGAGCAGTTCGCAAAACTATAACCCGCTCGATCTAGTCGAGCCTGGCGATTTGCAGAAATACGGCCTCATTCCCGAACTTGTCGGCCGTGTCCCCGTTGCAACAGCCCTGTCACCACTCGACGAGGAGTCCTTGGTCCGTGTCCTCACAGAACCACGCAACTGTCTTATGAAGCAGTACCAGCAACTCTTCCAGCTCTCGGGTATTGAATTGAAATTCACAAGCGGAGCACTACGCGAAGTTGCCAAAGCCGCGATTGGCATGGGCACAGGGGCAAGAGGTCTCAGAACAGTCATGGAGAGATTATTAGCCGATGCCATGTTTGAAGCTCCCGGTATATTTCCACTCGCCCAGTTCTTGGCCTGCCCCAAATCCACTTTCAAACCTCACTAACAATGTTTCTGTCTAGGCTCCTCCATCAAATTCATCCTCGTCAACCAAGCCGCGGCCCAGAAGAAAGAAGCACTCATCTACCTTGCCCGTGGCCAGCAATTCAAATTCCATTCCCTGATTGCTTCTGAAGAAGAGGAATGGGAACGCATCCATGGAAAAGCTTCCACCCAGGAATCAGATTCTCATTATTCCACTTTTGAACAGTACCGCGAAAAAGGACGTGCCGCTGGTCTTTTGTAGCGGTCAATCATTTGACTTCCCTTCTGTTCTTTCACCACTCGTCAGGTGCCCACATCTTACAATCTCGACCTGTACGTCTAATCACTTATCTCGAGTGCCGTGGCGTCCATATCGGTCGCTTGTCTCATCGTTTCGACATTTTGATATCTGAATCAGTCGTCTCAATTCTTGTCTGACGTCTGATTCTGACTTGATCAATTGTCACTCAACCGGTCCAGAGCCTTGCATTCGATCAGTTGCGTCCATTGTTTCGAGCGTGTATGTTTGATCAAATACATATCAAACAGTCTGACAATACCCTGTAACGGCAGCTTCCAGTCACCTCACCACCTTGCCTTCTTCTTCCACACAAAAATCCAGTGCGCAATTTCACATTTTATCCTGGATATCTTCTTATTCTCTTTCTTATTCTCTTTCTTATTATCTTTCTTATTATCTTCTTATTATCTTTCTTTCTTTCCCAATCTCACGGTGTGTCACATATCTAGACAAGTCCCGAGCTCGACCTCAAAGTTGGATTTCATCTTAGCCAAGCCCGAGCTCATCCCGATACTCCGTACTCTAAGCTGGCTTGGTATCTGAGCTAGCTTGTTAAGTAGTTTGGTTTAGTTTAGTTTGGAGCGTGGGAGGGAGGGAGGGAGTTAGCGGGGGTAGTACGGGGAGAGGTTATAATGGAGCTGACAAGCCTATTCGAATCTTCTTCACATCTTATATTCCTTTCTTCCTCAATAAGTTTTTTTTTTCTTTTCAATCTCGTTTCTCTTTTCGGCTTTTTCACGATTTGGGTATAACGGCAATCGTGCAATCGTGCAAACGTGCAAACATGGCAGCGATACATATCTCTCCTATTCTTCTTCCTGCTTTTCATGTTCTCTTCCTACGTTCTATAGGACACACATTTCGGACAAGTAGTAAAGTAGTACTCTACGATTAACTTGACATCTTTCAATGAAAGTTGAGAGAAAAGAAAGTTCGTCAGAAAGAAAGAATGAAAGGAAGAAAAAAGTGAATATAAATCCAATATGGCATTCACATTCCCGGTAGTAGTAGAAACATATCACATGCACAGAGTCATATATGTCGAGACAGATGAGATGGCACGAAACACATCAAGAGGCATAAAGACACATCAAGAGACACGAATTACTGGAGTTAAGACGAAAAGGGACAAAAGAAAAAGAATATAAGAAATACTAAATTGTGAAACAACTATCGCACATACGCATACATACATACTTACATACCTACAAAACGAACCCCGCTTCTTGACTTTTCCCTCGAACCGCCAACGATCCCTGACACAGGGCAAAAAAGGGGGAGGGAAAGAAAAAAGAGAAAAGGAGCAAATACAAAAAGAATTGCTGCCGAACAAACTTCTTCTGCATTCCACGCAGCTCATCCCTTTTGCACTTGATCCATCACACATCGCTCTATCTGCGCGCATGCATATACACAGATATATATATATATACACATACGCACCCGCCTTCTATTACCTCATACTTCATGCACACGCGCAACACACACACACTCCAGGGTATTTGACATCGAATTTCGCCAGAGCTCCATGCCTTGTCTGTCCTGTTTCCGCTCAAAAGTTCTCTCATCAATTCTTTTCCCCTCTTCCGCAACCATTATTCGACATTGAAAAAAGTTTATCGTTTTTGTGTGTATGCGTCTCTGTTCATAGACAATCTCAATGACTGTATCTCAATGACTGTATGGTTCAAATATTTCCCACTGGTATGTTGATTTCTTCCTCGGAAACGAAAAAAGAAAAAAAAAAAAGGGCAAAATCTGGTCTTTTATGAAAAAAAGACATTGTATTGTATTCATGTCTGATTTAAATGACAAGATTCCCCCTGACGTTTTATGAAGCTGCTTAACATGGCCTGCCAAGTAACTCTTTTGATTTCGCCGGAGCCGGTGTGAGAATGAGTTGTTTGAGATCGACAAGAACGTCAATGCACGAAAACGTTGAAACTTGGCCAACCACCGAGAAATGGTCGAGTTGGAATGGACGGGCGGAGAATGACGGAGAATGTAGAGAAGAAAAAGAAGTAGACAAGGAATAGGACTCGGTGCGGACGACGTCAGATTTAGGCCTTGCTCTCGGGAGGGCTCTGGATCATGCCCTTGCCCTCGTAGCCCTCCGCGGAGAAACCGCTGATGGGCTCGGACTTCTGGCTCTGTTTATGCGAACAATAGTTAGACGGGTTTGTTTGTTTGTTTGAAATACCGGCAAGTAGTGCCATTCGGCGAGGAGGGGCGCATCGAATGGATGAATATAGGGCTAGATTAGATACGCACCTTGAGGAACTCGTTCGAAGCCTCCTGGTACTCCTTGGTCATGGTTCTGGGGGTCTCGCCCTTGGCAAAGGCGCGAACGCCGAACCACAGCGCGAAAGTGGCACCAATACCGGCCATGGTGTAGAGGAAGACCTTCTTACCCTCACCAGGGGGGGTCTGGGCGCGGGGGCCGTGAGGACCGAAAGCGATCCAGTAAGCTAGAAAGAAGAAAAGAACATGTCAGCTTCTGAGAATGCCTCACAATGTTCAATTGAATAGCGTAGCTTGAGTCTCGAGTGTCAATTAAGCCATCATGCGAAAATCGCTCGTTGGGTTTAGTCGACACATGAGAGAAGTTGGTATGGTGTCTTTTTCTTTCCTGGAGATTGCTCCCCCAAATGTATCCTCCAATTCATCTGCCAATTGACTTACCGGCCTTCTTCTCCTGGAGGGTGAGCTCGTGCCAGTCGGCCTTCATGCGATCCCGGAGAGCCATCCACAGGTCAGCCTGCTCCTGAGGGGGCAAAGTCTCCCATCGCTTCTCAATGTCGGCCAAGGTCGGGTTGGAGATGGCGTGGGCCTGACGGGTCTGCTGAACGAGGCACCGGGGGGCTGAGGGTCTGGCAGCAGCAGCAAGGCTGTTGGCGCCCCGGATGACGGAAGTGCGAAGCATCGTGAAGGGGGTTCGACGGAGTGGAGATGGACGAAAATTTCAGCGACGAAGTAGACGCAGAGCAAGCTCGAAAATTATGATTACAAGGCCCAGGGAGCTCAGGAAGGGTGCTCGGACCAGCCAATGGGTTGAATTGGGAGGCCTGAGGGCGTTGTAAGGTGGCAATGGAGTGGAGTGGCTTTGACAAGCTGGATCACGACCGATACTGTGGGTTTCCGGCGATGGGGAGAGGTTGAGGTTCTTCTGCGTCTCCAGTGGATTAGTCATCTGCTGTTGCAATTCACGTCTTCTGATTGGCTCAGACGGCTACACGCTCTCGCCAAATCGCACTCATCTTGGTAATTATCATCCAAACCGGAACCGATATATCATATAGCAAAGCTGTCTACAATTGTGCGCATGAGTCTAATTTTCAAACTTATCCATAGTCTCATCAATTACTGAATTGTATTATTTCGAAAAAAAAAAAAAAAAAAAAAAAAAAAAGGGATTCTATTCAGGCAGTTTGCACGTTCAGCCAGCTGGCACATATTAGCCGCGAATCGCTCAGTCGCCAATATCGCTTTCGATATTTGGGTTCTTCCTCGCTCGTTTTGAGAGCTCTCTCGCTTCGACTTTTTGTCCGCACTTTAGCCATTCCCTCGTTGTTTCTCGCTTGAAGGGATGGAACGAGGGAAACGGCTTATCAGGGTCGTTCGAAGGGTTGCAAGGAGACGGCGATGATGCATCACATCACGCAGTCGTATATCGAATGAGCCTGCAGACTCGTGTCGTGACGATCTTCAAGCAAGTTCTTTATAACTTTTCCTAGCCCTGGTCCTATACGCAGCTCTCGCAGGCACACCGGTCCCAACGTGGCTGAATCCGACGGAACTCTCTCTCGCATGAGGGCTTCTATACCCGACGATGAACGTATCTGATTGGCGGCCGCGCCTTGTGTTCCTGGCTTACCTAATATCATTATGACGCTGCATGAGCAGCTAGGCAGTGACATAGCAACCAGAAGCTTGGGGAGAGCAGGAGAGGCGCTGATCCATTATTTTCCTTTCGCGCTTTTACGGGGTTTCATGTCGATATGCTTCGATGCTCGTCCAAAGAATTGTCAACCTGTGTAGAAGCTCATATGTGAGAATACTTCATTGTCAAATTAGCTTTACATCTTCTGCTTCATCGGCGATGCCATGACTTCTTGGCTTTGCCTGTCTGTGTGTACCAACTGGGGGTTTGCAAACCCGCTCCCTGTTCGCTCTCGCGGAAACAGTGAACTCCGAACCCCTCAGGATGAAGCTGCGCAAATCATTGGACGACTGTTCCCCATCTTGTACCCATTGAATTGTATTGGACCCTTCCCTCGCAACGGTTATCATTGACGTGTTCCTGTATTGGCCGGCGAAAACATCGTCGTGAAGAGCTCCTCTCACGGATACCAATGGCAGTATTGATTGATGATGGATGAAGAAAGGAAAAATTCTAGATGTCGCTGCCGCAACAGAGGTAAATCTTACAACGCGACCACCCTCATCGAACAAAGAGTGACAATATGTTAGCCTCCTCCAGATTGTTTTTGATTGTTCAATCTGGCCCAGGAGGTCTTGCGGATATAAATGACGCAGCTACAAACGGCTGGCCCGCCATCAGAAATCATGAGATGTTTCTCTGTGCCCTCTGAGCATCTAGAAAGATGCACGTTGATGGTTCCACTTCGGACCGACTAACTACGTGAGTATAGCTTTACGAAGAGGGGGAGCTGGGGATCGTCCTCTCAGAGGAGGGACACGAAGGGGATAGTGAGGAGAATCGAATAATTGGAGATGGACTAAAGGGGACGAGGGGAGTAAGAGTAGGACCAGCCGCGGCAGCGGAAATGAGATCCACTTCACGGGAGGACGAAGCTTTGAGTAAGGTCGGTGGGGTGGTTTTTTTTTCTCTCAACGTGTTTTTTTGCGCTACGAGATCGGTCTTTGGTCGCGCCAGGAGGGATGAGCGAGACTGCCGGTCGCTCAGGAAAATCGTATGGTTGGCGGATGGCGTGGTTCGTGTGATGTGACCCGAACAACTATGAACAAATGGTTAATTGCACGACGCACCAAGGTGCATACACGCCGCTTCCTCTTGCTGCCGTAACCCTTTTGCTCTGCTTACTACTTCGCTCATGCCAGGATGCCATGCACAGACGCCAGTGTTTGCCCTGCAATGTACCAATTCCCCTCCAAATAATTGTAGTATCGCTGCTAAGGTACCTGGGACCTACTCTCGTTCCTCCGCTGTCGCACCACGCCTTTCCTCGTTCAGGAGCTGCTCTATTTCCTAGTAAACCGAGTACTCTGGCAACAAGAGGGGGAAAACAATAGAAGAGCCTTCTTTACAATCATTCACTGCCGCTATCAGTATATGCAAGCACTAAGAGTTCCCATGTGCTAGGCAAAACGCAATTAATTGACACATTACCCGGTCGGCCATGCCCGCCGTGGCCAATGGGCTGACCCATTGGTGGCAGATGCGATCCAAGCCCATCGTGGCGATAGTCTGGCCAAGCCTACTATGACAATATCTGTGATTGATGTCTACAATCGGTGAGTCTTTAGAAGCGGAAATATCTCACCGCGCAATGAAAGATGGTCGACTACTGTTTTGACTCCCAATGTTTCGCTCGCTTGACATCTGCCTTGTCGGACAATACATCCGCCCCTTCTAGTTTGATACATCTCAGCCGGCCCATCCGAGGGCGGAAAATAGCCAGATGCCCTAACGCGGCATAGATGCCTTAGTCAGTACCTTCGACGCCACGGGTCGGCGATGATGCCTGTAACCTTCTCTTTGCCTTCAGGATTATAGTTCCGCAAGGATGTTGCTGTACTATTTCGATTGTGTTTACATGGACGAGGGGCAAAAAAAAAAGTCACGAATAGACATTGTAAAAATATTTTTTATGCAATACCAACGAGGTAACTGAATGACACCAATGATGTTAGAGAGGCATGAATAATATTTGATTCTGGTAATCGGCCATCTACGATCGAACAAAAGGCATGTAAAAACAAACTAAGACTGCTTTGACCATGTATATTCGTGGAGCATGCGCAACGGTATCGTAACCAACAAGTATTGAATGACATAATATTGCTCTATATGGAGGGACAAACAAAAGAAGAAAAGAGGAAGACCTTGGTGGCTCAGCATAACGTGTTTACGAGTGAGGGATATGGCAAAAATGGCAAGGTGAGATAAGGTGAGATGAGGAAAAGGAAAGAGTGTTTGCCTCAGGCCCCTCTACTCTCAGAAGCCGCGGATAGCGGATGCACGGGGGGGTGGTGTGTTGTATGTGGATGGCTTGAGCGCCTGATGGAGGATGGAATGGGATGATTGACCAGCAGCAGCAGCAGATCTCCTTGGACGCCAGTCGCTAATGAAATGAGATGATGTTGCTGATGCTGCGCATGAGGCAAATAGGGTGAGCAGTTTTGGTTACGGACACATAGCTTATGACGACAAACTGAAAGCAGCATGGCGGCGCTTTCGTTCGATTGAGAGCCCCGCCATTCCACCTGCTCGCTGCTCACCCCACCAGCTCTGCCCCTCCTCCATACTTAAATCCTCAGCCACGACCTCCTCCATCGACTCTTTCATCCTCATCAATCCAATACACATTACTCCTATCTCATCTTCATCAAGTCTTTCTTATCCATTAATCATCAAGTGAGTCTTTCCTCTCTTCCACTACACTCTCGACTTCGAAAAGCTACCTTGAGCTCCCATCGTCGAGCTTTGGCAAAGCTTTTTCCTTCTCTCTTTTCCCTATTAGCGAGCGAAATTGCATTCTAACAGAATTTTGTTCTCTGCAGTCAAGATGGCCCCCACTCTTGTTGGTATCAACGGTTTCGGCCGTATCGGTCGTATCGTCTTCCGTAACGCGTATGTCAACCTGAATCAATATAACAATCTTCTATCTGTCAATTGAGTGCTGACACTTATTTGCAGCGTTGAGCACGATGACGTCCAGGTCGTCGCTGTCAACGACCCCTTCATTGAGCCTCACTACGCCGTAAGTCAATTCTAACAGGAAACATGAAATCGTTTGGAATGGCCACATGGAAAGCTAACGGGGCATCACCACAATAGGCCTACATGCTCAAGTATGACTCCGTCCACGGCCAGTTCAAGGGCGACATCAAGGTCGAGGGCAACGGCCTCGTCATCAACGGCAAGACCGTCCGCTTCTACAATGAGCGTGACCCCGCTGCCATCCCCTGGAAGGAGACTGGCGCTGCCTACATTGTCGAGTCCACTGGTGTCTTCACCACCACTGAGAAGGCCAAGGCCCACTTGAAGGGTGGTGCCAAGAAGGTCATCATCTCCGCCCCCTCCGCTGACGCCCCCATGTTCGTCGTCGGCGTCAACGAGCAGAGCTACAAGAGCGACATTGACGTTCTCTCCAACGCTTCTTGCACCACCAACTGCTTGGCTCCCCTTGCCAAGGTCATCAACGACAAGTTCGGTATCGTTGAGGCTCTCATGACCACTGTCCACTCCTACACCGCCACCCAGAAGACCGTTGACGGTCCCTCTGCCAAGGACTGGCGTGGTGGCCGTACTGCTGCTCAGAACATCATTCCCAGCAGCACTGGTGCCGCCAAGGCTGTCGGCAAGGTCATTCCTTCCCTCAACGGCAAGCTCACTGGCATGTCCATGCGTGTGCCCACCCCCAACGTCTCCGTCGTCGACCTTACTGCCCGCCTCGAGAAGGGCGCCTCCTACGACGAGATCAAGCAGGTCATCAAGGCCGCTTCCGAGAACGAGCTCAAGGGCGTCTTGGGCTACACTGAGGACGACATTGTCTCCACTGACCTGATTGGCGACAACCACTCTTCCATCTTCGATGCCAAGGCTGGTATCTCCCTGAACCCCAACTTCGTCAAGCTCATCTCCTGGTACGACAACGAGTGGGGCTACTCTCGCCGTGTCCTTGACCTCCTCGCCCACGTCGCCAAGGTCGACGCTGGCAAGTAAATTGACTATGCACCGTCCGCTGATCGCTTGTAATTGAGCGACACGGCTGGCTCGAAGTGGATCCAAAACATTTTGAGCAACCGGTCCAGTCTGATTTACCCTCTTCCTTTTCTTTTTGTTGTTGTTACGAGAAATGAGCGCAGAATGGACTATACCATTATGAATTAGAAAAAAGCAAAGTTATTTCAAAAATTTTACCGCCCCTTGATGGATGTGAAGTTCGTTGTACATGTTTTCTGGATGTCCCTAACCCACTGCTTCACCTTGCTTATGAACCTATGTGATATTCGTCCAAATCCAAACCTGCGCCTATGGCCGGTTTTCCCTGTCGTGTCGGAATTGTATTTCATTTTGCAACTGAGGATTGGAAACAGTCTTTGAATTAGTAGCGTTTTGAACAACTCATTGAGATTCATGTATACGAATGTTCTATCGGAGTAAGAGCTCCGTGCGTACATTGCCACCATGACGGAGTACGAGCAAACAAAATCTACATTGAATAATTGAGCTGTTGTAGCTTCTCACCATCAATGACTTCAATTCTGGCATGCGAAGTGCTATTTAAGGACGATCATGAAAAGTCGTACTTGGCTGTTCTATGCCTTCGAATTATTCGTTTGAGATTTCTTTTGGTTTGAGTCGGTTTCTTTTACGCATTTGATTATTATTGGGAAAGTGCCGGAATATTGGATAAAATGACACTGAATTTCAGGGAAAATCAGCTAGGGCAATTATTAAATTTAGAAAGGGCTATTAGAGATTTACAACCACCTAGTCATATAAAAGCCTCTTCCATGAAATTTTGCTGATGTGCAGAACTCTGCAGATTCATATGCTCACATGTGCTGGATCTTGTTCGGGGAATTTAAACAGGGAGCGGAGGTTGCCGCGACCGGAATCGCATCGCTACCTTGCGCGTCGTTCAGTTCCTATAACTCAATAGCTTGCATTATAGCTTCAATCTTCACGAATGAGCTTGCTAGTTCACATATAAAATACTTTTCTTCATTGAGAACTGTCTTTTAATTAATTTTCAAAGTTTGTATCCTGTTATATGTTTGATTTTGTTCTGAATTCCTGCTGTACCACGGTGCACCATTCGCTAGTACTCGCTGGCTCCCTCCAGATTGGATTGCCTGCGGCATCCACAATCAAGACCGAGTTATTTCCGCCAATTTCCAGTCGTTGACTGCATCATGTTCTGAAATGTAGGTCGGTTTTGCATTTTTCAAAGTTATTCTTTTACAATTGCGATGCTTTTGAAATTTTTCATGGGATTATTATTTGGTGCTTCTTGCATGTGGTAATATTAGTCTTGCGGTGGTGCTTTTGAGTCTTTTCGATCCAAAGTTGTTTCGTTGAATCCGTTGGATTATGGCCAAGCGGGATTTTCTGTTTATCCTTGGAGCTCCAGGAGCATATGGTAGACGACACTTCGCAGGATGATCGAGAGTCTGAGGATGATATTTTGCCCGTCTTGCGATTTTTGTTTGGGCCGATCTGTTTCAGCCTTTCTATCTGAACGGACCATTCCTGCTATGCTGCTTTTATACTGGAAGCAATGCTTACAGTAATGCATTGGTTGCATATATTTTGGATTGGAATGTTCTTTGTATAGATTTACTGACCTTCCATCCAGATATCCATGTCCCACTCATCTCCCACATCATGTCGGGTGTCTTATGGCCTCAGTCAAACCTCTTTCATTGGAGAACGATTGGAAATCAGGAGTGAATGCAGTCTATTCCATCGACTTTCATGTATTTTCCCTATTTGGTCTCTGGTTCTATGAATGTGGACACTGAAAACGTTGACGTGATGTAGTGACATATCGCACGAGCAAGCAGCAAAGCGTGACCGTTCTTCCACGCCCCCGTTCTTATCACTCAAGTTTGCTGGCTCTGGTTTGTTTATGATCAAAGTACACCCAAGACCATTCTCGGTACCGCTCCTCTTTCTTCCTTTACGCAAACCCCCTCTTTTCCTTTCCATTCAGACAGCGTCTGAAGCCTGCCATCGCTCACTGCTCGTATGGAAGTGCTACGATTTCTCTCTCATTCTTAATTTACAATTTTCGAAATCATCATCTATCCTGCTCTACTCATGCTCCATACGGCTTGGGCTAATCATTGAACAAAATATCATAGCCGTCTGGTATCTCATCAAGATGATACCACCAGACCAAGACACGGAGATGTCTGACCACTTTACTGGCATGGCTTCCGAAGCTCAACCTGACGAGCCTGTCACGATCAATCCTTCTGTTTTTACTTCTGGCCTGAACTCTGACCCTGTGCTTGCTCCCTCGGTACTCCCAAACCCAGAATCTCCCACGCTTTTCTCAAGAGCGGAGCCTTCTGTTAAGATTGAGGAGATGACAGCAGAAGCCAGAGAGATTAGACGCGCGGCTATGACGCCAGTCAACTGGCTCCCGAGGCCTCTACCCTTTGCATCGCTCCCTACCGGTCTTTGCTACGACGTTCGGATGAGATTCCATGCAGAAGTCAAGCCCGTACAGGAACATCACCCGGAAGATCCACGTCGGATTGTTTATATTTATAATGAGCTTTGTCAGGCGGGACTTGTTCAAGACCCTTCTGCTCCTTGCCCCCCTGCAGGCAACCTCCCACTAGGTGGCGAGACGCTTTACCGCATCCCTGCCCGGGAGGCTACACCTGATGAAATCTGCCTGGTTCACACTCAAACCCATTACGCCTTTGTTCAATCAACGAAGAGTAAGAATTTTTCTTTGATCCACATTCATAGGCCTGCTTTTGATGCTAATCTTTGGTTTAGAACTTTACGATAACGACCTTGTTGAACTTGCTAATCACCACGATTCAATTTATTTCAACAACCTGTCCTTCCTTTCCTCCACTCTAGCAGTTGGTGGAGCCATTGAGACGTGCCGAGCGGTCGTTAATGGCACGGTTAAGAATGCCATTGCCGTGATCCGCCCTCCTGGCCATCACGCAGAAATTGACCGCACCATGGGATTCTGCTGCTTCAACAATGTCTCTGTCGCTGCCCGTGTTTGCCAAAAAGAGTTTGGGGACAAGTGTAGAAAGATTCTTATCCTAGATTGGTAAGCTTGATCTCCCAATTTATTAAACGGTATGTTCTAATACTGACGACTCCCAGGGATGTGCACCACGGTAATGGAACCCCAGCTCCTGCTCGAGATAAAAAAAATTAATGCTTGGCAGGTAATGGCATTCAGAATACATTCTACGAAGACCCAAATGTCCTCTATATTTCTCTTCATGTTTATAATGACGGACGCTTTTACCCGCATGGACCGGATGGTGGTGCTCGAATGTGTGGAGAAGGGCCAGGAATTGGCAAGTAAGTCATACAGTTCGTGCCCATGTCTGCAATATCGCACTAAGTTTTTCTTATCAATATAGAAACGTGAACATCCCTTGGCCATCCCAGGGCATGGGTGACGGCGACTATATGTATGCATTTCAAAATATAGTAATGCCCATTGGTTACGAGTTCGATCCGGATTTGGTCATCAGTAAGTCACGTCTTCTTTACAGAAGCTGCTCATTGTGCTACCTAACATGTACTAGTCGCTGCTGGCTTCGATGCTGCGGCTGGAGATACTCTCGGGGGGTGTTTTGTGACCCCTCCTTGCTATGGACACATGACACGAATGCTCATGAGCCTTGCCAAAGGGAAGCTGGCTGTTTGTCTGGAGGCAAGGCCCCTTTGCCGGACGAGACTTAGAAGAACAATGCTGACGGCATATAGGGTGGGTATAATTTAAATTCGATTTCCAAGTCTGCTCTCGCAGTCACTCGCACCCTACTCGGAGAGCCACCGGACAGATTGGACCCCCCTGTAGCCTGCAAGGCCGCAATAGATACGGTTCATCAAGTTGCAAGAATGCAATCGAAGCACTGGCGTTGCATGTACACGGCTGATATAGATATCGGTAAGTGCTTCTTGGCGGCTGCACCTGAAGAAAATCCCTGACTCTTTCTAGCTGCCAAACATAAGCTCGGTGGAGAACGGATGCATGGTGGGTGGAATACATATTTTCCGGTAGTAAAGTTGTGTTTGCTGAGTAGACAACCAGATATTATCCGTGCCTATCAGAGCCGATTCTTGTACGATAAGTACAAGATGATCTGCCTCTTCATTCTAAGAGACGAACTTTCAGTCTCATTTCAGAATCAGGTCGTTGCGACGTAAGCGATTGATGGTACTGGCTTTTTTGAAACGTTGCTGACAGTCATAGTCCAAATTACCATGCAGCAAATCCGCTTCTCGTCATTTTTCATGATCCGTATGTTTCATAGACGTATTCTTTCCCCTGATAAGAAGCTGATAAAGAAGTATAGTCCTGAGATTCTTGGTGTGCCTAATCCTTCGACAGCGAAACTCGAGCTCCATAACGCTTGGCTTGTAGGTTGATTCTGACCCGACTGCGGGAATACAGCTAATTTTGGAAGACTGATATGGTAAAACATTATATTGATTGGGCTGTTAAGCAAGGATTTGGAGTGATTGATGTTAACATCCCAAAGCATCTCACTGGGCTTGATGACGTAGGTTTTATCCCTTCATTGGACTTTGACATATTTGCTGAGCCGAAGCAATACAGGATTGGGAAGGGTACGTCGAAGAAGACCGGGCACGACGCTTCAAAGCGACGGAACAGCTTGCTGTCTATCTGTGGGAGAATTATATCGAGTGAGTATAGGCGCTACCAGAATACAGAGAGCGTTGGATGCTAATGACTCAAAGAATCAATGATTCAACCGAGATCTTCTTCATGGGCATTGGAGACGCCTACCAAGGCTTGCTTCATATCCTCACTGCACGAGGTAAGTTGCCTGCAATCTAGGGTTTCATTTCGTTCTTGTCACAATTTTCATTGACATTTTTCTACTCAACTTGTTCTTTTTCTCCTCTTCTGCACCAATTGGGAAGCACGAAAAATTGCTAATTAGCTTACCAAAATTAGAGCAATCTCGCGACCATGTCACTGGCGTCGTCAACGTTCTCTCGGAAAACCCTCTTCGACCGGTTACGTCTCAAACCGACGACTATGCAGGACTTTGGTATCACAAGGTAAGTAGAAGAACTTTATCAAAGAGGCCTGAATTTCCACTGCTAGTCTTGCCTCCCGATAAGTTCCAACTTCATAATGCTATCATCTTTTTTCTCTCATCGTCTCAAATACACTGTATCCATGATGCCAGTGATATTAACTTGAAATTCTCGCAATAGAACTCGATGGTTTTTGTCTCCGGCACCCACCTCGTGTGGTCTCCAGACCGCCGACGTCCAAAGAAGAAGTTTGGAAACCTGATCAAGTCTCCTCAAAACGGGCTCAACGAAATGCTTCATGCTCACCAACAACAAATCCAAAAGTTCATTCTTGACAGGGTCATTGTTGCAGAAACGGTATCAGATGAATTAGCAGTAGAAAAGGACAAGACCGAGACCTCTGGTAACATTGCAGGCGCTGCGGAAGAAGTAGGCATGCAAGCACTGGAACCTCCCAAGCGAGGAGATATCGTCATGACCACCAGCCAGGCAGAGCTTCCTATAGTCGGTACAGACACCAGCATAAATCCTGCCCCTGCCTTTGTCGCATCCGTGGCCATGTCAACTTCTACCAACGCGCCGCCAATTCCATCAATTACCACGAGCCAAGAAACTATGGATCTTGATGAGCCCGCGTCTATGTTTGTTCCTGCTGCTACTCCGCCAGGCCGCGCTACTTCTGTGCCTATTTCTGCTTCTACCAAAGCCAAGAATAACAACAATAACAACAACAATGGCTCAAAACGCAAGAGAGGGGCGTCTCAAGACATACCTGTCAGCGTCACTCCCTCTTCTTCTTCTACTGGAGGTCGGCTTCCTCGTGGCAGCGGTAATGGCGGCAATGGTGGCAAGGGTAATGGAAACGGTAACGGCAATGGGAAGAAGAAGAATAATAATAACAACAACAATGGAGGAATCGCCACAAGACCCAGACCTAAAGTCACAAGCAAGAGTCCCCTCTCTGTATCAGCCACACCGACACCTTCTGTCCCAGCTGGCCTCTCTGCTCCCGCTGGTCCTGCTGCGTCCGCCTCGTCAGCCTCCGTGTCCAGATCTCCATCGACCACGCCAAAGATTTCCTCGCTTTTGAATCCCGCGCCTGGTCCTGCCTCTGGACCTGGTCGTTCTGAGTAGCTGACAATTGGAGTCTCTTTCCCTTTTCCTCTTATCCTTTCTCCCTTCTATTTATCCTGCCCTTTTCTCTTGTCCCTATTTCCCCTGTCTCTTCTCCTTTTGTCCCTATTACTCCCTTACCCGGTTCCTTTCCTCTCTGCCGTCCACGTCCTCATCGCCCGTCCTGTTCCGACGTGCGACACGAAAAATACGATACTTATCACCAGACTTTTTTTCTTTTCTTTTCATCTGTGATTCCTGATACGACACGGAGCGTATCTTGGAGCGTGGAAGTTGAATGTTGGTACAAGCACGCCGGCTGAACCCAGAGACCGTGCATGGAGAAAGAGTTTTTCTATGTTGTCGTTGTCGTAGCAAGGAGTAGAGGAGGGCCGCTCAGATGGGCTACTTAGTGTTTTACGAACTTTTGATCAAATGCTCGATTCTCGATGCTCGATGCTTGGTTGCAATGCATCAACATTCAACGCGCCAATGGCTAATGGCTAATGGTCAATGGTCAATGGCTAATGGTCAATGGTCAATGGTCAACGTGTCAATGGTCAACGCGATATGGAATACTGATACGGATTGGGTGGTTTCTTTCTTTCTTCCTTTTTTCTTCTTCTTTTTTTCATGTTTCCCTTTCCTTTCCCTTTCCTCTTCCTTTGCCTTTTCTTTTTTTTTTCAGAGTGCTTCTTCTTTTCCGTTTGACAGACCGCGTTTGACAAATGACAGGGCCCGTTTGACAGACCCCTTTTCAGTTCTTCTTTCTTCTCCACGATCCGATCCGATCCGTTTGTATCTCCTTTTCCATTCATCTCTTCGTTGTTCTTCTTCTTTTTCCCAATCGGTTTGACCTCTTGGGCCTTCCCTCCCGTTTTTAAGTTCTTCCTTTTCTCGTATCGAAGAACCGTTTTTCAGTAAAGGACGTTTGATATTGGTATCGTTATCGCTGGAAGTCTGGATGGTGCGGTACTAGCACCGTCATATCCTTTGTCACTTGTAACTTGATACTTGATATTGATGTTGATATGTGATTGATTGAGGCACAGTTTTATCAGAGGCATTAATATCCTGATGTGCAGCTATGTTATGACAGAGTATGACAGAGTGAAGGAACTCGAATAGAAATTCGTAAGGGAGAACCCAATGAATGGGATCAAGTGGAACAGGGAAGAAGAAGAAAAAAAGGAAAAAGGGAAAGTTAAAAAAAAAGGAAAAAAAAAAAGGAATAACAGATAATGCCAAACCGCAGAAAACGCTAAAGGGGGAAGGGGTGTCAAATTTCAAGAGTCTTTCCAACTACACCAATATCCCCACCCTCAAGCAGTTCCCTAAACTCATCCACGCACGTACCACGCTCATCCAGGACCCACTCGAGGGTCTGGGAAAATGTTTCGCCATTATTCTCAAACCAGTCGCCGAGGCTGCGGACGAACTGCTCGACTTGGCGCTTAAACGGGGCGTGGGAGCGCAGGTAGAGAATCTGGGCGGGGTCGAGTTTGAGCATGTCCTCGACGACATAGTAGTGTGGGATTTCGTCACCCCAGCCCTCGGCGCCGGGCTCGTGGGTCGGGGTTGGGCGGTATTTGGAAGTTGGCGTTCGTGATGCAAAGGGGGATTTGGAAAAGTACGTGTTTCTTCCGCTTCCGGGCGCGTAATGTCCTCCGACGATGCTAGCATTGTTGGCTAGAGAGGAGGAGAGTGGCGGCGGGGGCCAGGATGAGAATGTTGTTGATGATGCGGGCGCTGAGGTGCGAGAAGATGCTGAGTAGGAAGAAGCTCCGTCATATGGAGAATAGGAGTAAAAGGTGTTTGCGAATGCTGATGGTGGGTTGAGAGCGTCGGTCTCCTCGGCATTTTCTTCAGTGGTTCCTCCTGCGTCAAGCGTGCCGGCGACGGCCGATTCATGCTGTGATGGCAGGGAAATGGTTATCGAAGACGCAGTAGCTTGTGCATAAGATGGCATATTGCTCTGCGGTTGGGTAAAATACGTATGCAATGACGGCGCAGGAGGTGGATAGTTCAAATGGACATTGAACAACAACTGCGTGTCTGTATCCGGAAACCGTTTTCGGAATTTCCGCTGAATCGTCCCGTTACTGGGACATATTTGCGACTGCAGCACGTCGCGGACGATTTCACGCACGTCTTCAATGTCTGCGAGCTCGGCCGTGGTCCAGTTGTGCAGGAGAGCGGCGCGCTCAAGGACAATGGGCCGGTATAGTCGTGTCTCACGGGGATGTGCTCGATTATGAAACGCCCTTGTGTAGAGCCACAGACGGTACAAGGCGCGGCGGAACCGCCGTCGCTCGGCAGGCTCCAGGAGGCGTCGCTCTTCATAGTTGTGTTTCCACTTTTTCAAAGGGTAAATATCTTCCCATTGCACGGCGACGCGACCGACGGCAACAATCTGACGGAGTAGTGCAAGTGAGATGGGCACTTGGCGAATCATATGCGCCGGTTGGCTTGCGTTGTGTGTCACGACTTGGATGGCGTCTTCAAGAGGCCCGTATTGTGCTTCTGCAGCGTGCGCCAGGAGCTGCAGCTTATGTGAGCCCGAGAGAACGTTGTGGAACCGCCGACATGTCGAAGATAAAGAGACAATGTCGGCAAGAGAATTGCAGGAGCGGAAGACCTGGACAAGGAGCTCCGTCGCGAGATTCTCGAAGAGCACCATTGTGGTAGTAGATGGTGATTGCGGGCTGCGAAATCAAAGTGGTATGTATATTTTGCAGCAAAAGGGATTCGTGTCCAGTTGATATTCAATCAAGCACTGTTTAGAATATGAGAAGGGGTTGGAGAAAGATGCTGGGCTTGTTTGTGTATAGGGAGATGACGTCCAAAACAGTCGTAGAGTTACTTGTTAATCAACTCTCGTCGACCTGGCCTGAACGAACGTCAGCTAAACAAAACATAGTAAACCCAATCCATGAGATCGATGAGAGAGCAGCCATCTCGATGAGACTGGAGCTCTGTCGTCGTATCATGATGGCGTTGGAAGGTTTGGTTGAGGACGTCAGAAAGAGGCGGAGAAGGAGATGATTAGATGGGAGTGACAAGGGTTAACTAGGTAAGTGAATCATAGCGTAACTTTATCTCCAAGATATGATAACCATCCGCTCCCTCTACTCCACCCACGGGACATTACCCGGCCTTTCGGGGGTAATAGCCGCGGCAGCTTCGGTGGCTCGACCGACGTCGGAGGGAGGACAACAGTCACACGAGCCCGGACCCCTGATTTCCGGACCCCAGTCGATCGTCGAACTGTGTATACAAATCACGCATCAGCCATGTCTGCACATATATACTATTACTGCTGACCCTTGCACTTCTAACCCCGAGCTTGAGCCGTTCTCTAGACTTTGGAAAGCTTCATCAATTAGCCATTCTGCAGAAGCAGGTTTACCCGTCATGGCGCCGATATACTCATACGCGTGGTCCTCGTCCACGTCCTCGTCGTCTACTTCGTCTTCTACCACGACGACTACCACTACAAAGAGAGCAGTGGAGCCAACTCCCCCATTCAGGTTCAGCTACGCCGCTTCTCCTTCGTCTTCTTCGAAATGGCAATACTTCACTGCCCCCTCGGCCTCGTCTTCCCAACAAGCCTTTCCCCCTTCGCCACTATCCTCTTGTCCTTCTCCCCGGAGCTCTGCCGGCCAGAGCAACACCCGCGAGCTCGAACACGACCAGGAACAGCTTAAGCAGCACCATACCATCGCATCCGCTTCACTAATTACAGATCCGCGCTTCACTCTACCAACGCCACCACCGCTCAGCCGGGTGTCTACACCTGGCCCTGGCTCGGCGTCAGCACCTCCCTCATCTGCCGTCGCAACATCGACTGCTACATCAGATGCCTCCTCCGCCGCATCTTCCTCTCCGCTGCTCCGGCTCCCGCTCGAGCTTCGCAACCAGATATACAGCTATCTCCTGCCCACCACCATCATGGTACCAGGGTATACCAAAAAGCACGCGTGGCTACGGGGCCACACCGCAATTCTTGCTACAAATAGGCAACTGCACGAAGAAGCCGCCACAGAAATGTACGGCAACGCCATGTTCGAGCTCGAAGTGGCATGGGCGGGCATATCATTTGGATACAGATGGCTGCTTCCTTCCGGGCTGGTCCCGAACCGAACGTACCCTTTTCCAGAGTACATTTCAGGGAGATACACGCAGCGCATTCGCAAGTTTGACATCACCGTGCACCATGTCGACAGCTATACCGGCATGGTCAAGTACAATTATGGCGGAATGGGCCTGACAGATGGCCTGCGCGACCAAGTGGCTAAGCTGTGCCGCGTGTTGGCGGAATGCGAGCAGCTGCAGGAACTTCGTGTCAAGCTAATCGATGGCAATTGTCGAGGCGCGTGGGGCGACCATCGTGGCCAAACGGTCTTGGAGCCCCTGCGTGACCTGCGTGGCGTGCCAAGAGTGTCAATTGCAGGCTCGACAACACCAGAATATGCGAAGAGATTAAAGGATGACATGGAGCATGATGCAGGCCGAGCTCCAATTCAGGATTATTTCTCCTTGCCTTCTTCGTTGTCACCGTCACCGTCACTGCAGGAAACACCTGAAACAACGTCTACAATCGGCACACCGACGGGCCGCGCACACAGCAGACCCTCACATATTTTCAATGATGATTTGGCTTGTGATGTTTTTGAGATGTGAGGATTGATTTCGACCATATGATCTTATTTACCTTCCGTGACGCTTTTCTTTGCATTGGGCTGTTGTTTGTGTTTGCCTGGGGAGACATCCGGTGTCCGATGTGAAAAGGGAGGAGCGAGAGCATCCTGCAGGAGCTGCCATATCGCGCAGGGCGTTTTTGGGTGTTGGTATCGATGTTGGTGTTTTTTTTTCCGGGTATTTTTTGAATTCGGGTATATTTGGTTACATGTCGGATTTGGATCCAACCGTAAGACTTGCAGACTTACACAACATGAACGCGCCAGTAGATGTGTTTCTTCTACCCACTGATGCGTTCATGTACAGAATGACGGAGGAAATACCCCTTGGTACCAAAGATACCTTAGCTAGTATCTTATATAGAGACAAAAAGAAACATCTATATTATTCAAAATTCAATTTGAGCTTGATATTCGGGACGAAGCTGAGCCTTGTTAAATCATTGATTGAATTGATTCAAATGTAAATGAATATATAACAATATTAAATCAAATGAGAAGCTAGAGCTTCTTGCTTTTCCAGGGGCGCCTCCCTTGCACACAACTGACAGAAAGAAAGCAAAGAAAAAGTACTCCAATACAACGCCATGACCTAAGGTATGCAATAAAATAGCAGGACAATGAATGCTACTTTCCGCCCTTATCGTTTTCCTCTTCTGACTTTCGAGACCCGAACTCTCAAGACCGCGAAATGGATGTTATTAATCAAATAACATCCACTTGTAGCCGAAGCCATCCGGCGAAAGGAAAGGAAGGGAAAGGAAATTCAACCAGGGGTAACGTGAGATCTAAGACAAGTAATCCAAGGAGAACGAATCATCCGAAGAGGAAACTCATTCAAGGAGAACAAATAATATAAGGAACACAACTGATTAAGCAAAAAGCTGATTACTCGCCAACGCATCGCCCTCGCGCTTCTTTCCACCGTGGGTGACGAGACCGAGATCGCCGCGCTTCGAGCGTCTGTCGAGACCCGCTTCGCTGCGCTTATTATGTTTCACCGAGCGGGCCAGTTTGAGCTCTGCACGGATCTGGTTGGGCGAGATAAACTCCTTGTTCTCGTAGAGGACGGGGCCGCCGAAACTGGACTCGAGGATGACAATCGGGGTCAAGACGAAGCGGGGACCGATCTCGACCAGGCTGATGTTGATATCCTTGCCGGAGTCGGACTTGCTGCGGGAGGTAGGAGCGTTGGGGTCGTCGGTGGAAGCAGCGGTGGAGCCAGAGGAGTCGGCGGCGGATTTAGAGGAAGAGGATGCTTTGGCCACTTCGCTCTCGTTGATCTGGTAGCACCGGATCCAGACCTTGCCGTCCGCGAGAGTGAAGCCCATGACGTGGTCGACAAAGGGCTTGGTCTTGCGCGCGCCCTTGGGAACGCCAAAGGTGTGCGTAAACAGTTCCTTGAGCACGCGGAGGTGAGGAGCGCTGTCGAAGTTGGAGTCGAATGAGAGAATGGGTCGAGAGCCCTTGAGGCAGTTTCCGGTAAAGTGGAGTTCTTCCATTGTGTGCACTGTGGGTTTAGAGAAAAAGAAGCGGGTTAGAAGGTGTGTTTTGATGAGAGAAAAGGGGAGTGAAGTGTGAGAAAGTGGATGGGGCGGTCAAGGCGTACAGTTTTGCAGATGCATCTTGACGGTTGGTCCGTTGGGCGGCTTGCTCATCCACACGTAGAGATCCTGGCCCTTGCGCGCTTCGAAAAAGAGCACGTTGTTGCAGTTGTACAGCTCCGCGAGCTCGTTCAGTTGGTACAACTTCGTCTTGGTGTCGAGCTTGGCGTCTTTGCGGCTATGCGGGAGAAGAGCATTCAGATCGTTGAGCAGGTGTCGGTGACTGCGGGTGTCTTGTTAGTGATTGATTTCCCAATGCAACGAATCGTCTGCGTTAGGAAAGTCCATGTTGCGAGAGCGGAGAAGCCTGGCATATCGTCTCTGGTCTAAGAATTGAAGGATGCAGTGGTCGTATGAGCCTAGAAACCGAACAGATGGCCTAGAGATATCCAGTTGAAAGTCTGGTCAAGTCCTCCTAGTAGCAACGCAAAACAAAAAATCTCCTCAACGTTCCCTGTGATATTCGGCGCTGCCATTTACCCACTCCAGGCCCATCTAAACTCGATGTTGCATTCTCTTCCTCATGTCGTTTCTCGATGTAAAACACCGTCTCTCGGATAGTCCTTCAAGCTCTCCGCTCTTACAGAGCAATCATGAACAGATAGATCCTCCACTCACCGATAGGTCACACCTCTCGAGGTCAACATCAACACTCGCTGGCGGTTGTGCTTGACGCCGGCGCTGGGCTTGTCGGCGGCGTCAGCGCCATTGGACGCAGTTTTTGAAAGAGATTTATACACGGATGCCATCTTTGGAAACCGAATGGACGACAAAAATATGTCGTTGTGAAAAATATCTGTAGGTTCAAGTAAATGTTGACCTGTTGATAAATGCAGTCGGAGATTCCCTTTTGGTTTGCGAAATTTCGAAACTTTTGGACGAACGAACTGCTCGGCGCCGATCGAAGACTAGCTTGATTGGGTCTAGTCGATGCGGACTCAAGGAGTGCATGAATGGTCTTTGTGAAGCCCCCTACAGTCTGCATTCGTACTAGCGACAGTTGGCGGGTTGAACTCATAGAGGACCTGGGTGTAGTGCTCATGACTTGATGCCAAATATCAACTTCTGTGGTGAATATTGCTGGCTTGAGAGTCTTTGAATATATTTCACAGCAAATTATTTAATTACAGTTATTGATGGAGTTGAATCGAGGTCGTTTCATTTCTTGAAATGGCGATAAATAACGTCAAAATACGTTACCAGCAAATCAACTGAATTAAGCTCATTACCCAAATTGTAATAGATTGCTCTTACGACCTTGCGACCTTTTAATCTCAGCGGTATCTTCATAGCCCAAATTTAGACACACAAGAAGAGGATGAAACTGCAAATGGCATGAACAAAGGGAAAAAGTAAAAAAAAAATGAAATAAAAAAAAATAAAGCAGAATGAAACAATCTCGAAATGTCAAATATTGACCACCTTTAGCGCCACTCGGGAGCTGGCGGCCCTCCATAGTTACCGTAGCCTCCACCCTGCCCGTAACCGGAGCCGCCATGACCGGGCTGATTACCTGAAAGCTCAGAGTATCCGCCATGTCCGGGAGGATATTGACCGGGCATACCGCCTTGGTGTTGCGGGTGAGAACTCAATGGCGGCGGCGGCGGGTAGTCATAGCTCGCTTGTTGGGAATAAGCCTGATTATGACCGTACGAGGGCTCGGTACCAGGCGCCGGTGGATACTGATGTTGTGACTGCTGGTGCCCATATGGCTGATTGTGTCCTCCTCCCAAGGCAGGCGAACCGTAACCACCGTGCTGACCATATTGGCTAGATGTTTGGCCGTGATGACCGCCAAATCCACCTTGGTGCTCTTGCTGTGGGTTATACGGCCCAGAGGAGGGTTGACCATACTGAGAGCCTCCATCGTATCCGTGCTGAGAAGTGGTGCCATACTGTTGCACGCCATGGTGCTGCTGCGACGTACCGGATGAGCCAAAATGGCTTGGCGTCGTCCCGGTGCTATGCTGGCCAGAGGGTTGATATTGAGCAGGCGGAGCTTGGCCAGTATATGCGCTGCCTCCGCTTGTCGAGTGGCCACCAGATGAATATCCGTAGCCGGATTGTTGGTTTTGATGTTGCTATTATCAAGATGTCAGGGACCGCACACAAGAGACTCAAGACGTCGTTCTTACCGGAGTATGTCCCCCCAATATGCTTCCCGCGATCCCCATGAGATTGCTTTGCGAGTGGCCAGTTGATGAGGCAGTTTGTTGCTGCTGCTGCTGCTGCTGCTGTTGACCGTGAGGTTTGTGACCACCGAGCAAGCTCCCTGCAATCTGCCCCACCAGGCCACCGCCGCTGTGGGAGCTTTGTTGTTGTGAAGAGCCTTGAGAGCCATGACCACCTAAGAAAGAGCTGGCGAGACCACCAAGACCAGAGTGGCTCTGCTTGTTTTGCTTCCCAAAGATCATATTTGTCGCCAGATCCTGTTGAACCCCGTCGAAGTTAGCACTAATCCTTGTCGCTCCTCCAGCCCGCTGCGGTATTCACTGACCGATACCAGCCCGCGATCTTGGCCATAAGGCTCAGAGCCACCCTCGAAACCTCTAGCTGTTCCAGCCTCAGCCTCTGGTGCCGATTGCAATGGATCAGAGGGTTTCTGGAAAGGATCGGTGGTCTGCTGCGGGGTCCCACCCGGCGTTGGCACTGTCGGGGCGGGTTCTGTAGGGACCTCCCATTGCGAAACTCCTGTGCTTATTTGGACGTAGTAATACTTTCTAGTCTTGCCTTCCCACTGCGCAGTCCTATACGCTTTTTATTAGCATGGAGGTGAAGAAGAGATGCATAGAACCCTTACCATCCCTCGGGCAGCGGGGGAGGGGCTTCTGAGGGCCCCGCCTCATCAGCTCCAGTGTCCTGAACCATCGTCAAGGGTAAAAAATCAGATCAAAGCCCCAAATTCTTTTTTGATTGTTGCCTTCGAGGCGAAACAAAATAAATTCCCGATCAAAAGAATCTCGAGTTGTAGGAATGCGACAGCTCGATGCCGTTCGAGGAAGCTCGGTATTATCGCAGAGTGACACAAAGGTGTAAGTGAGAGGAAGAAAGTTCCCCACCACAGCTTAATAAAAGAAAATTGAGAGAAAGTCTCAAACACGACGGAAATGAGACCTCAGGATCCCGTGATGATTTCTTTTACGAGATAAGAATAATAAGTGAGTGAAATCCATGGCTTGCGCCATCTGGTTACCAGCCACTACGAGGCTGTGCGTACGCATGCGTCATCCGTATTATCAGCTGCTCCAGGCGACAACTCGTCTAAACCGCCGACAGCGTGAACTCTGTTGTTTCTCTTTAAACCCCTATCTTCCGTACCACAGCGCCATCTCCATCATCAACCTAGCTGTTCCTCCTTTCAGCTCCTCAAAATCGAATCATCTCGTGGTGTTTACACTATTACGCACAACAAGAACCCTCTACCTTACTGTTTTATTCTACATAAGCAGCCATGTCCGAAGCCTACGAGCGCGAACGGCAAAATAACTCGCGACTCGATGAGCTGTCCCACAAGATCTCCGCGCTTCGAGGCGTGACCATTGACATCTACGACAATGCGCGAAACCATGATCTCATAGATAGCTCCGTACGTCTAGTTTGCTTTGACTTGACTTTTCCTTCCACTGCAAGCCCCCGGGAGCTTGGATACTCTTCAATCCTGCGACCACCTCCTTGTATCAACTCTACTTTTCCAAAGTGAATGAACTAATCATTTCCCCATTTCTATATTAGAATGAGACATTCTCTAACTTTTCCACATCTCTCAAAGGCAGCGCCGTCCGACTCGGTCGTATGGCGAAGAGCGGGAACCGCGTGGCGATCTTCAAACTGGCGGCGATCATCGTCGGAGCCGTTCTCTTGTTATGGTGGATCGTGAGTTGGTTCGTCTAAGCGACTCTGCGACCTCTTTTTCCTATCACGCATGATAGCTACTCTACGGGTTTCTTTTCGCGTCATGCGTGCTACAGATACCCTTCACGCACGGTATAATGACAGCTTCGGTGTTAAGACGCGATGCCTTGATCACACACGCCGAACATCTTATAAGCGACCTGCACCTCTCAACAAAGTATATTTCACAAATCCCTGTACAGAGGCAGAGTCAATGGGCATTGAGGAGGGCTCTGATCCTCAATCGGTCAATATATCTGGATACAACATCACGGTCCTGCAACTTGACGGACTTTTCGGAACTGAACTTGCATATGCCGACCCAAAAATGACGAAAGGGCAATCCGAGACAAGCCGCATGAGGATTTTGGGGAGCTCTCTCATCAGAAATGACACTGGGACGCGATGCAATAGCATATGCGCAATTGCGGTCCTCAAGTATGAGTCTGTCGTTTGAGTAACTCCCGGCATGACAACGCATCACCGTCCTTATCTGAAGTGGCAGTAGAAATTGTTGCAGTTTGGTCATCATATCAAGGCTATCGTGCGAAAGAGACCAAATCAAAGGTTCCCCGCTAGGATTATCGGAGGATGTGCGCGGCGTCGGCTGCAGGGCAGGTCAGGCATAGCATTGGCATTCTTCAGGGCAGTGGATCTTCTGTATCCAAACTCTTCACTTTCCCAGTATAGATTACTCATACTATAATCCGCATATTTAATTGCATCGCTAGATTTCATAAATCACGCATATTCAACCATTTCAAACCATTCTTCAACGTCGTATTGAAACTATGTATGGTGATTTTCTTTCAAAGCAGAGCAAGATCAATCAAAGAAACGCGTAAACTTCCATGGTATCGTCCCAATAGTGATCCATCCCACCGTCCATAAACGCCCAGTTCCCGAAATTTGTATCGTAAAAGAACAAAAAAAAAAAAGACAAATCACTTTTACCAAGCGTATCTTTCATCACCAGGTACACGATCTGTCCCATCCCACTCCTCATCTCCACTAGCTTCTGAATCCAGGAAATCATTCTCATTGAACTGCGCTTCTGCCGGGCGCAAGTTGTCAATCCGAATGTCTACTACTTCACACATGCCCTGAACATGGCTCTCTCCTTTTGCGGCAACGTCAGAATCAGACTCGGAGTTACTCAAATCGGATCCGAAATCGTCATCGTCAGAGCTATCGCTCTCATGGTGAAGTTTGCGCTTCTTTCGACGAGGTCGGTCTCCTTGCGAGAGCTCAACGGCAGCCGCCTCGTTCTGCTGAGCAATTCGGGTACTCTTTCTTCGCAAAAGGAGGGGTGCGTCACTGTCAGACTCGGGTTTGGCGCCGTTATGTGGTGTTTCTGACTGCCCAAACAATGTTTGCCCGTGATGATCGAAGCTCCTTTGCCCTTCTTTCCATTTCTTGAACGTGCGTAGTGACCGCAAGTTAGGATCTGGAGGGTCGGATTGTCTGAGAAACGCCCGTTTGAGTTTGCCTATCCACCGATCTCGGAAGCGGGCCCTGTCGCGCCATCCGATCTGCAGTATGACTTTGAGGACGAGCCTACGGAGGTCAGGTAGCTCCGCGGCAGAGTCCAGTAGGGATTGGAAAAAAGTTTCGGCTGATCCGGCAGTCCAGTTGCGGAGTTGTATCAGTTCGATACAACGGAGCGTTTTGGGCCAAGTGGGTATCTCGGCTTGATCCAGGAGTGTGGCGTAGAGCGGCTCTGAGTCATGATAGAAAGAGTGCGAGCTGTAAAATGTGAGATCCATTTTCAGGATCTCGAGCTGAGGGCATGAATATGCAAGGGTAGGCAGAAAAGCGAGATCAAGAGATTGGTTGTGATCAAGGATCAACTCCTTGAGATGGTGACCGTGGCTGATGAGAAACGGTTGCAAATCGTCAGAGGTCAAAGAAGTACACTTGACAAAAGAAAGATGAGAAAGATTAACTGGGAGTAGCGGAAGCAGATTGCCGTTCACAATCGAAGAAATCTCGAAATGAAGACACCTAAGATTAGGCAAAACAGAGAGTGCGTCAGCGAGTACAGCTTCATCCGGATCATTTGGCGCATCTTTGGGTCGGCGCTTGGACGAGTTATAGTTTACAAAAGCAAGATCTCTGATCGTTCTGAACGGCACAGTTTGATGTATTGATTTTAGATTAGGCAAGGCTTGTTTTGGCCCAGTCATCCTCGCGTTCCATCGCCATACGACGAGACTTCGTTGACATTCATCAAGTGCCGAGAAGAGGGAGTCGGGATACAGCCATTTGAGGCCCCTTTCCGTCCCAAGGTCCCTGTACGGCGGTCTATCAGAGATGTGGAAAAGTTCAAGGTCGATCAGTTGTGGCGTGTGCCGGATTAACGCTCCCAGATCAACGTGACCCAAACCTGGGGTTGTATAGGCTAATGTCTGGTAAACTTCAACCTCGAGTCTCTTGATTTTCACATTGTAATTGAAAGAATGAATATCAGGTGATTCAGACAGAAGCTTCAGCAAGCCGTGCGGTCTGTCAGATGGAAGGAGAGGGGGTGAGCGGTATAGAGCCGTTAAGGCAGGCTCGGCGAACGCTTTGCAGAGACGAGCCGTATCGAGAAGCCATTTGATGGAAGACGTTGGATGAAATCTATCGTTATAGAGCGGATAAGAAGCACACTGGAAGATTTGTACAAGTATCTGATACGGAAGCGTCTGCCATGGAGGGATAGGCCCGTCATGTTCCTGTTTAGTGATTGAGAACGCTTTTGAATGCCCTCCATGTTTTGAATGTGATTCCGCCTTCCTTGGACTTGAACCTTTCGTGCTCGAAATAGCATTATCCCTGGTATTAGCCCTTTGGTCTCGGCCCCCGCGTCGGGAAGAGGTTTGCTGGGGCTGTGGAGCAGGTGCGCGGACGCTTCTTGTTGCTCTGGTAGTCTGTCTGGCATTCAAATTGGATGAACGGCGCGTAGGTCCATTTGAATGACCATGATCATCAAAATCATCAGAGTCATCGAAATCATCATCAGAACTGGGTTCTTTGTACGAGACAACCTTGGAACGGCTGGCGCGACGGCCGCGCGTAGATGTTTCTGAGTGACGACTGGGAGCCATCTGGGCTGTCTCCACAATGCCAGGTCTATGCTATGTAGACAGTAGAGCCAATCATGGTTAATTTTGATTCTGAGAAAATGTTAGTTTCAGCAGAAATGGAGCAGACAACAGCTCGGAAATAGCTGGTCTTCCCTGGCACAAAGGAATTCCGAACATGAAGCATCCCACCTATGACTCTTGGATTGTCCGTCGGAACCCGGGGAAACTTTATCCGATGCTCTTTGCCCGTTGTCGCTTAGTCATTCCCTTGATCTTGCATATGCATCACGTGCCCACTTTGCTTGCGGCCAGCTGCAGAGGAGCTCCCAGCACAGCCCGCGAAGCCTGGCGAATATCCTAACTTTAGAGAACGATGGGCCATAATATTTGATTTTAGAATGATAGTTGACTTGCTTCAGATCTAGTATTTTCACGTTGCTGATGTTCTGGCTTCAATATATCATGACGGCATTCACTGTTTCCCGTTACTTTCGCTTGTTTTGACGCGTTTGGTCCAGGCTTTTGAGCGCGTTGCTACGACATCTTCTGGTTGGCTATTTCACAATTCTGAGAACAGGAAGGATTATGAGTGTGCAGTCAAGTCTATGCTCAAGAACTGGCTTGGTTGCTCATGAAACTCGTCTGGTGGTTTTCAATTCAATGTTTTCGTTCCTCTTTGCATAGCCATCTTTGGAATTGAGGAAGGATAAGCCTGGAGCCGAATACAGTCATTCCTTACCTGGGCCAAGAGGAGTTTTCAAACGGCGTTAGATCCTTGTTTTGAATTGTTCTATTCTCCAGTCGAAGGTCTGTTGAACTTCGTTCCACATACTTGCTACCAATTTTTCCACGCCGAAACCAAAGCAAGAGAGGGGCTGCACTGCCCAGGCGGCGGCTTTATCATTCAATGGTGGATCAACAGGAGCGCGAGTTCCGCAGAAAGTTTGCCGGTAATGCCGCATTTTATGCGGATCTTGACGAGCATCGTCAGCAGACTTTTCTTCAACGGAATTTGAGGACGGTCTTTCGCTCCCATGCGCAACAGCTTACGAGGAAAGCAGAGCCCGCATATAAAATTGAGGATGAAGATACCATCAAGGTCGACCAGTCTGGCGCAACGGGTGCAAAAAAGCCAAAGTGGACTCTTCCATCCCGAGAAATCTTGGATGATGTCAATTTTCGCAAGACCGAGAGAGTCCTGAAGATTGATCTGAAAGGGATTGTGATGAAAGAACTGACTAAAGACACCGTGGAAAATGCGAGCGCCTGGAGGACAGACCTCAAGTCTGAAATTCCGTGTCATGTCCAATTGAGAATCGTGGACTCAACCGGATCTAAAGAAAAGACAGTGGTGCGAGATGCCACAACGGGAACTATCGGTGGTTTAGACAAGGAGATCGGTAGCGACGGCCTGCAAATCCAACTTGACACACCTTTCTACATCAATGTAGAAAAATTATTTGTCAATGTGGAAAAAAACAAGCGCCGAAGGATGTCCGCTGCTAGTTCGTATTCAATGGTTCTCGTTTTAAGCCCTATGGATTCGAGCACTTGGTTCGAACAAGATTCTCGACGTTTGAAAGATGCATTAAAATCGCTCCTTCGCTACACAGAATCCGAACAGAGGAATGCGACTGCAAAGACGAAGGACATACAGGCTTTTTATGCAAAATGGCCAAATCTCCTCCAATGCCCACAGGATGGCGCACTGCTTGAAACATGCCGGTACAAGGATGCCAAACCAATATCCGACTGTGGAATTCTGGTAGATATGGGGTGGAATAAGCAAAAAACTCCACTTGAAAGATATAATAGCTTTCTCCGCGACTCGCCAGCTATTCGATTTCCGACACCTGTGTCTGACAGAGCGAGCGAAGCTTCCAAGGTAGAAGTCACGTATGTGTTCGGAGATTGGGTCTCGTCCACGGATGGCTTCAGGATGAAAGAGTGGAGTGTTCCTGGCTATCACTGTCCGTTCTGCCATGGCAAGAATTTGACATCGTTCGAACATTTGTCCTTTCACTTGCGAAATTCACATGCTCTCTTCAAGTTTGATCTGGAGCACGTGGTGAATCTGGAGGCGCCAGACAATCAGGCAAACGTTAGCGTGAAGGTCAACATTCATGACGACCTTCGCGAAACTCTTATAAATACGCCAGCATATCTTGAAGATCTGGACTGGCAACGTCCTCGTCGTCCTTTTGACTTGAAAAAATACTTGGAAGGTGATCATAGTTGGGTCGGAGGCAGTCAGACTCCTTTGCGATCTTTGAAGCGCGCATCAACTCGTCGACCGTCTCGCACAACTGCCAGCAGAGGCATGTCTTCGACTCCGAGCGGTCTGCAAGACGATGAGGTGCCAGAAATCCCCCCAAAGCGACGGAAGAAGTATGTTGTGCCTCCGGCACCAGATCCTAGTATCCGATTCTTCCGAACGACATCGAAGCGAATGTTGAACGAAGGGGAGGAAATCAGCGAGAGCGATGACGATGTTGATGAGGCATGGCTCATCCACAAGCATGACGAAGTCATAGACGATTTTATCGACGTTAGCGATCCTGAGAAGGAATTCATCAAACGTTGGGACGCGCATATGCTTGAAGAAGGATTGAGTGGGAACATACACTTTGCAGATGCAATGGTGCGGTTTGTGCGAGCCAACAAACTTTGGCTTTGCACCACTGAGAGGTTTGTCGAGTTCTCAAAAATCTGTGCAAAGCTCAAATTAAGCGGCACAATCGGTGGGGCCGTCATATTGCGATGCGTGCGTATCATCCATGAAGAAGCAAATGCCCAGGGAAAAGATATTAGTCTTGGCGCTGCACAACAAGCACCGGATGTGACGGAGTCTCCGCTGTCGCGGCGTAATCTACGTTTAGGCCAATATCATCTCAGAAGCAGCAAGGAGAAAACCACTCCCGGATTGTCTCAGTCACCAGCTCCAAATGGAGTCAAACAAGAGCTAGATGGCACACCTGCAGGACCGGATGCGCTATCGAACGACAATCGCCCCGCTCGAACAAGATCAGCCTACGGGGAATGTATCTGCGGCAAGACCATAAAAGATTTCCATACTGCTATCATCTGCTCTCAACCTGTGAGTCTAGATTGTTTATTTTACTTTACCAAAAGCCTAAACCCAGTTTTCTATCTCATGTTAAATTCATGATTATACTAACACATCGAAGGGCTGCCTCCAACCAGATTTCCATCTTGTTTGTGCGGGCTTAGAGAACCGTGAACCTGGTTGGCTCTGTTCATATTGCTCTTCGAAAAGAAGGCCTCCAGAGTGAGAATGGAAAGTTCGCGCCGCAAGCTTAGACTCCATCGAGCAAACCTAACCTTTCCGACACGTATTCGTTCGATACGACTCTCCTCCTCGAAAGTTCAGGGTCGATTCTAAACCGTAATCGCCTATCTTCCCGTCATCATTTACTTTTTCGCGCATCTACCGGGCCACAGACCATTTATCATCGAAAACCGCAGCTTCTTTCAACAAGCACGATAGCCTGCCGATGCGTACCACTTTATGTCTGGCAACATCATATTCCCTTTTTACCCATCCCCCCCTACAGTTCACCCTGAAAATAATCATCTGGTACACTGCCCTGATTTCTAGTCAACATCATCCTTCATCTTGCCCGAATTTGACTACCCATCCATCTATCCACGCACTTTCTATCTCTCGCAAATCTTATCACTTCTTTCCCACAGCAAGAATACCCCACGTAGCGACTCAATCTTCTCGCTCTTCATACTCAATAATTTCCCGATCACTACACACTGCAAACTTTCTTTTCAGATTGTATCTAACGCGATCAACACCACCGAATTCGTCATCTGGTTTACATATCGCGCTTCATTGACCCTCCAGAAACAGCGGCTTTTGACGCTCTGTAAGACTTGAAGACCTTTTACTCAAGTTTACATTCCTGCCTTAGTACATATTCCTACGGACCGTTATGCTTGTACATACACACATAGATTCTCCTACGAAAAGGAACCAATGAAAATATTTAAACCTTCTTTATTAGTCCCACAGCCTCCATGAATTGCGCGCCGTGTGTGAGCGAGGGTGTCATCTCTGTGACAGTTATACAATTTATCTTCATCATCATTCATTTTTCTACAGATTCGCAGATAATATATTTCCCAGGTAAAGCAGTGTAGAAAATTCGAAATCTTGGTTCCCGTAACTAGCATGTACTTCGGGTAAAGCTAAGAAGAGCCTAATATTAAGTATATATCCGCATACAAATCTAAGGTATCTTACACACAAACAGGTATTATGCGGGGGTATATTTCTCAACCTTCTGCGGCATCATACACATTACCGCCCAAACCATGCGCGGACCTGACATTTCCCGGTCCCAGATCGTTTACGTTACGCTTTGCAGCCAATGCGATGAATTGTAAGGACGGATGCTAATGTGTGGATGCCTCGCTCAGACGTCCAGTCAAGTCCTGTCTAGCGCGTCGGCCCTAAATAGGACACGTCCAGGAGTTTTGGAGCTCTCTACCAGCAAAAGCTCTGGAATGCTCATATACTATCTAGGAAGATGGTTGTGCAGAGAAGTAGTGCCTCGCAAACTCAGGGACATGGAAATGAATTTCCGGGCTCAATGGAAACGCGGCCGATGATGGCCTTGATATTATGAGCCGGTGAATTTACAGAAATCAGAAGCTTGTCTCGAGCGAGCTACAATTTAGAGCATTTAAATGTCTTTTCGGGTTTCCTCGATCTCCTTTTGCGGTGCGATATGGGCATCTCGACCATCGACTGGCACTTGCTGCTTCGATCGAGCGAGGTTGTCGAGGAATTTGAAAATGAAGCCAGAGACAAACCAGGCGAAAACTGCCAGTACGACAAGGTAACCTGCCGTTGGGATGAGAGAGCGAGGGAAGACATTAAGGATAAATGGATCGAGGACTGGACATGCGAATTAGTTGTTGTTCTCGTCTTGGTATAGGGGCAATTTTCAGTTTCGGAGATCATGGGTTTATCGCTGGACACCACCTGCACATGATGATGCTCAGAAAGTAAAATTTGAACTTACTTATATCGACGACTACGAAGGGAACATGCTCCATCAGTGACTTGTTGGTGGATACATAGTCCGCAGCTGCATAGACTTGAAGGAAGAGAATGGACGAATCAGGTTGGATTTCCAAAGGTTTGTCGTTTGACAGGGCATCCATTCTTGGAGTTATATCTTCCAAGTCTTCTGGAAGTGGCTGGCGAGATTCAGAGAATGTTGCCAACGAGGAAATAAGGTCTGGCGTATCAAACACAGCGTTAAGGGTGTATGTATCAAGCCAGAATTTGGTTGGCTGCTAATTCTGTGTAAGCGATGATGAAATATTTCAAGTTTTCAATGATCAAATCAGATGTAAAAAATGTTGACAATATTCAAGATAATTAAGACATAACAAGGAGAGGTGCCAAGGAAAAATAATAATTCAAAATCGATATTATAGATACATACAGTGGCTGCCCAGCAGATTCGAACTTCGTACCGCTGGCCTTCTTTCAGGTCGCTGAGAAGAAACCATGATGCTGTTCCTTTGGGAGCATCTCCAGTGGGAAATGTTGCTGTAAGTTCAGTGGGCAGAGACCATCGCAATGGCGTCAGATGCTGTAGATATAGATCTTCGAGATTTGGATGTTCATGAGGCACGTGGATAGCGGGAGGGCCAAGGAAAATGGTTTTTTCAACGTTGGCAAGAATTTGCTTTGCAAATAAAGTACAGAGGAAAAAAAGTGTGGCATAAAGCTTGAACGACATTCTTTTTTTTTATAATTAATTGATTGTGATGAATGTCATGTTTTTTGGACGTAGAAGTATAGCATCCTCAAAGAGAGGTCGTCGTTGGTGGTGTTGTTGTTGTTGTTGTTTGAGCAGAGAGCCCATGACCGATGACATAATACAAATGGAGAGCAAGATGGCCCAAGTCTGGGACGTGAACGGGGCTAAGACACGTTGGGCATGTTGTGTTGGCTTTTTATGCTCGTGTTATGTTGTTTCCCGCTGTGTCTTGTGCTGAGCGATACCCGCTGGCCCAAATCCCGCGCTAAACCGCATCTATCGCACCACTTTGAGCTTGATCGGCTGCAATTGGCTCAGACACCGAATTAGTGAGAACTGAGAAGGGGATAGCTTACTGCTGAATCTCTGCATCGACCTTGTACCTTTGTACCGAACCCACAACAAACGCACTGAACGTGGTTGTCGTCCCTTTCTCTGCTGAGTGCCCCGTCTGTCTGTCCGTTCCCTTGCTCGACCGCTCTTCTGCGTTTCGAACTTTCTTCAGCACCTCCGCCCTTCGCCCTTTTCGACGCCGACTAGGGTTTCAAGTCCTGTCAGTAGAGATTACAGTAAGCCCACCGTCACCATGAGAGAAATCATTAGTTTGAACGGTAAGTTTTCCTTGACGCGTTTTTTGCGGACCGTTGCTGTGGTGCCATCGAGCCGTCACCGTTTCAGAAAAGCAGTGATACTGACGGACATTCTTTATAGTCGGCCAGGCCGGTTGCCAAATTGCTAACTCTTGCTGGGAGGTGAGCTCAAACTTCGGAATAAGAGAGACGGGATGCAATCAGAAGCTTGCAGACAGTGGTAGTTGTGGGAGACAAGGCTGACAAAAGGTGCTTTGCATAGCTTTACTGCCTCGAGCACGGAATCCAGGTGAGAATTTCTTTTTCTTGATCACCACCACAATCAATGAAAGCTCATCTGACGCGAATTTTGCTAGCCCGATGGATACCTCACCGAGGAACGTAAGGCTGCCGACCCCGATCAGGGATTCAGCACCTTCTTCTCCGAGACTGGTATGTCTTGAATTTATAGCCTTCCCCGCCTACCTCTGCATCGATAGAGGATAAATCGCGACAACTCCGCTCTTTGGACACACATCTGACGGTTTTAATGATTAGGCCAGGGCAAGTACGTCCCTCGCACCATCTACTGCGATCTTGAGCCCAATGTTGTCGACGAGGTCCGCACTGGTACCTACCGCAACCTCTTTCACCCCGAACAGATGATCACCGGCAAGGAGGATGCTTCCAACAACTACGCTCGTGGTCACTACACCGTCGGCAAGGAGTTGATTGACCAGGTCTTGGACAAGGTCCGCCGTGTCGCCGACAACTGCTCTGGCCTCCAGGGTTTCCTTGTTTTCCACTCGTTTGGTGGTGGTACTGGTTCGGGTTTCGGTGCTCTGCTTATGGAGCGTCTCTCTGTCGACTACGGCAAGAAGTGCAAGCTCGAATTCTGTGTCTATCCCGCTCCTCAGGTCGCCACCTCCGTCGTTGAGCCTTACAACTCTATTTTGACCACCCACACCACTTTGGAGCACTCCGACTGCAGTTTTATGGTTGACAACGAGGCCATCTATGACATTTGCCGGAGAAACTTGGGCATCGAGCGCCCCAACTACGAGAACCTCAACCGCCTGATTGCTCAGGGTGAGCAAGGAACCAGATCCATGCATCCAAGCTGGTCGTGCTGACATGAAATCCAGTTGTCTCCTCCATCACCGCTTCGCTCCGTTTCGACGGTTCCCTCAACGTCGACCTCAACGAGTTCCAGACCAACTTGGTCCCATACCCCCGTATCCACTTCCCTCTCGTCGCCTATTCCCCCGTTGTTTCCGCCGCCAAGGCCTCGCACGAGAAGAACTCCGTGCAGGAGATTTCCATGTCCTGCTTCGAGCCCCACAACCAGATGGTCAAGTGCGATCCCCGCAACGGCAAGTACATGGCCACCTGCTTGCTCTACCGTGGAGATGTTGTCCCCAAGGACGCCCACCAGGCCGTTGCTGCTCTCAAGACGAAGCGCACCATTCAATTCGTCGACTGGTGCCCTACTGGTTTCAAGCTTGGTATCTGCTACCAGCCCCCTCAGCAGGTCCCCAACGGCGACCTTGCCAAGGTCGACCGCGCAGTGTAAGTTATTATTAGTCCAAACATTAAAAGACACGGACAAATTGTGGCTAATACACGCAAACAGTTGCATGCTCTCCAACACCACCGCCATTGCCGAGGCCTGGTCGGCGCTGTCCCACAAGTTCGATCTCATGTACTCGAAGCGCGCTTTCGTTCACTGGTACGTCGGCGAGGGTATGGAGGAAGGCGAGTTCTCCGAGGCCCGCGAGGACCTTGCCGCCCTCGAGCGCGACTACGAGGAGGTTGCCACTGACTCCCTCGAGGGAGAGGAGGGCGTCGAGGCCGAGTACTAAGCTGCTACTAGACTCCCTCGGGTCAGGGAGCGGTGAGCGGTCGATGCGTTCTTTTCAGCAACTTGCTCGGATTTGGGATTCTCTTCTTGTTTGGCCTTTTCTTTTTGCTATGCATTTGACATCATGTATTGTAATTTGTTATCATTATCACTGTGAATAAGCCTCTCGTGTGAATTTTGTCCAACGTTTTACAATATTTTTGTCCAACATTTGCGTGTCATTGCAATTGTGATGATATCACGGATTCTCGAGGGAGGAACCGCATGAGTATGACTTTTGAAGCTGTTGCCGAATCTTGTATCCTTGTCGAAACATAGCCTCGGTATTTGTGCTGTGAGAATCTGCAAGTGCCCAAACACGGAAAAGGAGGGACATTTAACGTACATGCATAATGCATGTCTCGTGCTTGTCAATCATCTTGTCATCTGATTACCACCTGGACTGCTACCGTTGCACTATGCACTTTTTGTACTTCTGTCGCTCCATGGAATCTGGGCCTTTTTGTGGCTTTCAATCGACCACAACCTCCACTCAGCGCTATTCGTCGCCCACCAACAGCAGCCACAGCTATCTCTTGCTCTCTGATTCGACCACCGGCTTGGTGGTGTTCTGCACGTTGGCAGGTTTTTTTGCTTTCGCGTCCGTCTGGATGATGATTTATCGGGGAGCGCGGGCGTCGCACAGGCGGCATCTTCACGGTTCCCTAGCCACCTCCACATTCAGCGACGAATGAAATGCCGCTCCGGTATTTGGCTCTTTGAAAGGCTTACGTTCAGACTGCCATGAAGTGCTCACTGATTTCCGATTGATTCATGTGTGTTACAAAAGAGTATAAGTCCCCATTTAATTGAAAATTATCTCTTGCTCTCTCGAAATGTAGCTCAGAAATAACCGTATCACATCAGGCGCTAGGTAGGTATGAAGCTTTTGTTTGGACACTTATCCATTTGTACCGATACTTGATATATCGGAGTACGCTCAGTCCAGGCAGAAGATGAGCAAGTCTCGGACAGACACTATCTTGAGGAACATTCAAGCAATGTAACAATAATGTGAGAATCATGGGCGATTGCCTCCGAGAGCCACTCTGCTTTGTGATACTGGCGCTGTGGTAAGGGAGCACGACGAGCCTACTACGGGACGGGCCGCGGGTATAAACTCTACGTCCTAGTCTCTCGAGGAGAGAGGCTTTTATGCTTTTGAGCTACAGATGGTGCAACGGAGATCGTCGAACAAAAGTGAAGAGATTGAATGTATTAGTCAAGGGGATATTATGGGAAAAATGACAGACCAGGCTCGCATGGAAGTTGGGCATCACCGTGGCACGGTAATTGGTGGCTTCACTGTGCTTTAGCTTGACCCGGATGGGCATTACCTTGGTAGGTACGTATCGTCGCGTTGTCTGGCTGTGGCCACTGCATAATAGATAATTTGTCTCATTGGCGCCATTCGTAGATATGTAGCATAACTTCTTCTTCGACAATCTACGATTCTTGAAAGATCGGGTCACTACAGCAAATTCTGAGCACCAAAGATCAGCCTAAACGTGCAAATTGTCTCTCATATCGGAGAGTTTGCCGCGTGCTCCGACGAGGTTGACCTTGTAACTGCTGCGTCGTCACTGCACGGGCCGCTTCGGTCATCTCGCCTGGCGAGCTCCAACTGCCGCCTACGACCTCACACCTCGAACATCCCAGAGCTCCCTGCTGCATCAACACTGGGCATCATGGCCGACCTAAATGGTGGCTCAGAACTGAGTAAGTCATTAAATCTCATCCTTGTGCCAGGGGTTATCTTTATGCTGGCCTCTTTCGATGAATAATCGCCATAGTTTAACAAGCTAATGCTCCTGCGCTTACCCTTCAGGCCAACCGCAGCTCAATCTCACGCCAGAGGAGAAACGAGTCTTCGGCCAGCTATTCCAGCAAGCGGACGCTGATAATTTGGGCGTCGTCACTGGTGAAGTTGCCGTCAAATTCTTCGAGAGAACAAAATTAGCGCCCTCAGTGCTCGGCGAGGTATGAAATACTATGAAGCAAACCGTACTCTCCCCCTTCAGTTGACCGCTTATACTCACGCTCCACCGACAGATATGGCAGATTGCAGACACTGAGAATCGAGGCCTTCTTACACCAGCAGGCTTTGGAATTGTTCTGAGGTTGATTGGACATTACCAGGCTGGACGAGAGCTTACGCCTGATCTGGCATACAAGCGTGAGTGTGATGACGTCGTTGCTGTTTACAGGATCCTCCTTTAGCTAACTGCCATTTTCTCCTCCTTAGCTGGCCCCCTCCCCAGATTTGACGGTCTAGCAGGACCACCTCCCGCTTCGTCTACGCCAACTATTCCTGCTGGTGGAATTCAGCCTCAATCTAGTGGAGGGCCTATAAGAGTGCCACCTCTTACCCCTGAAAAGGCTAACGAATATGCTTCGCTGTTTGAAAAGTCCGGAGCGCAGAATGGCGTGCTTCCAGGTATGAAGTTGCCGTAAGACTCCTTGACAGTTGGAAACTAATGGAAAGCAGGCGAGACAGCAAAACAGATTTTCGAGCGGGCTAGACTCCCAAATGAGGTTTTGGGTCGGATATGGAATCTCGCCGATACTGAACAACGTGGCGCATTAGGTGTAACAGAGTTCATTGTCGCGATGCATCTACTGGCTTCGTTTAAAAGCGGTGCTCTGCGTGCTCTTCCCCAGATTCTTCCTTCTGGGCTCTACGAAGCAGCGTCTCGCCGCGGGCCTCCACCGCAACGACCGCAGCCCACCGGAATGTATGCCGCGCCGTCACCGCGACCGGGAGATGTGCATCCAATGGCAGCAATCCCTAGACAATTTAGCGGAGCTAGTGGTCGGCCACAGAGTCCTATGAGTCGGTCTTCATTCGCAGCTCCTCCTCAATCAGCTCAATCAACGGGTACCGACTGGGCCATTGGTCCCCAAGACAAGGCTCAATTCGACTCAATCTTTTCCACTCTCGATAAGGCGAATCTTGGATTCATCACCGGAGACCAAGCTGTGGCGTTCTTTGGCAACTCGAAACTTCCAGAGGAGGTCCTCGCACAAGTCTGGGATCTTGCAGATATCAACTCCGAAGGCAAATTGAATCGAGACGAGTTTGCGGTTGCAATGCATTTGATTCGGCAGCAGAGAATGAAGCGTGGCGTTCTTCCTGCAGCGCTGCCTCCGAACCTCATTCCCCCCAGTATGCGGGCTCAAGTGCGGCCTCCCCCTGCAGCGCCCATGCCTCCCCAATCTGCCCCATCGTTTGATGTTCCACCGCCTGTCCAGCCGCCGAAATCAGCCTCTGAGGACCTTTTTGGTCTTGACGCTTTTGCACCTGCCAGCCCTCCCCCGGCGCAAGTTCCTCAGTCTACTGGAGGGTCCGGCACTTTTGCACCGCGTCCTTTTGAGGGAGATCCTTTCGGTGCCAGTTCCAAGCCTCCCATTACTGCTTCACCATTAAGCACACATACAAACTCGCCTCCGGCTCCCACGTCTGTCTTCAAGCCTTTTATTCCATCGTCTTCCTTTGGGCAGTCTATGCTTTCCACCCAACCAACTGGAGGATCCAACGCATCTGCTCCGTCGCAGACCCGGAGCTTGCAATCGCCCCCACCTCAACCTGCCGTGGAGGATGATCTGCTTGGCGATAATGATCCTGAAGTAAGCAAGAAGCTTACTCAGGAGACGACTGAGCTAGCAAATCTTTCGAACCAAGTTGGAACCCTGTCAAAGCAAATGCAAGAGCTCAAGACAAAACGTGTCTCTACAGGGTCGGAGTTGACTCAAAACACATCGCAGAAGCGAGACTTCGAGTTGCGTCTGTCCCAGCTTCGTGGACTGTATGAGCAAGAAGTCAAAGACGTCAAGGCCCTTGAGGAGCGTCTGGCCGCCAGCCGCAGCGAGACACGTAAACTTCAACAGGACATTGCAATGATTGAAGGACTGCATCAGGATCTGCAAGGCCAACATCGTCAGGTTGTGGGAGCTTTGGAGGCAGATCAGGCAGAGAATGCCAGATTGAAGGAACAGATGCGTGTGGTCAATGCTGAGATTAGCCAACTGCGACCCGCTTTGGATAAGCTGCGGTCCGATGCTCGCCAACAGCGTGGAATGGTTGCAATCAATAAAAAGCAGCTTGCTACCAACGAGGGTGAGAGAGACAAGGTGAGGACTGAGATGCAAGATGTGAGTCGGGCAATAGAAGAAGATACCCGCGCACTGCAAGCGGCCTCCCAAACTCAGAGCCCGCAGGCTGTTGGCAGTCCGGCAGCTTCGACAACGAGCCAGAGCACAAACCCCTTTTTCAGACGATCTCCTCCACCGACTGCGGAAAACACAATGTCCCCTTCTCCGTTTGCAAGGGAGAACGTGCCGCAGGACCAGAACACTTTCGAAAATGTCTTTGGCCCTTCATTTGCGTCTCCATCAGCAGGACCGCCGCCGTCTACGTCTTTCAGGTCGGAGTCACAGGCCCGTGACCTTGCTGGCCCGTCTGTGCCCTCTGGCCAGTCAGTTCGCTCGTCAGAAGGTCCAGATCTCCCAACTCCTTCAACTTCGCCGCCACCTTCGTCGGCCCGTGACTCCCCCCGTGGAGCCGATGTGCCCCCTCCCCCAGAGTCCAGGCAGATTACATCTAACTTCCTTCCCCTTCGCGCGCACGTCCCGCGAGCAGATTCATTCAGCTCATCGGTAAAGGTGTCAGCTCCCGCAAGTAGGTATGGTGGCGATCAATCTGGATTTGATACTCCCACAAACTGGGTTGAATCTATCACTCCCACCCCAAGCCAGGAGAAGGACTTCACCAGAGGACTCGAGCGGTCGGATACCAATAAGACGGAGACTGGAACGGTTCCTCCATCCACGTTGGATCGTAATATTACTGCTTCGCCAACTAGTAGCGACGCGCCAAGACCTTCATCTAGCGCCCCTAGGGAGTCTGTCCCGGGTGCTTTCCCGACCGACGTTACATCACCCATTCAGCCAATGCCCACTGGTGAAAGCACTTTGAGCGAGAGAAGCAAAGCCAGCAGCCGACCGTCTGAAGGATTCCAAAGCACGAGATCGGACCCATTTGCGCTGAGTAGAGATCAGCGAGCCCCCAGCGCCGCCAAGGATGACTTTGATGCCGCTTTTGCAGGGTTTGGACCTTCGAGACAGATTCAAGAGCGACAACATACTGGCGGCTCATCTGTGGATGGATCGACAGGTGCAAGTCGATTCAACCAGGAATTCCCTCCGATTGAGGAATTTGGTCAGGATGATGAAAGCGATAGCAACAGCGAGCAAGGCTTTGACGATAACTTTGCCCCCGCCTCGCCTCAGCATGTGCGGAAGGAAAGCGCCGACCAGAGTCAGAGCATCCACCAACCCCAGGCCTCCTCGCGGCCTGCCACCGGTGCTGCCGAGCCCGTTGACGACTTTTTCCGGTCGCGTCCTTCAGTAGCGCATGTTGAATCGACCTCGAGTCTCCCTACTCCGGGTGCGCAGAAATCACCACCTCCATATGACCAAGCCGTGTCGCCCTCGACGAGTACGCGACGCGAGTCCAACCAATTTCCTCCAGAGTTCGGTGGATTGCTTCCATCTCGGCAAGATCCCACCCACCCTGCCGGCTCCCAGTCTCCTGAGAAGACGTTTAGCTCGCCCACGATGGGTGGCCAGTCTCTCTTTGGCGGTGCTGGTCCCTCCAAAGGCGCCCAGCCTACGTCAACAGCTCCCACCTCGTTCCCCTCTTCTTCACCACCGCTGTCAAACACGCCCCTTTCGACCGCGCCCTCGGACGCATATCAGTCCGCTGTGTCTCACCCCAGCGTCGGGAAAGGGCCATCGCCCCAGTCCGGAGCTCAAGCTCCCCAGCCGCAACAACCGGCAAAGCCATCGTTTGACGAGTTTGACGACTTCGCCGACCTCGCTGATGCAAAGGAAGTCGACGACCGAGAGCCGGATGAGTTTGGCGCTGCTTCTCACAGCCGTGAAGGTCTAGACGAGTTTAATCCCGTGTTTGACACTCCTGTGGCGTCAAAGGCGAACACCATGGCGTCGTCACAAACTGCAACTGGCAACACGCTTCATGGCGACGACCATTTCAATGACTTCGAGCACAACATTGGTGGCGGCCTCCAAGCCTCGGGCAAGGCACCTCAACAGCCTTCTGCCACCTCCGAGGACTGGGATGCCATCTTTGCTGGTCTCAATGCTCCTGGTGGTGCCGGCCCGAGTCAGCCTGCCGCGGGCGCTGCACGTGACGATGACCCGTTCGGCTCGTCATCGGTTTCTCGTCCAGAGAATGGTCGAGGCTCTGGTGGTGAGGGAGAACTCTTGCCATCGACGGCTTCTCCGCTTCCTGGTTTAGGTCGTGCTATTAGCAGCGGTACTGAGCACGATGATCCGATCTTAAAGAAGCTCACTTCCATGGGTTATCCTCGCGACCAGGCGTTGCAGGCGCTTGAACGATATGACTACAACATTGACAAGGTGAGCAAGGGTGGCTGGGATTGATATGGTATTATGAATCTCACTGACGACGAGCAACATAGGCTGCTGATTATTTGACTTCAAAGTAGAGAAAAGCAGCCAAACAGAAAGGCTGTAATGCCACTCAATGAACACTAGCGAATAAAGCAAGCGGTTGCAGATATGTTTTTTTTTTGTACTTAGGCCTTGCTTCCATAATCGTCGTTGTTACCCCCTTTTATTTTCTTTTCTTACTATCGTTCTCTCTACCTACGGTATCTCTACTACTTATCTACTGGACCATTGTATCTCATTTTCTTCTCTGCTTTCTCGTACGTAACGTACAGTGCGTAAAACTGGTATATGTAGCCACTTTCTCTTGTCAGCCGATTTTTTCCTTTTGTATCGTCCAGCGCGCGTTTCTCTTTTGTCTTGAGCAAGCACGCCCCCTTTTTTCTTTTCTCATTCTTCCCTAGTCTCAGTCTCGCAGATCTGCAGACCGGCAACGCCGTCAAGCCTTTCTCACACCCTCGAGCGCGAAATATCTCTCTCATTTATATATATTCCTATTAATTTTATGACGTCGATTCACTCCTCTGATGCTATCTGGTTTATCTCGCTCCACCTTTGAACTTATCGAGAACTTGGTTACTGGGCAAGAGTTCCGCAGTATAGTATTGTAGACGGGCGTAATACTTTTTCCTCCCCTTCAGATCTGCTTGGACAGGTATCTCTCGTCCAAACATTTCTCAATCTCGTGTTTACTGTCATAGACTCGTGACAACTTCAGGTAGGTGGAGCCAGATAACTGGTTATAATTGATATCCAGCATACAATCTGGGCTTAATTGTCGTGGTCTTTTTCTACACCATTTCAGTCATTGTTCTCTGTTTACAGTCTACACGGGACAATGGTTCTTGTACTGTATCAGGTATGGTTTTGACGTGTGGCGAACAATGCGGGGTGTCCTTCGCTTAAGTGATTTACCAACGCTAAGATATAATTCGGGTATGCTAGTACTAGTATAAAGCGCACCCCAGCATCAACTCAATTCTATCTCACCTTCCTGTCCCTTCGTTGAAATAATTCCGCGACTTCATCTCCTCCACAAAAGCGGATTCTCCTTTCTCACTTCGTCTAATTATTCTTTCTAAAAATCCAAGCATAGAGAACGTACTCCTCAAGAGATTGCAAATATTACCGCCACAAAATGTTCAGACATCCACGAATGACAGAACCGATTAGAGCAGTGTCAGACGTCACCAATGCTCTGAAACCCATACCCGCCTTTGTCTGGGGGCAACCCGCAATTGGCTATCTCGGCACTCCGACGCTACTCGGTGTAAGATAGCCTATCATCCTATTTTATTAGGGCCCTAATACTGATTCTATCCCTAGCACCCTCACATAGTTGTTCGCGATGAAGACTTCGATTCAGCGGTACAAAAACTCGTAGATGCGGGATTCCCACCATCAACCCCTAGACGCACGCCAGCTCCTGAAGTCTTACAAACGCTTCGTGATCCTCAGCGTGCGATAGACAGAATAAATGCTGGCTACAAGAGTCTCGATGGTGTCTCCCGAGTTTTTGAGTATCCAGAGCACTTTCAGTCTTTCCGCAGCGAACGCATCTTTCTAGTTCCAAACTCGTTTGCCCATCTACCGCTACCGCCTCTACCATTGAATACTGCACCTGCGGTTGCTCATACCAAGGAAGGACGCACCGATAATGCCGGGCAACAAAATCTTGCTATCGATAATGCCCTTCAAGGTGCTGGGAAACTTTACAATTACCATGGTTACGATGTCTTTGATAATTCATTCTATCCGCGAGAATCAGCTATAGTGGAGAGCTTTGTTACGGCTGCCGTCGATGAGATAAAGAGGGTCCGAGGAGATTTCAATGTCTACGAAGATTATTTCTCATCTTGGGACGAGGTGCTGAGATCGTGGGTCGCTCTGGTTGTCGGGTACTTGGATGTTCAGAAAGATGCTCTTGATCATTGCAAGAATAAGCATGTAGTGACATGGTACAGCAAGAATTTCGGTAAAGATTGGGAGGAGCGCTACGGAACTCTGGATCGTCGAGTAGCAAAGCGACTTGGATCAGGAAAGGAGTTTGCCTATGACATGACGGGCAAAAAGCTGAAAGAGAACGAAATGCCTCGTATGCATGGCAAAGAAAATTGATAGCGTATCGAAATACGAGGGCGTCATGTACTTAGTTAAAAATAACTCAATAATCAAAATGCAGACAATCCGTCAGGAATTTCATTTTCTAAAAGTATATAGAGTCATTTTAGTAACACTGCCATTGTAAAATCTTCTGAAGCGTCTCAAAAGCAAGAGCAAAAAGAAATAAAGAAAAATGCGCAAGGAAAAAAAAAAAATCAGTGATGGCCTCGGAGACCTGACGGCATGAATTCGGTTTATTTCTATTCAAATCGCTGAGTTAGCAATCATCAAGAGTAGAGAAGAGCACCAGCACTCACTAATTGCCAAAGACTGCTGTACATTTGACCAGTCCCTTCAACTCCCCTCGCAAGTGAGGTCGCACGCGGAGAAGTGTCAAGAGTGCCTCTTCCAGCTGTGGATTGCCCTCAAAATTGAGTTCCGGTTGCCCGGGCTCCAACAGATCAATCATCCTAAGAATATCCGCGAAGTCGTATGGTCTCTTGCTTGTGTGAAAACGTTGGTGGTGGGCAAGGACCTTCTCGCGGAAGATCCAACTGGCGCTAAAAGTCTTCACCTGGTGGCCGTTTACGTTGATGGTGTTTCGAGAGGTGGAAGGGAGATTGTATTGTGGTCGCTCTGGCCAGCTGAGATGATCGAAAACTTCCAACTAAACAAGCTGGTCTCCCATATCTTCAATGCTAATTTTGTAGGCCGGGATGATATGGCCAAACTGATTGATGGGAAAGAAAACTTCGGGCCATCTCTGAAGGAACTCTGACGTCAAGCGGTCGGCCGTTATCTCACGCTCGTCGACTTGGATAACCAAGTCTAAGTCTTCGGTGACACGTGTGGTGTCTTGAGTAATAAGGCAGACAGCTGCACCCCCCATTATAGCGTAGTCGATGTGCATAGAGTCCAACTTTCGACCAACGTCGGCAACCAGGTCCTTGAGACGGTCTAGAGGGATTGGGGGCATCTTGATTGGAAAAAACGACACACAAAGCGACAGATGTTCCGAATTTTTGTCGTAGGAAAAGAGAAAAAGAAGTGACGGGAGAATATCACTGGTGAGAGTGCGGTAGAAGATGAGAGTAATCTGAGACTCTGAGTCCAAAATCAGCCCATCAACATATCTTGAGATCCATAGACATGACTTACCTTTGCCTCTTGAGTGCGTAATGGTTATCTTCTCTTGTCTTGAACTTTGACATCTACCAGACGTCCAGAGCGGAAAGAAAGCTTTACTTATACCTGGACACAGTCGTGGGCGAAGCGTGATGAGAGGAGGTGAAGAAGAAAACCAAGATGACACGAGAGAAGTGAACACGCAAGAAGACAACAGTGCTCCTACCAATCATGACAGATTCAAGTACTGCTTTCTGGTCTGTATTACTAGCGTGTATTTGCAAAACACCTTGTGGGCAAGAGCGATACGCCCCTTCAAATGATTCATAGTGACATGGATGACCCCTCGCACCTTCTATTTTCATTCACTGCTGCCTTGAGAGACAACCAAAGTAATATTTGTACATTACTCTAACGACTGACTAATGATAACTGATTTTGTGTCACCTATCACCACCATCATCTGGTTTTTTTTTTTTTTTTTTTTTTTTTGGGTACAGTATCTGTTATAATTTACAGCAAGGGAATCCCGTAGTATCATACAACATATGTTCCAGCTCACGGCACGTTTTTGGTTTCCTGTTTTGTTGCTCAGAGCATCATTTCCTTGTTCGTTCTCATGACAGGTAACAAATTTGAGGAGCGCCCCGGATATGGTACGAGGATCTTCGCTGATTTTGCTGAACAAGAGAAAAAGAGGGGAGGAATACAAGGTGGTGTATTGGTTTCCGTGGGTTTCTTTGCGGGATATTGCCTCATGAGACAACTGGAGTTTTAGAAATGGTAAGGAGTAAATGCAACACGTAATGCTCGGTCAATGTTATATATATTTGACAAGGATGGATTGTATTTTCATATATCCTTGGCATCGTGGTTAAAGCTTGAGTTACTTTAAATAAGAAAGCTTCGAGACCATACCGTTATTCCTCAGCAAAGTTTTTGTGCTCAGCCAGAGAACATTACCCAGTTCGCTGCGATTTAGGCGGCAATATTTCCTAAAAAAGACTAAAGTCCCCGGGTAAGACTCTTCAAAGAGCGCTTATTCACATGATGCTATTGGTGTCTGATTGTCTGCATATCTACAAAGTCTACTCGGCCATACAATGTCCTGTCAACTCGCTTCATCGATAGCGTTGCCGCATCAAGCGCCGTCACCCTGTTCGGCGTCTATCATTTGCGGATCGAGACTGGACAAGACTGTGGACCCTGGGAGACTTTTGTTGTTGCAAGGCGCCAAAATTGATCTATAAATATAATATGCTGTCAAGCTCCTGGCCGATGAAACTCATCCACTATGCCTCGATGCATGAAGGCCCGCCCGTTGGACCCCTCGCTCCTTGTTAACGCTCTGTAACTTCCCTGGGGGGCGTTTCACTATGCGAATATTCCACCACAGCAAGGAAAACAGCGCTCTCCAAGACTCTGCTTCATCGCCACACGCTGGCTTGTCAAAACCGATCAAGGCTACACGCTTTCGTCGGTTCTCCACTCTTGCCACCATAGCCATTCTCAAGCACTTTCGTCCTCAACGCGGTCGGGTCCTGCTGCTTACCAAACGACTATGTGTCAAATATGGGCCTCTGATAAACCTATCCGAAGCTTCGGCAATGGAATTTGTGGCTCGCAACACGTCCATCCCGACACCTAGAGTTCGTTGCTCATTCGTTCGCAACGGTTGCACATATATAGTAATGGACAGAATACGGGGCGAGCACATCGGCCATAATTGGGTGTCTCGCTCGCCCGAGTCCAAAGCGAAGATCTATGCTCAACTGAAGAGGATGGTGAAGCAGATGCGTGCCATCTCACCTCCAGGCCCGGGCGTCTCAGACGTGGATGGGGGCGCTATTTATGACTGTCGACTCCCGGGCCCCTCACTGAAATTTGGCCCTTTTGATACGATTCATGATTTCCACAAATATCTCCATGGTGGTCTGGAGCCGCACCCTGACCATTTCCCCGAGATAAGCCAGCTTATAGAAATGCACAATGGGCCTTGGCCGCCTCCAGTCTTCACTCATGGTGATTTAAGCAGCCTAAACATCCTCGCACGAGGAGACGACGTTGTCGGAATTATCGACTGGGAAACGGCCGGGTGGTTTCCTCACTATTGGGAGTATACGACGGCATGGCAGGTCAATCCGCAGAATTATTTCTGGCGCGAGGAAATCGATAATTTCCTTGATGCAATGCCTAGAGAATTGGCTATGGAGCAGATTAGACTAAAATATTTTGGCGATTTTTGAGCATCAATAGTAAGGGAAAATCGAACTTGGTTGTGTTTTTCCCCGAGCTAATGTGACAGATTACAGGCCCGAGTCTCTGTCGCTCCTTCTGACTCTCAGGGTATTGTCTCCTTTCCCTCAATCAAGTCAAAGGTGGCAGCCTTTGTCATGTCATATTTGACCTTGCCATCGAAGCGATGCTTGTCCTTTTTCGCCTGACAGTATGCCATTGCGCAATCCCTAACGGATTTCCATTCAAGTATGCTCGTTCCCAGCGCTTTCCCATCAGCCCTGAGCAGCTCCAAAGCCTCCTTCACCCACCACACGCAATTCCAACCCTGGACGTTTTGTCGAATAGGCACACTCCGCAGAATATTTATAAGCCGATCGCGCTTCTCGACCTTGCCAATCATGACCCGGACAAGCAGCATGTTGGTGGCGGCAAGCGGCACCTCGCGCTCTTCAAAGAACCACTCCATTTTGCCTGGACCGCTCGGCCGCTCTTTGGCATGATACCGCATGCCTCGCCCATCTTCGACTTCGGTTTTGGGTCCCGTTATGATAGCCCAGTGGTATCTATATGAATAAGTATTAGTGTCGACTGCATCAGATTGCTTTTCGAGATGATTGCAGTCCATTTTCGGAATAATCGTACTCTAGGCTGCTATACTTACGTATCTTCTGCACCCGGCATCGTGGGTGCTCCACCTCGAGCATAAAGCGCAATGTACAGCCGGTCTTTGTTAGAAGGTATCAAGGAATAAGATGTCAGGATAGATATAAATTATAAGCCACCCCGGAGCTGCGTTGTGCTTTTTTTCACGAAATCAACAACTCAATATGCCTCGACGATGTGTTTCTGCATTTAATACCATTTATCACCGTGTACTACTGTCCATTATTTATATAACTTCTATCAGACAGTTTAGAGCTATATGTATCGTGTAATTCCTTCCGCAGCTACTAATTTCGTTCTATTTTTTGTTCTTATTTTAGGTTTTATTTTTATATTTTTCCTCAAGCACCAAATCTACTGGTCTAGAGAGACGCAAAAAACGTCTTGTTGCTCGTTTCAGATCCTCAGCTGAAACTCCAAAAAGAGTGGCTCTGTCATAATCAAGTAGTAATTTGTGATGAATTTGAAACGCTGAAAGGGACACTGCTGCGCTGGCTATTATCTATTGCCTATTCGCTATCGTCTACCCAAGCGCTCTCATCACACGTTGACGAATGACGATTCAACGACCGTTGTTGCAAGGCGCTGTGCCACAGTCCCGCAGTGTCGCAACATCCCTGTGCCGCTGTGCCGCGACATGAGTTCAGGCCCTGAACTTCAGCGACTTGGCTCCTTCTATGGAATATAGCAATAGCGCATTCCAAAAAATCATCATTCATTGTTTCTTGAAGCCTTTATACTGCAGAGAAGAGAAAATTACACTCAAAGGACAACAACAAAAAAAGACAAAAAAAGCATTGGTTCGATGCTAACTATCAGCTTGTAACAACCTGTCATCGCGTACATGTAGATTTGAGCTGTCGTTACTGTAACATTTCCAAGGAAGATTTACCTTTCATTTCTCACTTTCATAGTCGGGAGTACGGGCATCATGCATGGCGTAGGTTATAGTCTACTTCATTGTTAATTTGTTATGAATTATTGGCATGTGCAATAGTGCTTTTTTCATCATTCACAGGATAAGCGTTTCTTACGGGAAAAGAAATGGTATTGTATTTTTCGGTTTGAAGACACTTCTAAGACGGTGAAAAGTGAAAGCAGAATGTTGAAAAGGCAAAAAAAGAAGAAAAAACGAAAAAGAAAAGAAAAAGGCCCGCTGACCGCCGGCTAGATGTGCAATTGGTATACAGTGTATAGTCCATGAATCCATGAGTCCATGACGCCAGTCCCATGCATAAAAGCTTCGCATGCTTGAGCAGCTTGACTGCGCTGCGTATCCCGAAATATCTTCCAGTCAGAGAGAAGGAGGATTGCAAATGTTGCCTAGAATGTTCATTTGCGAGGCTGGAGCATTGCGTCATGTTAGCTTGTGCATTTACGGTAAATTATTGAAGACATGGAGAAAACAAGATAAAGTAGGCGAAGAGTAGAACTGTAGAAGAATAAATGGAACGGTAGTGGGAATTAGCATATGACGTGAACATACCGGTCATATCTTTTAATCCCGCGCCTCTTCGAAGGAATCGCCGTGTTCGGCGCGCAGGCGTGTTCCACTGGACCTCGTCTGCAGGACTAGCTGGATGAGGATTGATATTCTCGGTACTGTACATATGTCAGTGACAGTCTTTTCAAGCGTGATTTTAGTATGATGCATTGGGAGAAGGAAAGAGTAAAATAAAACGTAAATAAAGAAATAAAGAAATGAAAAGTAAACACACAAAGACATAATGAAAATGGAAAAGAACAAAGATCATGATAGAAAACGTACTCTGCACCAACATGTCTCAGAGGCCATTGCACTCCCCATGTATCCTCATCTGCCCACGTCTCAGCAGCATTCTCTTGCCCCAGTCGCTGCACTCTGAGATTTAAATTCTCTACTCTTGTCGCCATATTTTCCATGTCGCGGCGGATCTCATTCAGCATGAGATCTAGTCTGGCGAAAGTGTCGTACAGGCTTCGGGCCCATATAGGCAAATCAGGCTCAGATGTCTCGGTCGTGTCTGACGTATCTGATCCCGACGTCTCTGAGTCGTCTGTATATATGTCAAATAACAAGTCCACGCGAGGTTCTGGATTTCTTCTTGTTATTTCTATCGGTACAAAAGGCCGGGTCAGATAGTCGATTTGCATTGGGACATGCTCGTGGTGAGTCGCGTTTTCGCTAGTGTGCGATGTTGTGTTGTTAATATTGCTGGACATATTTTTTGATTTATCTCTGGGAAAGAGTGATAGCAATGTTGAATTTGAGTATGATTGGAATTTAAGAGGATATGGGAACAATTTGTTATAATGGTTAGAACAATTTCTGGAGGGAAATATATGTAGAAAAACATGTTGATCCCGGCGTCAGTCATAAAATATATAGTAAAAAATTTTGAAATTGTTAGCTGTCATTTTCCAAAGTTGATTGGTATTGATGCCAATTCTGGTCAAGTATCATTTATTTGATCATTATCACTGCTGCCCTTGACTGTAAGGACTCTGTTTGGAGTAGTACTCGTATGGTGGTTTTCCTATGATAGCACGTGATCTGTAATTCATGGTCAACATTGTACCGTAAAAGGTATGGTCTTGGGCAAGTAAAGTGCATAGAGACTCTGCATTGTACTTTTCCCATAAGGGAGTGGACATTATAAGAGTCTGCAAACGACGGTAATATGACAGCTCGAGGAGACGTTGGAGATGAGGGACGTCAAGTGTCGTTGGTAGCAGAATAGGCAACCATAACCCTATTTGGCCAAGGGGCTGTGCAGGCTAAGCTTTCTTAAGCATTTCTCCCCTGAGCCACCCGGAGCGAAGGAGCTGTCTGCTGCCGAACGACTTGGTGTTTGTCTGTAAATGTCATCGTCATCTCACAGCCACAATCCCTCAGCCACAGTTGACGTAGTATCAGCTATGAAGAAGATGAAGATCTCTCATCATTTCAGCTGTCACGCTGGCTGGGCGGGTGAAAATGTCTTGTTCAAAGCTTCAAGTCTCCAAGTAGTATTCTGTAGAAAGTTCCAGTCTTCTCTGTGCCTCTTCGTACGAGCCTGATAGCTATTGTCACAGCCCTCGGATCGGACTTGGTACATCTCCGAGCTGTTGTAGCGAATATATCCCATACCTTCGAAAAGTCAATATATATCTTCACTGTCCTAATCACTTACTTTCTCTTCATTTACTTATTTCACATTCCTTCGTCACCTTGAATTACCCTTGGGCAATTTCATCACCGCAATCGCCTCACAACCGCTGACGTGATCTCGCCTACCACAGTCAACACTGTAATTACCGCAGCTCTCTGATCCCAACCCAACTCACCCAAGTGGGTCGAGACCCTGTCGGAATCCAGACCCTGAGGGGCCGAATCGTCCACGTCTCCTCTCACCCATCTCCACATCTTATTCTTCTCCTTTCTACAGAACCACTCCAATAACTCCTTATCCCCTTTTCTTTCCTTTTCGGATTCAAAATAAATATTCATAAATTTCGTCAATCCTATTGTCAACTGTATCCGCACCACAGCGTTTGAGTCTTTATCTCATCGTTGTACCTGATCGACCCTCACTCTGACATCACCTCCATTTCACACTTTACAAGAATAACAAACATGGCCGATTTCGCTCCTCCGCCAGGCCCTCCGCCGCCAAGGGTGCCCGAGGGCTGGAAAGCTCAGTTCAACGACCAGTACAAGGAATGGTGAGCTACTCCAAATCCCTCATTTTCTCCTTTTTCTTCCTTGGAAACCTTCACTTGCCCCAACACAACTACGAGTTTGTCAAGCTAATACTGTATCAGGTTCTACGTAAACATCTACACTAAGAAGGCGCAGTGGGACAAGCCCACTGAGCCGGTGTACGCTCCCAACGATGACCCCTCGGCGCCTCCAGGCCCACCTCCATCCTACAGCGAACATGTGTCCAAGCCCGTGGGACCCGAAAAGTCAAACAACCCATATCTGAACACTTCTGGAAGCGGCGGTGCCGGCACCTCACAACAAAACGTCTCCTCCGACGAAGCCTACGCACGACAGCTGCAAGCTGAAGAAGAAGCCCGTGCCTCATCCCGCTCTCCGCAACCGCTCTCCTCGGGTCGCTCCGCACAGCAAGATTACATGAACACGCCTATGCCGTCAGACTATGCAAACCCTAGCCCCGCTCCTTATGGTGGCTCAAGCACTTCTCCGCGGCCCGATGAGAAATCGCGCGGCTTATTTGGCAAGATGTTTGGCAAGCACTCTTCATCTTCGCAGCAGCAGCAGCCTGTGTATCAGTCCTCCTCCTCGCCGTACCCGCCCCAGGGATACGCCCAGCAAGGCTACGCGCCGCCCCAAGGGTACGGTCCTCCGCCCGGCCAGTACGGCGGATACGGAGGCTATCCGCCGCAACAGGCCTATGGCGGCGGCTACGCTCCCGGATATGGAGGCGGATACGCTCAGCCCCAACAAGCGCCAGCGAAAAAGCACGGTATCGGCGCCGGTGGAGCAGCTGCCTTGGGTGTCGGCGGTGGCTTGCTAGGCGGTATGTTGCTGGAAGACGCGATTCAGGACCACGATCAAAACGAGTACGATGCCGGCTACGATCAGGGATATGATGACGGAGACTATGGCGGCGATGGCTTTTAAACTGTGAAAGCAGAAAAACAGTATGACGAGAAATTCTCACTGTTCTTATTTCATGACATTCTCGCTCGTTGGTTGCTGGGTCGCTGGGTCGCCAGGTCGCTGGAATTTGATTGCTGGATTGCTGGGCTTGATGCTAGTTGCGGGGTACACCTTGGCTTTTCACTTTTTTTTTTTTTTTTTTTTTTTTTACTTTTTCAATTTCCTACATCTTTAGCATC